TTGCCATAGAATTTCTCGTTGGGCGTGGATTCAACCAGGGCTCTTGTAGGACTCCGATTGCAGACGAGTGATGCGTATGCATGGGCTTCAGGCCAAAAACCCGAGCTCATGTTCGCTTCTTGCAACATGCAGAGGGCGTGCTCATGTGTCGTCTGGTTATAGCGCTCGGCTACGCCGTTCTGTGGTGGAGTGTGTGGAGCAGAAGTCTCGTGTTTGATCCCCTTCAATTTGAAATATGTCTGGAGGTTGTTGCCTATAAATTCGCCACCACCATCGGATCGAACGATCTTGACTTTCTTGTCAGAGAATGTCTCGAGGCGTGTGATCAAATCCTTGATCTCCGAAGTCGCATCGCTTTTGGCCTTCAGGAAAGCCTTCCATCCCTTGCAGCTGTAGTCGTCAACGACAGCGAGTGTGTAGCGATAGCCGGTGATGGATAGGTCAAATGGTCCTTGAAGATCCATGTGGAGGTGATGGAGAATGCTTGTAGCACGATTGGTGGCTTGCTTCGGAAAGGGTGCTTGGTGATGCTTCCCCTTCGCGCAGCCGTCGCATGGGCCAAGTGTCTCTACGGATTTCAGATCGAGTCCTGTGACAAGGGCATGCTTTACCATGTATTGGAGACTGCCCTGTCCAATATGAGCAAGCCGGCAGTGCCAAAGCTCGCTATCAGATGGAGAGAGTTGGGCGGCGAATGAGATCTCAGAGGGATGGGAGGATGGAGGGGCGATTGCGCAGTCGAGTTCATATAAGTCACGTCGTCGCGCACCTTCCATGATAACCTTCCCATTCGAGTTCTGGACAGCTACCAGGCCATTCTGCTTGTGGATCGATAGTCCCTTCTGATCCATATGGCTCTCCGAGATAATATTGTCACGTGCGTCCGGGCAGTAGCATACATTTCGTAGTGTGACGATGTGCTGGTCTCCGCTATGAACGTGGCATAGGATGAGGATATCACCTCTCCCGTGCACCTCAAGTTGAGGTCCTGTCTTCCGAATGCCGCCGATTGTCTCGCTCGAAGGTGTGAATGTAATGAAGGCCGATTTCGTTCTGCAGATGTGAGTGGTAGATCCGCCGTCGAGAATCCAGGTGAATCGGGAGGATGAGCCGGGTGCCGCCATGCACGAGAGATGGTCGGAGTCTTCTTTCGCCTCGTTCACTCGCTCCTTCCCCTTCGCATCCTGTTTCTCCAAATCCTTCTTCTCCTTCTTCTTACTACGTGGTCCCTTCCCCTCAGCTCCACCCCCTTTCGACCAGCAGTCCTTGATGTAGTGACCGGGCCATTCACAATTCTTGCAGAAGGGGTTGCCTGGTTTGTATTCCTTCTTCGATCGCTTGCCGGACTGCTGCTTGGCATTGTATGCTCGCGCTGTCGATTGCTGGTTCTGTCGTATGGCATATTCTTCCTTCAGACGTCGTTCGATCTCAGAAGATGTGTAGTACTGAGAAAGGCCAGAAAATACATAGTTCCAGGATTGTGGCATAGAGATTCGGATGAAACAAGCATAGAGGTCGTCAGGGATATTTCGGGACATGAGGATGAGATCTCGCCGGTACGCTTTCATCTTCGCAATATGAAGGGTCAGATCTTCGCCATCGGCATACTTCATCGTGATGAGACTGGTGATAAGAAGCGTCCAGTCAGTAAGGGTTTCGCCTGCGAATAGTCGTCGCACTTCTTGCCAGACCTGTGCCGCGACCGTGAGGTGGCTGATTTGCGACACGACTTCCTCGGTCATATTCGACGCGAGTATGAGTCGGACGCAGGCATTCGCGTGCTTCCAGCGTCGCGCACGCGCCTCGTCGACATCCGGATCGGGCTCGGGAACTTCTCCGGTAGCGTACTCGAAGAGTTTGATAGTGTTGAGCGTTGATTCCATCGTCATCATCCACGATACGTAGTTCATCGGCGTGAGCTTGTGGGGGAGCTTCGTAAGGTTCATGTGCGAAGAGTGGTCGGTATCCTTGTGCAGGGTCCAGTGCTCTGCTCCGCCTTCTCCCAAAGGCCTGTACCTCCTTCCGCCTGCGTTCGGGCTCGGCGTGGGCCGTCTCGAAGGTGCCGCGGATCCGCGTGGTGAAGACTGCGCGTACAGATTTTCTCCGCTGCGCTGCGGTCTCGCGCGCGGCCTGTGACCGCCGGTAGGCATGCCGGGTTCGTCCCAGTAGGCTCTGCGCAAAGGTGGAGGAGTCGGAGAGCGCCCGCGTGGCGACGAGCGTCCGCTCCAGGGGTTGCATCGTTCGCCACTCATTGCGGTCTCGCGCGGGAGGTTCGGCTGGCGAGTCGAGTGCGCATTTTAGCTGCCTCTCGGGGCTCGTAACCTGTTGAAGACTAGACACGGACTGAGTCAGTCCTACAGATAGATCAGCATGAGTAACTAATGTATAGTAAAGGAATGTAGCTTACCCTCAATCCGATGTCAATAGCAAAAGGACTGAGGGAAACGAAACGTGTAGCGAGCGTGTATACTACGCGAGCGTCCGTGCCCGATTAGGAAACTAACTATGAAGGAGTGAGAGGACTACACGAAATTGTATCTACAACAGACGCCAGACACGGATATCCTGAGGAACGAAGGTTGAAGCAGAGTGTCAGTCTGCCTTTAGGGCTGCTCAATTCTTCTGGTTCATTTCGTGCGGGTTCATTTGGCCTGAGTCTCAAGGCAGGCCGAGAGATCCGAGACCATGCCGAGGGATGCCATGAGATCTGCCGATCTGGAGTGCTCCGGGTTGCTGGTCGCCTCTCAGAATTCAGGCATTCTCTTACAGCTCTATTACATCTAAAGAAATGTGATTTCGAAGACTACTTCCTCATAATCTTCTCAGAATAAAGTAGAGACTTTCAAGCAAAATATTCTACTGTCTCTGCTGCCCTCCACCGGCAAGCCGGAGCACTCCAGATCAGTAGATCTCGCGGCAGCCTTCGGCATGGTCTCGGATCTCTCGGCCTGCCTCGAGGCTCAGGCCAAATGAACCCGCTCGAAATGAACCAGAAGAATTGAGCAGCCCTTTTGGGAGACTAGTGGGTCCGCGCGTGATCAAGATGTGTGCGCCGATCGCGTTTCCACTGGCAGCCACAGTGCTGAGTGCCCCAGCAGCGACAACGATGGCGTCGGGGCCGCCCTCAGCTACCCGTGCAAGACGAAAATACTAGCCTTCTTAATGCAGAGCTCTCCATCGGCGTGCCTCAGGGAAGACCGACGGACGAGAGTAGAACCCGCCCACCGCGCCCTCTGCCACTGCTCTCACACTCCGCCATCCCCTGCCAACTATCACGCGCTGCCATGCACCGTCTCTGTATGCTGCAACCTCCTGCCTCGTCACACCATGCGCATAACATGAGGTAGAGTTGGAGTGGGTTCTTCAAATCATCCCACGTTGTATCAACCAATCATAAGGTATGATTTTTGTAGGGTATTGGCACTGTTCCTGACTCGGAGTGAACACAAGTCTTTGTTGACTTCCGTATTGAAATCTTTCGCAGCGTTCTCCGGTCTGATGCAAGAGCGTGGAGCAAAGAAAGCAAAATTTAGTTCTCCAGAATGGGCAGTTGGTGCGTCTTCTACTGCTTGATTGTAACATACTTTTTGAGCCATTACTCTCGTCAGCTTCCTAGCAGCGTGGTTTCTCCTAGGATATTACATTTACCCCGGTTGTGAAGTCTTACCAGCGGTGTCTGTGTAACTATGAGTTATCTTGTGTCATCGGACGCAAATGTGAAGTGTGAAAGACTCTCAACCTTATTGTGCCGTTTGCGTCTATACCCGGAGCCTACTACAGCATATATCCTCGGCAGACAACCACTCAGTACGTGACCTGTTCATGCCCTTCCGGCTTTGGGACCAATCTCCGGCGATCGTATTCGAGGGCGACTTTGTCTATCACTCGCATAGGTGCTCCGCTGTTTTGGAGATACGGTGCCTTTCTTAGTCCGCTAATGATCGGACACGGTGCTCTCGTGACGAGCGTTCCTACGACTTAGATGACCTGCTCTCGTTGCATCCAATAGAGCTGCGCCTAACTCGTCACAAAGCCCGTATGCACTGTCCACCAATTTTGTCTCTTCCTCGAAGTGAGCTTGGGCCGTATATCTGACTCAGGGACATGCCTACACGCTGTTCGCTCTCTGCCCTGTCACTGTCATTCATTACTGACTGCTCTTTGCAGGCTCCTCGTCACCCAAAATCCTTTACTGAGGTGTCGCGTTATATGGAGGTGTCAAACAATCACTCTTGGAAGAAGACCGCGTATTAAAAGGTATCGTGGGGGTATCGCAATTTCATCGTGTTCTTGGATTCATGGTCCGGCCCCCATCGTCACATCTGTGGGCGCGTGTGAGTCCGTGCAACACGCAGGGCATGGGGCCATCACTCTCGTCACCCCGGCGCCTCACGATCCACATCAGTCATTCATCGGGGCGACTGCACGCTTCATGTAATCAAACCCCGTTGTCATGTGGTTGCACGCAAGCCTAGCTTCCGGAACGCGAAGTCGACAGAGACACCATCCTCCGGGGATGGGTGATGATCTGACCACTATTTCTCATTTCTATAGCTATCTAGCACCCTCGCTCAAACTTGTGATCGCAAAACGATAGGCCCTCTAGGGTCTGTGTAGTAGTAGAACATGTGGATCAGACGGAGATCTTCGCAATTATGAAGTCAGAGATATCACTGCGGGCGACTCCCTTGACCTGTAGGTGGAAGTGGCTGATCAAACACAATTGCAGCACGCATACGGTACGTCTGTTCCGAATTATCCTTTCTGAACGAGGGCGACATTAATGTCAATTCGATAGCTGTGAAGCCTATATCGATATCGATGAATGCAGATACCTGACCGGGGAACGTGTTCATCATGGGCCTATCCGAAAGCACGTTTCGGCTTTCTCGGCAGCCTCACTGGAATTCGCAAATTGGACATGAGGGCGTCATGCGCGGGAAATATGTGTTGTGGGCCTTCATGAAGCCTTAGTGGTTCATCTATATCATCGACCTCGAATGTCTGACTCGAACATCGCCAACACGTCTTCCAACGCTGAAGCTGGATCAAGTGAATTTATACTGTTGACACTCTTGTGTTGAATGCTGATAATCATTGGTCAGCCTGGCCTGGTACTTCAGGATCCCTAGTTCAAGAGAACGACAAGCTTGATAAACGAGGAATACCCGCGGCTTCTGGTGCAGTTGAAGCCCAACTATCAAGCACGCTCATTGATGAGGACAAGGAGCTTCGCTGCATGATCTGCAAGGCAGAGAAGCATGGGCGAAAGCTGATTGTAGCGCTTGATGAGACATTGAACAAATTTGGGAGTAAGGTAGGACTCGTAGCGACACTTCTTCCCAGCAGGACTTTGACTGTCGAAGTGCAGAACTCCAACATTGTCGAAATATATGCCCGTATGGAGAAGGATAGCCAACAGCGTTCTTACTACAACGACGGCATAAAGTATGCTAACACCGCCCGCAGTACCATTTGGAAAAGGACCAAGTTGAAGCTGGGCAGTTTGTTCGACACGGCCTTCGCATGGTACGTGTGCCGTATCGAAGTTGCGTCCCGTAATTTTCGGATCTTAGCCAATATGAAGGAACTTCAAAAAGATCGTCCTCGGCGCCTATCGTTGGCTGGCGGATACCTACCAACCAGGAGATCAGATCTTTATGTTTGGTGCATTTGCAGTGCATACTGTTCCACTATCGCATTATACAGACTTTTTGTTTCAGGATTTTCGCGCGGCGCATATCAGGTCCGAGTTCTAGCAGGAATGATCGAGCAGGTGTGTATTACTTTGCATATGTGATCCCAGTACACAAGAATCATTCTCTGCAAATAGGTCGGATTGATATATTCGGGTAACGGGGAGCATATTCCATTGTATATCCTCTTCCTCATCTACTTCTACAACACTGATGCTTCTCCTCCAGTGCATATGAGTTATACAAACAGGCGTACGTGTTTATATTCCACTGTCATAGACCCTTGACGTGTACTTCCCCTTCCGTGTCACTTCTTGTGTCACACAGGGATGACAGTATGGCAAATCTCTTCAAGGAGACCTTCTCTCGTCGTGAAGTCAAAGTACACTTCTTGGGTATATGGTAATTTTTTTGCTCTATCTATCCAACACCACTATCCAACGTTATTTGGTCCAGGGGCACAGTCCCTTCTGTGGGTGCGTTCGGGGGCAAGAAGTACCATACGGGGAATTACGACCACATCTGCCAAGTTCGACATGCCCTTGCTCTTGATGAGCGCCGGGTCAAGTTCAATCCGGAATTTTTTGAGCCCAGTACTACAGCTGCTACACGGAGTTATGTTTCATCGAAGGTCGGGCCGTCGTGGAATCTACTAAATGGTCTGGAAAGAAATGGAGAGCGAGAAGGCGCATTATAAGGCTTTTGCGGCCTTTGGTGGTCCTTAAGTCGCGGGAAATGCACTGAACCGAGTGTATTCGGAAGGCAAGTTTTCAGCGAGTAAAGTAAAGACGAAAAACCCATCTACGCGGTTGAGCGCGTATTCAACGCCTCGGCTAACTCCGACGCCTCGACTACTCTATTCCTCTAATATCCTTACACCCTCCTCCTCCAAAGCGAGTCCGGGGGGGAGCGAAATACAGCAGGCTGTTGAACCTGCGATTTTAGTAGGGGTTTGAAGAGAACCGCCCGACGAGCGAGACGGATTGCATAATTCCCGATTTAGGGCCGAGATTCCTGATTAACGTCGAGCACTCGCGCACACTCGACGTGGATAAGGGAGCAGTGACTGCGCGGGGCGGAGGCCAGAGGCAATGGCGGCCTTAAGGTACAGCGGGGACCCACACGGATCCATCGCCGCACGATAGGCATATTTAAGCCGGGTTGCCATTGACCGCTGCAGGATTCACATCCGTCATCACCGCGTCCTGTCTAGGAACGGGTTCAGTCGGCGTGTTGCCCACAGGATCGCCGGCTCTGGTGGCATGGCCATCCTGGGTGCTGTCAGCGGCAGTAGGGGTAATATTTGATGGTCCCGGAGCAGGATGCTCCGGCGCCGCCTCTGCATTCGGTCCGGGAAGAGTTCCACGGGTGCGTCTTGTGCCATCTGCATGGTGACGCCGCATTTCGCACAGTGAATTGCGACATCGCGGAGACGATAATTGTTCGACTCCGGAATAAGGTGTACATAAAGTGTGCTGGCTACAGTCACACTGGCAATGTTATCCTTGAGAAGTTGGCCCATGAATTGGTGCCAATCCTCATCGAAGTCGGAATACTTGTCTGGCAATGGAAAATTCTCCAAGGCAATCCTCTCAGGTAATGCCTGCCCGACTTTCTTCCTGATCATCTCGCGGATAGTTTTCACACCATCACGCATGAACGAGTCGTCAACAGCGGGTAACGTATATCCCGGCTGTGGCTGTTGTTGCTGACGAGGTACACTACCACGGGGCATGCTATGTCTACCCTGTAAGTAGCTGGGACTCCGTGTTGCATGCCTGTCAAGATTACGGACAGACGGCCTCTCGGAGCTCTCGTCATCATCTCCGTCATCTCCATCCGAGCCGCTACCATGCGGACTCGAGTCGCCATCGCCATCCGGAGGACCACCATCACCGCCTCCACCAGGGAATCCACCAGAACGGAATCCCCGACCAGAGGAGTGTGGTCCGCGACCACGCGCGGGCAAACCTCCATGACGCGGCGGGTTGTTGTTACCACCACCACCAGGTGGTTCCGGCGGCGGTGCATCACCAAATGCGGTGCGCAGCGTGGCGAAGGGCATCGCACTACCCCAACGCGCACGCATGTCTACGCAGGACTCGGCCTGCTGCCAGGTCTCGTTGATGCGGGCCTCGCGCTCTCGACGCCGTTGTTCTGCCCCGCGTGCATCCAAAAAGCAGGTTTGGCCATCGAGACGAGCATTGTAAGTGGCATCCGTCTCGTTTCGGTCGCGGGGCCGGAACAGCATGTCGAGCGACCTCTCGACATAGTCGTCCGAGTTGATCGGCGGAGACTGCGGCCGATCGCTTTCAACGCCAACGGGTGGCCTCGATAGATGTGCTGCTTCGTCTGCAGCATAAGGAGGGTACTCACGCGGCGTGTATAACCCGTCAAGTTCGGGATTCTCCCGCTTCTTAATGCGGAGAATTGAGGTACGAATCTTGCCAATCGCTTCCTCAAAATCCCTTCGAGCATTTGCGGCTCTAACACGGGCCGCATTGGCCTCACGAATGGCCCGGTTAGCATAGCTGATAGCCTGCTGAGACGCCACATCGGACTCATCAAGCCTCGCCGAGATCGCAGCGAGGAGGTCCTCTGTGTGGTTCCACAACTGGCTGAGCTGCGGCTCATCCATGTTAGTATCAGATACACGGTGCTGATCACCGACCGTGTTATCGTCTGCAGCGCCCGTGCGAGCATCACGGTCGCCCGGCGTATCGACGACGCCATCGCGCTCTGATCTGCCCGATCGCAAGGGATCCGCCTCACGAGACGGGTCACCGGCGTCATCATGAACGTCGGCAGGTGGTACCAGTTCATTCTTGTCAGTGGATTGGCCGCGATCATCGACGTTGTCATCGTCGTCGGCGGTGTCCTGAACGGTACTACGCCTTGTCTTCATTCCACCAACTCCAGTGGTAACGGTCACAGTGGAACTTGTAGGGTTCCTCTTGGCCGGCATGTCGACAGAGAAGATGATAGAAGCAAGGTCTTTTCGAAAGAGTGTAGAAAAGGGGTTTGTTGCCTAGCTAGAATAGACTTCACTAATACCAAGGTGGTATCAGCGGCGAGTGCAAAAATGTATAAGGCTTTTGCGGCCTTTGGTGGTCCTTAAGTCGCGGGAAATGCACTGAACCGAGTGTATTCGGAAGGCAAGTTTTCAGCGAGTAAAGTAAAGACGAAAAACCCATCTACGCGGTTGAGCGCGTATTCAACGCCTCGGCTAACTCCGACGCCTCGACTACTCTATTCCTCTAATATCCTTACACGCATACACCCATTTGAAAGAAGTCTGGTTTTCAGGCTGCCACTCAGACGTGTCAGTGTATTCAATTTGATGCATGCCTATGTAATTATGGCTTCTTAGCGGACGCGGGAACAGATCCAAAGACAAGCTACTGGTGGAGGAGGATATACCAGCTCTCTGGATTGCAAACGAAGCACGTACGGCTGGACTCAGGTTCAAGGGATTAGTGATGTGCACCACGGCCCGGCTCGGGCCGAAAGCCGGGGCTACGGCTCGGCTTTATAGGGCTCCAGCTTGCGCAAGGGTCAGGCCGGGCCATCGATAATGGCTCAGGGGAATGTTCATAACATTATTATATGTTGAATTGAAATGATTTCTCTCCTGTCAGACATGCCTTCCAGACCCCTTCTGCCCGACAACTTACAGTTACCATGGCTGATCCAACCAGCTGTGCTCCTCAGGATCTTCAGTCTAAGATATATCATTTTTATGGGTAGTTTCTATCAATGTACTGTGATTATTTTGGGCCGCGTTCGCTCATTAAGACTACGATTTATTTAATTCACTCCTGTGTTATTGAAGGCTTGAAGCCTGCTGCCCCTCGTAAATGTGTTTTTCTTGGTCAGCACCGTTCGTTCGAATAAGTTTCTGTGCGCGACCCGGCAGCGACGCGACGCGACGCGTCCATCACATGATCTACAGAAGCCCCCCTTACCCAGAAAAGGAAAGCCAGAAGGATCATCGCAAACGATCGCCAGCTCACGCAGGCTACAGCAACTCGGTTTAAAAGTCCCTTCGCAATGCACTTTTGCTATTGTTCCGAAGTATGAAGTATGCGCTGCAGAGACTGGTCAGTTTTTTCAGTTGCCTTGAAGACTCGGAGCGCAGTTTCATCATGATACGATAGTCTCTCTTGCAATTCATGGAAACATTTTTCAAACTGACACAAGACCGACTGCGTGACAATACTGGTGAGCATTAGTGGCATATGTAATACGGAACTTAACGGTGTTCTGTCTCAAATGGCTAGTTACTGACGATACATGATGTTCGCGCTCGTTTTGGCGAGGAACGGTGTGATTACAGTACTGAGCGAATCATCGGTGAGTGCCCAAGATACTGGGAAAGCAAGCTGACACGAGGTACCCATATGCTTCTTCTGTGATCGGTATACAATAGTGATCTTGAGGGATCCGTTACGCACGCAGTACCGTGAAACTATGTCGACAATCCGTTTTTCTCCACCATCGTGGAGATCTGATGATCCCGGACAATCCTGATATTCTGCCGCTGTCAATTTATCCCAGATGCTTCGGAAATTCCAGATGTTTAAACGAATCCGGGCACATATTATCTCCATCGACTTGCGTGTAGGTCGTCTTGAGGCCGTAGAAAATGATCCTGGCGCCGGATGGATTGAACTGTTTTCGCTAATCACTTACCTTATAGTGAGTATATGACCGTCAGACTCTTTGCTGTGTAGAACTAACCATGGTCGGTACATTCAGCTGTAACATATTCGCCGTCCATCCTTAGGTGGTATCGCGCATATCGTATAACAGGCAAGGTGTACGCAAGACACTGAAAATATTCAAACTGCTACGTGCGTTGCCGCCGATGGAAGAGAGAAATCTATCTTGTTATTACAGGTCGTTGTGGTGCCCTGTATCCCGTCAGTGTCAAACATCTGTACTATGTCTTCATGAAACGCGCTGACATTGTAGCCAAAACATATTCAGCCCTATGCTTTGACACACTTGACTGAACGTCTGATGTGTTCTTGGACGATCTTCAAGTGGAAGTGGATTGACAAAGGCCCCAGGCAAGCAGACTGAGTGGCACAGTTTGATTATGCCACTTTCCAGATCTTGCGGGTCAAACAAAGCAATCCATGGCCGCGTCACGTTGCATAAGTATGCTTTGTTTAAAATGGTTTCCGCGCCACTCTGTTCGACATTTTGCGCTTTGACCTTTACCACCCACCACCACCACCGCTGCCACCTTTGTTATCCTTTGTGCCAAACACAATCATGTTCTCGACACCTTACTCTCATGCCGCTTCAATGCACGGAATGTGGCCACTCGCCGACTCTCACCCAACCGTTGACAATTCGAACGTAAGAGCATCGCTCTCTTTTATTCTGCGTCTCTGCTGACGTTTCTCCACGATACCAGAACGTTGCCTCGGACCTGTTTGGGACCATCGGATATGCCGCAGAGCCTTTCAATCTGCCACTGGGAGGCACAGAGTGGGATATCGGCCCATGGTGGCATAGCCAGAGCCACAACAAGTCTGAGGCCACTCTGTCAGACGAGTCGTTAGAGCTCCTCTTGGGTCCCGAACCCGAGAAGGTCCCCGATTTTGTGCCCTTCCCCGACTTTGCACCTGCCTTCGATTTCGACCCTGCCGAATTCGTGGCCGCTGCGTCGCCGCCACTGATCTCCTCTCCCTTGATGTTCTTCTCCGCTCCTGAACCTGCGCCCCACCCTGTCCATAATGCGCCGACTCCACCCGCTCATCCACTCCTACCTATGGCCACAGTGGTCTCCGGTTCTGTACCGAGCACCGTTCCTTCACTTCCTCTCCCTGCCGCCCCCGCCCCGGTTTCGCCGATCACGTCCACCCCCAGTTCTGCACCTACGACTGGAAAGAGAACGAAGCGCGCGCTGTCCGACAGTGACTCTGCTGAGAGTTCGCAAACAGCGGCCAGGCCAGCGAAGAAGGCTCGGAAGTCAAAGGCAGTAGTTGAGGCCACCGATGTGGCTGCCACGGACAATAGTGAGGAGAGTGTCCTCCCTCGACAGATTATCACTGACACAGCTGCAGATTATGCATCGCCGACGGTCAGTACTCTGCTGCACATCATGCAGGGGTTCGCGACGAAGCACTGGAGCACTCCGCGTGAGGTGATCGATCTGACGACCGACGAGGATCACCCGACGATCTTGAAGGAGACCACGAGGGAGCTCGGCGAGTTCACCAAGAGGGTTCTCGCAGAATCTGTTCCGAAGGGTGCTCGCGGTGGGCGAATGTGTGGCCCTGCGAAGTTTGCAGTGGCTCCAACACCCTCACCGGTTCTAGAGTCCAGGGCTGTATCCTCCGTGACGGCGGCGACAGGTTGCAAGAGTAGAGCGACTGCGACGGACTCGAGCGATGGTCGACAAGATGCGGTCCCTGCAGCGAAGAGGAAGACTAGGGCTCCGCGGAAGAAGAGGAATGCGGGAGTGGCGAGCAAGGGGAAAGCTGTGGAAGGGAAGGATGGTTCACCGCATGCCACGAAGGGAACAGCGACCACTTCATCGTCGAATGTTCGTGCGAAGGGCAAGCGGCCGGTGCGTAATGTGGGCCCACCTACCATTCCTCCTCCCGTGATAGCTATGCCTGTCGACTTCATCCACCGTCCTCGTTCGTCTACAAGTGCCAGCAGTGCAGCGGGCAGTACCGGGTCGTCAAACGGTTCTACGGCTTCCGCGCCTGTCAAGAGCACATTGGCGATCCCGATGCCCGTCGTGGCTAGCAAGGTCATGTTCGACATCTTCAGCCAGCGGTGAATGTCACACTTTTGAGGGAGGGACCATACGTCTGTGCTCGATATCACCCCTGGCGATCGGCAGACCACCGAAGGAGGCGGTATGCGACGCCAACGTCGGCGACTTGCCAGCCTATCGACAACACCAAGAGTTGGCCCATCGTTCGCTTCGCGATGCCAGTCGCTGGTGTCGTGTGGCTCACTGCTATCGATGTGGATAGGGCACACTACCATTGCTGGCCAACTCGGACAGCCTGTTGAGTCCATCGGCCACGCAAACTAGTTGTTGCTCGTTGATGCTCGTCGAGCGCATTTTGGAAGCGCTTCTCTCTGAGGAAGTGAAGCTGTTTGACAGGGCATGAAGATGCCTATATGGCATGTATGAAATCCGTTGGTTTATGTACCTCTATGTAGTCCTGACGAAGGTCGTGTTTACATTCTTGATGTCGTTGTTTCCTCATATTGGTACGGATTCTTTGCATCAGATGTGTTGCGTGAGACCTCTGCTATGAGGCATACATACTTCGGTCAGCCACAAGGCCTGAAGGCACGAGTTCTGTGAATTTTAGAGTAGTTCATGAACGCTCTCAGCGGAAGGGGCTATCAAGCGGCCTGCTCATACAGACTGCACTCCGACAACCGGCAGAGTAAGAAAAGCGATATGGTTCGCGCGCGGGCTTAATATTGTCGGTGTGTATCCATAGCCTGCACTCTCGCTGGCAATTCTAGACATACTCAGTATCAATATATCGAAGACCGTCATAGACTTTTTTACCCTCAGCCATTTGCAGATACAGCCTATAATCTACAATCTCTGCCTTCGATTCGCGGAGGTCAATGTGCGCATCCGATAGTATCCCGTTCTATGCGCACATCAGACTCCGCTTCTGAGGAGACATGATACACTCGAGGACGTCGATGGGCCCGGGCTCAACTTGAGCTGTCTCTCCCTCGGGCGCGCATGAAAGCGCGGTGTACCGAACGTCCAGCGTAACTAAGCGCCTCCCTTCGAATCTCACACGTGTCCTCTAAGCTTTTCCCGCGCGAATGGGTTCAATAAGCCATAATCAACGGTAAAGGCACCAGTTCGCTCGCAGTGCGTAACGCTGCGGCAAAGGCGTCAGCGCATAGTGAGTTAGAATTGTAACAGGTTCGATACCGTCATTAAATACAATAAGTTGCGTTATTTTTCTCCCCGAGGATTGAATCAGACGTTGAACGTGGATAGGAACTGGGGTAACTTCGGGTGTGCCGACGGACGAGACCGAAAGGCCAAGCGGATCAGAGCGGATCCTGCCATCCGCCACTGACATAACCATGTACAAGTGTAAATCCAGTTGCAAGCGCTGCGCCTCCTCCTTACAACAGCCCGCCACTCTGTTGTCAACATGTCAGACTCCTCGCAATTCCCGCTGAATATTGCATACGACATTCTCTGCTCAACTATGGACCGTCCCACAGTATTGAGGATTCCTGTCCCCATAGATAGGAAATGGCCACAAATAGCAGCTGAGATTGCTCGGCAGGTCCAATTAGCACCAACCTTCATAGTCTTATACAAGCTGGTAGGTCATATATTGTACATTATTGTTTTCGTGCCTTACAACCTTTTTGCAGCGCACGCCAGCCAATTTCGAAGATCTCGAGCAAGGATTACAGATCGGAGACGTGGAGGGTATTGCTGACAGAGTTAGGCCTTTGGACGACGTACCACATGACATGACGCAGTTTCCCCCGGATAAAGTCCATGTCGTCGTCGTTGTGAGTCCACCGAAAATGGCGGCCGAATGTCAGTGAACAGTCTATCTGTCTGTCGAGGAAGGCTCAATATCATTTGTACATTGACGCAGGGTTTTCCTGGGGTGAGCGCTCCCGAGGTTTTGTAACGCTGGTTCTCAACTCAGCACCATACCAGTCAACCTATCACAGACAGCGCTGACTAAACTGTTACAAGTTGTCATTGAAATACCCAACAGATGGTCGAGGAATGATGTTACCAGCAATGGTGGTGTCTTCGTGGATCGTAGTTCGGTTTTGCAGAACATAGTCGACAAGTTGAAGGCGAAACGGACGTATCGGGTGAGGCAATCTGATCCTTGCCACCTCCGAGTACAACCTGATTATCGACCGATCCCTAGGCAAACTATAATAGCCCCACCTTTCAGAATGCCAGCTCCCTTGCTCATTTCTCCCAATCGTTCAGCCCCGCCATGGGACCAAGCGAGACGGTGAAGGGCGACAACGAATTCGAGACATTCTATCTTGTCTCTTGGCGTTTTAGCAACGATGCACCCCTGGTGTGCTCGGACCCCTCCTCGTCCTTGAAAGCGAGGAGTTTCGTGGTGTATTTCATCCATTCTCCTTTCTTATCCGGCAGTATCCAGAGTGACCCTTTACAGTATAAGGAGTAAGTGACACCACCTGAGAGCATGTCAGACTAATGATTCACTTTCAGACAATTGTCCTGGCAATTCCCGATGTTTGTTATGAGGCGTGACAGTTGGGGTCATGTGCGAAAATTCCACCCGAACAGTGATTTCAGTGTCGTCCTCCACGACTTCCGATGCCCTGTCGTCCTATCGGAAGTTGTTTCACAGAAGGATGAAGGTGAAAGTGACCGATACCGCATGTTAGTGGAAGCCATCGTTGCCGCCCGTGTGGGCAAATATCTCTTGAAGGCTACTTCTCGGAAGCAGTTTTTTGTGGTAGCAATTTACCTCACAGCGTCTCTGGAAGTGGAGAGGTATATCGTGAGCGAAGACTTGTCAGCGCAGGTAAGAGTGGAGCTCCTCGTCTCTGTCGTATCCGAGGCTCTGATGAGGCTCGGTTTCCAGAAGAATCTTATCCAGCAGGAAAAATTTCACCTCAGGGATCCAAGTCGGGCAGCGGAGTTCCTCCGGGAAATGTATAACTTGAAGCCGTTACTGGAGGAGCTCGCGGCCGAGCTCGATGAGACGAAAAGGGCCGATTTGGCGAAGATCGAGACGGACACGTCGAAAATGCTTTCTCTCAATTCCAGGGCGTCCTGGACGAAAACCCATCCCTCAGAATCTAGACTGGAATCAGTCGCAGAACACGATGCGCCAATGAATATCAGTGACGATAATGGCGTATTCAATAGCCGTAGTGTCCGTTCCGTTCTCGACAAGGCAAACTGTGAGATTGACTCTGTTGGATATGGGGTATGTTTATAGAATCTGTTATGTGCATGTCCTATATGAACTGAAATCCTTCCCAGCATCCCCACATAGCCCTCGTTGTCCGAAAGGATGACGGTACTTCGGCCGGATTCCTCAAGTTTGTCAAAGACGGAAACCCAGAAGTAGAAATCCTGCAATATCTCTCGCGGATTGATTCACCCGCCAACCACACCATTCGCCCCATTCGTGTCTGGCCTATCGAAGGGGGCAGGATCGTCTCAATGCCCGTTGGAGGTGGCTGGATCACTTACCTCGAAGATCTTGATGCGCGTCTTTGGGGAGCTTCGCAACAACTGTTCGAAGCTGTCGGATTTATGCATGATCATGGTGTGGCACACATGGACCTGAAACCAGGAAACATCGTAATACCTCCCGTCTACGGAGAACTGTCCATCATTGACTTCAGCATTGCTGTACGCGTCAAAGGTCCAGGACACAAACTGATGGGTTACGCAGGCACGAGAGGTTATACTGCTCCCGAGGTCGGTCGAGTGGCTTATTGCCCTATCCCCGCAGACCTGTGGTCGTGCGGTAAAGTGATTATGGGGCTTTGTGAGAAGATGAAACCGTCTTTCGCTCGTACGTGGCTACGTGACGTCAGCAAACGCCTTATGGACAACGATCCAGACAAGAGGCCGATGATGGCGGAGATCCTTCAGGCGATGTCAAGGGTTGGCCGCGACAGGGATGAACTCGAGCGTCAGATCAGTGGAGTCGTTGAAACCCAGTGAAAACCGACACGAGGCGCTTGGGGACAAGTCAAGCCTGTTCGAACGAGACTGCCTCTTGGCGAAGTAGAGAAATCGAGCGAAATCGAGAAACTCTCCAGCTACGTGACGGGCACATCGAAACTTGCATCAATCCTCGCAAATTGCAAGGCCGGTCCCTCGCTCTACCCTTCGGCGAGTGGCTGAGTTGGCAACATGAATTCTTATGTAATCCCAACTTCTATCTTGACGTGGCGTGTTTTGCCCTTCCCTCACTGCATGTTCTAAGTTCCCTCTGTCTTACCTCCATTGATGTTCGTCTGTGCGCTCCACTATAATCTATGTGATTTTTTTTCATCGGGAGTTTATACTCAGTCTATTTCCTTGTCGTAGGTTTCCGCCGGTAATGTGGAGGTTCCCCGCTGCTACGGTAGCAGCGGGGCGAGAGAAACCTCTTTGTGATGTGGCTGTGGTGTTCCCAACAACCGCGCTGCACAGACTGGTGAGATGTAAGTGGCGTTAACCATTCCGCTAGTACCAATTGTCTGCTCACTCCCTCATTGGACAGGGGCTTATGCATTATGAGGTAGCTGATGATGTGTGATAGTGGATGTACGATAAGCACGCTGTTCCGACCGTGTACAGTAGCAGCATGCTGACACTCCTCGAATCAGAACAAACAGGGCAGCATGGAATACACCTCTGGCTCCAATTCGACACAGGCCTCGTGGGCGACGGTCTCTATATGATAGGATTTTTTCTGCTGTCACAGGTCTATCCTTTGGGTTCTCAGGGCACATATGTGGTGTGCCGTGGACGGTCAGAGTATAGTAGCTGTGGTGTATGTAAAGGCAATATATATTTTTAACAATTATAGTGTACTGTCGAGAAGCCTCAGTACCGCTCGATGCGGCCCGATTATAATCATGAAGAACGAGGGAGAGACGCAGAGAAGTTCTTTGTCTCGCTCTTTCGCGCTCACTCTGTCTCTATTGAAATCGAGAGAACGGTCAAAATATCGAGCGCTATAAAGGCGCATCAATAGTCCCACTATCCCTCTAAGCACCTCGTGTCGATTCTGACTGGCATTGAAAGTCGGATCAGTAGTAGTGTTGGAGTGCATGCCAGTGGTTTCGCAATTGTGAATGCATAGCGTCGAGGGGATGTGTCTTGTCAGAGACAATGTAGGCAATTTTGAACAAATTGTATGAATGTCCCTATGTACTTCTCACCTGACTGTGATGAGATAGGATGTGCAGGAGCCTGCCACCGGGGTGATGCCAGGTACTACTATGAGGGAGATCCAATTCATATAACAAATCTAGGCTCATAGATACAGCTTCTAGTTATGTGCAGGAAGACAGGTGTTTTTGTAATAGAGGCTGAGATCATTATAGATGAGGACACACAGTATACTAAGACTCGCAAGCGTACTGGACTCGGACCTCCGCCAGCGGCGATCCAAGTTTATAGCGCAAAGGCGCATCACGCCGGCGCAGCCGCAAGCCGCGCGCGGATGACGCGTTCCGCGGCCTCCCACACGCCCGAGCCCGCGCGCGGCGTCCTCCCACTGGCGCACGACCGACAGCGGTGCGCACTCGGCGACGATGCGCAGCACGGGCCCGCCCTCGGCGATCGCCGCAGCGTTGAGGGCGGCCGCAGATGCGTGCGCGACAGACGCGTCGCACGCGCCTCCGATAACTTGCACGAGGACAAGCTGCAGGTTGGGCGGGCCCGCTGCGGCAGTCGGGGAGGAGCGCAGGGGCGAGCAGGCGGTGGAGAGTGGGGAGGAGAGCCGTTGTGGGCGCGGAAGGGCTCACCGCATGGACGACGGCGAGGTGCGTCGAGGTGCGTGAGGGCGGCGAGGCGCGCGAAGCGCTCCCAGGTGGACATGTCCTCGTCTGCCGTGGGGCGGGCAAGCCCGAGGGGCGCGTCGGAACTGCAGGAGCCGAATGTGGAGGTGGGTGACGTGCCCGACGAGGGCGGTGTCCTAGCCGTCGCGGCAGGAGAGGCCGAGGAGGTGCTGCTCGCGCGAGAGGCGGGCATGGAGAGGGCGAGCACCCTGCGTGCACTGGTAGCCCGGGAGGGAGAAGCCGCAGGCGAGGGTGCGCTGGCCGGTGCAGGCGTGGAGGACGCAGTGGATGCTCTGAAGGGTGCCGAGGGCGAAGATGCCGAGGTGCTTGACGCGGGCGTGCGCAAACTCGGGGGATTTGTGAGAAATGGCTGCGAGAAATGCGCGCACGGCGCATGATCGAAGATGTCACGGAGAAGCTCAGTGGGGAGGTCTGCAAGATGAGGTGAGATGAAGGCATGGCTGTCAGCTAGCGACCGATGGGGTATCGATGTTGGATATTTCGCGCCACGAAATTGAAGGATGCGGTCGGGCTGTGTTGAGCAGCGGCAAAAGAAAGTAGGAGACGCACAGACAGGAGTCTTTTATATTATGGCACCGGGTAATTAGGCACATGCGAGGGCCCCAAACCGGGTCGATGGAGACTGCAGAATCGGGGTGCTTCGGCACTCGTATCAGCATACAACCTTCACACCTACGTACAGCATGGAGTCATCGACAAGAGCGCACAAAGTGCGAGGCAGACGCGCGAGGGAACAGACTATATGTTGTCCAGGAGAGATGAAGAGCAGCGGACGCGAACTCCTGGAAGAGACGATCGGCATCACCAAGATTAGACACTCACGTCCAAATGAGGAAAGTCTCCACGTTCATCAACAAATTACCATTCCCCGCTCCCGACCATCGCCTCGCCCAATTGAGTCGATCCCTACAACCCATCTCCGAGTCCACTCTCCAACGACTATGTCTCTTCGCCATACTTACACCGTTCCTAGAGTGAGTTTCAGTGCTCACCCATGACTGGAATCTGAGACAGAGCCTCTCACCTTGTCAAGGTTCTAGCACATCCACAGCAATGGGGGTCACCACGACACCTTCACTAGTCTGCTGAAGAATTTAAGTTTACGTTCTCGCACTCCCGGAAGCGAGTCGTGCGTGGAGATGTTTGCGGTCCCGTCTGCCGGGCTGGGTAACTCGCAGACGTATTCTGCATGGAGGGGGTGTGTACCCTATGCATATCAGTACCCGCTGACAATTACCCGATCGACAGGTTTAAGTAAAGATTCCAACTTGCACTGGCAGGCCAATCAGTCCCGCGAAGCGATGTTGGTCGCCCCGCAGTGGCAGCACCATGCGATGGGCAAAATGCTCTCCGAGCCACATAGTATTCCATCCACTGGTTTGTACATGCTCTGTACGTACATCTTCGTGCACAACTACTTGTGCCATGGTATGTGCTCAGGGAAGGCGCCGGATCACGCTCTCTTTCAGCAGGCTTCGTAGAATTCAACATGCTACTTAACCTCATCAAAGAAAATGGTATTCTATGCAAACTTAAGAACAAAAAAAGATGTGAGAGAGGCGTAAGGCCAGTGAGAATGGAATTCCGCAGAAAGCCACCGCCATCGTGATGCTGACTAAGCAAGGCGTTCAGTAGCTCGTGGTGGTTGTCGAATTGAAAATGCCTTTGCAAAGCTGCAGCACTGCCCATTGCTCGCCCACGATGAAGCTCCCTGCCGCCCTCGTCCCCGCCTTAGCCTTTGACGTGCGCGCCCAGAACACATCGAGTGTGTCGCACGTCAGTGTGGACGCCAACCTTCCCGCTCAGCTATATTCACCTCAGCAGCGCCTCTGCCAGCGCGACCAGCATCCTCCTCTCCCCGCCTGATTCCTACGTGTGCTTCGTTCACGCGTCTTCCTCTCGGAGCAGCTTGAGCGCTGATATACCTCGCCTGCGTACCCGTCTGTGTCCTCCGGCTCGAGCATCCCAGCGACCTCCGCCTCGTCGAGCGCCTCTTCCACGCCCGGCGCGTCCTCCATGTCCTCCGTGTCCTCCGGGACCTCCGCCCCAAGCGCGTCTGTGGTCAGCAGTTCCACCTCTAGCAAGATCTCCAAATACGCAGTCTCACCTTCGTCAAGCACCCTCATCATAATTGACTCTCCGAAGCCTTCTTCAGGCTCTGTTTCTATTTCGACCCCCGGCCTGCCCTCCTTGTCTTCTTTCTCTTCCCCGGAAGCTGTTCAAGCTGAGGCTGTGGAGACCGCAGCCGCGCTACCGGTGGTTGCGAGGGATTACACGTCTTGCATTTGCATATTCCTTCGCCATAACCACGGCACCCATTGGCGGCGTAGCCCATTGTGATTCTCTCGTTCTCCGCGATGTTCTTGATGGCAAGCATGCCATCCGCGTGCGTACCCGCGATCCGCACTATCTGAAAAGAGACTCGTGAGTCGCCACGGGTATCATCCTCGAACAGATGTGAACGGAGAACGCAGCCACATTTGATGCATTCTCTGCAACGCCGAAGTGGGTGCCGGAAAGATGCAGAGAATAAGAAAGTACCTGGCGGTTAGGGTGTAGTCGTGATTCACGAAATGAAATGGCCCCATGATCAACCTCACGCCATGTGGCGGAAGATGGGTCGAAGAGGCCCTGATGAGTGAAAGGCCCTGCTCGGCATCCACTACGTCAGAAGACATAGAACTGCAGAGTGTCAGAATGTGCGTGTCAGCGGGAATGCTGGTACGTGCTTTCACGCTCCATCCACGGTCGTGCCGAAGGAAACCTTCTGCAGCTGGACCACGCTTCCACCACAGCACAGCAGGCAGTAACGTGCAAGAAGGCTTTCGGTTTGTCAGACAAATGGTACATTATATGCGGACGAACTCCTGCACGCACTGCGCAATGAGAGCCCAGTCGTTCTTGTGGAACAACGCTGGGAAATTTCCGATTAGATCCTTAGCTACTGCCCTCGTAGCCGTTTTGGAGTAATCCTTCTCTCTCCAGAGGGCATCGATCTCATGATAAATTTGCAACTCGGTTTGAGCGTCCAAGGCCACATCAGATACTCTATCCGGACGGATGGCCCGATAATGATTCTTTTTTCTTTTCGATGCGAAGAGGGCAATAACGAGAGTGTCGTCGACGAGTCCGTATCTCGAGCTATGGTAGGACTGAAGGTTCAATTCATGGATGGTCTTCTAGAGAATACTCCGAGGTGGGTCTAGGGGATATCTTTGCGGGTCTGCATCCAAGGACGCGTAATTTACGCGAGGGACGTTCCGTCGCGGTCGGCATGACATGGTTTGAGGCGACCAACCGGAGAGCGGCACTGTGTTGTCGACACACTGCGTTTCGCGCAGACACGAATAGTGGCTACGAAGGAGTCTGCGAATAATGAACCATGAGGGCAGGGAATTAGTGGACTGGCTTGCGGGTGAGACACCGACGTGAGGAGCCTGTACTATATAACTCGGGAGGAAGCGAAGCGCCTTTGGGTACGGTGGTTGGCATATGGTTTCCATGCGTAAAACTGCACTGACTGACTCAGTAGGAGACTGATACTTATTTTGTGGGTTTAAAAGTTCGCCAAACTGGTGGAGTGCGTGGACAACGCTCCGTCCGGAGGACGTCTGACCGGACGGGGGCGAAACCGTAGTCTGCTTTCAAATCAGGGTGCTTCACCGTAGTACACGATTTCGGAGTTACATAAGCAACTTGATCTCCGAAACGCGTCGACTAGATCTGGTGTAACGCGACGCGTCGGCCTCCGCAAGACAACACCCTCTGCATCACATGAATTTTCCAATAATTATACATTCCACCATCCTCATAATGTCAGAATGACTTCTACATTCATTGGGCCACACTCATTTTGATTCAGTTCACCTGAGGGACTCACACTGTGCCGGCAAATACTCGCGAGATCTCTACCTTATGATCCACACGACTATCAACTGGAAGGTGTCTGCAAGGCATTAGATGGATCTTGTGCAGGAGGTGCAGACCAGGTCGGGACGACATCTTGAAGCACATCGCGAGAAGGTGATGTTGAGCCTGGCAGCTGTGGATGAGGAAGCGAGGCTGTCTGAGTAGGGCAGGTTGAATTTTGTAGTTGAGCATTATGAGAAATGTAGCGAGGAACTGGCGCAAGGGTGGATCATCGACAGGACTGTGGAATGGGAACATCTTGGGGAAGGTGAGCGCGTCTTGACGCGACGCGACGACCCACTCTTTCGGTCAGGAACCCTCGGTCGGCATCACAGCCGGATGAACGGCATCTCTTCGGCATCCGCATTCACGAGTGAAATCCTGTACTACGGTTAAGGGGGCGCGTTTGAAAGCAGACCTATATCAGTCCGTCCCTCCAACCTCTCATAGGACTGATTTTGTAGTCTGGCTTTGGGAGACTAGCGAAACCGTGACATCAACGTTGAGCGAACACGTCCTGTCACCACATCACGAGACCGTGATGATTGTGATCACCGTGACCGCGGAGAGCGGAATAACCATTTCCATTTGTAGCCTCCAAGTCCCTAACCCGGAGTTATTTGTTGCATCCCACTTGGACCCACTATCACCGACGTCTGTTCCCGGGCCCAGTGGGTTTGCAGGCACCAGCTTAACTAGGCTCGATCTTCCCCCCCCCAATCGCGCGTTCCGAGCTCTCCGGCGATGGCCGGCGGCATACCCAGAACAGTGTGTCCCTTCCCTTCACCAATAGCAACCGAAAGGACTGAAAGATTCATCGACAGGACTGTACGAGTCTCTGCTTCTACTTTCTGTGTCCGTCGCACATGTTATGGACCGTGAGCTCAGAAACAACAGCTAGATAGAGTTTGTTTCGACGGACCAACGGAACGGGTGCCACATCATCCAGGCACGACTCTACAGTCGGTCGCCAACTTCCACTCCACTATGTTGCCGTTAATGTCGACGATTCCGCCCTGGCCAATGGGATTTCCTGAGCATATCCAGGAGCAACTAACGGGACCACCGGCATCGACTGTATGTCGGATGGTACACCGCTGCGGATGGTAACTTGACCAAACACAGACGATCGACCGACTTTTGGCAGGAGCATGTTGGTGCACTGCTTTAGAAGTGCCTCTATTGAGAGCGAGGGTGCTCTCGCCTTTTCTCCTCACTACTACGACCACAATGTCCAATCGGCACGAAAAGTTCGACTCTTTCGACGAAAAAATCCTGAACAATAGGCAAGTCGCTTCTGTGCGTACCTCACTCGAAGAGAGGAGGCTGGTGAGGAGACTCGATGCTCGTATTATGCCCATTGCATGTATCTTGTACTTTTTTGCCTGTAAGTGTCGTATCGAGGTCGGGCCTTACTCTCTCGGCACGAGTCAATTGACGGAAGTATTTCCAGACCTGGACAGGACGAATCTTGGCAACGCCCGTTTGCAAGGATTGCCCCAAGACATCCTCCACGGCGATCCAACTGGCAAGTTGTATGATTGGGTTAATTCGGCGTTCTTTTTCTCCTACGTCGGTTCCACCTCCACCTGTACTTGTCTTCACTCACTGATCGAGTTATTATCTCTAGATCCTGTGTCCGATTCCCGTCACGATCGTCTCCAAACTCTGCAATCCTCGCCTGTGGCTGGGTTGCGCGGCTATTGGATGGGGAATATGCTCAACATTGATGGTGTGTATTATGGACTCCAACGCGGGCTTCCTAACACATATGATTCTCAGGCATCTGGTTATAACTTCGGAGGTCTCATCGTAGCGAGAATTGGCCTCGGTGTCTTCGAAGCATGCTTTGCTCCCGGCATTCCGCTCTACATGTGTTCGTGATCTTGTTCTCAACTGCTCGGCTTTTGTTTCGACGTAACTCTATTGCAGCATACTTCTACACGAAGGAAGAGATGGGTAAACGCATGGCCTACTGGTTCAGCTTCGCCGCTATCTCTGGTGCCTTCGGCGGAGCGATTGCATTTGCTGTGCAGCATGCGCATATTGCGCTCGCGAATTGGAGACTTCTGTTTGTCATAGAGGGCGCGCCAACTATTGTACTCGGAATATTGTCGATATTCATCCTGCCAGATCGTCCAGAAGCAACGACGATGCTGAACGAAGAAGAGCGCCTGCTTGCTCTAGAGCGAGTGAACAGAGGGTTGAAAGCAGACACTGGCAGAACGATCAACAAGAGTGCGCATCTCGATCCGTCCCATTACCGATGCTCTATTGTTAACCTTGTGATTAGAGCATATCTTCGCCGCCTTTAAGGATTGGAGAGTCAGGACCTCTTATCGGTCTCGTTTCTCCTGCTGATTTTTGTCATCAGATCTATGCTGCTGGAGTGGTCTACTTCGGTGCAAACTGTGCTTTGGCTTCGATTTCTGCATTTCTGCCCACCATCATCACCACATTCGGTTACAGTACGTCCTCACTCCCCATGCGAGTCGCTTGATTCTCATGTGCTGCTCGTGTTTTTAGCGAACGCGCTCGCACAGCTGCTTACCGTGCCACCGTATGCGGTTGCAGCAGTCTTCATGTGTCTCACCTCGTACTGCTCAGATAGGCTGCAGAGCCGTGGCCTCTTCATAGCAGGAGCGAGCCTCCTCGGCAGCATAGGCTACATGTGCGTGGGAGTCTCTATTTCTCCAGACGCGCCCTAATGCCCTCGTTGGTAGTTTGTTGCTCGCAGTGCCCGACAACAACCACGTCCGTTACTTCGCGACGTTTTGCATCACCAGTGGCACCTACACGATTGTCGGGATCATCATCGCGTGGTGTACGCTTGCCTAGCTGGTCTTGCACTGAGACGCTGCTGACAAGTGTACAGTCACGCATAACCTTGGCTCGGAGACGAAGAAGGCCACGGGCATCCCGATGTACATGGCTATCGGCCAGTGCGGTAGTATTCTGGGGTCTCACTTGTATCCGACTACGGATAGCCCACGATACATGTAAGTCTGCGTGCTTTGTGACCTGGTTCGGCACTTAGTATGGTAATTTGCGACGCCAAATCAGCAAAGGATTTGCAGGTAAGTCGCCCTTCCCGCCCCTTCAAGGATAAAGATTGGCGAAAATATCTCCACCCTAGTAACGTGTGCCCTCGAGTTCCTCTCTGGAGCTATCGCGATCGTCCTTACGGTTAGTTCCCTCCAGTACCCTCCAATAGAAGGCGTCTCTGACATCATCTCCGCAAAGGTTTACCATCGGACGGAGAATGCGCGCAGAGACCGAACATACGGGAAGCCCGTACCTGATGCAATGGTTGATACCTTGGAATTGGCCGACTCCGTATGGGATCTATTCATCTCAATGCCTCTCTGACCTGTATTCTGACTATATCTGCGTTAGGCACCCGATTTCCGCTATGTGCCATGATGCAGCCGATCAATAGCCTTAATAGTTGTGCACATTCGTGGCTCGCGATGAACGGCACTTTGGCGCAGCTTTGACCACCACACTTCCCTGCAATGAATAATGATCTGTATCATGTTTCCGTTCCTGATTGTTGCGCTATCGAAATGAATGGACAACTACTTTTGAGTCCGTCGATGCAGACTAAATCACCTACGCACTTCGCAAGATGGGATACGAGGCGCTTTGACAGTGCGCGTTAGAGAATGCTTTTCTTGACTGAGAACATAATTCAATACATCAAACGTTCGTGACCTTCTGGATAGATGCTACAAGATATGTATCTCGCCGCCGAAGCATATCATGAATGCTACTTCCACCTTCTCCGTACTTACGTAGGCAGCTTGAATTCGATCTAAATCGGCAGACAAGTAATCAGACACAAGGCACTGAAAGACGACGGATAAACGCACCCGCGTGATGGCATCTCGAATACTATCTTCTAGCTTATCAACGTCAGTCAAGAAGCCTGATAATTGGGTTGGTGGAGTTGTGTTCTGAGTCTTGCGCCACCGCGGTGTTGAATACACTATGTGATGCAGACGATTCTGGGTCTCTGTCGATGCACTAGTCGGTTGGATCGCTGTGAATATCTTGGGCCATAATTCGTCGCCATATCCCTTCTCGTTCCAGAACAAAGACTTTTCCGAGCCCCGCTGAGAGACTGTAGCGAGCAGCGAAGTCAGAGAAGCCGCCAGATCGCCGAATGGAGAGGGTGGGGACTGGGACTTCTCGGGCTGGACGTATTCCGATACGCACTCGGAGACGACTCGACGACATTTTTCACGGTATTCCAAGAATCGCCGGTATGCTTGGGCGGACGCCATCTCCATCTCGGGGACGTACACATCGCATGTCTGGTACACCGCCAGTCTAGCAGCCTCCTTGGCTTCTCTTTTCCATTTGAACCTGGCTGCAACGAGGTAGACACGCAATGGATGAACGCCCACCTTCTCCATGAGTTTTCTTCTGGCAAACTCCTCCACCTTCTGGACTTGGTATTTCTTAGCAGCCTCTAGAAGAGCAACGACCTCCGCCATGTCTTCGACTAGTGGTTCAGTCATCGGGTAGATGAGCTGCAGAAGACGGCTTAGAACCACAGTGTGCTCAGCGAGGAAGATAATGGGAGGAAATTGGTCAGAGCAGTCCTTCTGCTCGCGAGGCCAGCTAGATAAAGGAATAGAGGATGCTAAGGACAACAGCCTCTCCAGGACATAGAAGTCAGTACCATCTCTAGATCTGAGAATGAAATCTCCTTCCCCTTTGGAGCTGAATATCGGAAGAACTGTTTGCGGAGAAGGCACAGCTGTAGCTGCAGCTCTGTCCAGTCCTCCCGGGCTGGACGGACCATTCTGATCATGGCCAAAGAAGTCGAAGATGGCTGGCGGAGATGATGCCATTCGATACTGCAAAAGACGATAATAGGCGCCAGCAGAAATGTGGTCCATCTCTGGGACATAGTCGTCCAGAGGATCCGAGCGGAACCCTCTAGCAGCACGTTCTGCCACGAGGTCCAAACTCAGGTCACAGGCGACTGCATACACCGCCATAGGGTCAATTGAGGCCAGCCGCAACAATGCCGTCCGCATCAGGCTCACCGCCTCCTGCATCTGGTACTTCGCAGCCGCAGACAGAACGTCGCGTATTTCCATCGGCATGACGTGTACAGGATCATCAACGGGATAACAGAGTCGTAGCAAGTGGTCCAATGTCCGGTTATTCTCAGGGCAAGGGATCACTGGAATAGTGGCGCCGTCATGTTTCACGTCCTCACAAGCAGCCTGAGGCAAAGTGAACATATCCTCAAATAGGGGTGATGCTAGTGCGAGCACAATTTTATGCACGCGGAAGTCGACATTGTCCGCAGAGCGAAGTATGACGTCTGCGTTCGCCTTATCGAAGGGAGCAGAAGCCAAGGTAGGAATAGGGCTCTTTGTCGTGACATCTGTCAAGTTATTGTGTTTAATGCGGCTTTGCATCCCGGTATAAGAACCTACCTGCCATTTTATGGGTGAGATTTTGAAGACTTAGGTGTTCGAATCTCAGTGGCCCACGTAAAGTCAAGGAATATGTCCTAAGACAAAAGTTGGGCCGTGGCAATCAAAGTGTAAGTGCTTTAAGCGCTGAGCGCTGAGCGCTTGCTGAGTGGTTGAGGGTCGGGCCGGATGCCGCATTGATATCAGGCCCAGCGCTTTGCATAATTGCGTCGCGGGAAAAAATCGCAGTATTTGGCTGGCGCAAACACAGCCATAAACGGAAGGAGGCAGGTCGAGGCCGGTCACGAGATCCCTTGCCCACTCAAGAGTTCGCAACAAAAGTACCGTTTGTCGTGCAAAAACGTCATAAGAAAAATGAGTAGGCCAATGATATGTTCAGAGGCCCTGGGATGGGCTGAAAAGTGTTGCGGACTCCAAACGACAAATGCCGAGGAGAGCCTGAATGCCGCGGGTGGCTGGCAAACTCCCCACCTTCTCGATATGGGTTTGTTTGCACGGACCAAATAGCGGAAAAAATTCCGCGAGTTTCACGCAATTATGCAAAGCGCTGTAAGCTTTCTTCGGACGTGTACTATCCTAGGCACAGTTCTGCAAACTCTTTCAGTGTGCTGCTCATAGCACCCTGACAACTTTATGAAATACCTTGAAACTTGCAGTCTATGTACAATAATGTCCCCTCTACAAGGTTATCAAAGTAGCATGTTAAAATTCCCAGAACTTATGTTCTCGGAAACCTTCCGGTGACGAGAGTGCAAGTGCGCAGGGTAATGCAAAATCGTCACAAGCCTGTCACGATGAGCGCCCTTCGGCATGCCCGGCAAATTTGATGGCTCGGTCAACGCAGAGCGGTGTGCACAGTGGCGGATGGATGTAACGCGTCTTTCTCGCAACATAGCATAGAGCAAGAACAACTTCGCATGGCGTCAATCGGGGTCACTCTGAAGGTAGCTCCATGTTAGAAAGGCTTATATTATGGGTGGCAAAATTTTAGGATGAGTACTGCAGGAAGGATCTCCATATCAGCTGTATTTCCGGCACTTACATTGGGGTGCAAAACCATGCAATCGCTCTTCTATTTGTTTCTACATCAACAAATTATCATACACAGGGTTGAAACATGTTTAGATAGTGTCTATACAACTACTAACCAAACCCATTAAAATATTTTTGAGAATTGGACGAGATATTCGCATTTTGCATATTGATGCGCACTTTGCAGAACTGTGCCTAGGATAGTACAGTCGACGGAATGGTCCCGCTTACATGACTATCAAAGAAACGCGTTCATGGGAGCGAAGTTGAACCGAAGGAGGGCGGCCGAACGAAATCATCTACCATGCGAAGTTATGGTATCATGGTAGCATGTCCGATTTTCTGCAGGACAGTACAGCAATCATAAAAACTGCTAAGCAAAAAGGAAAGTGATGCACCGAAATATCGATAAGTACGTGCAAAAACACAAGTCCGTCAAAATGCCTCCTCCATCGTCCTAGTGATCACCTTGCTTGCCAAGGTCTCCTCGCCCCCTTAATTGCACCACTTTTCCGTGCCCCGTACCTGCCCGACTTCTCTCCCGAGTGTCTCCGGTTGAGGCCTTTATGTTCGACTCCCGCGGTCGTCGCATTGTTAACCCTGTACATCTGTTGTTGATTATAGAACCATCCGCGAGCGTTGCGTACATCTGTTGCATGGCATTGCTTCTCAATCACTAACAAACATTATCCAGTTGTCCATTCTCTTTCGAAAACCAGTCTGGTTGCTGTATGCTTGTACTTGTCCATTCAACACTTGACTACAACTATCGGACACAGGTTTTTTTCCACCATTAATTTGACTTTTTGTCTGTCACAGAACATATAGTTAGTCTATAAAGAAAATTCACTAGAAGTGAATCTGTGGTGTTTGTTGCCCATTCACTTAATGATGGCTCTGACATCTGAAATACCGAAATTGAATTGTGAACTTCCCCTTCAACCTTGTACACCGTAAACCACTCTGTTGGGGGGTAATTATTATTTACTAATACCCTTCAAATTGTCTAGAATACATGCATATCTTACAAATGCATTACCACTCAGCAAGCAAGGTCAAGGCCGACGCCAGTCGGCGCTTCCCTAGTGGTTAGTTTACAGGGTAATGTGATTTGAAAGGTCTATTGCACGCCTTCTCCCAGAAATCCCTGCAACATCCCCCGCTCACCGGTCCTCTACAGCGCAAGAGTCAGGGCACCCGCTCCTGCACCGACAACGACCCAGAACCCTGCGTGCGCACGCCGATGCGCAGCGTTCGTGTTCGTGTGTGTGGACGCAGGAGAGCTGCCTGAACTAGTGTGGCTGCTGAAGGATGACGACCTGGACGACTCAGACGAGGAATGGCTGGACGTTCCAGATGCGGAGAGTATGCTCCGTGATGACGAAGGCGGTGTATTCGAGACTTGGCTGGTAAAGATTGAGCTGGACGGCATCCCAATCGCGTTGGTGCTGGAGAACAAGGACGAGCTCTCGCTCGAGACCGATGACGCGACGGAGAATGAAGATCCTGGCACGTCGGTAGGTGTGACTGACGTTTCCGAGAAGGAGGATGACGGCACATCGCTTGGCGTGGAGGACACTAAGGCGCCATCCGAGCTGGAGGGCGCCGCACTATCCGTGGGGAAAGAGAAGCTGCTGCTCTCCGAGTCGGACGGCGTCGAGCTCGCAACGTCGGGGGGCGTAGGGAATGGCGAGCTGAAGAAGGATGCACTCCTATGGATAACCGGAAATGTTTTCCCGGATAAGCAAATGAGGCGGGAGATGTACGACGGAAGGTACGTACGAAGACGGGGCAACCACAGGAGGCGTAGGGATGACGGATTGGGACGTCACATCATCTACACTTGCCAGAACGACGACGGATACGATGACAGCAGCGAAGCCGTTAGCACTGGAAATGAGCTTCATCGCGGAAGCCTCTCCAAGAGGAGTGGAAGAAAAGACACGAGAATACAAAATATGGGAACCGAGATGTCATCCATCGTGAAAGCTTTATACCCTCAACCCTAGAGACGGGCGTCGAAATCCGTGGTGGGATCGCGGTGATCGTTCACCTTCACGAGATTCGGACTCAACCGGGCTCGAATTGTGCGCGGGACGATGCTGTGTGCCGCACGTAGGACCATCTGTGCATTGTGGCACCTCTGGAAGGCAATCAGATGGTCATCTCAACGCCGAGCAAATGATACTCGAGCGTTGAGGTGTTCGGCGAACCAATGCCGTGTACCTAAACGGACGAAATCGAAGCTGTTAAGATTGCATGTCCAGACACTGCAGTGTTGGCAGTGAATGCGATGAGAAACGATAGTTACCGAGAGCGCGATAGATGAAACTGGTACAGACTTGCGTAGATTGGAGAGCCAGGGGGAGGCAAAAGTGACGTATGGCGAGTCAGAAGGCCGATGGTCCTTACGTGCTGTGCGTGGAACTTGTGGTGTAGGATGAAAGGACCATGACGTATACGCAATTGCGACGGCGGCGGTATTCATCTCCGCGAGATACTGTATGTTGCAAGTCGGCTGAGATTCATGTCATTTGAAGTCAGGCATGACGCGGACGTTCAACGTTAAACAAGAAAAGGCTGTGGACGCACCTTCCCAATGACCGCGGAATCATTCCCTTCAACGCACCACTCACGCATGGTTAGGGATACAAGTAACTTAGACAGCGACTACGCTTTCCGCACACTTTCTGCGGGTTAGCGCTGTCAGAACGTCGAATAAAGACCGACGCAAAGATAAATTCAACTCCAGGTCAGTGCTGCGAGTCTTGCCAAGAATGGGGCACATATCAGAGGTCGGGCGAAGATACCACTGGAAGAATATTCGATACGAATACCATAATGGGGAACGGTAAAGCAGGAACACGCGCTGGTATTTGTGCAATCTAGTATTCCAGCGCACATGTCACCAACTGAGAGTTTGGCCTAGATACAGCAGTAATATGTCGGATTGTGCGGGAATACGGAACGGAAGACACTGACCCGCCTTCTGCGCACTTCACATGTCTGAACTACCCTCGCATGCCCACGTCCGGATATAAATCGAGATCTAAAAATGTATTCTGAGTATCATATAGCGAGGATCCGGAGTCATGCATTCAAATATTGAATATTGAACCTTCGTTGCCTCAATTTCAGGAGGATATCCGTATCTGACAACTGATTCGCCAAATTGGGATGCCCACTGTGGGCACACCGGACGTCACATGTCACAACCCAAGTCCCTGCAGCATCCAAACGTTCGACGTTACGCCAGACTCTACAATCTTCGGAACCTCCTCCATGGCGCTGTTATAGCAGAGGTGTCCACCCGGAAAACGCGTAATCGGTCTGCAAATATGGACTCCGAAACTCGAATGGCAGGAGAGCGAAACTCCAGCTCCACGGATCGACGTCAAGCACTATGTATATGAACTGCGTTTGGTCAGAAAGGGCATAGCTTGGCTTAAAAGTGTGTATGGCTTGAGTCTACCATTTGGAAAGCTGTTAATCTCAACTTATAATTAGTACTTCCTTACTTCCTGCCATCCGAATCCGCTGGTGTATTGATGCCTTTTCGCGTGGCTTGTTACCGGCATCGTTGACGCTTTCCCTCCATCCCACTGCTAGACAGCACACTTGCGAGTATGGCCGATATACCGGAACGTGCGGTTTCATTCTCGGTGGGGTCGCATCAACACCGCGCACTGTTTACGCCGTGCTCGAAATAACTTCGTCTTTCCCCATCGTCTCCAGTACTCGCTGCGAACGCTTTTCAATACCTTCGTGATGGTAGTTGCAGTCACGAAGTGTTTGCTATAGATCAGACATTCTTCGTTCTTGCCCCCATTCTCTCTTCCAGCCTGACTCTCCAGCAAGCGCATCGGGCCAGGTTTTGGAATGACGCGTTCTGAGGGCTGCATAATGCTACTCCGACTTTCATTCCCGAACAGCCTTAACTCTGGAAGCATCGAGGGCGGCCCTCCGTACTTCGTTGGCCCTCAATAGGTATGACCGCGCTAAGGGCACAACTCGCGACTCATGATGATTGATCTAGGGTCGCCTCGAGGAGATCAGTGGGCCTCCACGTGCGGTGCGTTAATGCATCACGCCCAGTCGACTGGACGCCGAGGATATCGTCGTTTCCGCGATCGATAAGAGAATAGACGAGGAGCGCTTTGCGGAGTACTAGTGCGATCACTGCTCGACAGGAGACTCCGCCGCACCTCGTGTGTAGAAGCGCCAACCGAACCGAGAGTGTGCTCTCCGGTCTTATTGGCCTTAAGATCACGATCGTGCTCCCCGCACTGGTAGAGGCCCGCTGCTGCTACTGTGGAAGGACGGACTACTCGAGTGCTCGAGCGTTGAACTGGATAGGGAACGAGACCTTGAAGTGAAAATTATGTGCGCTCTGGACTACCCATCTTTTCGCCTGCATGAACGGGAAGGGATAGGCCTGGCCCTCTGCCGCTGCTCTCACACTCCGCTATCCCTTGCGGGCGTACGCCAACTATCACGCGCTGTGATGCACCGTCGCGGTATGCTGCCCAACCTCCTGCGTCGTCGCACCATGCGCATAACACGAGGTAGAGTTGGAGGGGGTCGTAACAGTTAAATCTTTCGCATCATTCTCCGGTCTGGTGCAAGAGGTTGTAGCAAACAAGGCACAATATTGATCTCCAGAGTGTGCAATTGGTGCGTCTTCTATTGCTTGATCGGAACATAGTTTTTTGAACCATTGCTCCGCTCGGCTGCCCAGCAGCTTCGTTTCTCCTAGGATATTGCATTTACCCCGGTTGTGAAGTCTTACCAGCGGTGTCTGTGTAACTATGAATTATTTGGTATCACCGGACGCAAATGTTAAGCGTGAAAGACTCCCAAACTTACTGTGCCGTTTGCATCTATACCCAAAGCCTGCTACAGCCTATAACCTCGGCAGACAACCACTCAGGACATGGCCTGTTCGTGCCCTTCCGGCTCTGAGACCAATCTCCGGCCATCGTATTCGAGGGTGACTTCGTCCATCGCCCGCACGGCTGCTCCGCTGTTTTGGAGACACTGTGCCTTTCTTAATCCGCTCGTTATCGCACGTAGTGCTCTCGTGACGAACGTTCCTGCCACTTAGATGACCCGCTCTCCTTGCATCCGACAGAGCCGAGCCCAACTCGTTACAAAGCCCGTATGCACCGAATCTTGTCTCTTCCTCGAGGCGAACGTGGGTCGCATATCTGACTCAGGGAGGTGCTTACACGCTGATCGTCACGATTGGAATAGTATGATGTTCGCTTTCTGCCCTGTCACTGTCATTCGTTACTGACTGCTCCTTGCAAGCTCCTCATCACCCAAAATTCCGTACTGAGCCGTCACGTTATATGGAGGTGACATAGACAATCCCTCCTACTGGAATAAGGCCGTGTATTGCAAGGTATCATGGGTTATTGCAATTTCATCGTGTTCTTGTATTCATGGTCCAACCCCCATCGTCATCTGTGGGCGCGTGTGAGTCCTTGCGACACGCGGCGCATGGGGCTATCACTGCACTTGTCACACCGGCGCCTCACAATCCACATCAGCCATTCATCGGGATCCTATTAGCGACTGCACGCTTCGTGCAATCAAACCCCGTTGCCATGTGGTTGCACGCAAGCCTAGCTTCCGGAACGCGAAGTCGACGAGAGACACCATCCTGCAGGGATGGGTGATGATTTGACCGACATTTCTCATTTCTATAGGTATCTAATACCTCGCTCAAACTTGTGAACGCAAAACGATAGGCCCTCTAAGGTCCGTGTATCAGTAGAACATGTGGATCAGATGGCGGTCTTCGCAATTTCGAAGTCAGGATATCACCGCGGGTGACTCTATTGGCCCGTAGTGGGAGGCGGTTGATCAAAGACGATTACAGCACGCATACGGTACGTCTGTTCCAAAATTTCCTTTTCTGAACGGCGGTGACGATAGTGTCATTTCGGTGGCTAAGGTGCCTAGCCTATGTCGACATCGATGAATGCAGATACCTGACCGGGCAACACGTTCATCGTGGGCTATCCGAAGATGCGCTTCGGCTTTTCGGCAGCCTCACTGGAATTCGCAAATCGGACATGAGGACGCCATACATGGGGAATATGAGTTGTGGGCCTTCATGAAACCTTAGGGGTTCATCTGTATCGTCGACCTCGAATTCTAACTCGAACACGCCGCCATGTCTTCCAACGCTGAAGCCGAACCAAGTGAATTTATGCTGCTGATATTCTTGTGTTGCATACTGATAATTGTTGGTCAGCCTGGCCTAGTACTCCAGGATCCCAAGGTCAAGGGAATGACGAGCCTGATAATCCAGGAAGACCTGCGGCTTCCGGTGCAGATGAAGCTCAACCGTCAAGCAAGCGAGTTGATAAAGACAAGGAGCATTGCTGCAAGATCTGCAAGGCAGAGAAGAATGGGCGAAAGCTGATCGTAGCGCTTGACGGGACATTGAACCAATTTGGGCGCAAGGTAGGACGTGTAGCGATAATTCTTCACTGCGGTCCTTTGACTGTTAGCGCAGAACTCCAACGTTGTCGAAATATATGCCCGTATCGAGAAGGATGGCCAACAGCTTTCTTACTACAATAGCGGCATCGGCACGTATGCTAACACCACTCGCAGTACCATTTGGAAAAGGACGAAGTTGAAGCTGAGCAGTTTGTTTGATATGGCGTTCGCTCGGTATGCGTGCTATGTTGTGTTCTGTAACTTGCCGATCTAAGCCAACACACAGGAACTTCGAAAAGATTGTCCTCGGTGCATATCGTTGGCTGTCGGATACCTACCAACCAGGGGATCAGATCTTTCTGTTTGGTACGTTTGCAGCACATGCAGTTCCACTATCACGTTATACAGATTTTTGGTTTCAGGATTTTCGCGCGGCGCGTATCAGGTCCGAGTTCTAGCGGGAATGATCGAGCAGGTATGCATTATTTGCATATGTGATCCACGAGCACACGAATGATTCTCTGCAAATAGGTCGGATTAATATACTCGGGGAACGAGGAGCAGATTCCGTTGTATGTCCCCTTCCTCGTCTACCATACAACACTGACACTTTCCCCCCAGTGCATACGAGTTATACGAACAAGCGTATGTGCTTATATTCGATCGTCGTAGACCCTTGATGTGGACTTCCCTTCCTGTGTCACTTCTTCTGTCACACAGGGATGACAATATGGCAAATCACTTCAAGGAGACCTTCTCTCATCGTGACGTCAAAGTACACTTCTTGGGTGTCTGGTAATGTGTTTGTCTTATGTACTCAACAGCGCTATCCAACGTTATTTGGTGTAGGGACACAGTCTCTTCTGTAGGCGTGTTCGGGCGCAAGAAAGACCTACCCCGTACTCGGAGTTGTGACCACATCTGCCATGTTCGTCACGCCCTCGCGCTTGATGAGCGTCGGGTCAAGTTCACCCCGGAATTATTTGAGCCTAGTGCTGCAAACTCAGTCAAGAAATCGCAGCATCTACAAGCTGATGGGGAAAACATGCCGAGGCGAGAGGTCGCAAGCACCCATTTGAAAGAAGTCTGGTTTGCAGGCTGTCACTCTGACATGTCAGTGTATCCAGTTCAATGCATGTCACCACACTCTAACTGTCCATTGGCTCTTTTTCAGTGGAGGTGGGAACAAACCAAAAGATAAGTTACTGATGGAGGATATACCGGCTCTCTGGATGGCGAATGAAGCGCGTACAGCGGGACTCAAGTTCAAGCCTACGAAAGTAGGATGGAATATGGAGCGACTCAAACATGAGACCCCAATTGAGTCTCTCACCCCACCGTGGTGGATTCTCGAACTCCTCCCATTCCTCCGTCACTCAGAAAGTTTGCCACATTTAGCGCCACCAGAAGATTTGCCGTGGTGGTCGTACGCTCGACTGATTCATTGGTTACGCAGGGCAGCCCCTCATTGCGGCGAACATCGGTATATCAGACCAGACCAGAAGATACATGCTTCTGTTGCTCTTAAGAGAGGATACACCCCTCGTGCTCGATTTATATCCTCCCCTGGCGCCACCCGCACCTGGGATGGTATTCTCGGAAAAGACCATATAAATGAACTGATCGGGATAGACGGGTTCGGGCTCATGAGGAAGATGATAGAGTTTGACTTATATGACACCTCCTCCGCGGTTTCCCTGGTGCAAGCTCTCGAGTACCCCGATGAACCAGAGCTGCGGTCTGCTCTAGACCGTTTATTAGTGTTAGCGGAATTTGGTGCGATATTGACTGTTCTTCAGCATGTGTTCTTTCTGATAATGAATTCCAGATGCAGGGGTGACTGCCATTATCAGAGCCGGTGGAACATACCTGAGCACGCTCAAAGGTCTTTTCGAAAGACAACTGGCGGATGAAGTCAAAGCAAAGGCCGTAGAATTGGTTTTCAGGATCGGCATTTGCTCTTCAGATGACCCTGAAGAGGTCTATGTCGGTCGGCATAATTTATCCTTATTATGGGATAGAGGCTTCAAGGACATACTCATGCCACTAGCATTGGCAGAGAGTGACAAGTCATCGCAAGTCAAACGAACGATCCTGCTTCTGTATCTGCCGGACCCTAATGTTCAGATACCCCACCCGCATGATTCATCATTCTTAAAATTTGTCATAGATTGCTTGTCTACGGATGCTGTTGATGTTGCCATTGCTGCACTTCTCACTCTTCATAGACTGAATCCTCATCTAGTTGAACAAGAAGTTTCGAAATTTGTGGGAGGTGAGATTATTTACTCATATGTTATTGTTTGGTTGATTCTGTTTGGCATAGATATACCAGCCAAATCTACTATCAACACCTTTAGTTCAGGAATTGTCTCAATATTGAAAAAGTTACCTGCCTATATGCAGGTATCGGCACTTCAGCTAATGGAGTTTGATCTGCCTGTATGGTGGGCACTCCCCGGGTATCGTGTAAAGCTTCGAGACAGTATCCTCGAGACCAAAGAAGTTGCAAATGCCTTGATCAACTTAATGAATCTCCCTCGAAAAGATATTTTGCACTCTGCTTCACGCATGTTTCCACAATTTGTTGCTCTATGTACATTTCATTTTTATTTGGCTTTTATTTGTTTCTAATTCAATGTGTAATGATAGGCACAAATCCGGGGGTGAAACCTGGAGGAAAGGGCTGTCATTGGTGGTGCATGTTGTACCAGCAGCAGCTTGGAGGAGGCCACAATGGTATGGGTTATCTGTTCAGATCACAATGATTGTATGCTCACATTAATTCATAAAGAGACCATATTTTCTGATGGAGTGCAGTTCCTTAAGGGCCTTGCAAAGCATAAGGGGCAGGCTGTGGTCACTGATTTCATGGATTTTGTGTTATCTCCAGATACTGTGCTCAGTCAATGGAGTATTGACTCATTCAAACAGACAGGTGTGTCCTTGCTGATTATGCAAGACTGCTTGTGCAGCTAATTATCACCCAATGTAGCTGAAATGCAAGGCTTGGAGGAGTTGATTCATTGGTTGGAACAATATGGAACTGCTTGTGTGTTATTATGAATGCATCAGTTGAGCAGAGCTGACATGTAGTCACACAGAGAGCTTCACACCCCATTACCTTACTTGGCTGAAAAATGCATTCCAGGGTGAAGTGGATCTCTTACGCAGGTCAACTTTACATACCATTTCACGAATTGCAATGGGAAAAGGTAAGTCCCAACTTGCTGGTCATTGATATCGGACTAAATCAAGCAGCACCTGTCCCTAAAATTGTCACCGACAATGCCTCTGTGGCTGGTGCTTTTGCTGAGTATCTAAACAGTGATGACCAACAAACAAAGGCTTGAGCAGTAAATGAGTTGAGTAGGATTGGGACCCCATGTGAGTGCATCTTTTTTCTTTGATGCTGCCAGTAATTACAGAATTACACAAGGGGACGTGAATGTTGATGACTGGCAAAGGGTGATCGTCCTGCTTATTCGGCTATCTGGACAAAATGACCGGGAAGTAACGGAGGCGGCTCTGCTTAGTCTACAATCAATGCTGCACAGTGGTGAAGAGCTACCATCATAATGTACAGTCTCTTGCTCATAGAAAGGCAGGTGGCTCTCTCGAGAAAGAGGTTCTCGATTGCGGCTTCATTGGTTTATTGCTGAAGCTGGTTCGGGATGGCGAACGACTTGTCACCCATTGGTCAACACTCTCCTCAATTATAACCAATGGTACGTTGTGAGATACTTGTCTACATTGTATGTCTTCATGTTTTCTTGCAGCCAATTTGCGTCACAGTATGGTTGAACATAAATTTATTGAAGCAGTTGCCCCATTGCTCAGGCACAGCAAGATGCAGATTCACTGAGCATCTTAACTGATCTTACAATCTATGGTTCGTAAACAGAACTCGGTTTTTGGAAGGCACATCACTAATGTGCTGACAACAGATGAATTTTGTCCGACAATTCTCAACACCGGTATGATGGACCTATATGGACGTGCTGGAGTATCAGTGGACAAGGAAGTGCAGATTAAGATGCTATATATGCTCAAACGTCTCTCCTTACAACGAGGTCAGCATTCATTTTAATTGTGTCATACTTGAGGATTTGTTAAAGCTGTCATAAAGATGATGTTAGGGCAGCAATTGTGCAGCACCGTGTGCCAAGCAGCATTTTTCAGATGCTACTAGTACATCCCGGGGACATGTGGAACATAGCAAGTGCTGTTATCGCGAGGATGGTAACAAAGGGTATTGCTTCCGCTTCTTCAGCTAGTCCTTAGTGACGAAGGAAGTCATAGAGGACATTTGCGGTGCTTTCCTCGACCTTGGAACACCTGGGAAACTCGTGCAGATACTTGATAACGATCACCTGCGTTCGAGACTGGATAGTACTGTGGATGACTATCCCCATGCTAATGTAATGGCAGCACTCCATGCCTTTTCTCGTTATGGTAAGTCTGATCTATTTAACTCTCTGTCATAGACTGCAGCATCATTTCCACAGACACCGCCAGAGAATACATGCTCTCCGTATCATTCCTGTGGGCCGTCAAGCAAATATTGGATGCCTCACATTGGAAATTAAACAAAATTGCGCTTGAAATTTTTGATCTCGTAATACAGCATGGTGTGCTCATTCAGCTGCTTATCCTTACAAATTACTTCAGATGCTACAAATACTAATGATTTGCATTTTGAAGATGACGACTTGTCGAGTCTTCGTCAGCTAAATATTATTCCTCGTCTTGAAGCTCTGTATCGATACCCGCTAAGAAACTGCTACAACGCATAAAGGACTCTAGTAAAGGTATGCTTTTTTTGTGTCGTCTCGCACACTGAGATGTTCATATTGGCTATTGGGACAGATGAAGGGGCCCGAGAAGGGGGAGAAGGTTCCGGTCCATCAGCTTGACTACAGGCCACTTTGATTGTGTGACTAACAACTGGCTTGGACATTAATCCGTATGAATCGAGGTTTCTAGGAGAAATCGGCCTGAGGTCCGAAGTAGCACCCGATTGTTCAATCCGGACTGTACGTAGTTACGAATGCTAGGCATTTCGAGCGAGCTCCCCTTTTGACCAGGACGCTCTCTCGTTCCGATAACTCGCAACAGGGCAAATGTTTCAGTTATAATTACAGTTTACTGCTCGGAGCGTACGTTCATTGACACTGTCGGTTCCACTCCGTACTCCCCGGCCCCGGCACGGCGATGGATGGATGGACTAAATGCCCGCTCAGGTTTAAAAATCCGTCAGATTGAGGTTAAAGACTTGGTGGAAGCGACTGCTCGTACGTATGCACAGAGGGGAAGACATGTCATTGATACATGCACACACACCGCTTGCAAACAGATTGAATCCGCATGCCTGACAAACATTGTACACCATGTGTCAACCTCAGACAAATCAGACGCGGGTTTATGTGCACTGCTCTCCCCCGAGCATGCATAGTTCCAGAGCCAATCTCACTCAGAGATTCTGCTGCTCGAATCCTTGGCCCGCACACCAACCAATGCACTTCCATGTTCACAGTGCGAGCCTGGAGAGCGTAGGAGAACAGATCCTGGCCACCCAATATATGCCCGAGCGGAGAGCTCAACGGTCTAAAGTAGTAATGCGGGTGAACGGAAATAGGCTCGGAACTTCGGCACTCACACGACAATGCTCCGCAGTCTGCGCGCGCGCGAAGTTTATGTGTCAAAATGTGATACTTCCAGTAGCATGAACAGTGTAAGCTTGGAAGAGATAAGAGCGGTATGTATAATGTCGCCTGCTTAAACATGTCTATAAGCGTAGTGGTTAAAATATAATCATCGCATGCACACGTCCAATACAACGCGCCGGATATCAGAGGATGGTGGACTAGCAGTCTTCAGCCGAAGTTGACGCAGGAGTTAAGGCGATCTGTGACTCTAACGAACTATGCATCATAAATTTGGAGCGGGAAGTTCATTATTTGGGCTGAAATATCCAAGTCGCACCGGTGATAGAGTTGGTAGTGCCTCCGGACCTATGTATGCTGTATTTGTGATGTTCTTCTGGTCTAGTTATACCTTAATACTCACGACACAGAGTCGTGCAAGAGGGAGGAATTCGAAAGAGTCAAGACCTCGAGAGTACTATAGTTAGCCAGCGTCGCAATTCAAGTTCCTCGCAATTCCGGGTTTGATAGCATCGTGCTAGATCAGGACCAGATAAGCGCCCTCGGATGTTGCTTCGTCAACTCATGCAGACGTGCTCTAATATGCTACGTTGTTTATCACGCCCACACTGAAATCATTCTGTTCTGCCCTTGCATCTCCTCCATCATCTCACTGGTGCGCAAGTTGACAGCGACGATGCCGTATTGGATCTACACGTCCACACTCGGAACAGCGTGCTCTACCTTGCTGACCCACTCTGCCACAACGTTTGCCTTGGATGAATCGAGTCGTTATGTCTCCGCAGGTGATGAACATTCGCAGCGCCGTCAGTATCCAGAATCTTTGCAGAAAGGGAGATATTCTCACTTGTCCACCGATAGCAGCGTGGTGATAGGCCCCCACGGTTACTTCTGTGGAGCCTGGAGACACTATCGGTCTGGAAGGAAGATCGAGACGGCCGTCTGCGCAGGGCCGCCCGTACTGTCTGCTGAAGTATCGTTGGCAAGGACGAAGCTTTCTTCAGCAATGGTACAACCGCAGCTTGCTAAATAAGGCATCCGTACCAGATTCTGGACGTCCAACGTATGTCTCCGCTCGCAGTGCCATCTGCAGGAAGGACCGTACCGCTTCCAGGTCACCAGCCAAGGAGACCAGAACGGCTGTTGTGCCTTCCCAGGTGTTTCCGGACTGGTTGTAGGTGTTAACGCTGCGAGTGCCATATTTTTTCTGGAGGAAGCATAACGGCACGCGGGCGCAACTGCAGCTCAGTCACACGAGGCCTGCTTAGCGATGAGGCTTTCACCCGACAGGCTCCCGAAATACGACTAGGCGCGCCGCCCCGCAGATGGATGAGAGTGTCGTGTACCCAATCGCAGGCCTGTGTATACGAGCCAGTTCAAACGTTTCTGACCACTTTGACCATCATCGTGAAAGATACCAATACGCCGATAATTCGTTTACTCTTATCCCCGATCTTCGTAATCCGTCAACTTCTGCGCGATATATGGACGGCCTCCCCCCACGACGCGGAGGAGTACGTGGTCGGGAGAGCTAGAGAGGTACGAGCCATATTCTATGATTTATAAAGCTCGCACCTGCATAGCGGCTACTCGTCTTTGACTGCGCCACCCTCTATACGACTTTCCGCTGTCCACAATTCTGAACACATGTTGCGAAATGTGCAGAATGATGAGCCTTCCTGGGTGAACGTCGGTTCTCATTTTCCAGGTTCCGATATACGCTCGTCTCGGCAACGGCTCGCAGGGAAGGTTCAATACAAGAGACACCAAGTCACCGGTCCCACGAGGCCATGGAATGTCGATAGATACCAGCTCTGAAGCCAGAAGCACAACCAAGAAAGCTACTTGGTTCCGATGGTTTTCCGTCTTCTATCTTATCTCTTCGGTGCACCGTTGCAAGAAGATTGGCTGCAGAATATAAAACAGGAGAGGAGGACGGCTAAGAAGAGGTTTACTTACTGGACATGGATGACACGGTCCGCAGCAAGATCTAACGCGTAGGCAGCGAGATCCGGGCTCTGTACGAAGATCGCAGCATCTGCGATTTTGTCCGCGTTCCTCTTTCCTCAGGTCAGATCTAGGACTCATTACCTGCGGTCAGCATCCTTAATTAGGTTTTTGTTGTCCGTGCTGGGCGGACAATATGTTCAGGGCGACATGATACTATGCTTGCGACCATTCAAATATTCAAGGGTAGGAAACACTTGCACGATCGGCATAGTCCCGATGCGCCCTTGCATAGATCAGTGTCCGCGTCGATGAAATGGTGGGTCCAAGTTTGGATGGTGTTTTGGGAAGCGGAGATCTGGGACACTAGTAGGACAGAGGTTGTATCTAGCAAAATCCCAGCGCAGGCAGCCAGTTGAAATGCAGTAGGAATATTCTTCGTGAGATAACGAGACAGACCGGCGTCGAATAGGAAAGAGTGGGAGATTCCTCCGCGATTCTTCCGCTGCGACGTTTGAGAGCCTCGTGTTCTGCGATCGGGCACTAGACAAGCGCGCACATGTTGTTCCCACGCCCAAGCTCTCCTCGTCCTACCATGTCTCCGGTTGTTCGCCATTGCTACACCTTTCTACGCGGTTGTTTCTCCTACATTACGATGCATATGGTCGTACTTGATCGGTGGATTCCGAGGTCACTCGCCCTGGCGCAATAAATGTCTCCTTGTCACCATCGATCTGTCGCTCCGTCGAGCATGCTAGCAAGCCAGGACAGTTGGGATGCCAAGTCTCCACTCGCATCCTCAAGATCCTCTGAATACTGGTTTGAATGGCAAATCCTTCGGACACGGCAGTACGATGTGAGAAATATGGAGCTTCCTCGGCTTCCGGTGCAGTGCATCAGGAAAAGTCAACTCTTGGTTAGCTCCCTTATTGCCTTGATTAAGGAGGTCTGCTTCCTTATTTGGCTAATTAAGGCGAATAAGGAAGAATAATGATGGGGATTTCCTTAATTTTTCCTTAATCAAGGGAATAACCCAGGTAAGCAAGAGTTGACTTTTGCTGATGTGATGGGCCAGCATATGCGCTGCGGACGAGGAGCGCAGACAAGAACGACGCATGTAGTGAGTTCGCTAGTTTATGGCCTTGTTTGTGGTTGCAGAATATTAATGATACCGTGCTGCTTTGTCACCGAGGATTGCCTGATACTACAACATGTAGCGGATGTTTACGTGGACGACTTAGCCTACACCAGGTATCTCCTGGATCGCATCCAACTGCTCCGCAATCGCACAATATGTGGCATGTGTCATTACACCTTATCGTGCGTCCGATCTCTGCTGGCGAGTTTTCGCATTCTGACGGTGGTTTGTGCCCTATATCGAGCCATCCATGGAGGCGAGCTCGTTCTTTTCAGAACATATCGAATATGTGTGAACAAGCGTTCTTGTCCTATCCTCCTCTCCTGCACTCTCATACACATGTCAGGCCTTGTCACTCATGCACGCCAGTCGCCTCACAGCCGTTCGATCAAGTCACGTTCTACATTCCAGGAGCGCTTTCCCCCGGCGACGCCTTGCTTCCTGAGCTGCCAATTCGTGTAGTACACTCACAGTGGACGATTCGCAAGGACTACTCTCCCTGATCGAGGCCAGCAGGTTGTATGCGCCAGCCATTCGCACCGTCGACGCGTGGTGCCCCTAGGTTCAAACACCACCTTTCCGCAGGAGTACTATGGCCTCGTGCACGCCCATCCTGCCTGTACTGGAATTCCAGGAGCGAGTCTGACGTTTGCCGTCTGCTTGCCGTCTGCTGCCCACAGCACTTACATGGGCATCTCCATCTTTCCCGCGCCGGGCTATGCAATATAGTATTGACGTCGAAGTGCTATCAGTGGACGGCTTGATCTCACACTTTGAATGTCTGCACGAGACGATGCGCGAAGTGCCCGCTGCCGACGATGTTGAAGGGCTACTGTATTCCATCATCTCTACCCAACCCATCTACTTCTGTACTCCTCCCAACATCATTCGAGGTGTCTTGCAGTATTAGCGTCTTCAGCTGACTCGGAAAGACGAAACATCACCTCCTCAGTCGTAAAACTCATCTACATCGCACGGACTACTGCACTATGAACGAGGTCAATTGTGATGCAGAGGATACAGGACGGCTGTCTGGACGCGTCTGCCGTGAGTGCGTTCCTCGTCGTTTGTATCGAGCCTCGCGATATACAGTGTGCATTAAGCTTGAGCGTCTAATTTTCCAATGGGCGCTTAACGACAGACGCGGGACAATCGCTCGTAATTTCTGAACGACAGTTTTCATAAGGTATGTAGCATCCTTATTATGTTCGTTGATCGGTATATTATTAATCAAAGAACTCACATCTTACCCAGAATATGTCGCCGTTGCGGAACGCTCCTTGGTCGACTTGGGTGCCTAACGTCCCAGTGCCAGTCATATCATCTGAACTACGGTTTGCGTAAGGTATGGAGTGTTACTTCTATATTCCTAGACAACTATCCAATATGATATCTCACAGAAATGTTACACAGGATGCCGTGGCGCGTCATTAGTGTTAATATGCGCCAGCAATTCAACCATAAAGATGCAAACCCCCAAGAGGAACATGGTGTTTCAGGCATATCGAGGATAACAAGATGATGTCAGGATCGAGGCCACGATAGTACGTGTAGATGTCCAACATCGTATTCCCCGTTTCCAGAAATGCTGGTCCGCCAACGGACCACTGCCATTCGAACACCCGAGTTGCTTCTGAAACTAGTCTCAAGAAATATAGCGGCGAACAAGCCGTTGTATCTGCCTCAATAATCTATAGAATCGTTCACAGTGAGTCCGACGCTTATCTCTCTGACCGACACTCGCATTATCCGCTTACGTCTGGTGGACACTTTCTCGTGCCGGTGCAAGAACTGCGTTGAACAGGTCTGCCACCCTTACCTCGCACCCCGCCCTCACCGACAGAGAAGACGAACGCTCTAGCGAACGTTCCGAGGACATGAAGCTTATCGTCTTTGCGCATTCTGCGTCTAGTCCTGTACGAACAAGGGATATGCGAGTATAACTCACTCCCCACTGTGAGCGCGATTGTACCGCTCGCATCGAGCTCGTGACCAACACATGTCCATCTCGCCACCTTCTTCGTTGTGACAAGCAGTAACGGCATCGCTTTTGCGAGCCGCAGGGAATGCGTGGTAAGCAGCTGGACTTCGCGCCAAGTTCGTATGACGATAGTCACGCATGCTGTCCTTGGAGAAGAAGGCGGTGCCAGGAATGAAATATATTTTATTTATGCACAAGCATCGTGCGGATTCGACGTGGCTTAAGCTCGAGACTCGTCTTCGACGGCAACGATCACGATGACACCCTGGGTAATGTTCCTGTGGGAGAATGCGTCACGTATGCATGTACGAATGCAGTGGTAATGCTCCATAGTTTACGCGAACTGTAGGTCAATCCACGTGTTATGTTCTGGCGCCGGAGCACTTGCGAAAATCGAGGTGCACGGAGAGGAGGCTAGGGCACCTCTCCCGGATGAGTTTGCGGGCCCATTCTGCTCGTTGGAGAGCTGGGAGTGTCGGCATGGGCTGAAACGCGTCGACGATCGCCCTGGAGTGAGGTTTGGGTATGCTATGCCAGGACTGGGGACTGGGTCATGGGCTTGAAGGGGGAAGGCACCGAGAGACTGGCAGTTAAAAAGACGCACGGCGTGTCGCGAGTTTCTTCTAGATGTTGCGACACGAGGGTGTCGTCTGTCGTGCGGTAAGCGCCATCCGAGGTGTTTGTTACGCGGATAGTGCGCCCGCAGCGACGAACGCAGGCACGGACAACGAGGCGAGACATGTCAGCGGGAGCTCAGCGCTCAAAGGTGAGGACCTTGGGAGGAAGGTCCCAGAATAGACAGCGAACGCACCTGGACGCACATAAACCCCGCTCCTGCACACGCCCACGTTTCCCGGACGGAACGTCGAGGCCCGGATGGAGAGGTCAGCAGGTCGAGCGGCGCTCACGCACGCACGCACGCGAGTGAAGACCGTGACGGGTCGCGAGTAATGGAGGTGTCGACCTTGCTGGATGGCGAGGGGAGGGGTCGGTCAGGAGACAAGTGCAGCCGCGGGGATGCGGGTACCGTGGATCGAGGGCGGCGCGAGGAGGGAAATTTAAAATGGAGAAACAGGGGGAACATGTGTAGCAATCCGAGTTGACATGACGGATCCAACAAGGCGATAGTGGCTCCAAGCGACGGCAGAGATGTACATGTTCCATGCCACCTTGCATATACTTCTCACTGTGTGCCTGAGAAGTGGTGAACTGTCTGAACTTATTCGGTGAAAACCGCCTTTCACCAATAAACTTCGGCATTAATTAGTGGATAGTGATTTGGATGTGATTTCCCCTGATTTCTGATCCACCGAGAATGGTAGTGAAATTCACCAACGACGATCCGCGTCGAAACGGTTCGGGAATTCACCACCTACTTGTTGGTGATTTTCTGTTGCGTTAAACTACCAAGTCCAATCAACCCTGCCCTAAATGTTCAAGTTTCAACATGGCGTCGTCGAGCTTCGTCGTGCGCTGGCATCGCTCAACACTGTCTCTAGCTTTGCACTTTCCAGCGCTCTGCTCGGGCCGGCTAATCTGGACTGGCTTAGTCAAATTGATCTCTGGTGTTGTCTCGTCTGCTGGGCTCCATGGCTTGCTCTCTGGGGAAGGTTCAATCCTTACCATGGCAAACAACAGACAGGTATGTGCAAATTTTGACGCAACGAGTGATCTCCCGGCCTTGCTACGGTATTCTGATGTCATCCTATGCCAGTCCCAGCAGACGGCTCTGTTGTGCAGCGCAGAGCGCGGTTTTAGGCGGACATGGTTTTAGGCAGACATGGTTTTAGGCGGACGTGGTTTTAGGCAGACGTTGTTTCACAAATTACGAGGGAGCGTAGGATGTATGTGTTCATTGCTATATATTACCGGAACTCTAGATCTGTATATATGTACTGGAATTGAATCTATATTCAATGTTTCTGGTAGTGAATTCAGTGATTGAGCGGAACCTAGTAGAAATCAACAATAAACAACCGGGTTCTCACGACTCGCCTTTCGACGCAAGGTAGTGAAATCGGACATTTTCTGGGTGATTTTTACCGCTTTCGCTCACCGAGAAAATTGGTGAAACAAGATAGTAGACCCTCGAAAACCTAGTGACATTCCATATGTAAAGTAGTAACCGAAGATATCTAGTGAACGAAGTTCGGGCTTTTCACCAACTTCCGGGCACACAGTGTCTACGCTCATCCTCTCCGTACGTTCCAAGGACAGAGGAAATCTGCTCGTTTCTCAGACACGGTCCTGAAAAGTCACATTGCAGCAACGCAAAAAACAACAGACCGAGACATGCACAAATGGTATGGAGTATCTAAAGTCCGAACCGGGTCCATGTGGGTGCAGTTATCGAACAGTCAGTGTACAAAAAGCGGACGTGAACAAGCGATCCATCTATCTAGACGATACCGATCTAGATACGCGACGCGATTTTAGCAGAAAGTCAGTAAAACGCAAACTTGAAAATGTAACAGTTCGTAACCAAAAAAAAACAGCGGTGCAAATCGTCAGTTACACACAGTCAGTCAGTCAGTCAGTCCTCTAGGAGGTATAATAACACAACAATCAATTTTTGGTCGCACGGCGGGATCAGAGCGGGAGCGTGCCGTTCAGGCGGAAGTCCCGGCTGCTCGCGCCGACCGAGTACGCGAACGTGCCCGCGGGCCTCTGCCAGCCCTGCGCGGCGACGTTCCACACGGAGAGGTCGTAGCGCGACAGCGAGATCGTCACCGTCTGCACCTCGCCCGGCCAGAGGTACACCGCGTCGAAGCCCTTGAGCTGCGACGGCGGCTGGCCGGCCGCCGGCGGGAAGTGCACGTACACCTGCGGGATCTGCGCGGCGTCAGCGGGGGAGAGATAGAGAATGGGAAGAAGACGCCGCACCTCCGTGCCGGGGATGTCCCCGAGGTTCTGCACCTCGAACTGGATCTGGATCACCGGCCGGTGGAGGTATATCGCGACGGACGCGCCCTCGACGTCCGGCGTGGGCACGCCGTCGTCCCACTCCTGCTCGAGGCCGCTGTACTCCCAGTCGTACCCGGGCACCCGCGTCGCGGCGGCGTTCCAGAACCCAAAGCGCGTGTACGACAGCCCGTAGCCGAACTCGTACCGCGGGGTGATGTTGTACTGCACCAAACGTGTCAGCAACACTATTAGAATCAAGGGCGGGAAGGGAAGAACTGACGGTGTCGAAGTGGCGGTAGTCGAGGAAGATGCCCTCGGTGTACGGGATGCTGATGATAGTGCTCGCGTCACCGCCCCCGGTGAGGCTCGTACCATAGTCGGACGGGCTCTTCGCCATCGTGTACGGCAGGCGGCCGGACGGGTTCACCGCACCGTAGAGCACGTCCACGAGCGAGTTCCCCGCTTCCTGGCCGGGGAGGTTCGCCCAGATCAACTGCAGCGCACCCGCGTCAGCAAACACAGTTGAGGTGCAAGGCGCAGACACGCACAGCGGTGACGTTCGGGTTGTCGACCCAGTCCTCGATGATGCACGCGCCGACGGAGTGCGCGACGACGATGGTGTTGTTGTTCACCGCGGCGACGGCCGAGATGAGGTTGTCCGCGTTGTTCCACAGCGACATGTTGTTCCTGCACACAGCGCGCCAACACGTCAGCTTTGCCCCCTGTCATAGCAGAGTGGTGCATACCGGTCGCCCGTGTTGCCGTCAACAGTGATGTACCCTTCGCCCGAGTCGGCGTTGGCGAAGACGATCTGACAACACATTGAGTTTCATGAAGAGCCAGCCAAAGTCAGCCCGCGCACCGCAGCGTCGAACTGCACCGCCGCCTGTGCCGCGCCAGCTGTATTCCAATCGAGGAGCCACCACGATACGGTGGTGCCATCCTCGCGCGCGCGTTCTTGGATGGCGTCAAGCGGAGAGATCAGGTACGGATAGTTGTCAGTGCCGGAGCCCCAGCCCATTGCAAGGACACCGTCGTCGCCGCCGCGGTCAGAGTAGCCATTCGGGCCCATCGGGGCGTCGCCCGCATCCTGGCCTACAGAAGCTCGTGAGCAATATATCAATGGAGGAGACAGCTGCGTACCGATGAGGACGATGCTGCGCGGCTTGTTGAGCGGGAGAGCGCCGTTCGTGTTCTTGAGTAGCACCGCGCCCTGCGCGCCGATCTCACGCACGAGCTTGTAGTGGTCCGCCTCCACATCGACGTGCAGGTTCTGCGTCTCGTCGTACGGGTAGAACGCGTTGAAGCTCACTGCACACACCCTCCGTCAGCGTCCGCGCGGCATCAGCATCGAAGGGGGCACGCACCGTTCGGGTACCAGTACGCCTGGTCGAGGAAGTAGTAGGACGCTATGATGCGCGTCGCCATGTCGTCCAGGCGCGAGAGCGGGATCGTGCCGTTGTTCACGTAGTCCGTCAGGTTCTGGCCCCAATAGGACGTGCCCGACCCGAGGTAGATGTCGCCCGCCATGGACATCTGCATCGGAGTCAGCATCGATCCGCACGAGCGCAAGGGGAGACGAACATCGAGGCCGGCGACGGCGGCGAGCGTGGACATCTGCGCGCCCCAGTCGGACATGACGTACCCGCGGAACCCGAGCTCGCCCTTGAGCAGCTGGTTCAGCGTCCGGTCGTTCTCGCACGCGTACGTATCGTTGATCAAGTCTGCGTGGGGGTCAGCGATGATGCAGAACGCGAACACGGACACCCACTGTAGCTGCACATCACGCTCGCTACGCCGGCCATGACGCTGCGCAGGAACGGGCGCAGGTAGATCTCGTGCTCCGTCTGGTCGTCCACCTCGGACGACTCCTGCGTGCGCTTGTACTCCTGCTCGCTGGAGGACAGTCAGCATACATCCACGAAGAACTGAATACCCACTAGTCAATGTAATGCTTCGCACACGCCTGCACGCCCGCCTGCTGCAACCCGAGCACGGTCTCATACGCCGCCTCGCCAGTCAAGAACGGATCCGCGCCGAACCCCTCCCAATTCCTTCCCGCCTGCTGTACGCGGCCCATATTGATCATCGGGCCAAGGGCGACATGCACGCCCTTGCCCTTGAACTCCTGGCCCATCTGGAGCCCGCGGAGGCGCATCGCCGTGCGGTTCCACGTGGAGGCGACGGTGATGCCCGCGGGGAACGCCGTGTTGAAGTCCGTGTCGCGCACGCCGAGCGGGGAGTCCTCGAGGCAGAGCCCGCCGAAGCCCGCGACGGGCCCGATGTTGCCCACGCACCGCCCGTTCTCCCACCCGACCCCGGTGCTCACGTTCACCTTCTCCTCCACCGTCAGCCCCGCCACGAACGCCTCCGCCTGCTCGTATGCCGCCCCCCATGCGTAGTCGAAGTCTGGTACCACGCACGCCCCCGCGTTGTCCACCGGAGGGGGCTCGGAGGGCGAAGACACCTGGTACACCCCCGGGATCGGGGTTTGGGTCACCACGGGGAAGGACGCGAAGGTGTACGAGGAGATCGGCCATGTGAGCCAGCCTGCGCCGGTGAGAGGCATCTCAGGATTGAGAGAGAGATAGAAACTCACCACTCTCTGTGCCGGATCCGCTGTTGTAGGAGCCGCCGACGGTGTGTGCTACGGTACTTGAGGAGGAGGGAGGGGCGGTGGTGATGGACGAGGATGAGGAACTGCTGGCGGAAGCAGATCCGGCGCTGGTAGAAGGAGCGGACGCGAGGCTGCTCGAGATCGAAGCACTCGCAGATACCGAGGCGGAGACCGACGCAGCGCTGCTCGAGGCAGACCCTGATGCGGCACTACTGGACGCAGAGGCCGACGCAGCGCTGCTGGATGCAGGTGGAGACGCGTCACTGCTGGAGGCGGAGACGGACCCAGAAACGGAGGCAGACACGGAAGAAGAGATCGAGGACACGGCGCTCGTGCTGGACAGCACGGAGGCAGATGCGGACGCCGCGGACGATGACACCGCCGAAGACACCGCCGACGACGACGACGCCGCGCTCGATTGCGCAGTCACGCCGGTCGCGGCCGAGACGACGGCCGCGAGCGCGGCGAACCTCGGGGACAGACGCAGGCGCATCCTTCCCTTTGCGAGAGAGAAGCTTAGAGAGTGTGAGGTAGCGAGCGGGCGCAAAGCGAGAGAGGCCCTCGGGAGAAGCTCGGAGGATGGGTGGAGCCCCTCTTATAGGTGGCGCGACGGCCAGTAACGAGCGCATGAGACTCTGAGCCTCGCCGAGAACGCACAGCAGCGGCGCGCGTCGAGACACCGCGTCCGATCGGCGGCACGTGGCCGCTCCTCTGCCCAATCAGCGTCCTCCCGCCCTCCGCCCTTCCAGTCCTCCCACCGTCGCGTTCTCGCGTCCGTGCAGATCGCACCCTCCGTGCGACCGAGCGCGTCGTTGGTCTGCTCTGCTCGCTCACCCACAGTATGCGCTGTCTCGAACCGCGACGCCAAGCCCGTGCGTGCTATTTCCGTGCGTTCTTCGCTTCTGTTGATGTCAAATCGGTATCTCGCTTCCGTGCTTCTCCAGCTGCGATGTTAACCCTTCCCCCTGTTCCTCCGTTTTTGCTCTTCGCGCCGCCCTCGATCCACCAGCATCCACGCGGCGACAATCGCCTCCTGACCGACTCCTCCGCTCACCATCCACCAAGGTCGACAGCTCCATTGCCCGCGACACGTCTTCCCTCGCCTGCGTGGGACCCTCCTGCCAAGGTCTCCCGCGTGCTCGCTTCGCTGACATCTCTCGCCTCCTTCTCCGTGGCTGCATTCGTCGCTGCGGGCGCACTGTCCGCGTAGCAGACACCTCGGATGGCGCTTCCCGCTTGCGCAGACGACGGACGACACCCTCGCATCGCAACGTCCAGCAGACGCTCGCGACACGCGGTGCGTCTTTTTCACTGCCAGTCTCTCGATGCTCATCCCCCCTCAAGCCGTAACCCAGTCCCGCGACCTGACGTGGCGCAGTCACAACGCAGCCCCGAGCGGTCGTCGACGCCTCGCCGCCCATGTCGACACCCCTACCTGCAGAATGGGCCCACAAGACACGTCCAGGAGAGAAGACATAGCCGCGGCACCGTGCGTATCGGTTTTCAGCGGATTAGCTGTCGACTGCCCACACGACGCGTACTCTCCGCGGTACGCTCGTCTACCCCCTCGCGTCATTTTGCGTTCCTGCCCTGGCCAGCACGAATCTTCCTTTCCTCCTCCTTCACTCCGGCTTGCCCGACGCAGGAGATTCGCGTGCGCTCGTTCGACTGCAACAAAAACGGCTCGCATGTCTGGCGCGCTGCAAAGTGCTCGACGTGCGCTCGCAGATCGCCGCGTTCGTTCTTTACCCCAGACGCGCGAACACTCGGACGGTGGAAGAGTCTGCAATACACGCGTACACGCGCAGCAGGACGCACACATCAAGGTCTGCAGCTCGGTCGGTTCGCCGCACAGAAGGCACTCACAGTGCGGAGACGTCAGCCGGCGCGAATTTGTAAGACGAAGATGCGATATCGACATCGTAAGTACAAGGTAAGATTTATCATTCCCCCTGCAAGACCTCCTCGCGTTTTCGCCACTCCCTGTCTGCTCGGCACCGACCTCGATGCGCACGGTCTCCAGGGCAGAGCTCCACGCGGGGCCGTCGTTCGCAGGTGAGTCCGCGTTGGCACATGCCCACGTCATCGCGCGCATCGTAGAGCACCACTAGCTCCGCGCATACATTCTGCGGCACTCTCGCGCGGGCTCCACCATCGCACCGCCGTCTTCTCTACTTTGCCAGTGCAACCGCGCCCCGCCCCTTCCGCATTTGTCACAAGCCCCCGCGCGCTCTCTCGCAGAAGACGGTGCACACCAGCTCGGAGCCAGTACCTCGGCTTGAGCACCTTCTCGAGCTCTACGCTGCACGGCACTCCCACCACACAATCCCATCACCCGCAACCCCGCGCCTTCGCGCATCGGCGCACCGCTCTCTCTACACGCGTGCCCATCCCGTACATACATACATCATAGCTACCACCAATACATCTCCCGCATTCTCATCACCCAAGTGCGCACCACCGCAACCAGCAGCCGGACCTGCTCAGGGCGCGGGGTGTGTCTCCAATCCCCTCAGGCATCAACGCACCGCGTCGAAAAAAATATATTTCGTTCAGAGCGGTCCTGCGTGGGACGTCAGCGCGGGCGCGGGCGGGGGGCGGGGGGCGTGCCGATCGCTATGGTACGTGTGCGGGCTCGCTGTCTACCGGCTGCAGATGACACGGGCGTACGTCTGATGGGAGGGGTGCGCGTTCGACGCCTGCGGACGAGGGGCGGCGGTGACGGTAGGAGGACTGTGGACGGGCGGGCATGGAGGAGAATTGTTGGCGTCGCTGTGGGAAAGCCGTGGAGAACGTACAGCTCAGTTATATCCGCGCGCTTGGTTGATGCGGCTTTCGGCCGCTGTTGTGAAAGCGGAGGTCTAACGCAGCTGAGCTGCAGAAGGCCCCACGCTGAGAGAAACCCGTCTCAGACACATCGACGATCGGGCGTACCAGGACTCGGACAAACGAACGCGATCGGCCCCGTACTTGCTTACGAGGGAAAGAGTTGAACTTGGAGCGAGCACTAAATGAGGGAGATTCGTACCAATTGGAGCCAATGACTTGGACACTGCTGCACCTGGTAATAGGTATTCTGTTCCAAGAAAGTATCTGCTTACTCGGGTCTAGTGGGGATGACAGAACAAGCAGTTAAACTGACGAGATCCTTTCTTCCTCATTATCTACCTTAATAGGAGGACGTCTTGAATTCCATATTGCTTGCCCAGCTTGCAGCCGACCAGTTTGATGGAGACGACAAGAATGAATGGTGCCGGAAGTACAACGATGTTGATGCAAAAAACCACAGCATTTCATGCGGAACGATTCTTGTAAGGTGGCCTGAGAAGTGCCCGATGGAAACCATGCTGCAAATCCGGTGGGGTCTGCACATCAGTAAGGCTTACAGATTCCATACTACTACTCGTAGGATGAACCTACAGTAACCACTACCGCAGGCTGTGGGCTCCCCCCCCCCGGCGTCAGAAAGCAACTAATTTCACCTAGCATCGGAGCCGAAGGCTATGTCTCATTCAGAAGACAACTGTATACATCAATTAATAGTACAACACGCCTGTTCAAAAATATGCTCGCTCATTCCAAGGTACTGTTCCCTGTTACCCAAGGTGCCGTGCAGATTGAAAGCTCTGAGAACTCCACGCAAGTGCAGGGATCAGGCTCAGAGTTTCAGTCCGTCGATGTAACTCTTGACGTGGGAGCCAAGCTTTTGGTTCACCGCCGCCCTGACCTTCTCGTAGACTTTCAAGTTCAACACCATGTTCTGTGTGGCTTCACCATCCATGAGGTCAATGATTATGCAAAGGGTACCTCGTAACATACAGTACATGAACTTGACATGATCATGCCCGAATTTGAAGAAGAGGACGTCGTTCTGGGACCCCTGAGCCTGGTAAGTGAAGGATCCAATACGAAACTGGACATCGTCGTGAGATGCACTGCAAGGTAAAATTGACGAGTTCACGTAAGTCATTATACGGTAGCCTGACATCCAAACACGGTACGCACGAGGCTACACCAAGCTGGAAGTCACTTTCCTGCCCCTTCCAGGCATTCATTTCGAACAACTTGTTAGCGTTGTTGTTCGCGGGTTTCTTCATGGCGTCAATCGTAGCCTTGAAATCAGCGAGTGCTGTATGACTGAGATAGGACTTCAGAATAGCAATGATGGCTTGATCCACGGAACCGTGAGCGGTGGCATTATCGAGTTCTTTGAACCTACATCCAAGATGCCCGATATAAGACAATTACAGGGAAGTAGTGCTGTGTACGTACGTGAAGTCTTGGACGACCCATCCGATATTCTCGAGGACTTCCCTGTACTTATTGTACCATCGAATTCGGTCCCCACCGGCAGCCTGGTTAGCAGAGAGTTGGGCAAGCAGAGTGGAATTCAGGACGTCCTCCTATCCAGTAGACAATGAGAAAGAGGGATCTCATCTATTATACAATGCTGACCTTGTTGAGCCCCGATAAGCCTCCAACAAATGTATCCACCGAGCCACCATTGACAGCAGCGGAGGAGCCTTTGGAGACTCTGGTGGAAGCACCCTCGGGAATATCCAGGCTTTCGATGTAGAGATGGCGGGCTTCAACAGAAAGAGACATGACTGCAAGATGTGGACGACGACGTTGGTACTACCTGGTGGGGGTATGAAGGACATGCTCTGCTCTTGGGGACTTTCTTATAGGTGTAGCCATGACTGCGAAGCATGAAGTTCCCTGAGTAAACATTTCCCAGAACAAATGAATAATCTACCAAAGACCGCCCACGGACCATAGTGAACTCTGCCCGGATTGGTATCACGTGAACGTTGAATGCCTATGCGAAAGGCCCCTTGAATTCTACAGTGAGAGTCCCCAACCCCGGAATGTTCTCTGTATGCCATTGGACGAGGTGTGGGTTGAGAGCCGTTATAACGTCAGGCCGTGAACATGTGCTCCGCACCGCTGTATCTGGCAGTAGGTGCGCTCGAGACGAGGTTTTATAGCTATAATTGCGAAGTTCCGCGAGCGAACATTCTTCGAATGAGCAATCAATCGAGTACACATGGGCGATGAAGCAGAATGGGATAAATGGAGAATGCGTACAATAAGAGTTCCTTGGAACCTACTCCCCAATCCTGGCATGTTCCCTGTACATTGCTTGACAGGGAAGTGTGAGTCGAGAATGAGCTCCGTACCGGTGGATGTACCCTGTGATTGGAAATAAATGCCCCCAAAAGGAGGTTTCATAGATTCTGTGTAACAGGACATTGCGCGCCAGGTTCCATAAAGTAATACTGGCTCTGGAAAGACAGTAGTCAGTGATGGTTCAACGTCACAATCTGCAAGAGAGCGTACACCCTCACCGTGGAATATCGGGCTCGAGTCGCTTCACGAGGCTGGTCATCTGGGGAATGAATGAGAACAAACTGCAGGTGGCAAAGCACGTTGCTTCGTCTTGCATAACCACGCAAAAACATCTCATTACTCGGCGGAAGGTGGGATGCCTGAGGCTTTGTAGGGAAAGATGCGTCACTTAGTTTTGGAAAGCAGTCTGTGACTGGACATGGAGACAATCCTGCGCTCTCTGTCTGTTAAGGACCATCCTCCGACAATCGAAGCCGAAGTAATCTGCACATCTTATTGTCATGGTGTGCATACGAACTCACCACTGCGAATTGACTGTTCGCTCCTAGCCAAATACTCACGACAATGTCGAGTACGTGGCCATGGGATACCGTTCAAAGTTGTGAAGACGTCCTTGTCAACAGTGGGGTCACATCCTCCATGAGGTATCTCAATCCAGAGTCCAGACTATGTTGTCAGCTTCTCTGGTGTCATACCACTGAAGGCATCCATCACTCTGGAATATCGAGAAGCAGACTAAGTTCCGCATGAGCATTGCAAAGAACAAGGACCACGCACCGAGAAACCTAAGACAGTAATGATCGGGGTGGTCCAGGATGAGTGAATGCGATACATCCAGAAAGTTATGACACACAGGCTGCCAACAAGGGAAGGGGGAGTGAGACACGGATATCCTGAGGAAGGTTGAAGCAGAGTGTCAGTCTGCCTTTGGGAGACTAGGGGAGTGTAACTTCGAGAAATTTGCATTTCGCTTCGCGGTTGAATATTGAATGGCACTCTTGAGATAGGTTGGCCCATCACGCATAAATCGCGCAAGATCGTAATGATCTCTGCCGGGGCCGCGCAAGGGAAATGTAAATCAAGTAGAACCTCGCATACGTTGCAATTGAGTGCACCTGGCACTGAGAATTCACGAAGGCGGAAGCCAAGGTGTTCCGACGGTCACAGGAGCACGGAAAATGAGATGCTATGATTCGTCATACACACAGCTTCTGCGCCATCTATGTAAGTACGATTGCAACTATAGCAGAGGACTGAGGCCTATGGCCTCGTGCCGAGTCCAGTGTTCACTCATTCGCGCTTGCTTCCATACCGTGTGGCTTGATGCATGCTGGCACACATGTACAATCAGGCCGCATTTCCATTGTCGGTATCATAGAAATAGTGCCATCCTTGCTCTTCAATTTCGAAGCTTAAGCATTTGTTCCAACAGGATCTATGCATCCAGTGGGTACTAGGGGCAGAGCCTCGCTCGGCCATGCTCACAGACGATTCTCCGTGTAAGCTTCGAGAAATGAGACTCGGAGTCCAATTGCGTGGCGCAACAGAACAAACTAGTAGGGAATGACTCAACGCTGCGGTATATATGCCAAGGAGTACAGTGCTCACGATCCTCTCGCCATTTTTGAACTGCCCGACTGACCTTGTAGCACAGACGATTGGGCCCAGTGCTCAATTGAACCCTGGTGAGCTCGGAGAAAACCATTCGAATTCGCAAATGCCTTTGTTTCTGCTGTGAAGACAGATCCCTGATTGTGCCAGCATGCATTGAGCCACAGATCGGACCACATGGCGCAGAACAAGTGCGGAGGTATAAAGTCTCCGAAGATAAGGATATCCAGAGCATGAAGGGTAGCTATAATTCCTTTGGGAGACGACATGGAGTGGATCCCTCTGTCGGAAGCACTAGAAGTAGCGGGCCAGCGCGCAATGACATCTCTGTCAGTGTCGGTTCTCGACACTCTACCCACTCGGAAAGTCTCAGCGTGCCATTCTTTTAGGCCCGACAAACACAGTGCGGACCAATACGGACTACCTATGCATCTTTTGCGCAAGCAAAACCTAGAGCATGTGAGAGGGGGGAGCTAATGTTGTACAGGAATCACTTCTCTCGTACTGAAGTGGTCAGCATTGGATCAGCGTCACGGTTGGCTTCAATATTGAACTCCCCCTTCACAAAGTTAGCGCTTCTCGTTATCACCGTAACTCTCTGCTTATATGTCGTTTTCAGGCTGTTCCAAGTTCTTATGGTGCAAATTTCCTTCGCGGATGCCTTGAAAGCGACGTCACCTGCACGTTTGGGGCAACGTTACCTTCGCACGGATAAATCGATGCGGTTCATGAAGGGTCTGTCTGTGGCCATATTCAGAACCAAGGCCCCACACTTCGGAAAAGGTACTTGCACATCAATTGGTTTGGCATCACGGCAACTCCCAAGTCTGCATAGATGTTGATTCACTGGCTCTACCAACGACGTAGGACATTGGCCTGTGAGTTTGCCCATGTGACTCAATTGGATATCCTTGTTCTCGGAGGTCGTGACGGTATAATTATATCGAGAAGATCAGCACTAGTGTGCCGTAAGTTCCGTGTTGGCGCCCTTCACCTGACTGAGAAGAGTCCGGTCCGTTTGGGTATGCTTCGTGCGCCGCGGGACCTGCCAGCGGCCTGGTCGACAGACTCACCATCAAACTCGCGGGGCAAGATGTGGCGATTTCGTCGAGCTACTCATACTTAACTCATTCAAGGCTGCATGTAGGTAAGCAGATAAGTCGTTGCTCTTTCCCTTTACGCTTGCTCCACTTACCACGCATCGGAATTAAAAAATTCCTCGAAAGCTTGAATACTTGCAGAGCACAAAATGCATCAGTGTTCTCACCAGCGATATCACTGCATTCAGCCACTCGACCGGAAAAGTTTCTCTAGTATCCCGTTGTGCTATGACCAATAGTTCGTATATTTTCACCCGGTGAGCGCGCAGTGGATCGCCGGAGTGACTACTCAGTACTCATCGATGGTGATATGAATCCTTAAAAGATGAGCGGACAACGCCCTATCTTGTATACTGTGCATCACAATATATCGGGGAGTGCCACATTGTGAGGACCAGCAGAATTTCCCATGCCCCTTCGGTCCTCTCTACAAAGCTCATAGATGTCCTACTGTGGATTTGGGAAGCATCAGCTCTGCTGATCTATATGCAGACGGATTCAGGGCAAACATGTCCTGAAACTGTTTGCAGTTGGACTGAACCTAGTTCTATGCCATGCCAGTGTGAGGACCAGGAGAATTTCCCATGCCCCTTCGGTCCTCTCTACAAAGCTCATAGATGTCCTACTGTGGATTTGGGAAGCATCAGCTCCGCTGATCTATATGCAGACGGATTCAGGGCAAATATGTCCTGAAACTGTTTGCAGTTGGACTGAACCCAGTTCTATGCCATGCCAGTGGTTCGTTGGCGGCAAACCCAAGGTGGCGAAGCTAGATGGGCGAAGGATATAAAAGAAGCCCGTCAAGCTCGCATCTCGCCTCCAGTCTCCACGTCCATCCTTTCCGTGCTCATCCCGTGAACTGCTTGTAAGGACACTCACGTCATCGTCGTCCATCTGAAAACGTGTTCACTGTACCCCCTGCCTACAGATCTTTTCGTCCTCAAGTCGATACTTCACTCGTAAGCATCTCATTACTTTCCAGATCCATATCAAGTCGCTGATGGATGTCTTGTACAGGCAGCAGACTCATGTCATCCACAGAAACCTCCGCTGATGCCCAACCCTCCAATGAGGCCGAGCGACACTCCGCATCTGCTGCCACAGGCAGCAAAGATATAACGGAGACTACGGACGATAGTTCAGCTTCCGTGCCAGCGCATGGTTATTATCGTCATATCGGTCCTCGAATATTTCTAGGCTGACTTTGCGTAGCTGGGAGATGTTCCTACGCCGCATGCAAAAATGGAGGTGGGTGCGCATGCAACTTGAAACATAGTTGCGGATGCTCGCGTGATTGTTTGTGCAGAACTGCGTAATCAATCGGGTGCGACTTCCTTCGTTGAATCTCATGTGCTTGCCTTCTCACTCATATTTGTACAGATCATGCTTGTTGGCGCTGTGTGTTGTATGTATCACGTTTGGCCGCGTACGGGGCATTTTGGTGGCGATCATGTACTTGTTGTAAGAATAGCACGTCGATGGATGGAACTCTCGAGGCATGGAAGTTAGCCTTATTTCACTCGCTGAGAACTTGCTTTCCGGATAAACCTGGTGTGGCATTCAACACATTTCTGGCAGTTGTAAGGCCAATGACAGGCTGCATGTTTTTGCGCTCGCCACTGTGTAAAGTCTATTCTACCTAGGCAACAACCCCCTCGCTTCTCTCATCTTCTCTATAGACACGCCAGCCAAACATAACCCCCACAAGCTTCAACTACTAGCGGAAGCAGATCTAGCGCTGGTGGAAGGAGCGGACGCGAGGCTGCTCGAGATCGAAGCACTCGCAGATACCGAGCCGGAGACCGAGGCAGCGCTGCTCGAGGCAGAGCCTGATGCGGCACTACTACTAGTAGAGGCACAGGCCGACGCAGCGCTGCTGGACGCAGATGGAGACGCCTCACTGCTGGAGCCGGAGACGGACCCAGAAACGGAGGCAGACACGGAAGGAGATATCGAGGACACGGCGCTCGCACTGGAGAGCACGGAGGCAGATGCGGACGCCGCGGAGGACGACACCGCCGAAGACACCGCCGACGACGCCGCGCTCGACTGCGCAGTCACGCTGGTCGCGGCGGAGACGACGGCCGCGAGCGCGGCGAACCTCGGGGACAGACGCAGGCGCATCCTTCCCTTTGCGAGAGAGAAGTTCAGGGAGTGTGAGGTCCCTCTTAAATAGGTGGCGCGACTGAACGCCTGAGACTCTGAGCCTCGCCGAGAACGGAGACACCGCGTCCGATCGGCACGTGGCTTCGGGTGTGGCCAATCAGCGTCCTCCTGCGCTCCGCCCAGCCGCGCGCCCTCCCGCTGTGCTCTCTCGCCTCCGGGCGCGTACCGCACCCTCCCTGCGACCTAGCACGTCGTCGGGCCTCCGTTTTCCCTCTTCGCGCCGCCCTTGATCGACCAGCGCTCAGCATCCACGCGGCTGCACTCGTCTCCAGATCTACCGACCCCTCTCCTCTCCTCCATTAATGCCCGCGACACGTCTTCCCTCGTCTCCACGGCCACCGCCCGACCTGCTCACCTCTCCGTCCGGGCCTCAACGTCCCGCGCGGAGAAACGTTCGCCATCGACTCGTGTGCAGGAGCGGGGTTTGCGTGCACCCAGGTGCGTTCGCTGTCTATTCTGAGACTGTCTCCCAAGCTCTTGGACTTGGAGCTATCGCGTCGCTTGACAGTACGTCTCTGTCCGTGCCTGCGTTCGTCGCTGCAGCGGCACTATCCGCGTAACAAACACCTCGGATGGCGCTCACCGCTTGTGGAGACGACGGATGTACGGACATCCTCGTGTCGCAACATCCAGAAGACCGTCTTGCGACACGCGGTGCGTCTTTTTCACCGCCAATCTCTCGATGCTTTTCCCTCTTCAAGCTATGACCCAGCCCCGAGACCTAGCATGGTGCACTCATATCCCACCTCCGAGCCATGATCGACACCTTTCAGCCCACCCAGCTCTCCAACGAGCAGAATGGGCCCGCAAACTCGTCCGGGAGAGGTGCTCTAGCCTCCTCTCCGTGCACCTCGATTTTCGCAAGTGCTCCGGCGCCAGAACATAACTCGTGGATTGACCTACAGTTCGCATAAATTATGGAGCATTACCACTGCATTCGTACATGCATACGTGACGCATTCTTCCACAGGAACATTACCCAGGGTGTCATCGTGATCGTTGCCGTCGAAGACGAGTCCGGACTAAAGCCAGGTCGAATCCGCACGATGCTTGCGCACAAATAAAATATATTTCATTACTGGCACCGCCTTCTTCTCCAAGGACAGCATCCGTGACTATTGTCGTACGAGCTTGGCACGAAGTCCAGTTGTTCACCACGCATTCCCTGCGGCTCGAGAAAGCGACGCCGTTACTGCTTCTTTTGTTTGGTGGTAACGAGGGAGGTGACTAAATAGATGCGTGTTGGCCACGAGCTCGATGCGAGTGGTACATTTGGGGAGTGAGTTATACTCACATATGCCTTGTTCGTACAGGACTTACGCAGAATGTGCGAAGACAATAAGTTTCATGTCCTATCGTCTTCTCCGTCGGTGAGGGCGAGGTATGCAGTAAGGGTGGCAGGTCTGTTCAACGCAGTTCCTGCACCGGCACGAGAGAGTGTCCGCCAGACGTAAGTGGATAATGCGAGCGTCGGTCAGAGAGACAAGCGTCGGGGACTTACCGAGGACGATTCCATAGATTGTGGAGGCAGATATAGCGGTAAATGAGGTGCTGTGTTCCTTGAGAGTGAAGCGACTCAGTGTGTTCCCATTTCAGTACGGACCATTAGCAGACCAGTATTTCCGGAAACGGCGAATATGACGTTAGACATCTACGCGTACCATCGTGGCCTCGATCCTGACATCGTGTTGTTATCCTCGATATGCCTGGAACACCATGTTCCTCTTGGGGGTTTGCATCTTTATGGTTGAACTGCTGACGCATATTCAACACAAATGACGCGCCATGGCATCCTGAGTAACATTTCTGTGAAATATCATATCAGATAGGTGTCTAGGAATATGGAAATAATACTCCATACCTTACGCAAACCGCAGTTCGGTTGATATGACTGACACTGGAGCATAAGGTACCCATGTTGACTGAGGAGCTTTCTGCAACGGCGACATATTCTGGGTAAGACGTCAGTTCGCTACTTAATGATGCACTGATCAAGGAACACAGTGCGGATGCTACATACCTTATGAAAACTGTCGTTCAGAAATTACGAGCGATTGTCCTGCGCCTGTCGTTAAGCGCCTACTGAAAAATTCGACGCTCACGCGTAGTGTACACGCGAGGATCGATACAAAGGACGAGGAATGCCCTCACGGCAGGCTCGCCCAGGCAATCGTCCTGTATCCTCTGCATAATAATTGTTCTCGTCCGTAGTGCAGTAGTCCGTCCGATGTAGATGGGCCTTACGGCTGGGAAGGCGATGCTGCGTCTTTCCGAATCAGCTGAAAGCGCAAATACTGCAAGACACCTCGAATGATGTTGGGAAGAGTACAGAAGTAGATGGGTTGGGTAGAGATGATGGAATACAGTAGCCCTTCAAATCGTCGGCAGCGGGCAATTCGCGCATCGTGTCGTGCAGACATTCAAAGTGTGAGATCAAGCCGTCCACTGATAGCACTTCGACGTCAATACTATATTGCATAGCCCGGCGCGGGAAAGATGGAGATGCCCATGTAGGCAGCAGACAGCAAGTAGACGGCAAACGTCAGACTCGCTCCTGGAATTCCAGTACAGGCAGGATGGGCGTGCACGAGGCCATAGTGCTCCTGCGGAAAGGTGGTGTTTGAACCTAGGGGCACCACGCGTCGACGGTGCGAATGGCTGGCACATATGACGGGCTGGCTTCGATCAGGGAGAGTAGTCCTGGCGACTCGTCCACTGTGAATGTGCTACACGAATTGGCAACACAGGAAGCAAGGCGTCGCCGGAGAAACCGCTCCTGGAATGTGGAACGTGACTTGATCGAACGGCTGTGAGGTGACTGGCGTGATGAGTGACGAGGCCTCAGATGTGCATGCAGGGGATGAGGGTAGGACAAGAACACGCGTTCACACATATCCGATATGTTCTAAAAAACGAGCGGGTCTCCATGAATTGCGGATTGCACGATACAAGGCACCAACCATCGTCAGGATGCGAAGACCCGCCAGCAGAGATCGGACGCACGGTAAGGTGTAGCGACACATGCCACATAGTGTGCGATGGCGGAGCAGTTGGATGCGATCCAGGAGATACCTGGTGTAGGCTAAGTCGTCCACGTAAACATCCGCTACATGTTGTAGTATCAGGCAATCCTCGGTGACAAAGCAGCACGGTATCATTAATATTCTGCAACCACAAACAAGGCCATAAACTAGCGAACTCACTACGTGCGTCGTTCTTGTCTGCGCTCCTCGTCCGCGGCGCATATGCTGGCCCATCACTCCACCGGAAGCCGAGGAAGCTCCATATTTCTCACATCGTACTGCCGTGTCCGAAGGATTTGTCATTCAAACCAGTATTCAGAGGATCTTGAGGTCGCGAGTGGAGACATGGCATCCCAACTGTCCTGACTTGCGAGTACGAGGCATGCTTGACAGAGCGACAGATCGATGATGACAAGGAGACATTTATTGGGCATGTGACCTCGGAATCTACCGAGCAAGTATGACATGCATATGCATCGTAATGTAGGAGAAACCACCGCGTAGAAAGGTGTAGCAATGGCGAACAACTGGAGACATGGTAGGAGGAGGAGAGCTTGGGCGTGGGAACAATATGTGCGCGCTTGTGCCCGATCGCAGAACACGAGGCTCTCAAACGTCGCAGCGGAAGAATCGCGGAGGAATCTCCCACTCTTCCTATTCGACGCCGCTCTCTCTCGTTATCTCACGCGAATAATACTATCATGAGGGGGGAGTTACCGATCTTTGAGTGCTCGGGCTTCCTCTTCCGTATTCCTGGACACTTTGTTTTTATTTTTACATGGGCCGATGCATTCAGTTCCACACTACATTTTGCAATTTTTTTTACATGTTCTCGTGGTGAGGAGGGAGAGACGGCAAGATGCCGGTGGTGGGTGTTGACGGGGGGTGGTGTTGCTGATTATGTCACACAGACGTCACGCTCATCTCGCGGACGAAGCGCTCACGCGGCTGCCACATCGGGCTATACGTCGTCACGCTTTTCATCGGGAGTGTTACAAAATGCAGGCTGAAGCATGTCTGATTGTCCAAAACACTTATCGGGATGGTGTAACACAGTGCTGTAGGGCATATTGCTATGACCCAAACATCACTTGGGTCAGTCATTCTCAGTATCAAGAGAGATCTTTGATATCAGTACACATACAGTGGTTGCAAAAGTGGTATTTGACGCCTCATTCAGCAATCCCGCAACACCTGAACCCCTGGCTTGGTGAAACACATCTACTGGTGTATAGTATCGTCCTACAATTTTATCTGATTTATTTATTAAGTGTGGGAGCAGCGACGGCAGTGTTGCCGATTTTTTGGATTTCGCAACTCCCCCCACGTGATAGTATTCCTACGAGATTTCGACTAGGGCTGCCTGCGCTGGGATGTTGCTAGATACAACCTCTGTCCTACCAGTGTCCCAGATCTCCGCTTCCCAGAACACCATCCAAACTTGGACCCACCACTTCATCGACGCGGACACTGATCTATGCACGGACGCATCGGGACTATGCCGATCGTGTAAATGTTTCCTACACTTGAAGATTTGAATGGTGGCAAGCATAGTATCATGTCGCCCTGAACATATTGTCCGCCCAGCACGGACAACAAAAACCTAAGGATGCTGACCGCAGGTAATGAGTCCTAGATCTGACCTGAGGAAAGAGGAACGCGGACAAGATCGCAGATGGTGCGATCTTCGTACGGAGCCCGGATCTCGCTGCCTACGCGTTGGATCTTGCTGCGGACTGTGTCATCCATGTCCAGTAAGCAAACCTCTTCTTAGCCGTCCTCCTCTCCTGTTTTATATCCTGCAGCCAATCTCCTTGCAACGATGCACCGAAGAGATAAGATCGAAGACGAAAAACCAGTGGGAATTGCGAGGACGAGAGTACATCGGAAGGTGGAAAGTGAGACTGACGTTCACCTGGGAGGGCTCGTCTTTCGGTACGGTTTCGGGATATGTGTTCAGAATTGTGGACAGCGGAAAGTCGTATAGAGGGTGGCGCCGTCAAGGACTAGTAGCCGCTATGCAGGTGCGAGCTTGATAAATCGTAGAATACGGCTTGTACCTCTCTAACTCTCCCGACCACGTACTCCTCCGCATCGTGGGGGAGGCCGTCCATATATCGCGCAGAAGTTGGGGGATTACGAAGACGATTACGAAGACCAGGGATAAGAGTAAACAAGTCATCGGCGTATTGATATCTTTCACGATGATGGTCAAAGTGGTCAGAAACGTTTGAATTGGCTCGTATTCACACCTGCGACTGTACACGACACTCTCATCCACCTGCGTGACGGTGCGCCTAATCGTATTTCGGGGGCCCGTCCGGTGCAATCCTCGCCGCTAAGCAGGCCTCGTGCGGCTGAGCTGCAGATGCGCCCGCGTGCCGTTATGCTTCCTCCAAAAAATACGGCACTCGCAGCGTCGATACCTCCTACAACGCGTCCGGAAACACCTGGGAAGGCACAACAGCCGTTCTGGTCTGCTGGGTTGGTGACCTGGAAGCGGTACGGTCCTTCCTGCAGACGGCACTCGCGAGCGGAGACATACGTTGGACGTCCAGAATCTGTTACGGATGCCCTAGTTAGCAAGCCGCGGTTGTACCAATGCTGAAGATAATTTCGTCCTTGCTAACGATACTTCAGTAGGCCGTACGGGCGGCCTCGCGCAGACGGCCGTCTCGATCTTCCTTCCAGACCGATCGTGTCTCCAGGCTCCACAGAAGTAACCGCGGGGGCCTATCACTACGCTGCTACCGGGGGACAAGTGAGAATATCTCCCTTTCTGCAAAGATTCCGGATACTGACGGCGCCGCGAATGTTCATCACCTGCAGAGACATAACGACTCGATTCATCCAACGCAAACGTTGTAGCAGCGGGTCAGCAAGGTCGAGGACAGTGTTCCGAGTGTGGACGTGTAGATCCAATACAGCACCGTCGCTGTCAACTTGCGCACCAGCGAGATGATGGAGGAGATGCAAGGGCAGAACAGAATGATTTCAGTGTGGGCGTGATAAAGAACGTAGCGTATTAGAGCACGTCTGCATGAGTTGACGAAGCAGCGTGTGAAAACATCCGAGGCGCGCTTATCTGGTCCTGATCTAGCACGATGCTATCAAACCCGGAATTGCGAGGAACTTGAATTGCGACGCTGGCTAACTATAGTACTCTCTAGGTCTTGACTCTTTCGAATTCCTCCCTCTTGCACGACTCTGCGTCGTGAGTATTATGGTATAACTAGACCAGAAGAACGGTATACATAGGTCCGGAGGCACGACCAACTCTATCACCGGTGCGACTTGGACATTTCGGACCAAATAATGAACTCCCCGCTCCAAATTTTTGATGCATAGTTCAATAGAGTCACAGATCGCTCTAACTCCTGCGTCAACTTCGGCTGAAGACTGCTAGTCCACCATCCTTTGATATCCGGTGCGTTGTATTGGACGTGTGCATGCGATGATTATATTTTAACCACTACGCTTATAGACATGTTTAAGCAGGCGATATTATACATACCGCTCTTAGCTCTTCCAAGCTCACACTGTTCATGCTACTGGAAGTATCACATTTGACAGATCAACTTCGCGCGCGCGCAGACTGCGGAGCATTGTCGTGTGAGTGCCGAAGTTCGGCGCCTGTTCCCGTTCACCCGCATTACTACTTTAGACCCTTGAGCTCTCCGCTCGGGCATATATATTGGGGGGCCAGGATCTGTTCTCCTACGCTCTCCAGGCCCGCATTGTGAACATGGAAGTGCATTGGTTGGTGTGCGGGCCAAGGATTCGAGCGGCAGGATCTCCGAGTGAGATTGACTCTGGAACTATGCATGCTCGGGGGAGATCAGTGCTCTTACACATCTGATTGTCAGAGGTTGACACATGGTGTGCGATGTTTGTCAGACATGCGGATTCAATCTGCTTGCAAGCGGTGTGTGTGCATGTATCAATGACATGTCTTCCCCTCTGTGCATACGTACGAGCAGTCTCTTCCGCCAGGTCTTTAACCTCAATCAGAGTCAATCTGACGGATTTTTAAACCCGAGCGGGCATTTAGTCCATCCATCCATCGCCGTGCCGGGGCCGGGGAGTACGGAGTGGAACCGACAGTGTCAACGAACGTACGCTCCGAGCAGTAAACTGTAATTATAACTGAAACGTTTGTCCTGTTGCGAGTTATCGGAACGAGAGAGCGCCTCGGTCAAAAAGGGACCTCGCTCAAAATGTATAGCATTCGTAAGCATGTACAGTCTGGATTGAACGATCGGGTGCTACTTCGGACCTCAGGCCGATTTCTCCTAGAAAACTCGATTGATACGGATTAATGTCCAAGCCAGTTGTTAGTCACACAATCAAAGAGGCCTGTAGTCCAGCTGATAGACCGGAACTTTCTCCCCCTTCTTGGGCCCCTTCATCTGTCCCAATAGGCAATATGGACATCTCAGTGTGCGAGACGACACAAAACATGCATACCTTTGCTAGATTCCTTTATGCGTCGTAGTAGTTTCTTGGCGAGTATCCATGGGGTACTGGAAAGCGGACGTTCCTGCGGCACCTGACACATAATTTCAAGTCGAGGAAGAATATCCAGCTGATGAAGAATTGAGAAGTCATCGTCTACACAATGCAAATTGTTAGTACCTGTAGTATCTGAAGTAATTTGTAAGGATAAGCAGTGAATGAGCGCACCATGCTTTATCACAAATTCAAAAATTTCAAGCGCAATTTTGTTGAATCCAAAATTCGAGACATCGAATAGTTGTTTTACTGGCGACAGGAATGATACAGAGAGCATGTATTCTCTGGCGGTATCTATGGAAATGACACTGCAGTCCCCGATAGAGATTCAAATAGATTAGACTTACCATGACGAGAAAAGGCACGAAGTGCATCAATTACGCCGTTGGGCCAGAAAAAGTCCTCCGGTCTCCGACCCAGGTGATCGTCATCAAGTAGCTGTACAAGTTTGTCAGGTGTTCCGAGGTCGAGGAAAGCACTGCAAATGTCCGCTACGACTTCCTCCATCACTAAGGACGAGCTGAAGAAGCGGAACCAATACCCTTTGCTACCATCCTCGCGATAACAGCACTTGCTATGTCCCACTCGTGAGTATGTAGCATCTGAACAATGCTGCTTGACACATGGTGCTGCACAATTGCTGCCCTAACATCATCTTTATGACAGCTTTAACATATCCTCAAATATGACACAATTGAAATGAATGCTGACCTCGTTGTAAGGAGAGATGTTTGAGCATTTGTAGCATCCCAATTCGCAAACCCTTGTCCGCTGACACTCCAGCATGTTCATATAGGTCCATCATGTCAGTGTTGAGAATTGTCAGACAAAATTCATCTGTTGTCAGCACATCAACAATGTGCCTTCCAAAAACAGAGTTCTGTTTACAAACCATATTGTGCAAGATCAGCTAAGAACTCCAGGGCAATAATCTTGATCCCACCACCATGCCTGACGTGCTGAGCTACTTCTTCAATAATCTTATGTTCAACCATCCTGTGGCGCAACTTGGCTGCAAGAAAACATGAAGACATGCAGTGTAGACAAGTATCTCACAATATACCATTGCTTATCATTAAGGAGAGCACTGGCAAATGGATGACAAGTTGTTCACCATTTCGGATGAGCTTCAGTAATAAATTGATGATCCCGCAATCGAGGACCTCTTTCTCGAAAGAACCACCTGCCTTTCTATGAGCAAGAGACTGTACATTATGATGGTAGTTCTTCACCACTGTGCAGCATTGAATTTAGAATATGCAGAGCCCTTGTTACTCCTGGGTCATTTTGTCCAGATAGCTGAATGAGCAGGACAATCACCCTTCGCCACTCATCAACATTCATGTCCCCTTTAAGTTATTCTGTAATTACTGGCAGCATTGAACAACAAAGAAGGACTCACATGGAGCCTCAAAATTTCTCAACTCTTTTATTGCCCAAGTCTTTGTTTGTTGGTCATTGCTGTTTAGATACTCAGCAAAAGCACCAGCCACAGAGGCATTATCAGTGACAATTTTGCAGCCAGGTGCTGCGTGATTCAGTCCAACAATAATAACATGCAAGTTGGGACTTACATTTACTCATTGCAGTTTGCGAAATGGCATGTAAAGTTGACCTATGTAAGAGATCTGCTTCACCCTGGAATGCTTTTTGCAGCCAAGTAAGATAATGAGGTGTGAAGCTCTCTGTATGTTTATATGTCAGTTCTGCTCAACAGATGCATCCATGATAACATACCAGCAGTTCCATATTGTTTCACCCAACAAATCAACTCCCTCAAGCCTTGTATTCCAGCTATGTTGTGTGATAATTAGCTGCACAAGCAGTGTTGCACAATTAGCAAGGACACACCTGTCTGTTTGAATGAGTCAATACTCTGTCGACTGAGCACAGCATCTGGGGATAACACAAAATTTGTGAAATCAGTGACTGTATCTTGCCCACTATGCTTTGCAAGGCCCTTAAGAAACTGCACCCCATTGGAAAATACTGTCCCTTTATAGATTATTATGAGCTTGCAATTATTGTGATCCAAATAGACAACCCATACTGTTATGACCTCCTCCAAGCTGCCACCTGCTTAACGTGCACCACCAATGGTAGCCCTTTCCCCCAGGTTTCACCCCTGGATTCTTGCCTATTATCACACCTAAAATTAAAATCAAATAAAAGGAAAATGAAAACAAAACATACATAGGGCAACAAATTGCGGGAACAAGCGTGCAGCAGAGTACAAAATATCTTTTTGAGAGAGATTTATCAAGTTAATCAAGGCATTTGCAATTTCTGTGCTGTTGAGGATGTTGACATGCCCATAAAGGGATGACCCCCGGGCGTGCTCCATCAGCTGAAGTGCCGAGACCCGCATATAGGCAGGTAGCTTTTCTAATATTGAGACAATTCCTGAATTAAAGGAGTTGACAGTAGATTCGGCGGGTGTATCTATGCCAAACAGAATCAACCAAACAATGACATATAAGTAAATGATCTCACCTCCCACAAATTTCCAAACTTCTTGTTCAACTAGATGAGGATTCACTTTATGAAGAGTGAGAAGTGTAGCAATGGCAATATCAGCAGCATCTGTGGACAAGCAATCTATCGCAAACTTTAAGATCGACGAATCGTACGGGTGATCTACCCAAAGGGGGTCTGGAAGATACAGGAGCAGTATCGTTCGTTTGACTTGTGATAACTTGTCACTTTCTGCCAATGCTAGCGGCATGAGTACGTCCTTGAAGCCTGCACGCCACAATAACAGTAAATTAAGCTGAGGACGGTATTGCTGGGACTGAGGGTCATTTGAGCGTTGAATGCCTATCCTGAAAACCAACTCTACGGCCTTTGCTTTGACTTCGTCCGTCAGTTCTCGTTTGATGAGGCTTTTGAGTGTTCTGTGTCCTCTGTCGGCCCAGATGATAGCAGCGACCCCTGCTTCTGAAATTTATTATCAGAAAGAATGCACGCTGAAGAACAGTCAATATCGCACCAAATTCCGCTAAAGCTAATAAACGGTCTAGAGCAGACTGCAGCTCTGGTTCATTGGTGTACTCGAGAGCTTGCACGAGGGAAACCGCGGAGGAGATATCATATAGGTCAAACTCTATCCTCTTCTCAAAATGGCTCAGTTCATTTATGTGGTCTTTTCCGAGAATACGATCCCAGGTGCAGGTAGCGTCACGGGAGAATATGAATCGAGCACGAGGGGTGTATCCTATCGTGAGAGTAACAGAAGCATGTATCTTCTGGTCTGGTCTGATATACCGATGTTCACCGCAATGAGGGGCTACCCTGTGCAACCAATGAATCAGTCGAGCGTATGACCACCACGGCAAATCTTCCGATTGCGCCAAATGTGGCAAGCTCTCTGAGTGACGGAGGAATGGGAGCAGTTCGAGAATCCACCAGGATGGGGTGAGAGACTCAATTGGGGTCTCGTGTTTGAGTTGCTCCATATTCCACCCTACTTTCGTAGGCTTGAACTTGAGTCCCGCTGTACGTGCTTCGTTCGCCATCCAGAGAGCCGGTATATCCTCCATCAATAGCTTATCTTTTGGTCTGTTCCCACCTCCGCTAAGATGCGATGAGTACAGAGACATGCATCAAATTAAGTACACTGACACATCTGAGTGACAGCCCGCAAACCAAACTTCTTTCAAATGGGTGTACACGCCATCTCGCTCACTACTGTTCATCCGATCAGTTTGTAGGTTCCGAGACTGCCCGACGCTCGATGAGAGATGACCTCGTAGAGCATCCTTAGTACTGGGCTCAAAAAATTCCGGATTGAACTTGACCCGGCGCTCATCGAGAGCAAGAGCATGACGAACATGGCAGACGTGGTCGCAACTCCGCGTACGGGGAAGGTCCTTCTTGCGCCCGAACACGCCCACAGAAGAGACAGTGTCCCTGGACCAAATAACATTGGATAGCACTGTCAGATAGATAGAAGAAAACATTTACCAGACACCCAAGAAGTGTACTTTAACTTCACGATGAGAGAAGGTCTCCTTGAAGTGGTTTGCCATACTGTCATCCCTGTGGGACAGAAGAAGTGACACGGAAAGGGAAGTTCATATCAAGGGTCTATGACGATCGAATATAAGCACGTACGCCTGTTCGTATAACTGATATGCACTGGGGGAAAAATGTCAGTATTGTATACGTAGACGAGGAAAGGGACATACAACGGAATCTGCTCCTCGTTACCCGAGTATATTAATCCGACCTATTTGCAGAGAATCATTCGTGTGTTCGTGGATCACATATGCAAAGTAATGCATACCTGCTCGATCATTCCCGCTAGAACTCGAACCTGATACGCGCCGCGCGAAAATCCTGAAACCAAAAATCTGTATAACCTGATAGTGGAACTGCATGTGCTGCAAACGTACCAAACAGAAAGATCTGATCCCCTGGTTGGTAGGTATCCGACAGCCAACGATAGGCACCGAGGACGATCTTTTCGAAGTTCCTGTGTGTTGGCTTAGATCGGCAAGTTACAGAACACAACATAGCACGCATACCGAGCGAACGCCATATCAAACAAACTGCTCAGCTTCAACTTCGTCCTTTTCCAAATGGTACTGCGAGCGGTGTTAGCATACGTGCCTATACCGCTATTGTAGTAAGAAAGCTGTTGGCCATCCTTCTCGATACGGGCATATATTTCGACAACGTTGGAGTTCTGCGCTAACAGTCAAAGGACCGCAGTGAGGAAATATTGCTACACGTCCTACCTTGCGCCCAAATTGGTTCAATGTCCCGTCAAGCGCTACGATCAGCTTTCGCCCATTCTTCTCTGCCTTGCAGATCTTGCAGCAATGCTCCTTGTCTTTATCAATGAGCGTGCTTGACGGTTGGGCTTCAACTGCACCGGAAGCCGCAGGTATTCCTGGATTATCAGGCTTGTCGTTCCCTTTACCTAGGGATCCTGAAGTACTAGGCCAGGCTGACCAACGATTATCAGCATTCAACACAAAAGTATCAGCAGTATAAATTCACTTGGCTCAGCTTCAGCGTTGGAAGACATGTTGGCGACGTTCGAGTCAGACATTCGAGGTCGATGATACAGATGAACCCCTAAGGTTTCATGAAGGCCCACATCTCATATTCCCCACGCATGGCGTCCTCATGTCAGATTTGCGAATTCCAGTGAGGCTGCCGGGAAAGCCGAAGCGCATCTTCAGATAGCCCACGATGAACGTGTTGCCCGGTCAGGTATCTGCATTCATCGATGTCGACATAGCCACCTTAGCCACCGAAATGACACTATCGTCACCCCCATTCAGAGTAGGAAATTTTGGAACAGACATACCGTATGCGTGGTGTAATCGTCTTTGATCAGCCGCTTCCCACTACGGGTCAATGGAGTCGCCCGCGGTGATATCCTGACTTCGAAATTGCGAAGACCGCCATCTGATCCACATGTTCCACTAATGCACGGACACTAAAGGGCCTATCATTTTGTGTTCACAAATTTGAGCGAGGTATTAGGTACATATAGAAAAGAGGAATGTCGGTCAAATCATCACCCATCCCTGCAGGATGGTGTCTCTCGTCGACTTCGCGTTCCGGAAGCTAGGCTTGCGTGCAACCACATGACAACGGGTTTTGATTACACGAAGCGTGCAGTCGCTAATAGGATCCCGATGAATGGCTGATGTGGATCGTGAGGCGCCGGTGTGACAAGTGCAGTGATAGCCCCATGCGCCGCGTGTCGCAAGGACTCACACGCGCCCACAGATGATGATGGGAGTTGGACCATGAATACAAGAACACGATGAAATTGCAATAACCCATGATACCTTGCAATACACGGTCTTATTCCGTAGGAGTGATTGTCTATGTCACCTCCATATAACGTGACGGTTCAGTACGGAATTTTGGGTGATGAGGAGCCTACAAAGAGCAGTCAGTAACGAATGACAGTGACAGGGCAGAAAGCGAACATCATACTATTCCAATCGTGACGATCAGCGTGTAAGCACCTCCCTGGGCCAGATATGCGACCCACGTTCACCTCGAGGAAGAGACAAGATTCGGTGCATACGGGCTTTGTAACGAGTTGGGCTCGGCTCCATCGGATGCAAGGAGAGCGGGTCATCTAAGTGGCAGGAACGCTCGTCACGAGAGCACTACGTGGGACAACGAGCGGATTAAGAAAGGGACAGTGTCTCCAAAACAGCGGAGCAGCCGTGCGGGCGATAGACGAAGTCACCCTCGAATACGATGGCCGGAGATTGGTCTCAGAGCTGGAAGGGCATGAACAGGCCACGTACTGAGTGGTTGTCTGCCGAGGCTATAGGCTGTAGCAGGCTCTGGGTATAGATGCAAACGGCACAGTAAGTTTGGGAGTCTTTCACGCTTAACATTTGCGTCCGGTGATACCAAATAACTCATAGTTACACAGACACCGCTGGTAAGACTTCACAACCGGGGTAAATGCAATATCCTAGGAGAAACGAAGCTGCTGGGCAGCCGAGGGGAGCAATGGTTCAAAAAACTATGTTCCGATCAAGCAATAGAAGACGCACCAATTGCACACTCTGGAGATCAACATTGTGCCTTGTTTGCTCAACCCTGATCTTGCACCAGACCGGAGAATGATGCGAAAGATTTAAATATTACGACCCCCTCCAACTCTATCTCGTGTTATGCGCATGGTGCGACGAGGCAGGAGGTTGGGCAGCATACCGAGACGGTGCATCACAGCGCGTGATAGTTGACGTAGGCCCGCAAGGGATAGCGGAGTGTGAGAGCAGCGGCAGAGGGCCAGGCCTATCCCTTCCCGTTCATGCAGGCGAAAAGATGGGTAGTCCAGAGCGCACATAATTTTCACTTCAAGGTCTCATTCCCTATCCAGTTCAACGCTCGAGCCCTCAAGTAGTCCGTCCTTCCACGGCAGCAGCAGTAGGCCTCTACCAGTGCGGAAAGCACGATCGTGATCTTAAGGCCAATAAGACTGGAGAGCACACTCTCGGTTCGGTTGGCACTTCTACACACGAGGTGCGACGGAGTCTCCTGTCGAGCAGTGATCGCACTAGTACTCCGCAAAGCGCTCCTCGTCTATTCTCTTATCGATCGCGGAAACGACGATATCCAGGACCCTGGATAATCCCCCCAAAGGTCGTCGCCAAAACCCCCCCAATTTACAAAAATCTGTCCGGCCCATTTTTGGCCGGTTTAGGGAGTTTTTTGTCCGGAAATAGCGACATCTTCGCTCTGGGGACGTCCATTTTTGGCAATTTGTGGCTATTTTTAGCCTTTTTCGGCTTTTTCCGGCGATTTTCCGGCGATTTTTGCCCCAGAACAGTTCCATGTCCGGATAGTACGACGGCTACATGGTCCTTAGGGGGTCCATTTGTCCGGACATGACGACGGCGTGAGGTCGATTTTCGCAAAAATCTGTCCGGATTTGGCGACGACCTTTGTGGGGATTATCCAGGGTCCTGGATATCCTCGGCGTCCAGTCGACTGGGCGTGATGCATTAACGCACCGCACGTGGAGGCCCACTGATCTCCTCGAGGCGACCCTAGATCAATCATCATGAGTCGCGAGTTGTGCCCTTAACGCGGTTATACCTATTGAGGACCAACGAAGTACGGAGGGCCGCCCTCGATGCCTCCAGAGTTAAGGCTGTTCGGGAATGAAAGTCTGAGTAGCATTGTGCAGCCCTCAGAACGTGTCATTCCAAGGCCTGCCCCGATGCGCTTGCTGGAGAGTCAGGCTGCAAGAGAGAACGGGGGCAAGAACGAAGAATGTCTGATCTATAGCTAACACTTCGTGACTGCAACTACAATCGCGAAGGCATTGAAAAGCGTTCGCAGCGAGTACTGGAGACGATGGGGAAAGACGAATGATTTCGAGCACGGCGTAAACAGTGCGCGGGGTTGATGCGACCCCGTCGAGAAGGGTTCCGGTATATTGGCCATACTCGCAAGTGTGCTGTCTAGCAGTGGGATGGAGGAAAAGCGTCAACGATGCCGGTAACAAGCCACGCGAAAAGGCATCAATACACCAGCGGATTCGGATGGCAGGAAGTAAGGAAGTACTAATTATAAGTTGAGATTAACAGCTTTCCAAATGGTAGACTCAAGCTATACGCACTTTTAAGCCAAGCTATGCCCTTTCTGACCAAACGCAGTACATAGTACTTGACATCGATCCGTGGAGCTGGAGTTTCGCTCTCCTGCCATTCGAGTTTCGGAGTCCATATTTGCAGACAGATTACGCGTTTTCCGGGTGGACACCTCTGCTATAACAGCGCCATGGAGGAGGTTCCGAAGATTGTAGAGAGTCTGGCGTAACGTCGAACGTTTGGATGCTGCAGGGACTTGGGTTGTGACGTCCTGTGTGCCCACAGTGCCGCGGCAGTGGGCACGAGTCTATCCCAATTTGGCGAATCGGTTGTCAGATACGGATATCCTCCTGAAATTGAGGCAACGAAGGTTCAACGTTCAATATTTAAATGCATGACTCGAGCTCGCGGATCCTCGCTATATGACGATACTCAAACTGCATTTTTAGATCTCGATTCATATCAGGACGTGGGCACAGATTCCTCCTCTTCTACGCACTTCACATCTGACCTACCCTCGCATCGTGACTGGTCAGCGCAAGCCCGTCATAGACTTTCCCGACCATGACCCTCAGCTAGGTCCTCGAAGAGTGAGTACCAGTTTGGTCAAATTCGTGTTATTCAGTCTTGTTCAGGCCACTCTCCCATCCACGAAATCCTACAACATTCGAATCAATGAGATATCTGGTGCCCGCACATGGTCGTGTGCATAACATGGAGGCGTTTTTGTGGGTAATCAGTTACATCTGTCTCACACGTAAGGGCCCAGGCGGAACGCGGAGAGACGAGCTGAAGGACGACACGCAGGTCCCGGAAGCTCAACAACGTCCTCTACTGTGTCGTCGATGGCGATAATTATGAAGTCCTGGTGCAGAACGAGGAGAAACTATTCTCAAAAGTGTAGGCGACTGCGAAAGTACATCGTCTCTCGGTTTCACCCCTACTTCGCGCCTTTGAAACCGTTCCTCCGGGAATGGTGGAAAATATTGTAGTCACGTACCGATTTCGCAGATTCGAAGCCATCCAAGACCGGTTCCTGGTGCTGAGGAAGCACATCGATGTGTTGAAGCGGAAGGCGGGCACTACACGTCAACGTGTTCATCCAGCGACTGTCAACGAGGACGAGTCCCCAAGCTGCGAAGAACTTCGTGGCCTCTTGGTGGGCGATGGCTCCCGTCACCGAAATCGTTAAAGGGCGGTCACATGGCAAGGCAACGTTAACTATGCCGAAGATACGAGACGTCGCCAGTCGTGAAGTGTCTCCGCTGCCCAAAACGGCGTTTGGCTTGATGAAAGATCTGTTCGTGCGTTGCTTGGACCACCTCGGATTATTTCCCATCTTCTAGGTCATTCACTGTCGTGACTTCCGGATTGTAGTCACGCACCATCAATGACTGTGAATGTTATTGATATCGGATGCGATGTAGATTCTCGTTGTCACGGTCCACAATTTCTGACATTTCATACGTCGCTGAGACACCGGTCTTCTCGCGGAAGGCCTAAACTCGACTCGCAAGATATGTACGGAAGCACATGATAGGAAGATTCTGGCTCGGGAGGGAATGAGTGCTATGCAACAAGCCAAAGGTGCATGAGCCTGAGGTGTCCGCGTGCACTGCTGCAACCATACAACGGCGAACCCTGCGTTGGAGATGGAGAGCAACGGGGGTACGGTAACATGAGCAAATCTCCATTATGCGGCAATGCGTGTTCCGACATCAATCGTCCATTCGAACAGTCATGGCACTCTGGAAACCTCTTCCAGAAATACACCGCATGCTCAAAATCGTAGCATCAAGGCATACTCACCTCTCCTTATCCAGGGCACGATGTCAAATTCCGAGGAAATGCACGAGCCAAGCAACATATGGTCGGCGCATGACATCTATCTCGTGAATAGCTGGAGCATATGTCCGTTCGATCCAATCAAGCGCAGCGATGTCCGACGGGGAAGTAATGTAGCGGAAGCTCATGGTTGTAGTCTTCGAGTGGTCGCTTGTGGCATTCACTAGCAAACCGGTGCTGAGGGGACAGTTGTAGTCGAGACCTGCAGACGAAATGATCGACGGGATGCAAAGCGACGGAACGTGCATGAGCGCCGCGGCCCGATACGCACAGGGGAAAGTGGAGGGTACCGGAACGCAAGCATAAGTGATTAAAGGAAGTATGAAAGAGGCAGGGAACAACGGCTCTTCGCTGTTGATACCGAGTGGACAGCTCGAGAAAGGACCGCTGCCGGAATTGCACGCAACGAGAGAGGGGAAACGTAGACCCATTGAAGTAGAAAATGACAGACAATATGGCGGTCTAGTCGCATACCTTCTATTTCCTGACGAGAAGGCGAGCGGACAGCACATAGTGCAGGCAGGGACTGGAGTTCCGTTGTGATGCTGTCTTCAACAAAGGAGACCATAGATGGAAACACGGACGGCGGGTACAATGAAGAATTAGAAGGCTGTACACTCAGCGATAAAATGGGAATGGCTCTTGCGTACCGTGCGCTGCTTCTTTCTCGTTCTCCGTTCTCGCCTTCGCAAACGTCCACCATGGTACGGCGCTCTACGGTGCCCTGCCGACACTGAGAACGTGTAACCCACAACCGCACAGGATGATATCTGCCTATCCAAGGCATTTCGTTTGCTAAGAAAGTGAGCTGCACGGCCTCTAGAGGCACACCACTTAGTCGGCGTCAAGCTTAAGTAGAGTGGCACACGGTCGGGGTGACTGACACGACGAATTGTATAGAGACAGCCAGAACGTTTAGCGGAGCAAGCTGGGCATGGAGACACAGCTTAAATATCGCACAATTGGCTCTAGGCAGTACTTGCTAGAGGTGGTGTAAGTACGTCGAGAATAATAGGCTAAGGACCAAATGGGTGACAACTGCTCACTAATCTGCTACCCGATCTAGATCTGGGGAACACGAAGCTATCACCGGAGACGGGGACTAATATCTAAGTTCCTTACATTGTGGGAACATCCGGCCTAACATTGTACATGTATGATGGCCCGTATGTAGCTCCGACGGTCGAAAATATGTTTACAATGTAAGGCCTGATGTCTGGGCATGCGATACCCAAATCACACATTGATAATGTGTGATATTGCGACATATACAATGTTCGCAAATGGCTATGTTACCATATAACATTTGTCCGAAAATTTTAGGTCTCGTTTGGCATGTCTGGCGGGAAGAAATTCTGATCGACATTATGCCTTTCAGGGCAGACAACAGATTAAATATCGAACTAGTATAAGGGCAACACAAAGTTACAATGTATGATCATTTGACATTTGACATTAGAGTCTATATATGAGGTGAGATGTCAGGGCCTCACACCCTCGACCTAATATTCAAACTGTAAGGAGGTCGGACACCCATAGCACCACTAAGCGGCGTACGACGATGCTTCCAAGTACTGAACTTTTCTCAGTGAACTAGAAACCCAATAATGGGAGTCTTTCATACTTCTTTTGTGTTGGAAACATCTGAGGTATGTCCCACCACCTGCGACGTTATCGATGCTCAAAACTCGATATAGCATCATGTGTTACCCTGGGATCTCTTACTCACAGAGTCCGAGGTGGAATGGACCTCGATACAGCCATCGGTGACAATATCAAGGCCGGGAGAGCAGCGCCCCTCACGCTCTGAGACGCAAACGGAGGAAGAGGTGGAGATGGAGCTTGCCCTCAAGCATCCTGACCGACGGAATCCCGACATCGGGCGAGTGGTGCGTGTCATCAAAGGCCCTTTGAAGGGATTTGTGGGCACATTGCGAAATGTCATGTACCACGGCGATTATGAGGTTGAGCTTGAAGCCAAGCTTTTAACCTCAAGGGGCATCCTCTTGTTCTGAAAGCCCGAGATCGCATTCCGGTCAGAAGAAAGGTAAGATTCATTACTTGTAGTTCTGGTCATATCTAACTGCCTCATTGAAGGGACAACATCGACACGGCGGAGCGTGGTCCGCTCCCTGAGCGGCCTCAGACCCCATTGGGCCACGAATTAGAACCCGCGTCACACGACACAGATTCGGCGTGGGCGTATTCGGTGGAACTTGATGGTGCATAACTGCGCCGCCACTACCGAGTGTCCGCTGAATCCACATTAGGACCCGATGGATCGATGTCTTCAGTCGAATCTAATGGTGCGTAGCCTCATCATCAACACAAAATGTCCGCTGAATTCACATCAGGACCCAATGGATGGATGCTGAATGCGGCTGTGGCACCTGCATTCCATACTTATCGCTTCAAGTTCATGTGCACAGCCGGTCAACTCCGAGACAAGCTGATGACCACGGTGAAGGGAGCCTCCCCAGTGGACGGCAAGGTGCGATGCGAATACCGGACGCGAAAGCTGGAATATGCCGATGTCTCTCTCTAAGACCTCGCCATATTGCGACCAGGCCCTGGCGATTATGCGATCGTGTGTAAGCGTGCGGCAAAACGATGTGGGGCATGGCAGACCCGCTTGTTCTAGTACTGGAAGAAGGCGGCAGGACGCTTAGGGTGGATAGGGATGACTTGGCCCAGCTTGTGTGCAAATAAGTGGTTTCCTCGTAATTTTATATGCTGTTCCTGTCCCTTGCCCCTTGTCGTTGCATCCTGCGCTGTTTGTCGATGTCCTGTCATTTGCCGCTTTCTCATTATATACAGTTAATGTACTTCCTTTGATCGAACTTGTGCTTATGCTTGTGCGATCTCCCACGACCAGTTGAAAAGCCGCTGAGCGGTACACTTGGCGATCCAATGACCACTAAGCAGCCATCAAGTGTGCCACTCGTCAAGCCGCTTAGCGGCGCTATGGGTGTCCGACCTCCTTACAGTTTGAATATTAGGTCGAGGGTGTGAGGCCCTGACATCTCACCTCATATATAGACTCTAATGTCAAATGTCAAATGATCATACATTGTAACTTTGTGTTGCCCTTATACTAGTTCGATATTTAATCTGTTGTCTGCCCTGAAAGGCATAATGTCGATCAGAATTTCTTCCCGCCGGACATGCCGAACGAGACCTAAAATTTTCGGACAAATGTTATATGGTAACATAGCCATTTGCAAACATTGTATATGTCGCAATATCACACATTATCAATGTGTGATTTGGGTATCACATGCCCAGATATCAGGCCTTACATTATAAACATATTTTCGACCGTCGGAGCTACATACGGGCCATCATACATGTACAATGTTAGGCCGGATGTTCCCACAATGTAAGGAACTTAGATATTAGTCCCCGTCTCCGGTGTATCAAACATCTTGTGACTTGTCGGGGAATAATCTTGGAAAATACCACTTAGACGACCAGCTGAGGTCTGAGGACGCAGGCTTCCACTGTTCATTCGAGGGTCTGTCAATTCGCAGCATGACCGACCCCTCCGCTCGCCATCCACCAAGCTCGACACCTCCATTGCTCGCGACCCGTCTTCCCTTGCCTACGTGGGCGCCGCTCGACCTGGTGACCGGGCCTCGACGTTCCGTCCGGGAAATCGTTCGCCATTGGCCGCCATCGACTCGTGTGCAGGAGCCGGGTTTACGTGCGCCGAGGTGCGTTCGTCGTCTATTCTGAGACCATTCTCCCAAGGTCTTGACCTTGGAGCTGGGCCCCGCGTGCTCATCGTTGCCATGTTTCATCTTCCTTTCAGCTCCCCGTGCCGCCGTCCGATGCTGGGCAGTATAGCGTCGAGCAAAGGACTTTCGTGCGTTGCTTGATTCCACCATGGGAGGGCGGCTCGTCCACAAGGACGGAGCGCGCTGCGCTGGCAAGGACCTCGACAGGCGTGGTAAGAAACGAGATAACTGCCGCAAGTCAGCAAAAAAAGGTAAACACCGTCCGCGAGTCTTGAGTCCGGTGCGCCGTCTCGTCGTATTCTCAAGCCTGCGCTTTAAACGTTGAACCCCTCTGCGAAACATGCGCAGAAAGAAGTAGCCGGACGGGAAGAAGATCCGCTGGCCTTCCGGGGGACGACGGTGTGCATTCTATACACGCTCCCCCTCCCGCCGCAAACTCATCCCGGGACCTTGCAGCGCCTCTGATTCGTGCGCCTCCCGAACGAAGAGGGTGGACGGCGAATCTAAGTGGGATACCGGAAGGGGTGCTATGAACATTGGAAGGTATCTTGAATCCTTTTCCACAGCTCATGTTCCTGCACGCGCTCCTGAGGCCTGGCGCGACGTGGACGGCGTTTACTGAACACTAGCGTACCATGGCGTACCTTGTGAGTTGCGTTCCGGAGGAGAAGCAGGGCATTCCAATTTACTGATCCCAGTCTTCACAGTACCTCCGCGCATGAGCCTCGACACAACTTAGCTCGCATCCATCAATATTGCGTCCGAGGACGAATTGTGGTGGGAGGGTCGAAGTATGTCTAGCAACCCCATCAATTCGAAGCCACTCCAGCAAGTACGCATATGGAACTATGGAGCTTCAAAGTGCCCGACAGAGGGTAAATGTGGAGGGAATGCACAATGCACAATGAGTACTACAATGTGATGCGAGACAATCACAATTTGGACGCATCCAGTATGCGGCCATGAGGCTTCCGGAAACATTGCTATGTCAGGGAGGTTGCCGGTGAATCCTCAGAATCATATAATTACAACGAAAGCTGGGCCGGCAGCGAGAAACCTAATACATGGCCGCCGACGCGCTGTTGGAGGCGTGGCTGACGCGGTCACGTGATCGCGTTTCCCGCCGGATGCTCATCGCCGCTTCGCTATGTACCGGACTTTGAGATGAATATGTGCAATTCTTTCTCCGACATCGCAGGCAGCCTGGAAGGGCATCACACTGCCAGGCTGCCGCGTTGTAGAGACCTGTAGCCAGAGTGAATGAGTATAGTAGCCTATGTGTCCCGCTGTAAGAAGCCGACAACCCCCGCTTTCCCTTTCCTTTTCTTTTCCTTTCTCTCCTATGCCTCTCTCTGCTCGTTATAAATTACTCATTATGGGCCATGATACATGTGTTACGTCACGACACCGAGGATCACCTCAACCCCTCCCCACACCCCGCGCGATACAATCTACACATTAGTTTTATCTACTATTTCCCTCTCGAGATACACATGCCATACCCCGACCCCACCTGGACGTTCTCCTAGTCATACAGTATTGACCGGAGAACACCGCGTCTTAGCACGTGCTTGCTTGTAGCGGTATATAAATGCTGAATTCATCATCATATGTGTCCCGCTGTGAAGGTGAGCCGTGCTCGGACCACCACTTATACTGAAACGGCATACGTTCCAGGTGTAGAGACGTTTTTCGAAGGACGAGTGTTCAAAGCGCCTCCATGGCGAGCATCGACCAGATGCACGACCAACGCCGCGACTGAGTACGGGGCGCGTGGATGTGCCGTGTCTGCCGCAGAACTTCCCCTTCCTACTTGGTTCGTCCATGGCCTTGCACTTAAGGTGAGATGTGCCCCGTTCCCCCGTCTCGCTATGACGCAGACTGCCTTGTGCGAAAACGTTACGTATCAAAGACTCCACGAACCCGCGTGCTTTGTTCCGACGCCCACGGCCCCAAAAAGCCATTTGCCTTCCCTCCATATGAGGGATATCTGAAGGGTAAACAAACAGAACGTTCTGTCGGTGACCTGGTACACTCTATCCGGCCATGCACGTAGAGTGAGTAAGGCCGAGAAGCGCACCCAGTGAGCACTGTTTCTCTCGACGTTATAGACATAGACGCGGACTACGTTCCCCAAAAAAGACAGGTGTCAGAAATGGCAAGTATCGTGAGGGCAGCACTTACGTTATTGGGTCCGCGACGTGTGAGTGTAGTCTCAGCTCCCCATGAACGACCTCAGGTACGCACGCACGTCTCGAGCACCATGGTCACAAAAATCCATGTGCTTTCTTTCTAGAAAGAAAAGTAAACGCACCCTTCTGACGGTGACCTGGCGATAACGCGTACACAGAAAAGGGTCGAACTCTAAATTCTATCGTCACCGCGCCCGAATAGGTCGTACACTTCACCTTCACCATTTCTAGACGTCGCGTTTCGTCGGCCTCCTTAGCAACATCCTGGACACCCCGCTCAGGATGACCGCGATCTCGGCTCTCGATTCCCAGATAGGGAGGATGATGCAAAAGATCCCGCTCATCGCGACCCAGATGCTGACACGGACAACGGGGTCGGTACAGGATGAACGATCAGAGCGGAACCCGCTTACATCGTGCAGGCGACCCAAAACCGATAGAACGGCTTGCTGAAGACGTAGTGCGAGAAAAACATCGGGAGCGGCACTGAACACATAATCAGCCACAATCCCCGACGTCCGAAGACTATGCCGAGAAGGAATACCGATGATAGCGACGATCAAGGTGAGCGCGAGGGAGTACCACGCCGCCCTTCGGAAGGCGCGTTTGAGCTCTGCCTGGCTGACGACCTCTTTCCCTCCATCTGGGTCGCCGGATCTCACCACACGCACGTCATCCACGACGTCCGCGTCTGCATCCTTCTTCTCGTCCCCTGGTGGGGAGGTGCCGTCGTGGACAGGCTCCGCCTCCATGTCGTCGTAGGTCCTGATAGCCCGAGTCCCAGCAAAGTCGTAGTTCGCCGGCTCTGTCAGCATGCATCAATTGCCCCTTTCATATGAGACGCAGGTCTGCTGCCGGACACGCACTCGCAAGCGACACGAACACCGTGATGAGTCCCGAAAACAGGAGGCCCGTCAGCCCGCTGCACACAGCGGAGTACGGCTCGGCTAGGTTGGACACATTGATAGCCCCTGGGGTGATAGTCAGAAGAAGACAACGCCCGAGCAGCAACGCCTGCAGATGCATACCGAAGATCTTCCAGCAGCCGATCATCCACGCGAGCATCCCGAGGACGGCGCCGATGACGGACCCGCACAACACGCCGGCGCGCGAGAGCTTCGACCAGGTTACTGTCAGCGCGATCGGGATGACGGCAGGACTGAGGACGACGCCTCTGTTCACAACGCCGGGGTCAGAAGACTCAATTGATCGGAAAGGGTGAGCTCACTGTACATAGAAAAGCTGCCACATAGACGTTCAGCGACGGTGAACGGAAGGAGTGGTGAGAACTCACCCAGCCGAGGTTAATATTCGCAGCGTTGAGCTACAACACGGTCAATAGCTGAATGTGGAGAGATGGATGGCGACGCACGATGGTTGCCCAAGCACCGGCCCAGATGGCCCAGACGCAGATGAAATAGTGGGAGACACGAACGATCTCCGCGCTGGTTGCACGAGGGCGGTAGTAGGTCCGGTACAAGCTACGAAAGGAGCCCATCAGTCGCTTTAGACGGAACATCCGACCCGGTAGAACTGACTCATAGGTACTGCAAAACCAGTCAGCTCGTGGTCCAGTACGTCTGGAACTCACTCACAAGAGACTCGATACTCCGATGAGCTCTGCACTGACCGCAGAGGTAACGGCCATACTGCATGAGCACTCATGAGATACGTGAATCGATGCATCGAGTAGATGCACTTACAAGACGACGAGCAAAATGGCCACGGCACCGCCCTTGCCCATGACGACGGCAGCCGCAGCGGGCGCAGCGAGACCTGCACCTGCCTGGCCAGCTGATAGCGGGTTTGGGTACGTCGGGAATTTTGGCTAAAATCGTTATCAAGAAAAGAACATGAATGCATCGGGAAATTGCTTGTTCACGTTATTGAGGAGAGCACGCGCGGCCAGTCCAAGGCAGGATGCGAATGCCCAGGGAACCGCGAACCACGAGAGGCCGCCAAGCATCTATTGAAGGGCAAACGGAGATCACCAACCAAGTCGCACAGTCATTCTGAAGATGCCTCACGTAGGCTTTAGTTGTAGATTGAGGAGCGCTTGCGATCGCCTGAAATACAGTCAATTTAGACAGGTTCCACAGGCACTTTTTCATGGACTCGTACACGCTGCCAGTAACCTGCGTGACATGTGAGCATCATAGATATAGATATTAGCTCGTAATCTACTTCACCTTGGTCACAGAACACCCCGGCGAATCCTTGAGGAAGTTAGCATTCCAGAATGAACTAACCAAGTGGCGGCAATACACTTACCGGATAGAATAGTTGCTGCCCCAAATACCAGTCCTTGGTTCGACTTCATCGTGAGATAACTGCCGTCCTGGTTACCTTCCACAGGTGCATCAATACCAGCTTGTACCAGCAGGTCATACAGGGAGCCGACGCTTCCAGTTGCAGGAGAGGTTCCACTTAGAATTGCGTCAGCGGTGGGAACCAGCCGAAGAGGTATTCCGTACTAAACGTGGCCCACGAAGATGTAAATTGCGATGAATAGGACCAATGTATGTGCCCAGTCGCAGATGAAGGTAGCGCGAAGGCCCCCAAAGATAACATATACTGCAATTCCCACTGGAAGGAGGAAACACGCGGCGATGATATTCATGCCGGTGAGCGCGTTCACGGTTGCAGCGCCTCCCACTAGCATTTAAGTTAGAAAAATTAATTAGTCAGGAAACTCCCGCAAAACATAAAAAGTCAACGGACGAAGAAGAGATCCGCAAACAACCAAGATACACAAGAACGCGTAAAATGTGAACAGGAGATGGACAGCCGTTCCGAATCGTGTTTTCGCAATCTGCAACAACATCAGTCTATGATGGAGTGCTTACTATGAAGGACCAACTTCAAGGAAAGTGTGAGCTCCATTCGCATTCATTTTGACCTTGGCAGCGACCATTGCGAAGAAAGCGAGTTGAATCGTGCCACCTACGCCATACCACCTGAAGCGAGATCTTGAGGGATAAGTGTTGAAAGTGAGCGTTTTAGACAACGCATACCATGGTCCGCTAACTCCTAAACTCCATTATCAGCATAGACAGAAGGATACCATGCATTGACACAGACCGAACGTATAGGCTGCAGTGCTCGACTGCAACAAAGTTGCACTCCACGTCCACGCACTTACACTGTGAGGGGGAAATTGATGCGTTATGGCTCCATGCTTAACGACCAACGTACATGCCACAGCATACAAGACCAGGCTGTTCGGGAGAATCAGAAGGCGATTATCAATGGTGAGATTGGTCTAACTTTGACGCTTCTTGAGGCACTCTTCAAGAAGCATCAGTTTATTGGCTTAGATTGGCAATTGTGCACGCGACGAGACTTACGCTAAATTCTTCGGACGATGTGGGTGAGAAGTGGGAAAACTTCGCTTGCAGCGTTGTCAATACCAGCATCAGCGCGGCGAAAAAGAAGCCGACACCTTTGGACGGGTTGTGGGCGATTCGGTCAAATCCTCAAATAAGACATACTCACCGACAACAACACCATATCCGACGCTCACATCTGGGAAACGCTTAACCTCAAGTCACATAATGAAGATAAATTGGCTCACCGAGTAATGGTTTAAACTCGGAAACGCCGACCTCAGACATTGGGTGATGTACTGGTTGAAGTGAGTGATAAGTATCAACTGCAGCAAGCACTCGATTTAAGGTCTTCTAGAGCTGGGCAGCGTGATACTTGGCAAGATAAGGGGCCCGCGACCGAGTGCAACACCTTCATATTTAAAAGTCGTCTTTCTGCGTAGAAGCATGGTGAGAAAAAGAAGCACTGATAAGATACAGCAGCTTCCCCGCTGTTTTTCCAGTTTGACACGATAATCCAAACGTTCTCAGTATCCGTGTAGATATGGTCAGAGGAGAAAGGCTGAGTGCACTATCTCACTAATTCCACGTCGAAAATCAGAAGATTGGAAGAAAACGCAAGGAGTCATGAGATGCCTTGCAGGGATTCCGTGGTCCGAGACTGTCAATTGATAAGGTTTAGATGTACAGCTTAGAATAGCCACATACGCGATGATTGTTCGCAAGGTGGGCTCGAGTCTCGCAAACTGGCAGTCTCGAGCCTCGAGACTGTCAGCTTATGCAATTCTAGATAAAGGATCAGTAAGTACAGTACTTGCAGTGCCTCAACAGCGACACGCACTGCATACAACAGATGTGCTTTGAAAGTCAAGCGAAACGTTGCAATGTGGCTGAAGGACGGATGATCTACATAGTATGATCACAGCCAAATAATCGATCGGCGGGAAAAAAAGAATTGTGTGTAGAAATCGTACCGCAGGGCCAGCAATGGCTGCTATCCAATGAAAATTCTACCCATTGGTAAGTGAGAATAGTTTGGAAGGGTGGTTTGTGCGTACCACCTACATCAATTCTTGATCCGAGTCAGATGCCATAGTGGTATAACGCCATGACAAATCGTGGACAACCATGGGGGTGTTCTTGGTGGGCAAGCTTATGGTGCAGGAGTATGTGCAACGCAAAAAAGGGAAATGAAAGACAATTAGTGTCATGGTAAGCAGCATGGATTTCCCGTTGGTCAGGTACTGACACATACGTACTCGCCAGTGAGTCGTCAGACATTGGGCACACATAAAACTCACATACGTCGACAGGAAAATGCGAGTGAAGCCTTTCACGAGTCCAGAAATTTTGACTTGGGTATGAGAAACTTACCTCGCAGACTCCTCAGTCTTGCACCCCGTAACAACGAAATCTCAAGTGAAACATTATTCGCGAGGTATTAGGGACCACAGATTTGTTTGCTGAACGAGTAACCAGCGTCGCAGTCAAACCGAGTGCGCGTCAATCATAACAATGCAGGGTCGTACGAGTCAGGCACTTGGGCCACAGGAGGTAGGAAATGCGATAAATCAACATTATTCATGGCCAGTCAGTTCGTTCCTTGAAGGAAACTTTAATCAGATGCTGAGGATAACCTGCGCATAGGCGGACAACAGTGCGTTTCTGAGAATTTCTGTGACCCACTACCACGTGAGTTTTACACGCGACGCGTCACGTCACGTCACTTAACGCGGTATATAAATACGGAATTCATCATCATCAACATCACAACGCGTCTCTAATTACGCTACCACTTCGATGTACTGCCCCAACGAAATCTTGTTGCTGAGATATTACTTCATAGATAAATCGTCGCACGGTGTAGTCCGTCCACATCACTAGGTTGCCATGCCAGCACGCATCTGATTCACCAGGTCGACTACTTTCCTCGAGCGGGGTCGTATCGCGCATTTGAACGACGTAGGGTGACTACGCCAGCATCAGCGATGCAATGCATACTGGGGGACTGGACCGCATACCTAACGAATCCAGGATCGAATGAAGCTTCAGGCGTGATATTGCGGCCTGTGACGTCCACGGTCTTGCCGATGTCCAGAGTCGCGATCATGTTCGCCATTGCAATCCATAAGCTCTGGTCGGCAAATTTTTGACCCGGACACCTCCTATAAGCCGTAACAAACCGTAAGCAAGCCGCAGAGCATGGAACGCAAATACGAACCGCCGACCAAACCCGAACACGAACTTGCGCGGATCACGCTGTTCCGCCGTTTGGCCGTCCATCTCCTCGAAACGTTCCGGTCGGAAAGCGTCTGGATCAGGATAGTTCTCCTTGTCTTTCGTCATCGACCTTGCAGAGAATTCACATGGATACCGCAGTCATGAACGATGGAATTTCATGGACGAACCAGATATTTGGGATGACCATGGTTCCCCCTGGAATGTCATATCCACGATATTCGTCGTCTACCATAACTTTGTGCGGGATTCCTGGACACAAGAACAGGCTTAGTGGAGCATTTATATGAATATGGTGCGCTCATACCCAAAGGGACAGGGCAATTCCATCTTCAACCCAGGTGATCAATTCTGATACGCATTTCATGACGAAGGCGAACACACCGTAGTACCTCACTCAAGACGCACTCCAAATACGGCAGCGATTCCCGGTCCTCGAAGTCTGGAAGATTGCCTTTTTTGATTACTCGATCCATCTCATCTTGGGCCTTTTTGTATACGTCTGGATACAACACCATGGTCAAGATGAACGTCGCAAGGACACCTATGGTCTGTAACATTCGCAATGGTCAAAGAGACGAGGTCGAGAATCGGGAGACAATTACAGTGTCGCTTCCAGCTAATTCAAGTAAACTTAAGACTTCCACTTTTCACAGAGAAGGGATTAAAACACACCTCCATACAAGGCACCGGCTGCGCCTTTGATGTCAGCTTCATCCTGCGGGGACGTCCCTCCGCTGTTCTGAGTTTGCTCGAGAAGAACTGAAGTGAACGAAGGAAACGCAGTGCCCGCTGCCTATCGAGCATCATAAGGTACTAAACGCTACACGACAAAACGCGATACGTACCATAGCGCTCTTCACCATGTCGTACGGGGTGTCGAGCAACCTCCTTACAAGCACGCTGATTCGAGCTGCGTCTTTCTTGAACTTGCCGCCGGGCATCCATGCCGGGATGTATCTTACTGAACGGTGTCGTCATCAGCTGTTTATAACGAGCTCGAAATATATAGAGCTTACACCATGGAAAGAAGTCCACCAGCATTGAACCCGGGGTCCCGGCTTCGACTGTCTCGGTAGTTGCCCTGTCCGCGATCTGAATGTACGTGTCGTCCAATGACCTGACAGTGTGTCCATAGGCAATTTCCATGATCAATGCCGCCGCAAATCTAGATAGAGCTAAGGGCTCTCGAACACGCGGAGATGAACAACAGGACCGGCCTTTTTATGTGCGACATGAAAGACTCCGGCGTTTCGAACAGCCCGGAGAGAAGTATGTAGGACTCCCGCTTCTGCAGCGAACGATAGCTCATAAGTGAGCTTTTGTCTTCAAGCGTGTCACGCATCCATTTCCGTTGCCTTCGAAATCGTTCCCCGTAGGTCATGTGCGTCACGACATCCCAACCCATCCTATTCATGTAAGTCGGCACGCGGATCGAGGACCCAGAGAAATTCACATACAGTTCCTCCAAGAGAATGAAGCGTGGTCGATGCGAGTACTTTGCACTTTTCTTGTCCAGCAGGTCCTGTGCTGCCTGCAATGAATTCAAAACAAGGGCTGGAGTTTGGAACAGCCGGGTAAAGACGAGGTCACCTGGCAATCCAGTCAGTACATGCAAACGATGCAGCGCTCGACTGGCACCATATTGTGTTCCCCAGGCGGCAAATGTTCTCTCCTGATGCAGGGAAGGCAGTTCATGGACATTGCCTAGGATTGGTACTGGCTTTGGACCCGGCGGAAGACGAAGGCCACGCCCATTCTTTATGCGAATGGAGTACATGAAGCAGCATACCACCAGGAGTACAAACAGGAGTAATATGGCAGCACTGACAGATGAGATGCCTTGGACGAGGAAATCCATCAAGGTTCTGAGCTGGTGGACAGCGAAGCCGTGGTACAAGGAATCTGTCCGTCAGTAAACCATCTTTATACGAAGATGGCCCGTCGATGAGGCGCCCGAATCTGATCAAGAGCAAGCCAGCGGCATGGCGGCGATGCGTGCGTCCAAGAGTTTGGACGTAAATTCTGAAGGGGCGCTCCTGAAAGCCCGATGGACTTCCCTGTCCAATAGATTGCTATTGTCACGTAGTTTGAACAGACAATACTGTGAGACCAAAGTGGCAAAGCGGAGTTCCGTGGCAGGCGCGAAAGGCCCAACCTAAAGGTTCAAGTTTGATCATACTTGGACACCTGCAGATGGCAGCTGCATATAGGTAGTGGATCGTCCACCAATCGCCGAATTTGTAGCGCAAGGATCCACACAACGATTGGAACTAGCGATGAGCTGACTAGAGAGGAAAGATAGCTTAGGTTATACAGGAGCATGTCAGTCATTGGTGCGTTCACGCAGAGCCTCATGCATTAATGGCAGCAGGCCTGCGTGCGTCTTCTGTCTGACCTCAATTCCAAGTCGGGTCAATCGGGCGGAGTTAGGGTCAATCGGGTTCACGTTTCATCGATTAGCCGAGCGCTAAGTTTAACCCTGTGGACCTCGCAAACTTTGCTTGAACGGCACACCCCCTTGCAGTTGCAGTTGTCTTAATTCAACTTCTGGCAGTGCAGTCTACCTCGCATCCACCTGTTTCCGAAAGGCCGCGCGCGTCCCTACTCACTGCTCAGAGCTCCCGACGCAAGGTCACATCCGCTACAATCGCAACCGCAACACCTGCAAGCGCAGACATGCGCTCTACAATGCAGCAGCTTACGTGACTCTCGACGTGCGTTCTCATCCCGGCATTATAATTCTGATTGTCAGCGGCACGATATGAACACCGAGGTGTGTTCGGCGTCTCCACGCGTCGTTGAACAGTCTTGATCCTATTGGCTTTGTCTCTTAGAGTATGAAATCTGAATTAAGGGCGTACTCCTGCATGCAAGAGCGTACATCGATTGGAATGTAGACTCAGGACAGGCCGATTTCTTGTATGAGGGCTCGGCTCCGTTTCAGATACACGAGGCTTAAGCGCCGCCATGGTAATTATATTGTCGGCGTCTGAGCGTCGAGTTTCGAATTGTCGAACATGTGGCCATCGATATTGAGACATTTCTGCCGAACTTTGTTGACAGCACAAAGTATTTTGTATATGTGTACGTTCCGGATCTGCTTCCCCGCTTAGTGGATCCATCTTCCTGACCACCGAATCCACTTCGAAGCTCCCGCCGAAGGGCCTCAGAACGCCGGCACATCTTTGCCACCGTCCGCCAGCGGCGTCGAGTAGCTGCAGAATGTCATTCAATCAAGAGAAAGTAATGAAACTTTCTTCGACATCGTGGTTATTGTCTTCCAACTCTTCGGAATGGGTATCTTACTCTCAGGATTTACCAGGCAACATGCCGTGATGCTGAGGGGTTTGGTTCGATGCCCTCAAGTTGAACGGAAGGTGTCCTCATGCGCGTCTCGACATTAGGCCCAGAAGTCGATCGGGTGCCCGATGGGCTGCAACCGGGATGTTGTCAGATGTTCCTGGCCATCGGGGAACGCAGATGCCGATTAACTTGGCGATTGATGATGGCGAGACGATGTGATAGCACTAACGAAGTAAGAGTAAGTGCAATAGACGACTGAGATGTCTCGTGTTCCCGGTGAAAACGGCTGAGGTTTCTGCTTTCAGATGTCATCCTCCATACTTTAGTAGTGACGCTCATACCCTTCAACCCTGTTTTACGACGGCGTCTTGCCACACATTTACATGTGCGCAGCACCATTAGTTGAATGTCGAACCAATTTCCACCATGGCCATGACGTCCTCTCCGTTCGGAAAGACAATGCGGCAGTCTGAATAAGCTTGACTTGTGCGGTCTGCGCTATCCTGTTCCCATGAAACAGGAGCGCTTTACGTGTACAGTGGCGTGGGTCAGTCTTCGTCTCCATATTTTACGAATACTTTGCTGACTATTTCCGCAACTGTAAGTGGCAGTTCCGAACAGCACGGGTGCACACAGCAGGCCTAGGACGCGTAAGTTCATATTCCGCATGGCGTCACTGATACAGAAACCGTGCGCAATCCTCTACTCCAACTCCTCTTATCCAGCAATTCGTGGGTATTCTGCCTTAAACTGAAGATGCGAATATCCTCAGCCTTTCTAATACGAAGTCTTGTGGGTTAAAAGTTGATGCGTCTCGCTTCAGCCAAGCTGTGAAGAAGCCTTTCTCTCGGAAAGCTTGGGCGACAGTTTTCCTGCAGAAACGCCACCCGCTTTGCCAACTGGAATGGAGCTGCCGCACATTCGACATCATAGCCCTATCAGCAAGTTGATGCGAGACTGTCTTCTCTGATGAACTTCATCCTGCTTGCTTTATTCCGCCACTACCGACCTACATAGAAAGCGGACAGGTACGACTGCTTACGCATCAAGTCAACTCATTAATTCGGCACACCCCTCCGCCTCCTGTCTCCACCTCTCATTCTGTTCCAGGTATATTATTGTCCTCGTCTGACGTTACTTTCTCACCTATTGATCCCCATTGACGTTTCTCGTTCGAATCTTCCTAGCAACACTGCTTCTGTGCTATAAATCAACCAAGGTACAAACAGTTTATGGCCAGCTATGTCTTCAATGGTCATTTCCCATTACATTACTTATCTCCAAGCGAGATAACGCTATTGCTATACCGCCGCTCCGTTTTCTTCGATGCTCAGCTGTTATCACGAGAAGGTCCACTTTACGTGAGGCTTCTGACTCCACCGGATGGTCTCACTGGCTATTGTGGCTTTGCGTTCGCTGTTGTACCTTTTCTTTGTCTCTTGTTGAATGCCGTGCTTTCATTCCGATGAGCCGTAGCGCTGAGCATTCTGTTGTCTCCTGACTGTCTAACTGTGGGACACTAATCCTCGAGCGTCTTCGCAATGATTCCTCTATCGTGGACCAGTCGGTCTGGAGAACTGCCACACGAACTCGCTCGAAGCGCTCGAAGGACTTCCATTCGACGGCGGTGGTATGTGACGCCCCGATCTCTGCATGGTGTTTCCAACATGCACCCCCTGGATGCCACTGAGCGGAACCGCAGGTTCTCTTTCTCAAACACCTTAGACATGATTTGACGAGGTTTGGGATGAGCGACGACAGCCCAAGAAAGTGGTACTTCCTTGACGCGAGCACACCATGTCCCGCATCGTGCCTCGTACATCGCCACTGGATGTTCGTCCCTTGCTAGTGCTCGAGCATGCATGCTCAGTGCGGACGGATCACGGATCTCCACGGGGCAAAGTAACGTCTCCTCCCAAAGGGTATGTCCACCCACATCCATTACCTTTCTGTGTTGTTGAGGCGAGCACAGGGTTTGTCGTTGCAGTCGTGGGACTCGTGCCCTCGGATTCACCCCCAACTCAATACATCCCTTGACGAGTTATATCCTCTTCGGTATAGTCACATGGTTTACTCTCAAGTCAATGCGTCCCTTGACGAGTCATCACAAGAAGCATAGCCCAGTATTTTTCGCGGAAAACCCGCTAGAAAGGGTTAAGGTAAAACACACAGAAAAACTGTGATTCTCAGCTGATTGGACCATCACGGTATTTCCCACGAAAATTCATTATACTTTCTTCAGAGTTTTTTCTGATGCTTTACTTTATGAAAAATTTCAGGGGTTTTCCCTGAGAAATACTTGGCTATGCGTCTTGTGCATATCCTCCTCTTCAGTATAGTCACATGTTAACCTCATGATGCTTTACGAACTTGTTATTCCTTGTATATGCCCGAGTATCGAAAGAGGCTGTGTACCTGATCCTCGAGTCATTCTCGAGGACAGATTACGCAAACTACATTGACATACTCATCCGTTCGCGAGCCGTCCTCTCTATGGATCATTCTGTCGACAATAATCTTCTTTGTTCCCTGTCTTGAGCTGATACATGGTTTACTTACTCATCTTTGTATGCCACGTAGAAGGAACCTCGTGATTTCATTAAGTTCCTTCGGCTCGCCCTTTCATGCCAGGTGCGTACATGTCTGTCTGTGTCTCCTTCATCTACCTCTGCGAGCCAGCTATCTGATCTGGCGTCCAGAGAACATGTCAGCCAAATATGTGGACCATCAAGAAGTCCTCCCGCAACGAGAAGGAATTGTCGGTAATTCTGATGCACTTCAACCACTGAAATACCCACAGTGTCTATCCTCCTTTTGCGCAATCAGGATAATATGGCTGATGATTGTACTGATGCCTATCTTTGTGCTGTATTTTCCCCTTCTCAATTCGCCGAGTACTAGACATTGTTGGTCAACGAGAAAAAGAACATCGTTACTCCATACAGCCTTCATGCACAACATTCCGTTGAAGTGACATGAGCCAAGCGGCTAGCCGTGCCAGATAGACGTTGTGGTTGAGTTTGGCACATAGTGTCAACGGCTGTCAGGTTTCCGACAGTACTGCGCGCGCCACTTAACTTCTCCCTGCCACGTATGCTCCTTCGTCTTATTATCCCCTTATTAGTGCTGCCTTCAGCCTCGTCTTCTGTCTGCCCATTTCCATCCACAGGTTTCTGCACTTCGTGAACTGACTTTGCTGCATGGCATATAAAATTCCTGTTATACATAGGTGCTGGTGCGTCGAGACATTTTTTTTCTCGTAAACGTCGCATTCAGGTTTAGTTCCTCTGAAATCGGTCGCATGCTCGCAGATGCCGTGAAGCAATGTCAATCAATGCAACGTGTCCTAAATGCGTGCAAGTGACTCCTAACGGTTTTTGATGAGGACCGCCAACCCTCTACCATGCTCCTTGTACCTTCCCTACTCTGGCGTTCCACGTTCTAACCTCGTGTCGGCTTAATCAGACTGAACCCAATCAACACAACCTTGGAGCTCAACCTAGCCTTCATCGTCTCAATGGAGTAGTCACTGACTAGCGCTCTACTAACGCTTCACAATGTGTTCCTTGTCTTTTATTCCGCGTTTGAGGGATCATTGCAGTCCAAGAGTTGATGGCTGTCTCGGCGGCTATAACGGATCTGAGTTGCCGCTTTCCCGCCTCTGTCAGCTGCTTCGAGCTTCTGAATGCTTCTGAACCTCTGTGGCGGTATCTGCGCTGATGGTCTACACATAAAGCTCGTCCATTGTTCATGGTTTCCTTTCCAACTTCAACCTTCCATTGTTCACCGACGTCGAGGTCACGTCTAGGCCAACCCTACTTTTCAAGTTTTCCTCAATTCAGAACTCTTTAAAATCAGTTGCACAGAGGCACTGCGGAACGCCACATCTACCTCTTCCAATACCAACTATCACCTCTACAATACACCAGTGTCATCTCTTTTCTATGTGCGAGCACGAGATGTGAGTGTGTCCCACTGTCCCAGCATCATCTCATTGTCGCCTAATATACTGATAGTCTTGCTTTCACGTTTTGTTAGTGTCGGCGACTACCATCGTGGCTGCCAGGTTAGTGGTGCAAGGATAGGACCATATCAGATGATGCTGTGACTCACCCGTGTCGCTATGGTCCCCATGTAGCACTTCCATGGGAGGTACTACACCGGGGAGCGAACTGACTGTAATTCGGAGAAGTGTAAGACAAGCCAGGCACACAAACACTTGCCCACACAGAGATGTAACTGCCCAGCTGTACGTCTAATACTCTTTGTGTCTGGATGTTTCTTCCCACTATCTTTGTCGCAGGTCGTTACGGATCGCCATCGCGTACAGAATATGATCCACGCGCCTCATCCTGATTGTCAGTAGACGCTATGCCAAACTTCTGCTTGGCAATCGCCTTTGCATTCTTTCGATGTCGTCACTGTTTGCTTCACCATGTCCGCGCAATCGTTAGTCCTCGCCTCCCTGGTTCGTTGATACAGTACCTCTATTCTATTGCTATTCAATCGCCATTAGTCTGCCTACATTGCATTCCTCCTGAGGTGAACAAAGTAGGTCGAACCCTGGCATGCACGCCGCGCGTGCCTGATTGGCGCGCTCGGTGCCGCTCTCCCGCTCGAGTCGTCTGTCTAGCGCGCAGACCCTGAGTGGACAGGATCTCGAGTGTGGCTCCGCCGGCATAAGTGGCCACCGAGGGCAGCTTCCCACGTTTCGAACATGCGGCGCAGCCCGTACGCGTTTCTGGGGTCATATCTCTACATGTTCCGACCACAAATGCAAGAGCATATGTGGTTCAGAGCATCTGTACAAACGAAACGCTCTCCGTACATCCATGTATGTGTCGTGAATGGAGAAGAGAGAATACGTGGAGACGACCGTTTTCCAAGCCTGCCTCGGGGATGCGGAATGAATTGAGACGTCTGGATGGCTCTTGTCTGTATATGTCGTCTCGGAATGGAGGATCTGATTTGATGAGAGTGTTGGAAAGTAGCGCCCAAATTTCTGGAGCTCCAGAAATTGGGGAGCGCCCAAGGGCAGACAAGCCGAGGGCATGATTACAAAGAAAGACAAAGAAGGAAATTTGCTTATATAAAGTGGAGCGTCTAGAACTGTATATATACAGAAATCTATTTTAGGACGCGCAATCACGCGCCCCGACGCATCTTGACCCGCCATCACTACCTTCCTATTTGGGAACTAAGGCGCGATTTCTAACAGGTTATGAGCCCCGGCTCTAGCCAATAAATACTTGGATAACAACAGCCCCTATTGTGGCTACAAAAATTGTTACCCCCTTACTAGTACGAGAACAAATAATGTCGACCAGCGCTGATAATACGAGCAATAGCAATGCTTACCGGATCCCGCTCCTGAAGGAAGACAATTGGCTCCCGTGGAAGCGCCGCGTCGAGGCCATCCTTAATGATAAGGGTCTCCAGGAGTATGTGACCGGAAAGACACCGAAGCCACAGCCGAGTAATGACCTGGCCAATAGGGCAGCGAGAGAGGCGGAGATTAGCGCCTGGGGAGAGAAGGACCTCAAGGCCCAGAACGTAATTGTGCTATCGCTGGGAGATTCCCAGATGGTGCACATCGCTGGAGCCGAGACGGCACGGGCCATGTGGGAGCAGCTTCGCACAGTCAAGGAACAGCGTGGACAGCATGGAATTCTCGCGCTGTGCCGGTGTTTTTACCGGATGCAAGCCAAGGAAGAAGATAATATCTCCAGTCACATTACACAGCTACGACAGATCCAGGAACAACTCCACCTAATGGGGAAGGTTGTTTCTGACGAAGATTTCCAGCTCATTCTGGCTACCTCATTACCGGAGAGCTGGGACTCTTTCCTCAGCTCTTACTTTGGCGCCGTGGGCGGCAATGTTGGCGCCGAAGGTGCTGACAACGTGCGTCCTCAGCTTACATCACAAGAATTGATTGCCATCATTCTTGATGAAAATAGGTGAAGGCACGAGCGTGGCGAGCGCGGTCAATCCTCGGACCAAGCCATGGTTGCCAAAGGAAAGAAGCGCCCCTTTGGGGAATACAAAAAATGTTCGATCTGCGGAAAGCCGGGACATCTTGGTAACGAGTGTCGGCACCGCGACAAGGTCAAATGTATGAATTGCGGAAAATTCGGGCATAAGGCCACGGATTGTTGGGCTAAAGGCGGTGGCAAAGCCGGACAGGGCCCGCTGATGAAACGGCAAAAGACGGAACGTGCTTACGAAGCGCGCGAGGTCGAATCGAAAGATGATGAGGCAAAAATAGCCTACGATAATGATAGCGACACTGTATCTCTCGGATCTGATGGCGAAATTGCTTCTTTCTATGAGTGGTTTGCCGACTCCGGGACAACTTCGCACATTACAAATCATCGTGAAGTCTTCGCGACCTATCAGGCGCTCGAAGATCACGCGATCACGGGCATCGGACCGCAACCAACGCAGGCATTGGGCCGCGGTACGGTCGATGTCGAAAGTGAAGTAGGAGACCGGAAAGTGAAATTCCGTCTCCACGGTGTACTGTATGCGCCGACAGCACCCAATAGCCTCCTCTCCATCACGCATTTGGACGACGTGGGAGGAAGAGTACTTATGGGTAATAGTCGCGCAATACTAATAGATAAAAATAAACACACTCTTGCTATAGGCAAGAAAAATGGACGACTATATTCATTGAAATTGCATCCAATAGTTCCGCAACCTGCGCGAACCTATACTGCTAAGGAATATGGCCCGCATACCTGGGAAGAGTGGCACAAGATCTATGGCCATATCGGGAAACCAGCGCTTACGCGATTATATCGTGAAGGGCTTGTTGATGGCCTAGAAATCTCGCCAAGCCCAGATGAAATTAATTGCGAGGCATGCATCCAAGCAAAGGCGACGCAGAAGCCATTTCCCAAAGAGACAGACGAATGCAGCAAGGTACCCGGAGAATTAACACACACGGATGTGTGGGGACCTGCGCAGACAGCCGCTCTACAAGGGTGGAAATATTTTATTACATTTACCGATGATTACAGTCGTCGAAGTACAGTACTATTTATGAGGCATAAAGATGAAGTAACTGAAAAGGTAAAGAATTATATTACCTATATCGAGCGCAAGTTTGGAAATAAACCCTTGCGACTCAGGCTCGACAACGGTCGAGAATATATGAACACCGAATTAATTAACTGGTGTCAAATGAAAGGGATCGAGATGGGTCCGACTGTGCCATACTCACCATCCCAGAACGGAGTCTCTGAGAGATTGAATCACACACTGCTTGGACTAGCGCGCGCGATGATCTATGCGAGAGATCTACCTCGTTATCTTTGGGCTGAAGCGATTGCTCACGCAGTCTATATTAAAAATAGATCGCCTACCCAGGCGTTAAATGGGGCAACTCCCGAAGAAAAATGGAATGGGACGAAACCAAATATCTCGTACTTACAAGAATTCGGTTCCCCCGTATGGGTCCTCACGGAAGACGCAACACTATCAAAGCTAGCGCCCCGTGCCAACAAGTATATTTTTGTTGGATACATGGACGGACCCAAAGCCATCAAATATTATGATGCGCACACGCGCCAGATTAAAATCTCGCGTAATTTCCAATTTTCTTCGAATTTCCCGGACCATTTGCCCGGCAACGCGCCTCACGTGCCACAAGAGCAAATAGGATCTGACGTACCTATCCTCACAGCACAGCGTGAGGGGGAGCAAAATATATTTCCGGGCACTTTACCTAGCAATGCGTCAGACGTGCCGCATGCGGAAAGGAGACCCGAAGTCCCAAACCTCACAACGACCGCAGACGTGCGGCGCGAGGGGGAGTTAGGAACTTCCGCGCCACAGTCACCTGCCAAAAATCCGCGAAAGCACAGACAGGATCATGATCCTGATCAACGCGAGGAAAGCGGGACGGACGCACCAAGCCAGCCCAGACGAACCAGAAGAAAGACAGTTTGGCATGATTACCATCTAATGCATGACCCAGAGGCAGACGAAGATCTGGATAATGATCCAGATAAATCAAATGCCGAATTAGTCTATATTGCGATGAGCGCCCACGGAAATGCGGATGCGGACGAGCCAAAGACGCTCAGTGATGCCAAGAGATCACTCGAGTGGCCCAAATGGGAACAGGCAGTCCAGATGGAACTCAATCAACTACAGGGTATGGAGACTTGGGAGTTAGTGGAACCTCCCGAAGATCGAAAACCCGTAGGAAATAAATGGGTTCTAGTTAAGAAAACAAACAAAGAGGGTGAAATAATCAAATACAAAGCCCGCCTGGTTGCGAAGGGATATTCTCAAATCCCAGGCATGGACTATACCGAGACGTTCGCGCCCGTAGTCCGCCTCGAAACCATTCGAGCTATCCTCGGGCTAGCCGCAATCTTAGATTGGGAGATCGGACAAATGGACGTGAAAGGCGCCTATCTTAATGGAACTCTCAAAGAAGAAGTGTATATGCGGCAACCCGAAGGATACAGTGATGGAACATACCGTGTATGTAAATTAAAGAAAACCCTCTACGGGCTAAAGCAGTCTGGCCGAGAATGGAATATCATGCTGAACCGCAAGTTATTAGACGCGGGATTCAAGCGCCTATTCTCGGATCCATGTGCGTACATTCGGATCAAAGGTGATAAGATAGAAATCGTCACCGTTTGGGTGGACGACCTATTAATATTCACCAATGATTGCGCACTGATGGACCAATTGAAGAGGGAACTCCGAAATATGTTCGAAGTTACCGACCTTGGCGAACCCCGAAAAATTGTGGGGATAGAAATTGAGAGGGACCGTTCAAAGCGGACAATCAAAATCTCTCAGACAAAATATATTGAGTCTATCCTACACAAGAATGGGCTTACGAACGCCAACACGGTCGGGATGCCTCTTGATCCAAATACAGTGCTTGAAAAAGAAGAACCCGAAACTGATGACGAATGCGACCGAGACAACGGATATGCATCGCTCGTCGGATCACTGATGTACGCGGCAATTGCCACGAGACCAGACATTGCTCACGCCGTGCAACGGCTTAGCTCATTTACTGCCAATCCCGGAATGGCTCATTGGACTGCTGCTAAACGCGTCCTCCGCTATCTATCCGGAACGCGAGAACTTGGAATAATCTATGGGCCAATTGCAGATGTCAAGCCTGAAGATCAATCCATATTTGTGGGCTACTCAGATGCAGACTATGCGAACGATATCCGAGATCGCAAATCAATCTCGGGATATTTATTTAAATTAGGAAATGGCATGATCACGTGGAGCTCAAAGAAGCAAACCACGGTCGCGTCATCCACCACGGAAGCCGAATACATGGCATCCGCTGAAGCGGCAAAAGAAGCCGTATGGCTCCAAACACTATTCAGAGAAATAGGTTTCGAGCAACAAGATCCTACAATTTTATTGGAGGATAATACAGCGGCGATCTCAATCGCACGTGATCCCCAATTTCACGCGAAATCAAAACATTTTGATGTAAAGCATCATTATGTGCGCGAAAAATTGAGGGATAAATATATTGATATCCACTACTGTCCCACGGAGGACATGATAGCGGATATCCTAACAAAGTCACTCCCTAAGCCGAGGCACGAGAAGCTCACAAAGAAGCTCGGAATGCCCATCGGCTTGAGGGGGAGTGTTGGAAAGTAGCGCCCAAATTTCTGGAGCTCCAGAAATTGGGGAGCGCCCAAGGGCAGACAAGCCGAGGGCATGATTACAAAGAAAGACAAAGAAGGAAATTTGCTTATATAAAGTGGAGCGTCTAGAACTGTATATATACAGAAATCTATTTTAGGACGCGCAATCACGCGCCCCGACGCATCTTGACCCGCCATCACTACCTTCCTATTTGGGAACTAAGGCGCGATTTCTAACAGAGAGAGTAACGACATTGAATGTGAAGCGCAAGTGGAGAGATTATTCGCACGCGTGCACCGCAGGCATTCACTCGCAGTCTCGGAAAACTTTCGCTGCCATGCGTCGAGCTGTTCTTCCTCAGATAGTGGCTCTGGGAACCTCTTCTTCTGCCTGTGCTCAGGCATACACGATCCAAGAGAGATATCCTTGATATGATGCGGGTTCAAGAAGCTTGTGTTCGTTACACTCAACATGTGGTTCCCTAATCAAGGAGTGGGAGATCAGCAGGCTCAACAGCCTCCGTAGTGATATATTGAAAAATGCAGTGCTTCCCGTCTTCCCGAGAAGGGACGCGTTGATGACTCCTCAGCGAGTGACATTTACGCAAGAAGATCCGAATGTGAACTCAAGCACCCGTCGATCACCTCATGAAGGAGCGCATTTGAAGGGCAAAAAATCCCTATATTTTTGAAATGTTCGTTAGAAGCGTTCATTAGTGGAAAGGAGCCTTTGTCAATTACAGGGAGGAAGGCCTGCGCACTCGGGACTGTGTTTCACAGGAAATCGATGCCCAACGTCGTTCTGTGGACTTACAGTATTTCCGTTGTCGCTCTGCTGCCTTTAACATTTAAATTGGCTTCGTTCGACGTAGTAATAATCACTGCGTTTTTGCCCTTATGTCTAGGTGCAAGATACCCCCATGGATACGTGGTATAACTAGGACCTGGGCTACACCGCATATTTCTGCATATCAACCCCCAAGCTGGGTTACCAAGCTTCAAGTGTATCTTTCACTGTGCGATCCCCTGTAGTGAACAAGGTGATACGTTGGCTATGCCGCGCAGCACGTAGTCACTAGCAGTCTAGAAGCTACAGCATACACTTTCCAGGCTACAAGAAATATCAAACTTCAGCTATATTGGCGATGCTCCATGGCTACCATCAACAACACCCATCTATTCCATTATATACTAATAGTAGATACTCCTGATGCGCTCACATCCCCTACTGCATACCTAATCACACCTGCAACAGAATAGACTTTGCATGTCGATCTTCCGATGGGGTTTGCGACGCAGTCTGTTTCTCACATACCTGTCACGAGAGGTGTCAATGGAGCATCCCAACTTTGGACAAACACAAGAATTGTAGAGCACATCGCATGTTCAGCCATGACCCGAGAGACCAAGAGCATGCAGAGACCATGTCATGGAGATAGAAGGCAACGCAGCACTCCTCGCTCTTAAGGTGACGGCGACGGCACACCAGAAATATGTTTAGACAGCGGTCAACGGGCCAGTGAATCTGTGGATGGAAGGGCGCGGAACCAGCACGTAGTGTACGCCAGGTGAACTTGACCTTGGACACGATGATGCGCTTGGGCCGATGGAGGCCTGAACTTAGCACTAGTTATATGTACGTCAAGCTTGAAATCGCTACGTGGAATAGCCAATGTAGCTGGTGCAAGGTACACCAGAAAGCCTGTATAGAAAGGAGCACAGTGATGTAGTATAGCTCACGTAGCAGATGGTCGTAGATAAGTGAGATCGTGCACCAAATGCGATGCATAAGCTATGTGGGCTAGCACACATCTTTCACATCAAGATTTATGACATAGCAGTGGGGGTCACAGCTATGTTCGCTATCTGCCCTACTCCGCCTATCTTCACATTGCGATTTCGGCTACCCATCAAACTATGTATTCTATCTGGCGTAGCCTATTCGTAGCAGACCCCCTACTAGAACGGCGAAAACGCAGTGAATGAGCGGTGTAGCATATTCGTGTCTGAGTGGTTGACTCGAGGTGCTCAACTTCCATGTCACGGTCGTGGCAAATAGGCCACGGATGTGATCGAGATTCTTGAGTCGCGATCGCTGTTAGCGAATCTCATTCGTTTCACTGCCCAGACGGACGCGTTTCAGCTATATCACCAGCGCAAATACCGGCAGTGACACTGCAGTTGGCCTACAGATCTGCTTCACTCCAAAGCAAGGCGACTAGGACCCGGCACGCTGCCATTTCATTGTGTCGACAATGCCTTGGCTATCTATCCGAGTACTGACCGGAACGTTCCTTGCATGCGCAACAGTGATTGCGAGCTTAGAGCTCTCGCAGAATCCTCTTGTAGCTGGTGTTGGATACGCTGGCTCTGGGAGACGAGCCATCACTCCCGAGTTCTCTGCGTATCTCGAAGAAGTACTCATTAATGCCACGATTCCGGGAGTCGCAATTGGCATTGTTCATCGTAGGGGTGATAAGCCAGACTATGAGTTAGCCGCGTGGGGACGCAAAACAGAGCAAAGTGACGGACATGATCTTACCCCTGATGTGAGTGGAGTTTTAATTCCATTCTCTACCTTCTGTCACGGACAGCGTGCACGACATTAATGTCTCTGTGTGTCCACGAGCTGTTTGATCAGGCGTGGTCGGTGGAGAATTCGGCTGTCAGATTGTATGGTCTCATTATATTCCGTCATACGGTACTGGAGAGATTTTCATGATTACACTGTCTGCCGAGTCAGCGATGGTCTTGTCAAGTTGGCATTCCGTCTGTTTCTCTACTGACCTTTCAGTCCAGCATTTGAGTCAAATGGTTCTATGAACTATATCAGTGGTCCCCTTCAACAGATGTCAACGCTGAAGGGTTCACTGGGAGCAGCGGTTGAGTGACAATTTGCTTCATTGACAAACTTTTGTTGTGCTTTTGCTTCTCGTGACGCCTTTCTATGTGGATATCTGTCTGATTGTCTACCCTAGTCGCTCTTTGGCCTCGCTTCCGTCTCCAAAGCATTTCTGGTGAGCTCCCTTGGGGTGCTTATGGAGGATTTCGCTGCGCGCCGCAACGTGACGGCGCTGCCACGCGCGATGACGCGCTTTGACTGGGACACGAAGGTCTCTGACTTGCTTCCCGGTGAGTGGGCACTCGCGGACACTTGGGCGAGTGAAAAGGCGAGCCTGAGGGACGTACTCTCACATGTTTCTGGACTACCACGGTGGGTGGAGTGGATTACAAAGCGCGAGCAGAGGCACTGATCGTGTGGCAGACATGACTTCTCGTACGGATCTGGCGATGGACCGGGCGACGTCGTGCGGCGCCTGCGCTACCTACGACCCGTGTATGAGCTGCGTGAGCAGTGGTCGTACAACAACCAGGTCGGTGTCTGGTCACTATCTCCGGTGGGCAGGACTTAGCTGATGTGTTGCAGATGTTCATGCTCGGTGCCCACATCGTCACGAAGTACGCGGGCATTCCGTACACCGCGTTTGCGTCCAATCGCATATTCGCACCGTTGAATATGTCGACGACGACGTTTTGGCCCCAGGAGGCGGCGCCGCGGTTGACGCAGTCGTGGACGAACTTCGGACGGCGGGTGCCGTTCTGGTTCCCTGATGAAATGGTGGAGCTCAACGCCGGTCCTGGTGGTGTAATTTCCAGTGCAGAGGACATGGTGAGCCCGCCTTCTCCGTCGCTGACGAGTCGCTCGACATGCCCTGCATGACGTGGTCCAGGTCAAGTGGGTCGCGACGCTGTTGAACGAAGGCGTGGACCCTGTGACAAATCGGACAATTGTCCCTCTGGCGACTTTCAACGCAATGACGACTGCGTACGCTGTGTCTAGAGGCGTATCGGACGTCAGCATCCCGGAGCTGTCGATTGAGGGGTACGGTATGGGTTGGTTCCGGGAGTCATACGAGGGTCATGATGTGCGCTTCTCTGTATTCCAAATGGTAGATCCCTGAAATCCTGGTCTGCAGATTCTGTCCCATACGGGTGCTATCCCTGGTTTCTCGACACAGGTTGCGTTCTTGCCTGCTGATGACTTGGGCATCGTGATACTTGCGAATGCGGACGACAAAGCAGTGGCCAACGCAGCAATTATGTATCGCATCATCGAAGACGTGTTGGGATCATCTCGTGTGGACAGACCAGTGACAAGCGATGTTGAGTGCGCGTGCTTCCTTGCCGTTGTCTCGACGTATATCTTACTAATGGAAGTTCTGTTGTTAGACCAGACACCAACACAGAGACAGAACACAGGGGTGGAGGGAAGCGAGACCTCACGCTGGCGTTGGAAGACTACGCGGGCACGTACGGAAACTTAGGGTACGGCGCCATCACGCTGTGCGCCCCGGACAGCGACTCGCACCTCTGCACGTCCGTGCTTGCTGATTTCGCGCCGTTTGAGCACTTTGGCAATGGATCGGCCCCGGAAACTAGACTGTATGCGGCATTCCCGCGAGTGTGGGCGACCCACCTCCGTCTGACGCGTCTGAGGAGCGAGGAGTTTGCAATTATTGCAACCGCGCTCTTTCCGAGAGGTTATGGCCAGAATAAAAGCGCGTTCGAGACGTGGGAGCCCGCAACCTCCGAGGGTCGTGCGGTGTTTATGGTGGAAGAAGAAGAGGGTAAGCAGAGAGTGAAGGGTTTCAGTCTGATCATCCACGCGGAGGCAACGGAATATAGGAAGCGGCGCGGGCTGAGCGGCGTCAAGGACCTGGAGGATGCGTGGTTCGAGAAAGTGTAATAGGTTCGTATCGCATATTTTCCCTCCATCGTTAACCGCAACAAGGGCAGATACTATTTACGCTGTTAAGGTCTCACTGCTACAAAGCGGTCGGAATATGTCATCCACCAGTGGTCTTATTGCTGAGCATTCTCATGATCATGCACAATCAGTGTTCAGCATTCAGAGGACTCAGACTTGGAAGCTTAAGGTTGTCCTACTAGTGTTGCGTAAGAAACTCAAGGCAGGTTATTAACGTTAGGTTTATAACATGTTAGGTCCCAGAGGTATTTGACACCATGTTTTTAACGTTTAAAACATGTGGTCACATGACCTATTTTCGCGTACTATAAACTGTAGATTTCTCCATTTTTGCGTCTGTTCTGGAGGCTGCAGAACACAGCACAACGCTCCGGATTCTGACACCGGCAGATTCCGAGAGAAATGTCAGATTTTAGAACATTTTCCCAACATTGTGCCTCAGATACCCTCCGCAGAAAATCTACCTCCGATTACAAGTTTTTGCAGCATTGTTCCATCATTCTACTGAACATTTCTGCTCACATTTTACCACATTCTCTCCGGCCGCGCTGGGTGCCACCGTGCAGCCTTCCCTCACCTCCTCCTTGCCGTCCCTCGTCCGCCCATATTAACAGTCTCCCGCGGTGTGAAAAGCAGTAATCCATGCGCCGAAATGATGTATTAGGATAGATTAATGATAATGAAATGATCAGTATCCGCGTGCGCTCGCATTGTACAGTTGATGAACGAGAAGCTCGAGTCAAGCGCGCAGAGAGACACTGCATCGATGCGAGCACCCGAATCTGTGTCCGCTGCTCGGCCTCGTACATGCCCTCAACCTTCACGGTACTAGTACTTTCTTGCCATGGAGGACGCGAACACCACCGAGAATGGCATGGTGGCGAGGAAACAGAAGACGGCGATGCTTGTGGCGCAGGTGTCTGATCACCAGATGCGCATCGAAGTTCTGGAGGGTGAAAAAGAGCTGTTGAGGATTGAGATAGAGAGCTTCAAGACAGTTGCAGAGACGTACGAAAAGCGCCTCGAGACCGCAATTGATCGGCTCGATAAACAGGCCAGGCTCATTGGCGGACTGCAAGACTTGGCATCAGAGCTGCAGGACCGCTTGGAGGCCACCGAGGAGGCCTCGAGCGAAGGGGAGGATGAGTCGGACGAAGGTTTTGACAAGAAGGAGAAGATGAGAGTTGCAGCCAGTGCCGCAGCGTTGAGAGATGCATCCTACCGAGTGAGTCAGCCCCTGGTGATGTTCGCAAAGAGGTACTCACATGAAAGTCTCAGGAGCTCGTTCGGCAGGTTTTCCAGACGCGCATGGGCGTTCCGAACCTTAAACTGCGCACTCTTCCATTCTGGCCGAAGGAAGGAGAGCCTATGCCAGTTGATCCTGCAACCAAGACCGACTTGATGCGCTTTCGATGGGATCAGCCTTGGGACGCCGCTGGAAACTACAAGAACATTAGGACACTGGTCACGATGATCATCAAACAAGGAGCGGAACTCGTACCTGGCGCGGCCAAGCCCATTCGAGATCTTCTCAAATCTGATGCTGAGGAGAGCGTGAAGAAGAAATTCCGTGCACTGCAAAAAGCTCTTCGTGATGAAAAGCTGATCGGTGCACGTGGTCGTTCAGTAACGGTTCAGCGGGATATGAATGTGATGGCGTACGAGGATAATGATTCCGCAGAGGCTGGTGGAAATGGCGCTGTGATAGACATGCCCGTTACAGCGAAGAAGTCAACACATACAACCAGCCGTGCGAAAGGGGTAAGTCTGTCTGCAGTTCTGAGTAACGAAGGCATGGGCTTACATATGTTATAGAAGCTTCAAGTGCGCATCCGTAAGCGTACCAACTTGCCCAAGGAATCCGAGTGGCGCGATCCAAAGTACGATGCAGCGTTCGCTGTGAACCTGATGTCCGATGACGAGGACCAGGTGGATGAGAAGGGTGAATTCACGGGGAAATATATCTCCAAGGCCCCTGCTTACCGAAGCCAAGAGGTGCGCATATTATTTTCTTCCGCAAGCACGGAGAGAATGACTTGTATGCCAGTTAATCAACCTGTTTCGGGCGGTTGATGCAACTCGAGACCCGGAGCCGTCAAACAGATATATTCCTCGTATGAAGGCTGCCGAGACCATTGATTAGCCACCGAAGGTATCAAGAGACCTCAAGAATAAGGCACGGCGCTGGATGATTGACCAAGCTTGGTTAGCCCTCGAGAATAACAAGCAATATGATGTGGAGAGCCGCATCGTGAACAATGGCCGTCTTTGGTGGGACGAAGAGGACCCTCAGGATATCACTGAGAAGCAGAAGCGCATGCGAGAGGCGAAGGCAGAGATCGCCTCGAACAAGAAGGCACGCTTGGCAGAGAGTGCAGGCGACAAGGGTGAGGGATCGTCAAAGAAGAAGATTGCGAAGAAGATCAAGACCATGAAGGAGAAAGAGAAAGAGGTAGTTGCCGAGGATGATGATTCTGATGATTTGTACTTCGGGTAGCAGCTTGCAGCCCACTGTCCCGAAGTTCCGCGTTCTTGGCATGTGCATACTGTTCTAATCATCTTCGTCGTCGAGAAGCTCTTCAGGCTCATTTCCCGTCTTGTTCCATAGTTAGTATAGTTCAGCGGCGCTGTAGGTAGACGTACATGGTCGAATGAAACTGAGACCCATAGTTCTTGTGCCAAACGTTCAGATCGGACTGGGATCAAGGCGAGAGGAGCATCGAGGGCCGTAGCAGGCACAATTTCGTAAGGTCCGAGGCGATTGGCGTACGAGACGTGAATTCCTAGCAAATTGGAGCTAGAGTGGGAGTTATACATCAGCGTGAGGTATATCTGATTGTGTGTGAGAGCGTAGACTGCATACTAAGTTTGCCATGGGAATGTTGGAATATTCTCGTCAGAGACCATGCGGCGGATGACAGCGCATACATGCGGCGATTTCTCTGCAACCTTGATGCCTAGTAGTGCTGCGATCTCCACAGGTACACGCTCACCTGACTCTCCACTAGGATCTATGATGAAGACGTATCGATCAGCTTTTGTGCGCTTGTTAGAGGTCGATCCGTAGCGTATCCCATCTTTCCGAATGTACGTGAGGGGTCGCGCGACTCGAGATGCAATGAAAGCAACTCCATCCTCTAGCGACAGATCGTCGATGAGATGGAGTTCGGGATATAGCAGTTGGGAGTACTTGAGAGCAAGGCGGTATATTCCTCCAGCCCCAGGCGCCAGGAATTCACGAAGATTGATAGGCTTCCCAAGCACACGGGGGAGTTTGACGCGATCTACAGGAAGAAAGATTCATGTGGTATGTCAGTTATGAATATAGTAACACCTACCTGTTGTAGCCTCACTGCGATAGATGGCAAGTTCCGTCATCATTCCACCTCGCTGACTGCGCCCTTCTGACTTGATTACTCTCTCGACGTACTCGCGTTCTTTCGAATGAGCTTCAGGAGGTAGTGCCAGGAGATACTCGTAGATGAGATGGCACTGTACCCAGTGCCGCATGAGAGTTAGCTCCATGCGTCCCCCGTCATGACCGTTAGTATTTACTCGCTCAAACATTCCATTAAACCGTTCAAAGGCAAAGAGCCACCAACCGTAGACAGGCCCAAATAATTTGATGAATTTTGCGAAGTGAGTCGACAGATGGTTGTTGATTGTAAGGTCGACACCGAGCTCCTGCATCTTGCAGTTGTACTGTGTCAGGAAGTCTTGACCAATTTGAGCCTGCGACATAGAGATCTTGCGCGAGGCCAGTATACGGACGCCTGCGCAAAGAAGAAGAATCGTGAAGTAGATGCTCTTGCAATTACGAGAATGTGTAGGTCGTGTCTTCGCATTTGGAGGAATAGGTGGGGTGACGTTTGGTATGCGGTCATGTTCGTCTTTCCAGCACACCCAGAGTAGGATTGGCGTGATGGTGAGAAGCCGGCGCCATTCGTCAGCCTTCTTCAATGATTGATTCTCGCCAAGCTGCAACAATGAGTGGCTTACTTGCTTGTGAATATCAGATAAGTGTTACGCACGTTCTTTGGAAGCCGAGTGACATGACTCGGCCATCGCACTGAGTTCACCATGTCCTCAAACTTCTGTTTGGGGGAATCATCACCTCCGATACCGGAGAACATGTAACCCTTGAAGAGAAGGTCAAGATATAGATGTGCGATAATTCCTAGAGTCCATAAACACGGTATTTTGAGCATAGAATGCATGAGTCTATTGTTACACACCTAAGAAGACTGCATGCATGAAGTCCAAGACAGTCTGTGAGGATGGTAGCCAGCCTGCGAGCAGATTCATGATGCTCCAGCGCACGCCATGGTCACGCAATATGGCACTTTCCCGGCGAATGCTCACTTCTCTCGCGGAGAATGCATGCTTGAGCAATTTGTAGTCATCCTTCTCCGGTCGACCTAGAAGTACATCAGCGCTTGAAACACAACTAATACAAAGGGCAAACTGTTGTCGTAGCCACTGGACTTGTTGATATCCAGTATATTGATCCCGCAGTACAAGCAAGGATGAAAATCGTGGTTATGCGATGCTGTGCCGCTGACCTTGCGTGCCGCGGGCGTGTCGCAGTTATCACAGAGGAAGTCGGCATACACCGTGGCTGCGTCATCATCGTGCACACTCATTTCAATGCCTACAAGATTATTAGCAAATTTATCTCATTTTTATAACTGGATCTCACCTTTGTGTAGTTCAATCATTTCCTTGATACCGGGCTCAAGTGCATGGTTAAGCTGTTGCTGATTAGGCTCGCCTGGACCTGGAAGTACTGCAAGGCAAATTACGTTAAGTTGAAGATACCGTTGGTCGCGCGGAAGATTATTGAGGGCGAGGTATATTGGGCCAGTCGAGTGAGGACGGCCAGAGAGTAAGCCAAACCTACGCAGGATTAATTCTACATCAGAACAGTAGTTACGGTACTTACCAGTCGAGGTTCATAGAAAGAGCTAGTCCGTAGCGATGGCTTGTAAGCTTCACTGGTTCTTGACCGTCTTCTCGAGGACGATCACGAACGGTACCGGCAGAGTTAATTTCTCTGATTGTCCCAGTTGTCAGCCTAAAGAGCATATCACCGTCATAGATGTCCTCCATCACGAAGTCTTCATCGCGATTGTGCCCAGGCTGATCATTGCGAAAGTCACGCAATGACTTGGCGAACCCAGGACGCATCATCATGCATCGCAGTGACTCGATAATAGACACCTGTGGACTGATTTTGATTGCCTGCCGCCGAGTTTTGCCCTTTGAGTCGAGTGATTCAAGATAAAGTGAACCGGAGCAACCAAGAACTGTACAGGCAGGTGACTCAAGCTCTTTCAGTTCCCTCGGAGTATGGTGCTTCCAGCAAACCGGACAAATCGCATACTGAATAATCCAAGCATCAGGATCAATGCCGAGGCGTCGTCTAGCAGTTGCCAGAGTGCGTGCAGGTTGAGGCCTGAGGGGTAGCTGGCCTGCTTGGACCGACAGACAGTCCAATGTGTTGTTCAGCTGCTCGGTTGTGGCATTCCACGTGAGATTTTGATAGGTGTTACCCATGACGGCATGAAGATAGGCCATCCGAATGTAGGACTCTTCGCTAAAGGCCGGAATAATGACAGAGGGTTCGTCGTCATCATTGTCATGCTCTGAGCCTGGGATGGCGATGTCTGGTGGCAGCACTTCGTGATAGTCATCGGGTTCGAGCCCTGGTGCAGGTGGAGGATCAACATATGGAGAAGGCGAGCGAGAAGAATTCCTAGATGGCTGAGAGTCCGGTTCCACATCCTGTGGCTGAAAGTCGTCAAAGCCCTCGAAGTCATCTTCAGTACCATGTGGGCCAGGATGAACAGCCCCGTCGTCATGAGTGAGTACAGGCTCAGGCAAACGCGCATCCTCTGGAATCCGATGTTCTGCCTGCCGAGGTTCACTACTGGATCCAGTTTCAGCGATGTTGTGGTGTGTTGTAGGCTGCAATGGGGCTGAATTAGGGGTTTGCGAGCTCTCCGGAACTGAAGTGTATGGCCCGTAGAGCTTTAGATGCTTCACACAGACCTGCTTTGACTGATACTTGAATCCTAGCAGGTCCAGACTGCAGCGAGCACAGCGACATTGTATGCGAACAGCTGCAGACATCAGTGAGTGTTCTCCTTTAGACCGAGATCCGAGCACCCAGGGAAGACTTGGTAGACACTTGTGTAGCCCTTTTCACAGAAAGATATAGGCGATTGAAGCGCATATAGTCAGGTGGTGGCGGCGCGAGATGGAGTCAGGTGCCAGTGAAGCGCGACGCGACTCAGAACGTGACCGTGCTAGTGGGCGCTAATTGACAAGCTCGAGTACTTTTTGTCTAAGTCTCGACACTCGCGCGATCGGAAAGCATGATGATAGACAATCTATATTTTCTAAGATTCTGCATGTAGGAATTACTCGGAGGCTTCACAATCGTCATAACCTACGGAGAATCGTGGAAAATCTGGGAACCGCCGACATTTTCCCACGTCCAAAATCTCTGGCGTTGTGCTGTGGAAGAGATCGGAGGGCCCGTACGTATGATATTCCTACTCTACTACTCGATGACCCCGTATCCTACCAGTGGAACTGTCAGCCTACATCTGAAGACCTGTTACCTGTTCTCTTACGCCCTGCTCGACCAAAAGGACATGAAATCTGAAGGAGAACTGTTAGTGGCTGTCAAGTTGTAGTCTATAACTAGAGCATCTGACCTCAAATGAGGCCTTGTGAGCAACCCCCGCACGCCGTGGCCGAGTACGCTATGGGGAAATCCGACGCGACGTGACCATTGGCGCCGGACTTATTGACATAGGCATTTTGGCCTTATGTTTTAAACATATCAGTTTTACACGCAACACTATGTCCTACCATAGTACCAAGCTCTCAAAATAAGTCACGTTCGTCTAAGTTCGGCGCGAAGGCTGTGTACCCCCTGCCGGCCAGTCACGCGTCACAGCGATTTTCAGAGACCTCGCCAATGATTTTTTCTCGATTTTTGGAGTTGATTACGTGTCCCCTTAGCTGTAAACGATTTCGCCGAAGATGCCGAGCCCGGAATAAGTACTGAGGAAGGCATTTACTCGTTGGTCGCTTACGTTCGGTTTGACTACCAAGCAAAAATTGCGAGATGCAGAAAGTGCTCTGAGCAGGTTCAAGAGGACTGCGGAAGATCTACCCCAGCTCAATAACGAGAGCGCCCCAGTGTCCCAGCCAATGGGACGCGTCGAGGCGAACGGCAATTCCCGAATGCGCCGGACTAGTAGCTGCTACTTACTGTGCTAGTAAGTACTCTACTCATATAACCAATTTTCTTCGCTTTCTCGCAGAGCACCGGAATCTGACACAAGTCCAGCCAATCTCAGCTTCTCCTGCTTTCTGGACTCTTAATCCGGCTAATTCACGTCCGTCAGGCTCTGTTCATGCTCAGACTACCTTCTTCGTTGGCCCCGAAGTTCAGTGCTCCAAAGAGAAGTGTATCCAACTCAGTTAAAAATGCTCTCTATATCGACCGTGGATTGTTGGTATTGAACAAACCGTCGGGTTTGGTGTGCCAGTTTAACAGAAATGAACAAGGCGTGAGTCGCGTGTTCCCTGCGCTTTTCATACATCATGGTCCATCTTGAATCCTGGCGCTATTCAGGAAGGCATTGGTGACGACTTTCAGGCTGTTGTCCACGGTATTCACTTCGCCATGGTCCTGTTGAACGCTTAGTTTACGCAGCTGTATGTCAGATCTGAGGGAACAGTTCGATCTGAAGGATGACCTGTATCCTGTCCACAGGCTTGATAAGGTGTGCTTTCTATCTACATATTTACGCTTCGCACAAGTTCATGAATCTACTTTTATTGTAGAGAACGACGGGTGCACTAGCCCTTGCGCTCAGTCCAGCACATGCCCAGTCGCTGGCGCAACAGTTTGAGTCACGGTCGGTGGAAAAATCGTATCTCGCGCTCGTGCGTGGCGGGATCCGGTCTTTCTCTGAACCCAAGGGCACAATTAGAAGCGGGCTTACATTTGTAGACGGCCGCTTGTGGTTGGACGCTGGCCGTCCATCGGACAAGAAGGCAAAGATTGTACGACGAGTTGCGGAGACTGACTGGGAGGTCCTGGCTTCATCTGTACGTCGTTCCAATCAAACGAGGTCGTGTTATTTAATGCATGCGTGTAGCCCACCGTTCCGTTGACATTGGTGAGGTTGCGGCCGGACACGGGTTTGAAGCACCAGCTGCGAATTCACATGGCGCAAAACTTGAATAGTATGTATTTCTGTGTCCTTCATAGTGCGTAAGAGCTGATAAATTCCCTAGCACCTATTCTCGGAGACCTTTTGTATTCACGTTCGAAGCTCTCATCAAAAATCACAGATAAGGTCGACGTATACCCAGACTTCATGTTCTTGCACTCCTCCCAGCTTTCCATCTCCGTAAGTAGTTGTTCTATTTTGTAAGGAGTTCAATCGTGCTCAGTATTCTCTTGGCGATAGCGCTATCGCCGGACCGGCGCCCACAAACATGTGCGCGTGACGATTGGCGCGCCACTTCCAGGATACTTCACTCGCCTGTGTGCGAAGGTGAAGATCCTGCTGCCAGCTGAACTTGCGACTGGCGGGTTATGGATTGACGGTGAGCGGATGAGACCACAGACAATACATGTCGTTCAGCAGCCCGAGGAGGGAACGTTGGCCGAAATACCTCGTCAGTCTGCAGACGATGTCGCACATAAGCTTGAGGGGATTGGCGGACGGTGGGTTGGAGAGAGATTGTGATATATACGCTCGCTGTAGGTGTTACAGTCCCGACCTTTCTCAACTAACTCAGTGACAAACGGCACACTGCACAGATGCTCAATACATAGGACAATCAGATTCCCGCATCCAGTATACCGGATACAAGACGCGCGCCCCGACCAAGTAGTAAATACAGCTCCGGCCAGCGGTGCGCAATACGATCCAGTTAGAGCCACATCATATCATTCGTCAACCCGCCTACACCACTAGCCTTATTCGCTCACGCTACAGGCAGCCCACGCAGCGGAGTTCAGGCTGCATGACTGCTTGTCATGTGCGCCTTCAATAGTGCCGTACCGACACCCGCTGCAACAGTGCCTATTGTTTGGGCTATCCCAGCCGCAGGCATTGGGATGGAGCTAATAGCGATCAGGATAGCCGCCAGCGTTGCCGAGGTGGCGTCGGGGTTGCGGTTCACAGCTTCCAAAACTGCGTCGGACGCTGCCAACAGCCACAGAGGAACCGTGATTGTCTCCTGTGGGGGCGGTGGTGGTGAAGGTGACAGAGCATGAGGCACAAGGCGTGCTAAGACTGAGACGCTCCGTTTGTGGCCCGAGATGCTTGTCGCTTTCTTCTGGAGAGCCTTGGCAGGCGTCGCAGTACCTTTGTCCTTGGTCGTTTTCTTGGTCACCGCCTTACCTGACGAACGAGCCTTGGGTGTGCGGGAAGCTGAGGTTTTGCCCTTTGCATCGCCGGTGGTGCCACAGCCACGGCCAACGACCCACCAGCCTCCGGAAGTGTTCTTTTGCACCTTGACCTTCACTGTCTTCGTCTTGTCGGTGTCCCCTGAAGATCGGTGCTGTCAGTGTCGAGGAAGTCAGTCATCCAAGTAGAGGACTCACATTTCATGTTATTCATGGCCGCGCTGAAAGTGGCCCAGGTCCAGCACCATTGCTGCCCATGTGTGCGTTGCAAGACGGACTCGAGCTGCCCCAGCCGCTTCTTCGCCTCTCCGTTCAAGTAGGGCCTAGCGAACTCTGGCCACCGTTCCGACGATACCTTCTGTGCCTTGCAGGCTCGTGCAACCTTGTCGAGCCACGACTGAACAGGCGGGTCCTCTGCAGGTTTGCCAAAGAAGTGTTGTATTGAAGATGACCAAGTAGTCTCTGGTGGTGTCTTGGCCTTCGTCGTCGAAGATGAAAACAGCGCCATTGGCTGAGGATGGAGTGGGGCAAGAGGATTCTAGTGATTGGCCTGCTCCTTCAGACTTTTATAGGCAATGTCTTTGTTTGTTCATGTCGAAGTGTGGCCAACCGTGGGCTTGGTACGTTTCTCGTTTTCCATTGTCTGCCATGCTTGCTGCTGCTCTGCAGTTTTTCATTTCTTTCCATCCATTGTCCTCCGTATCACGCAGTCCGGCCAAACATGACGTCCTCTACATGTACACATGATCGCGTCTGCTATGGAACGTGCACACCACAAATCCTCAACGGCGTGCGGCTCCAGGCGGCACCCTACCCGCCTATGACCGACAAGTGCGGGATTCGGTGCTCATCGGCTTCTGGTTCCTGAAAGATGTGGGTGAACTCAATCATTTAACTGCCCAAGGCAGCCAGGGCACCGGTAACTTCAAAAGTTGCACCTCCAACGCCGCACAGCATCTGGAGTAAGAATCGCACGAGGCGCGTTCCGCCGTGCGCCTATAGCGCGCCTTTGCTGACATTGACGCTGGGTCGCTGACAATATTTCATCTGGAACAGGTTAGCTCCGCTCAATGTTGAGCGCAGTTCCGAGGTCATTACCTGTGGAGGCGTCAATCAAGGTCTCCACTCTGACACATATCGTGAAACCTGCCGCAGACATGGGCTCGCCTAGTCAGCAAATGTTCCATGCACTCCAAATCACTTACTCCATGGTACAAATTTCCACCTACGATGTCTCGATGAGAGCACCGTTTGCCATCTGGCATCCTGCATTCTGTGCCTTGATGTGATCCCGAAAGCGCCATTGACGGTGTTTCGACAGCTTTCTGCATATGATCGGTCGCTTGCCACCCTGGTGGATTAAGTCGAAGAGATGCGCTCACTCTTGGTCAAGCGTTCATTTGTCTGTCGTTGGGGAAGCGCTGCGACTTTCTTGGTGAGCGTTTCCCTGGCATATGTTGTGCTCCTCTCGTCTTACCTGAAAGTCGTTCCGACCGGAGCCGTGCCCATGACGTTTCTGCGTCCTTCAGGTCTCACGAGGCCAGTCATCCGCTCAGTGTCGAACGCCAAAGCTCCGATGTCGTATCCGCCTGCGTTACATATTGTGATTAAACAGGTAATGAAACCGCGTTCTTAGGCTCTAACTGCATTCTTCGATGATATTGATGTGATCACAGGAATCAGTGTGTCATACCCTACGGAAGGTGGATCCTCCGGCACCCTCATTGATTTCCAGGCGCCAATGACCCACTCTGAAGATATAAATACGGAGGAATACAGTCCCTCAGAATCCTAGCAATAAACCGCCCCATATCCTCCAGCACGTCAATAAAGCCTACTACTACCATGTCCACTGATATTGTCCTCCTTTCTCTCATTAACTGGACGGAGTCCCTCCTCACGGCCATACTCAACGCCACCACCGAGGCCACGTTCAACGAGGCCTTCGATGCCTTCCTCTCGCAAGATGTCCACATCACCGTGAACGGCAAGCATGTCACTCGCGAGCAGTACAAGAAGCAGCTCTCTTCGGAGAAGTGGACCGAACGTACCTCCGACCCTGCTTCGGTGGCATTTGAAGGCGCAGTTGAAGTGCCTGCGGACAAGAACGAGCCTATTTCTGTAGGTTTACATTTTATACCGACTTTTGCAGCTCAATCGATCTCATTTATGTCCTTTAGAATGGTGTCGTAGGTCTCTTCTATAAGGCCACTATCTACGGCCGGTTCTTCATCCTCGGCGCCCCCAGTGCCAGCACCGTCAACTCGTCCCTGAACGTCGTGTAAGTGTTTCACCTAACCCTGCTACCATCTTGCAGCTCATCTGTCTTTTCTTCCGCAGCATCGCCCAGGACAAGTCGATCCCTGCTCCCGTATATCCCCCAGGTGTACGCGGCGACTTTGATGACCGCAGGGTCACAGTTTTGAACCAGGTGGTCACGGATCAGGCGAACCCCATCGTGTTGCCTAAGCCCCTTGCCGAGAACTCCGCTTGAGCAAGCTATGCCATAGTGCTCTGTATATGTGCCACTCTGCCGCTCTCGCATGTAATTCCACTGTACGACTTTGAATATGTAATGGACTGGTCGCGTTCTTGTCAAGAAAGTCAGTGCCGCTAACTTGACGCACTTGGCCTCTGATGCTTGCAATGTCTTTTCTTCGAAGGCACGGTGTTTAACAAATGGGCCGCCTGGATCATACACCTTCGAGTGGTATATGCATGACGTCCACGGCCTAATTTCCAATTGCGGGTACGATGAATCGGTATATTCGTGGCATACCCTTTGGGAAGAACATAGTCTATCATAGCAATCAGCGCAACGTTCTCGCAGATATCTAATTGTCATAACAGCCCAAACGTGCTAGTCACTGTGCTGATTCACTACGGCTGCGAGCCTCAGCAAGACTCAGCTCTATCGCAAACCTAAAATCTTCTTCTTCACGGTTCGCATCCACCTGATACGCAGAAACCCGTTGACAACCGTCCGTACCGTTCGCAGCTCCGCCCATCCTCTGCGCGAACCCCGTAGAGATCAGCGACGGACTTGAACCCGAGCGGCTTGACGGGGTAGTCCTCTGTAAGAACGCGGGCGGGGACGACGCGAGCAAACCATATCCGGGAGAGGTAGCACCGGACGCGGAGCGCGTGGTGTGCATTGGCGTGCTCCATGCACTGCGAGTAGACGCAGGGCTGCCTGATACGGAGCGGTGTACGGCCCAACTGCCGCTCGTCCCCGGCGTGCTGGGTACAGACGTGCCCGTAGAGGACGGCGTGCAACTCATTGGGGGGAAGTGCTCTGAGTCAGACGTGGAGGGAGGCTGGACGCGGTCCTGCAAGCTCGTCGAGAGTGCTGAATACGGGCGGCTGATGGGGCTCACGCTGAATCCAGCTTCTATTGGTTCGGCACGCATGCGGGGCGACAGTTGCACCTTGTGATTGGACAGTGAAGGTGCGACGCGGAGGGAACGGCCGCTGCTGTACGAGATCCCATAAGTATGTGAATGCGTCGAGAAAGACGAGGCACGCGAAGGAGCACCCGAGGACGCCTCCGAACTAAAGAACGTAGCGGGGCCAGACACGGGAGTGGACGGATCGTCGAAGTCTGCGAGGAAGACACCTTCGTCTGCTTGAGGCAACGAAGAAGACGACAGCGGAGTTGCCTGGCGCCGTCGCTCTTCTTCGTCGCGGCTCAGCATCAGCACGTACTCAACGGCTTCCACCTCGCTCAAGCCGAGATTATTCAGCGTTGAGCGCTGTTCCCTTTCGCGCCCGAACGCACGACGGGTATAAGACTGTTCTTCCTCAATATCCCGACAAGATTCTGCGATGTCACGATACATCTCGACTTGTTCTATGAACATGGTATTCAGCTTTCACGCCCGATACTAACTTGGAACCGCTCTACTTACGATGCCATTTTGCCACCCCTGCATTCTTCGCAGCGCGTGCTTGTTTGCCCTTCATATATGCGGTACCGTGCTTCCCAACAGGCCCTGCTTTCCACGCCATGACCTTCGTCCCGATCGATACCACCATCACGTCCCGATCGAGCAAAATCTGGCTGACTCCGTCCCACTCCCCACCGACAGTTGGTCGCGAAGAGGGGGACGCGAAGGCGCGCAACGGTGCAAACGTAAGCGAATCCCACACCTTCACCGTCCCGCGCGAGGACCCGGACACTAGAACGACCGCATTCCACGCAAGGGCTGTGACCGCGCCATCCTCATGTGCGTCGAACTTGTGAATAGCAGATACGCCTGTAGCGCCCGGAGCAGGATGCGCGTTCCAGGCGAAGACGCTGATGCAACCAAGATGGTCCCCAGCGAGCACAAAGCTCGATTCGCCTTCTTGTGTGGCAAATACGGGCTTGAGTACACTAATAGGACCTGTCGACCCGTCTCCAAAAGTTGTGCGCTCGACTTCATCCATCACCATGTCGACGGAGAGCCGATAAAAGTAAGGGCTGTCTCGATACGCCACCAGAAGAGCCATCTCCAGGGCGGAAATAGACGCGAAATCTAACTCAGTCAACTCATATTGAGCATTACCACCATCTTTAGGACCGAGTGTAGGGATTATGAATTCCCGAGGGACAATCTGAACAGAGTCGGCGTCCTCCGCAAGAAGCGGATTGAATCCCGTCCAGGCAACGATATCGCCACTTTGAAACCCACCTACGACCGCTCCATGGGCGACATCGAGGGCAACCTTAACGCACGGATCTGTCACCAGTTGCGGGCCCTTGTTCGAGGTCCAGAGGCACTGCATCTGTTTGGCGTCCCACAGCTTCACGCGCCCGTCCGCAGCGCCGCTCACAAATGCCGTCGGCCCGTCCGCAGTCAACCCCCACGCGACATCGTTCACGGTGCCCTCGTGACTCTCGTTCACCTTGCAGCGCATATGCTTCGCCGCGGACGCGCGGCTGCCGTCCATTACGCGGTTCGCCGTAGTAACCGCGACCTCGCCGTGGCGGAAACCCCAGACCACCTTTGCAGTGCCGCCCTCGGACGCGAGCGCGACTGCAGACACGTGTGGCGAGAACTCTTGATTGGGGTTCCCGATTCCCAGGCCATTCACAGTGCCCGATGCGTCCAGGAAGCCGCGCAAGACCTTGCCCGTGAGCGCGTACGAGCGCGAAACAATGCCATACTGAAGGGACGCGCTCAGGATGGTGTTGGAAGGCATCAGATGAATGCATGACACAGCTGAGTGGTGCGGAATATGAGTGATGGTCGGATTGCGGGACCCTTCCCAGCGTCTGCAAATAGGGATGAGGGAGCTGTCAAGGGGAGTAGAGAAACTAAAGAGCTAGAAGACGTCATGGGCAATCTCGTAGACGTTGCGAAGGGGAAACGGCTCGGTGACAAGACTCCAATTTATGCATGACAGGAGATCACCCGCATGGTACGAACGTCACGCACAGATGGTTCGCGGATCGCACTACCAAGCAACAGCCTGAAATTCCAAACGCTTGCCCGTAGGAAACGAGGCAGATCGACGCAAGCCTGATGTTGAGCTGGAAGATCGACCTTCATACCATACCGCATATACGACCATCCTGAGATAGCGTTGCAACGGCGTGTTGATGAAGAGTTCCATCCAACAGCCCCAACACTCCAAAGCTGCAGAGCAGTTTCTCCTGGGCGATGGAGTATGACGTACCGTCTGAGGTTGTATCTGAACACAAATTCCTTCTTCCACGAACTCTCCTCCCTGCGCAACATCAGGCGCTTTCCATCGGATTCATCGCGGAGATCGCTTTCAGGCGCGATGCCTAGGAACTGGTAGACGTACGCCCTGCGCCAGGTATTATCATCATTCACGTGTTCGTGTAGCTGCTTATTCGCGCGTGAGAGTGCGAAAAGACCTGGCGGATCGAGGAAGGACGTGATATGTGTGAGCGACTCGGATGGTATGCGAAGCAGAACGCCTGTTTCGGATTTTTCGGGACCTGGCTTGCCATGTTGTGAGGGGATGTGGTGACGCTGAGACGATAAGATGCGAAGCAAATCTTTTTTGTTGTTAGTCTCGAGGGGGCTTCTGGGCATAAAAATGAGGGGTGGGGGATAGCGAGTACGCTTTCGCAGACACTTCTGCGATGGGTGGTGGTTGGAGTTTGAGATGAGATGAGCTCAGTTTGGTTACCCGTCGTGGCGGCCGATTATCTCATCGATGACTCGAGTAGACGGTCGCTTACTCGCACTATTCCAATGTTGACCATAATTTCAACTAGAGGACGAAGTGCAATACAACAGCAGTGGTTAAATGATGCCATCCGATGGCACAAGAGGGGAAATTACACCAATTTGTAGCGGAAAATTGAACGTAGGATTTCTCACTCATACTGCACTACTACCACCTGTCTCGAAGCAGTGCAACAGACTCTCTTGAACATCGCAGTAGGCCGAGATTGAGAACACAGATAGAAATGATTCCACTGTGGCGAATCGCTTAACGTCTAGGGCCCAGGGAAGCCATATGCCGATTTCCGCTAACTTGGCACTGAGGATATGCAGAGAGTCGTTGCAAGTTATTGAGTGTACATTGAACGTGTCGGGATCCATCATACAGTCCTCCTGTCCGTCATCGCCCGAACAATACAGCCGGTGCCAGCAGCCTCTGTCAACTAACTTGCGAAATTAGGCGTAAATTCAGTGGGTACGACGACGACGACGTGCCTTCTCATGCCACCCCAGTAATACACTCCCGCTCACGTCCCCCCAGCCTGGTAGTGCCATGCCCTTGTAGAGGTACTTCATCAGGGTATCCTGCGCGTCTGGTGATAACGCCCTCACAACACCCGGAATCTCGGTCGCTTTCGTGCTATTCAAGATAGAGACCAAGGTTTGTAGGGTCAAGTTCTAAAAAAACTGGATCAGGATACATGAGATCAGAACAATGAATCCCTGCAGCATACCTTGGCTTCGTCAACATTTGGCCCATATGGCGCACCCTCTAACACTATGCCCAACGCCTCTGTGATATCACCTCTAGCCCCCGTCACAAGTTCAGTATCGATCTTCTAAAAGTCTAGAGAGCAGGATCTGACGCACTTCGCTAGTGAGCTCCGCACAGCAGCTGCCTTCTGTTTCGCGTCGTTGAGTACTTGCGTCGGGTCTCGCGGATCTGCCTCGCAGAGCTCGCTCTCCAGCAGAACGTCCTCGTCGTACTGGTCGATGTCAATCTTGCGGAAGTTGACGTCCATTGTCAGAATGAGAGATCAGCTTAAGTGTGGCTGCCGCAGGTCAATATTTCAAACTCCGCGAGTGAAGTTGTCGATCGTTGACGGTGAATTCGACTCCCCTCCCAACTCTTCCCTACACTCTCACTTGAGTTGGCGCAACAAATTCTTGCGAATACATTCTTGCCATTTTTCTCGTTGAATCAGGTGACCCGGTAGATCCGGAAAATATCGCAAGCATGTCCCTACGATCCGTCCGCTTTCTGGCTATGCATACGCGCGAGGGCTTCCGACCTGCAGAAGCAACACGCTCACAACGAGGCAAGTATGATGTCCTACGCGTTTCGCTCATCACAGATCCGACTTGGCGGCCTCCGGATCGCGACACGCTAGCACCCCGGAATATGAGCCTAGGCTGCCGCCCCTCCAATTCATCTCAGCGAGTAAGTAGATGTGCGCTACAGCTAGCTGCAACGAGGCAGGCAATGTATATAAACCGTGACACCGTTCTGCGCCCTTCGATTTTATTCTCCCAACCATTGCAGCTGCCTTCACGTTCACGCAGAGTCTTCGTTTAATATTCAATTATGGCTGCGATGCTCGACGCATTCAGGATGCAGCCCTTTGATCTCGAGCCCGTGCTCGCATCCTGGGCAGACCCGCCCCGCTTCCTAGGCAAGCCGAAGAAGGACCTTCCCGTCAACGACTGGCTGGCCCAGATTAAGGCCGGGTGCATCGTGCGCAAGGTTCCCAAGGAATGCTGGCAGAGAGTTGGCGAGCACTTCCTCGGCGACAAGGCCAAGGCACGCTTCGAAGAGGTGAAGCTCGTTATGCAGAATATGCACGGGGGGAAGTATAAGTGGAACTGGAAGAATTTCAAGGTCGCCATGCGGAATATGGGCTGTGCGTCTCCTGGATTTCCCGCCGTGTTCTCATTTAAACTCACCATATTCTCGCGCATTTCTAGGGGACATCGAGGCAGACCAGTGGGAGATTGTCAACGTACAAAGTAAACCCTCTGGACTCTGGTGGATTGCCGGTAGGGGCAGCGACTCCAACAAGGAGGCGAAAGATAGTAGTCCCACCCCCCCTCCTCTCCCGCCCAAACCACAACGGTCAAACACCTTCAAGGGCTTCCCCATTCCCAAACGCTCCTCGACCACGAGCTCAATCGAGACCGTCACTTCCTCTGGCTCTTCTTCCAGCAAGAACACGTCAGCCACCACCCCAGCCAACACACCCTCCACGACGCCCGCTGGCACACCAGGCGACAGTACGTGCCGCATTATCTGCTAGATAAATCCCCATTTCTAACTTCAGGTCTTTGCAGCGACCACCACGATCGCGCAAGCACCATTATGGCTAATGAATGTCTGCCAATCACTCGACTTCCTGACGACTGAGCATCCCAAGGTGATGACCGCGATCTCGGCGGTGCTCATCACCGTAGGCTCCCTTCCCGCCCTCCCCGCTATTTCAGCAGGTGCGGGCGGCGCATTCCTCGCGAGCACCACCGCGCATGCTCTCGGGAGCATCGCCGTCGGCCTTGGTACGCTGCTCAAGGCGTCAAGCGATGGCCAAGTACAAATCGCGCCGGCGCCCCATGCACATCCATAGGTCCGTTATTCGGATCGCTGGTGACTTGTGACGATGAGCGGATGTGTTGTTGGGGTGCTGTTATGTCTCCGATGTCCCGTATGATGATGGCCAGCCGGTTTAATGACGCGTATTTCGGCCTCACTTGTTTATTTACTTAACTACATTGGACATGTACTTGTATCTTACGAGCCCACGTTGATAACAACGTTGTATATCATTCATTCTCGACAGACAGATTCGGGCGTTTGGAACTGCGGAGAGCTCTTCAGTGCACCAGTAAGTAGTAGCCGCAGCTAGGCGGGAGAGCGCCTACCCATTCTAAGTTGTGTATGGGATATGCTGTAGACCGTGCCTATGTATGCATATAATCCGAAAAAAGAAGACATTGGCGACAATTGAGTGTGCACGCAGGATAATATTCAGAGTACCTCATGTTACGTCTTGCTCGAGCGCGCCTCTCTGGCGATCGCCTGCTCGCGCCACTTGGAACCTTTCCACCAGACGAGGAGGATAAGCAGCTCCGAGACTACCATCAGGCCCGCCCAGAGCGAGTACAAGCCTCCATCCCCAATCGAGTTCTGAAGCGGGTCATTGAGTAAAAACCCTGGACCATTCGCGCAGCGCGCAGCGAACGAAAGATGTGTAACCCACCTGGAGCGGTACCGCCACTTCCGTAGCGATAAATGCAAAGAGTCCCCGAAAGAAGCTATTCGTCGCGACGGCCGAGGACGAGCGCCCAACGTTCGAGTCAACGATATAAGCGAGGGTGCTCGAATAGATACATCTGAAAGATCGTGCGTCAAGTACATTGTACAGTTCCAGACGACGGTAGGTCGTACATCTGGAAGAACCCAGAGAGGAAGAGCATGACGCAGATGGCCGCAACGTTGACGTGTTGCTCGCACACCCAGCCGTACGCGACGATGGACGGCGGAAAGAAAAGCATGAATATCTTTGTGCTTTCTAGGCGCATCTTGGGAAGAACAGTGGTCAGCACCACTGTGTATTTTACATAATATTCAGGAAAACCTCTGCAAAGCTCTTGCCACCATGTTTCGCCTTGACTCGAGCCAGAACGAGATCGGACCAACGCCCGCCGAGGATACTACCGCAGAGACAACCTACAAAAATATATGGCTTTGGACAAACACATAGTTGCAGACATGAACAATCCCTACCGACACCATACGCCAGAAGGACGACACCGATTTTGAGCGCGTCGTAATGATACTTGTTTGCGAGCGTCCGAGAGGCGGTGTAAGTGATGCTGTAGTTGAATGCGAACAGAAGACCTGCGATGCGAACGAAAAAATTTAGATCTACGTCCAAGAGAGATCAGTGTGTACGCACCGGATCCAAAAAGGATAGCGAGGTTGTTCTTCCTACGGAGTACGTGGATGATGGGGACCACCGGGTTAACGTCCTTTAGCGACACCTTCACCTCTTTTACGGCAACTTCAATCGCATCATCCTGCTGGTCCTGCCTCTCTAAATCCGTGTCCGCTGGCCCGACTGTAGCAGCGCTATCTCTCTTCTCGTTAACAGCTTGTTGCTTCTCTCTGCCGCCAGCGGTAGATTCAGTAGCGGACAACTCAGCCTTCTTCGCAGCCTGCTCTAGCACGCGCTTAAGCACAGACTGGTAAGTCGTGCTGCGTTCCTTACGGAACGTATCCTTGAAGGGCAAGAATGACAAAAAACAGAGTCCGGTAAAGATAACGAGGAACCAGAACGTCGCGCGCCAATTGAACCCTTGTGTCAGCGCGCCACCCAGAATGGGTCCCAGTGACGGACCCAAAAGAGGAGCGCTAAGCAACAGAGAGTAGCGCTTCGAAGTCAGTCACATGCGCCGGACGGGAGTAGGGACCGGGTAAGAGCGTCGGCCGAATACAACGCACGGATGGATCTTGCCGCTGTCCCAATGCTCACCAATAGTAAATACCCATCATCGTCCCTCTTTCGTGGGGCTCGTAGATGTCCGCGAGCGTTGCGGCACCGATGGACATGACGGCGCTTGAGCTGTTTAAATTAAAATACTGGGCTTGGTTAAGCAGGAGCTCGAAAGTGCGTACCCTGCTGCTTGTAGGCACCGCATACCTATCAATACTTGGATGGTCTTTGAGGTCGCTGCAACGATACATCCCACCATACAAAGGGCGATTGACACGAGATAGACCAGCTTAAAGTTCCATTCAGTAACTCTTTCATGATGCTTCATTTCGCGCTTACTTTCCGGCCTTGGACCTCGCTGATTGCGCTCCATAGAAAGGGAAATCCTCCTTGAATTAAGATGAAGAGCGAAAGCGTCAAGCTGAGCTGCCCGCTCGTAGCATGCAGTTGAGATTCAATCTGAGATATAGCAGCTGTAGAGTACGTATAAATCAATGCTACCACAATGTGCCTAAAGATGCAGCAGGGACTTACGGTTGTAAATATTTGCACCCAGACCTGCTATCACGGACGCAGAAGAAATTACAGCAACAATTGCATACTACGTGCAATGTTTTAGCTCATGAATGAGAAACCCAAATAACGAAGTTACACACCTTGCGACCTTTAGACCATTTTCGAGGGTCGTCATTCACGAGCGCATGCTCGATGTCCAAAACGAGCGAAGCCGTCGGTACGGTTTTCTCTTCTACCCGGTTATCCGGTTCATTGTAAGTAGAACTTTGTCGCGACTCAACGGTCGCGCTCTGACCGTCTACGCCGGACATCCTGGAGGCTTCAATGCGCTCGTAGTGGTTCGTGAAGTCGTAAGGCAAATCCTAAGGAGAGATGTTCTGAGGATTCCATGAGAGGCCTTGTGATGCATACTTATCGTTCAACATTATCGCCGAGGGCCATTGCGGCCGATTCGGAGAAAATCGACAAATTTCGCTGCATGGGAGACGGCACGAAATCTTCGCTAAAAATACGCCGTGATCACGTGCATAACAAACTCTCGATTCGAAGGCTTTATTGTTCGGACCCTCGTACATAAGTTGTCTCTTCATACCATTTGTACATGTCCATTGTTTCGGCTTTGCTGAAATGTGACTTTCAGGATGGCAGATTTTCCAGTCATTGGTTTGAATGTATGGCGGAGGGGACGGACCTATGAGTCGCTGCAAGGTGGCATGGAAGCTACATTTCTACTGTTGCGGAATGAGTGCCAGTTCATCGTTGACACCCTGGTCATCACTGCTGGGTTGGCCGTTCCTGCGGCCTTTGCAGGAGCATCCTGCATGCTCCACCCATAATGATCCCAATCTCGACTCTCGACTCCCAGACAGGTAGAATGATACAGAAGATCCCACTCATCGCTGCCCAGATGCTGTTTCATCGCGCGTGAGTATATGAACGGACTCGAGGACAGTGTAGTACTCACATCGTGCACGCCACCCAGAACTTGTAGAAGCTCTTGCTGAACGTGTACTGCGCGAAGAACATGGGCAGCGGCACTGCGTCCTGCGATCAGCCAATCGCCCAGAGCAGTCCGTGTGTTCAGACCAGACGTACCGACTATGCCGACGATCACCGTCAGCGCGAGGCAGTACCACATCGCTCGCTTGAAGATGCGCATGAGCTCCGCCCTGTCAACGGCCGCCCTGGGCAGCACCGCATCGCTCGACGGCGCAGAGCCCACGTCCGAGACATTCGCATCTTTATTCTGGCGGCTGGACGAAGATTTGCTGTCTTCGCCGATCCCTTCCGTCTCTACATCGTCGTACATTACGATCGCGCGAGTCCCCGAAAAGTCGTAGTTGGCCGGCTCTATTTCAAAACCACTCAGTGTCCGGCGGTGAGATACCCGATTGATCTATAGGAGACGCACTTGCAAGGGACACCAATATCGTGATGATCCCGGAGAAAATGAGGCCCGTCACCCCGCTGCAGACAGCAGAGTATGGCTCAGCAAGGTTGGTCACATTGATAGTACCTAGGACGGGAATCTGAATCTGAGGTCCAAAGAGCCGTGCACGCGAGCGGCATACCGAAAATCTTCCAGCAGGATATCATCCAGGCCAGCATACTCAAAATGGCACCGATGATGGTCCCGCATATTACACCTGCTCCCGTGAGCTTGGACCAGGTTACTGTCAGCCCAATTGGGAATACAACCGGGCTGAGGAGGAGCCCTCTGAAACAGTGATAGCGTAAAAGTCGTTTTCCCACCATCGCCAAAGGGTGACTCACTCCACGTAGAAAAGCTAAGAAGATTATCGGTAACAGTAGGTGCTAGAAGAGAATAAGGAAGCATACTCACCCAACCGAGATTGATGGTTGCAGCATTCAGCTACATCATTATAAACAGCCGAGAAAGGGGATATAAACGGTAGACGTACAATGGTGGCCCAAGCACCAATCCAGAGGGCCCACGCGCAGATAAAGTAATGCGATACACGGACGATGTCTGCGCCAGTTGCATTAGGGCGATAGTAGGTCCGGTACAAACTATATATGTGGAGAATCAGTAATTCACCCTCCAGCGTCTGACGCAACATATTCACTCGTAGGCACTAGAAGAGGCATCAAGTCATGAGCATCAAAAGGCCAGAGTCACTCACAAAAGACTCGACACGCCAATTAGCTCTGCACTAAGAGCCGAAGTTACAGCCATGCTGCACGAACCTTCGTGAGACATAGAGCAATTCACACAGGAATGTGCTTACAAGACGACAAGTAAGATGACGACGGCACCACCCTTGCCCATGACAACGACAGCAGCAGCGGTCGCAGTCAGACCTGCACCTGTCTGGGCGGCGGATAGCGGATTCGGGTATGTTGGGAACTTGGCTGAAATAGTGGTCAATAGTTTGCTTTATCCAAGGGAACAGTTTCTTCGCTCACGTTGTTGAGAAGTGCACGTGCGGCCAATCCGAGGCAGGATGCGAATGTCCAGGGAACAGCGAACCATGAAAGGCCACCGAGCATCTGAGGATTAAGTCAGGGGATACACTGACTACGGCCATGAAGGTGCCTCACATAGGCCTTGGAGGTAGACCCAGGAGCGCTTGCAATGGCCTGACGAGGATACATCAGGCAGACGCAGAAATAAATTATTCGGGAATTCATACACGCTGCCAATATCCTGTGAGATGTATCAGCACCATGTATCCTCATACATTTTGCCGTACCTTGGTCACAGAATACTCCCGTAAAACCTAGAAAAGCGATAAATTGAGTTTGAGTCAAGCCGGAAACTTATGGCGTACTTACCGCCCACAGCAGCAGCAGTGCCAAATACGAGCCCCTGGTTCGACCTCATGGTGAGATAGCTCCCGTCGTGGTTACCCGAAACTGGTGTGTCAATACCAGCTTGCACAAGCAAGTCATAAAATCCGCTGATGCCTCCAATTTCTGACGAGGTACCGCTGGGCGCTTGGGTCAGTATTGAACATTTGAGTATGGGGAATTTACTGACTAGATACGACCTACGAAGATGTAGATGGCAATGAAGAGAATAAGTGTATGCACCCAATCACAGACAAAGGTAGCGCGAAGACCGGCGAAGACCGCCGAAGATGACGTATACTGCGATGCCCACTGGGAGGAGGAAGCATGCTGCGACAATGTTCATCCCAGTCAGTGCATTCACCGTCGCAGCACCACCGACTAAGCAAATTTGAGCATGTGTTTCGTCAGCAACGCATCAGATAGATGAATGGGACGGAAGAATCACGTACGAAGAAGGCATCCAGAGATCAACAAAACGCTCAGGAACGCGTAGAACGTGAAAAGTAGATGGATGACTGTCCCGAACCGCATTTTGGCAATCTGATTACTTGTCAGTGCATGGAGAAACATCTTAGATAAAACATAAACCTCAAGGAAAGTGTGTGCGCCGTTGGCATTCATTTTGACCTTCGCCGCAACCATAGCGAACAATGCCATCACGACTGTTCCACCAACAGCAAACCACCTTAAGCAGGAAATTCAGCGACAGTTGCCCTCATTGCTGAGCAAGCGACTAGGACACACCATGGTCCACTCACGCCTACATGTGATTTGTCAGTGCGACGCGGAGTGGGATGGAGGTAAAAGCATACCGACAGTGTAAGCACCAGTGCTAGATTGCAGCAAAGTTGCACTCCATGTCCATGCGCTGACACTGTATGAGAAAGAACCCTTTAGCGATGTGTGCCCTCTTTGTCTAAAGAGCACATTTACATGCCGCAGCATACGAGGCCCGGCTAATGGTAAAAGGTGAGAATATGAGAAGCGTGAAATATAATATTCATCTAACTTTGACATTTCTTGAGGCGCTCTAACAAAGCACTGGGTTTACGCGCATTAACAAATGCACAAGATGGGACTCACGGTGAATTCTTCTGATGATGAGGGGGTGAAGTTCGAAAACTTCTTTTGCAGAGTGGTCAGTAGGAGCATCAGTGCGGCGAAGAAGAAGCCGACGCCTAAAACCGCGGGATCTTAATAAGTAAATTATTGTGGAAGTCCTAAGCATGTAATATTAACCGACGACGACGCCATATCCTACGCTCTTGTCTGTGCAGGCTTCAGTTTTTCTAATCTCAACACAACGACAATATGACTTACCGAGCAGAGGCTTAAACTCGGAAACTCCAGCTTCCGGCATTACGCGATCCACAGGGTGCGGTGAAAGAAGAGCCCTGCATTGAGAACCTTGTATATCCACCTCCAGTGGAACGTGGTGTTGCCAGGTTCTTGACAAAGAGCCCGACGGGAAAATGGCACGCTTGGATATTTGGCAAGTAGCACTCTATGTGCAAAAAGGTGAGAGAAAGAAGCGCTGTTGCTGAGGTGCACCAGCCTGCCGATGCCAGCGTGTTTGCGAGTCAGACGTTTTCCATTCGACGGCATATCAAGCGCTGTAGGTTGACCCTGGGGAATATGAAGTGATTACTTACTCCGGAGAGAAGGGATTATATTCGAGAAGGTGGAGTGCGGCATGGAGATCAGTAGCTCTCCATGGATCAGCGCTGCGACTCATCCTTTGCGGCGTTGCAGGTGTCAATACGAGAAAGGGAGACGAGGCGACCTTTACGGCGGTGTGCACCGCTCAATGGCAACTAGTTCAAATACCAATGACAGCTGCATTGTTTGGGCTGTCCGAGGAATTATCATGATCCGCCTCTCCACAAATTGCGGCTGTCGTAGATCATAGTACGCCGGAGCACTGTGGTATTTGAACTGCCGCAATCGAGGATAGCGCCTTTACGATCAGCGGTAACTCTCACCGAGAATCGGAAGTGCACACAACGCGGCCACATCTAAACTCGAAAAGCAGTATGATGAGAGCGGACAGAATGGCCGCGCAAATAGCGCCGCACAACGCCGAGGGCCCAGGGAGAAACTCCACCTCAGTGCCTTGGACAGTTCAAAGCTGCCTACTTCAGAGCAGGAGTTAATGTCATCGCACGACCAAATGTTGCTGCTGTCCTTTCCGATCTTTTATATGCCTTCAGACGAACAAATACATGTACACACATAGTATTCAAGTTGAACATGAGCACGGTGTCGATTGCATTGCAATCGACCATCACCGTATTACCCCCTGTGGGCAATCTGTACCCTCTGTACAAACCGGCTTACTTATTGTAGTGAGTTGGATGCAGGGTGTCTGCGGGCCTGGCCTACTCCGGCTCGCTCGGGGGCCCGGCGCTTGCCAGTCCCAACTTCAACCTTGACAAGTACTGCGGTCTGGCAATTTCCATGGGTAACATAACATACGACATCTTTGAACATATCTTAGATTACTTACATGATGACCGTCTCACGCTTTACAACTGCTCTCTTGTCAAACGTGCCTTCCGTGATGCCGTCGCGAAAGTGCTGTATGAGCAGGTAACGTTCTCGCCCGCTTTCACGCCAGTGTTAAATCTCAGGAAGAGAGCAGAGTTCATGGTAAGTACAATTTCGGGCGAACGTGCGATTAGGGTGATTGATATTAGTCCGTTTCAGGAGGGCGTTATCGCCTCAGCAAGTTTGCCACACAATGCGGCACACGTCCTCAAATTTGAGATCGGCGGCACGTCGTGTATCCGTCTCCCCCCATACTACTCTAATTAATTCCATGTAGGCTATTTGACGTATCGACCGCCATTTGCTATCACGTTTCCTGCCGAGCTAAGAGCGGCCCTGCGCTGCTGGTGCAATCTGAATACCATAATCGTAGCACCGAAACAGCACCACGAAGATCTACTCAATGATATACTTCCACTTCTACCGGAAGTGCCGAAATTGCACGCGCTATCTATCAACAGTTCATACGCACAAGAAGTCCATACGCAGATCCTGGTGCAAGTCGGGCAATTGGAGGCTCTCACCATCCAGAATCCAAGTCGGGCCGTCCTATCACTGCTACCGGAATGGCTCGGCAGGATGTCTCGAACTCTGAGAGAACTCCATCTGAAGGTGGGCGGAATAAGATTTCGTAGAAATGAGACTTCATCTCTGTCATCAGGAAAATTGTGGTTCGGTAACCCCTGGCGTACTTCGCTCCTTCGTCCCGCATCTCGAAGCGATACATGCGTTCAGCCTCGGTCTGTCCTATTCACTGACAGACGATGATGTCTTCTCGTTTCTGAATCAGCTGCCGAACTTGCGAACTTTAGAGCTTCGCTATTACTTGGTATGCAACACCCAACCGAGTTACCGTTCCTCTTTCTCCCCTAACGCAGCGTTTCCCTATCAGCAACTTAGGGCACCTTCGGCTTTGCCATTTCTCCCGCATCTGCGCTCTCTCACCGTTCAACAGACGACGGTTACGAACAAAGAGCATGTGACCTATTTGTGCAAGTGGATCCGACGCGTGATAGCACGCTCTCCGCTGGTGTCACTCTATCTCATCTCCCAAGACGTAGACAGAGGTGCATGTGCGGCTTACGACGGCATACTCGAACACCTCTACTCGAAGCATGCGGCGACGTTGCGTGTACTTAGAATGGACATGGCCTTCGTCGGGAGGAAAGCTTTGCGTCAGCTCTTCGCATATTGCACTAACTTGGAGGAGGTCGCATTGGCGACGTCAAACAATGCTCTGGTAAGCAACATGTACTGAGAACGCATCCTGCCAATGTTGACAGTTATCTCCACCTAAGCTTGAGATACCCAGATTGATTAGACCGTTGCTTGCCCTTCACACTCTATCAGTCGAGACGCGAAACGTGAAACCCAGTCAAGTCAACATGAATCTTACGAGGGCTCAAGAGTTCTTCAGTGGCGGAACACTGGGTATGAGACGTCTGACAGTGAATGGCTGCTGCTGGGAGGTGAGTACCTCCATTCAATAATCTACACAGAGGCCTTGACATTTGTCGATAGGGTCAATGGCAGGCGACTTCTCAGCGCGAGGTACAGTTCTGCATTAAGCAGGTATCGCCGCCGGGTACGCAGAGAACCTGGTAAATCAAAGCCTACTTCGAGGACTGAGGCGATTGTCAGTTTCTTGAGATCTGATTTCTAAAGTGACAGGCAATTTTTTTCTCTGTACGGTGGGCATAGTGCTGAAAATATTAATGAATTACAGGAAAAATGATGTCGGCACACAGTGGCTAGGAGGAGAATGCTCGTCAGAGGCATGTGCGGTTAATTGACTGCCTACTCGGGTACGTGCTCGTGTAAATAATCGAAATGATGCCTCGTCCCTTCGGCCCACAGCGGACGTCGCGAATGCACGTTCGGTCGTGCGACAGTGATCCGGGACCCTCTTCTCGGATGACATTCTCTGTGGGAAGCACTCAGCACTCATTTTCGAGATCCAACATGCCAACGACCAGCGCTCGTGATGGACTGGGTCGCTATGCACTTATTCTTGTGGTTACGGCCTGCCGTCTACCGATGCGCTCTCTCCACTTTCGAATTTTCATTGTGACGGGCGGAAAGTCCAGAAACAGTCAACAGGGAGTTTGGACATCGTCCCCATTGCTGCGATTATGGTGGATATGTAGGCCTGGCCTGCGGCCACTCGCCTTGGAAGTCAATCCCAAACGAACTCTTAAAATTCACAAGGCTTCGTGACCCCGATTGTGACCGAGTGTTCGGAAACCTGGTACGCACTGAGGAGACAAGTGTTTCGTGACTGAGCCACTGGATTTCGATGGTAGAAAGGGACGTCTTGCCAAGAGAACTCTCTGCGTTGCGTGATGCGCCGTAAGTTCAACTGTTGTGCGGCGAATACCACGAGTGGTTAGTGGTTCGTCCTGATAGCCATGTTACGACAACTACATATCTTCGCGTCGGGAATGCCCTCATTGAACGTAAATCTTAACAGGTGACAAACTAACTGTTCAACGGACGTCTTCATTTTAGTTCGGGACCGGCAATCAAAGTGGCGGAGGCATCCAGGTCGGGTAACTTCGGATGCGGTCCGTCGTCTCCGCATTTTTTGCGCTGCAGATGCTTTCTCCATACTCTCTTCTGAGGGCTGGGTGTAGCAAAACAGTACTCCGGGTCACACTCAACGTTGCATATCCTCGACGTGGTCGTTGTCTTGCCAGGATGGCAGGTCGTTGTGGCGTTTCCTGTCAGATAATCAGTCAAACAGCAGGTCAAAGTCATGAGATACGATCTACCTAGGTCTTCTTTCGACGATGATCAGCGTTGCAAGTATCACAGATCGCTGATTCTCAGGTTAATTGTGAGAATACGTAGTGGAAGGATTCGCGCGTGAATGTGCCTGAGTGGGTGGCCTCGAGAAGATGATTATCGCGTCGTCGAACAATCTTCGAAGTGGTAAGCTTCAGAGCAAACTCAAGATGAATCAGACGCATCTCATAGGATAATTCTATTGGGAAACCCTCAGAAACCCGGAAACCCCAAGAAACCCCGGGTTTCTGAGGCTGCTCGGAGAAACCCCTCAATTTGGAAACTTGCGGGGTTTCCCTCTCCGGAGGAAGTTTCGGACTCCGGCCGGACGCCCTCCTGGGGCGGCCATGTTGGCATCATCGTTTGTGCGGGAAGGCAGGGCAGACTCACTCCTCAGCTTCACATGGCAGTTGACGAGAGATCGAGAGACCTTGCCTGCATGCACTCTCCATATTCTTAAAGTAAATTTTCGCAAGAATGGGAGAGGGAGAGGGAAAATTGGCACCCGCCGTAAGCGTTGTCAGTCCTGCCCGACGCGTCCTGTTCACGTACATAGAGTGTACCGAGCTCCTGTGTGATCGGTAAGCCCCGAATTCACTTACAATTTCGCAGCGAGGCCTCTGCTACGGGGAGGTCGCACTTTACTCACTTTCAGAAAGAGACTGCAAGCGCGGCTCCCCATCAAAACCGGCCGGCTGTCAACGGTCTCCCTTGCACAGAAACCAGGTTGCTGAGCAACTTAAGGGGGTTTCTGGGGTTTCCGGGTTTCTGGGGGTTTCTCAATAGAATTATCCCATCTCATACTAGAAGACGCTACTACCAAGCTACTACGGACTCAACAAGCAACGCAAATCAGAAGTAAATTTCCTTTTGGCCCTATCCGTATCACGAGTAGCCGCCTGTGAAGGTCTGGCCTCGCGGAATAATTGGGTGCGGTCGTTCGGACCCTATTTCTGGTAGAAGGGTCCTGTTAGAAAAGCACTACTCTAGGACTTACATGGGTTCACAGAGACTCTCTTAACCTTCAAGTGCGAAGGTGTTCCGAGAGTCTGAATCGCGGCCGGCACCCTGCATTGTTCGGTTCGGTAGGCATGCCACGGTTTGAGGCTATGTTTCCTAGCGGGATGACTTAAAAGAAGCCATGACAACCCGCCAATAGTTACCTAGATCCGCATCGGAGCCGCCGCCCCTGGCATGCGTTTTGATTTTCGATCTCATGGCATGGTTATTTTACACCGTAATAAAAAAGGTGCTAGACTAGCTTGCGCCCCAGAGCGTTTTCCGTCTTTCCAGCAGGCTTCCTCTCATCCAAAGTCCACAAGCTGGCCTAGTCTTCACGATGGGCTCTTCACATGGGAATGGGGAGGCGGAGTCGTTGCTGGGCCCAATAATGATCGCAGGGATCATCAACTCGTTCGTTTACGGTGTGTCTTTGCTCCAAGTTATCCAGTACTACTGGGCCAGGCATAAAGATCCCTGGCTTATGCGGTACGGCGTTCCCTCCGCTGAGTGTTTTTACGCGGCTCATAGTTCTTGGTGTGCGCAGGGTCTTAGTGTTCTGGATGTTCGTCGTGGACACCTCCCACACGGCGGCAGTCATGTATATGATGTATGCATATGGGGTGACCAACTTCATGAACACGTCCATTTTGACTGCAACAATGTGGCCGTTCACTACAACGCCTATCTGGACCGGTGAGTTCTCCACTTCGTGCTCTGTCGAGTACGCCAGACCTGACGCGTCCGTCCTACATGCAGTGGCGTACGTGTGCTCTCCGTGTGGTCGTAGGGAAGGAGGCTAAATTGACCGCTCGTCGTCGCGACCGCAGAAATGCCATCCCGGTCCAGCATCTTTTTGCCTGGCGCATCAAAGCTTCTACGCAATCATGGGCGGTTTTCGCGGTGATCTCGTTCCTGTCTCTTGCTGGGGGAGGCCTGGGGCTTGCCAATGCCATCGCAGCCCTTAGAAACCCCAGGTGAGTACTGGTATCGTATTTTCATTGCGGCATTCCGCTTATGGAGGCGCGGTAGTGTATATCACTACAGACAGTCGATCCCGCTGGGCGACACATGGATTGCGGTTTCACTCCTTGACGATGCGATTATTTCGTGGGTGGTCTTTTCGTTCTCGTGACGGTGCGTTTGTTGATGATGCGGCCGTGGTGCGCAGAATATTGCTGTTCATTCACTTGATGAGAAGTCGCGGCATCACCAGTTAAGTCTGCAGTCTTTTATCTGTCAAACTGGGCTGTTGACTGACTGGACGCCCCAGGATCTAACACTGCGACCACTCGTTTCATTCGCGCTTCTGCGGAGACCACCGCCTATGCCGTCATTTTCTGTGTATGTAGCTTCCTTCTCTCGGATATCACCCTGATACTGACGCGTGCTCGCAGGTGGCGGAACTCATTCTCTTCGTGAGTATTCTCCCTTGGTCCTTGTAGTCATGCTGACCGCTCGTGTCGTGCAGACTGCATCTCGCGACACTAATTTCCATGTCATGTTCGCTATTGTGAGGCTTTTACGCTGTCTATTCGTGGCTTTTTTGGCTGATGCCTTATGTGCTTGCCAGCCGATGGGTCGACTTTACTCGTGAGCGTTTCTTCCTGATAGCGGACATGTTCAAGAAGTACTGATGCACTATCAACTAATGTCAGAGCGGCGCTGTTGGCTGTGCGTTCTTCCCGAGTGTATGCGTAGACACCTACTGACCGCGCCTTTTTAGTCGCTCAACTCGCGCTCGACACTTCGTGACGAGCTCGTCGGTACTGGCCTCGCATTCAGGGTACGTCTCCCTTTCACACCCCACCCCCACCTCACTCACGCGCCCCGCGCAGTCGGCGGCGGGCAACCGCTTCGAGCTCTCGATGAAGCCCACGGAGGTCACGATCGCCGTCGAGCGCGAGATCCAGATGGACGACGGGTTCGGCGCGCCGTCCGCGCGGAAGCAGGGTCTGCTCGACTTAGAGCGCAGTGGTTTCATCTAGGTGTCGCGCGATTTGTTTGCACTCATCACTCAGTCGTATCTATGCTATCATCTGCGGAATTGGATAATGTTGTTGGTTCGATTACGCTGCTGTTACGAAAGCGCGCGACTCGCTGCTCGCTAGAAAGTAGGATCTGCTCCACTTGGACAGCATCGGTTTCGTCTACGGGTCTGTCCAGAGCACTGTTCGCACTCAGTTGAAGATATGCTGCATGTACATGGTGAGTTGGGTGCACTGTGATTGGAGGATGCAGTCTATGATAATTGGGTGGGTTGCGCATACGACTGCGCTGTGCTACTACACGACGGTGAGGTACAAATTACAGCATAACACCGAAAGCATACGAAAGCATAGTGTACAAAGGTCCGTCTGTATTCCACTCGCATACAAAGTGAACGTCCAAAGGTATCAGTGATCCGCGCTAAAGCTTCACGGGTCCGCAATTTTTGGGGGCTCATGTCGCGCCGACGTGAGAGGATACTTGACAGTCAGGATACCGTTCTCCATCGCCGCCTTGATATCCTCCGGCTGTGGGAGAATGTACACGTTGGACTCCCGAGGAGATCATCACATTGTCCCTACTATGCGCACCTTGACGTCACTTGGTAAAAACAGAACCCTGGCGAACTTGCCATAGCGGCGTTCGCGAACACCTGCTCTGATGTTGATGCCAGCAGGAGGCTTGAGTTCACCAGAGACGGTGAGGTTACCGTTGAGGAACTCAAGACCGACGTCCTGGTGCTGCAGACCGGGCAGCTCGAAAGTCGCTATGGCCCTGTTGTGCTTCAGGTCCTCGTGGACGTCCATCCTGTAGCATGTAGTCAGCTGTTCAACGTTGCCCGTGAAAATATCAGTGTGTTGCAAGCACACCTTGGTCGCCATATCTGCGACCCATTCATGAGCTGGAAGTTGTCGTTGGAGCGCTGTTCTGAGGTCAACGCTTCCTCGATCAGGCGGTCCAGCTGTGAGAACGGCAAGGAGTCATAGAAGATGCGGTGGCGGGCCATGAAGACCAGCAACAAGGTGAGGGGGACGCTGGCGCTGTCCCAGGTGGTTGGAGGAATATTCACGAATCGTGGGCGAAACGTCAGCCACCGTTCGCAGTATTTCGCAGAACTCCCAGAGCGTTCTAGACGCTCCATGACGACACCCAACCCGACTCGTCATGGTGTTCTCACGTCCATAATTGACAAGAACGCGATCTGATGGCGCGCGCGCGAAACTCAGAATGTAGAAGAAGCGGTCTAAGTGGAGTAACCACCTACGGGCGTTGAGTTCCCAATCTGGAAAAGAAGTAAATAACACCAAACGCGATCTCTTCCTTCCTTCTTATCATTATGATGGAATCACATTGAATTCACGGCTGCGGCTGTGCGGCCGCGGTATGCTGTTATTCTTGTCTGGAAAGCATAGGCAATACACACCAGCGAGGGGCTTCCACAGGACCCCCGGTGACGAAGGAGGTATTTATTGGATTTCAAGCTTACTTTGTTCCAGATTGTTCCAGCCAAGCTGGACAGGAGGGCTGCATCATACCCGTATCATCAGGTATGCTTCGCGCTGGCGTTCGAACATGACGACAAATGAAACAGGACCTCGTGAGCTTCCCATACTTCCGCGACCCCTCTCTGCTGTTCGAGATTGTTCGAGGACGCCCAAGAGGCAATGGCGGAAGAGCGCGTTGCGTCCCGACGATGTCAGAAACGACGTCTTAAGGAATGCCCTACGACATTTTCGATCTTACGCTGCTCCTGTCGCTGAGGGATATATAGGGTGCCCTCCGCCTACCGCTACTGTTCAACCCACTCACTGAAGCCACCCTTCGTAACCCGACATAATCATGTCTCTCTCGACCGTCTTCTACGAGCCTTTCTACTCCCTCGCCGACTTTAACCGCCTCTTCGACGAGGCTTTCACGCGCACCTCGGGCGACACCTCCCGCCAGATGCAGCGGCCCCAGAGCGGCCCCAAGGTCCTCAGACCGAGGTTCGCTCACATTTTCGTAATGTACTGAGCCCGTTACACTTACCGTATCTTTTCTGCGCAGGATGGACGTCCACGAGGACGCCAAAAATAATACCGTGACAGCGACGTTCGAGCTGCCGGGTCTGACGAAGGAGAACGTCTCCATTGACGTCCACAACGGCGTCCTCACCATCTCCGGTGAGGCCAAAATCTCCGGCGAGCACGAGGAGGCTGGCTACGCCGTGCGCGAGCGCCGCTACGGCCGCTTCTCGCGTGCGCTGCCCGTTCCCGAGGGCATCAAGGTGAGCTACTGCTGCCTTGCTTGTCTTCTATTGGCATGCTGACGGGTCTGCGAATAGAGCGAGGAAATCAGGGCGTCGATGGAGAATGGCGTCTTGACCGTCAAGTTCCCGAAGACGACGCCTGTGTCGGCGTCGCAGAAGATCGCTATCGCTTAGCTTTCGCGCCGTCGTTGCCAGCTCCGAGCATCATGGTACTATAGCATGCATCATCTTCGCATCGTTTTGAGGAGCTGGTTGTAAATGTTGTACAATATCGTAAAATCAAATGCAGCATGTTTCTTACCGACTTATTCGCATGTTTTGTTTCCATTGGTCTGCACTCCTTGAGACTTGAGTTGCCTTCATTTTCTTGAAAACTTTTCTCATGGAGGTTTTTCAGTGGCCGGATTGGCATCGCTACCGCAAGGGATATTACTCCTTCATTCCCGGGGAAAAACATGTTGCTGGGAAATCTCCGGGGAAAAAGTGTAATTAATGTGCCTTGTGACGTCACATATAAGCGCTGGGCGTTGAGTACCCAATCTAGCAAAAGACAAATACATCAGCAAAAGTCAACTTTTGGTTACCTCCATTTAGCTCCCTTATCTCCTTAATTAAGGAGGTCTCCGTTCTTAATTGGGCAATTAATGCCGATAAGGGTGAATAATGGAGGAATAAGAAACGGGATCTCCTTATTTTTCCTTAATCAAGGGTATAACACCAGTAAGCAAAAGTTGACTTTTGCTGATGTAGGTGCAAATACTCTAATTTCCTAAACTGCTGCATGACCTCTGCATTGATTCTCTGTTAAATTCGTACCTCGGGTGTTCCATTCAGTGTGACTCGCAGTCAGGATGTAATGCATTGATATGTACGCGTATCAGATCTATCTGGCGTTCTTGTTACGTGCTTGATGCACATGCGCGTTTTCGTGCCCGGTGTACGCAAAATACGCAAAGGCGTCCATGTCCTATTTCGTACAGGATGACTGGGCCTGGGACCCACATTGAGGGGCGCGGAATCGATGGAGAGACGCTAAAAGACATATATAAAGGTTTGTCTCCTTAGCGCTATAGTATTCCCCCCTTACCCTCATCAGCAAAAGTCAACTTTTGCTTACCGGTGTTATTCCCTTGATTAAGGAAAAATAAGGAGATCCCTTCTCTTATTCCTCCATTATTCACCCTCATTGGCTTTAATTGCCCAAATAAGAACAGAGACCTCCTTAATTAAGGAGATAAGGGAGCTAAATGGAGGTAACCAAAAGTTGACTTTTGCTGATGCTGACGGTCAAGAACATGTCCACTGACATCGTCGAGAAACAGCTCGAATCCCTCGGTTCGCTGATCACGCAGAAGCCACCGTTGTGCAGCGGCACGCTTCAGCTCCCCTACGAGCAGTTCATCCTGTTTTACGGGAAAGAAGGGGATGCACGGTGAGCACGTCCCGACGTCTGCAGGCCGCGTCTCAGAACCTCCTTGCTTTTTACCCTGTCAACTACAGGCGCGTGAATTTGTCCAGTGCATCTGACGAAGCGCTTGCGCATCTCGCGCAGACGTGCCATGCCGCCACATTCGGCGTGCACCAACGCGACGTGCTGGACGAGTCCTACAGGAAGACGGGCAAGCTCGACCTCGCAGACTTCGCGATGCAGTTCGACGCCGCCCGTACTGGACTCGTCGATGTTGTCCAAACGGAATTGTTGGAGGCCCAGCGTCCGCGGGCCGTCCACGCGGAGCCGTACAAGCTGAAGGTCTACAGTGAGCTTGTACCGTCACCCGTCACGCGCTCGGAGCGGCACAGCGTTAACGGTGCGGTCCTTTCCACGCAGGCCCGAGCGCGTTCTTCAAGTCGCACGTGGACACCCCGCGTAGCGAAGCAATGTTCGGCTCGCTCGTCGTCGTCTTCCCCACACGTCATGAAGGCGGGTCCCTGGTCCTGCGGCACGACGCGAAGGAGTGGCCGCTCGACTTCGCGCGCATCCTCGCGGAGCAATCCGGGCCGAGCCGCGCGTTGCGTACGTCGCGTTCTTCAGCGACGTCGAGCACGAGGTGCTCCCGGTCCAGTCGGGGTACCGCGTCACGCTCACGTACAACCTGTATTTCGCCACGGAGCAGCCTGCCGCGCGGGGGCTGGGGGTGCAGTCGCTCACATCCTCGGAGTCGCAGTTCAAGGAGCGGTTCAGGGCGCTGCTGGATGCTCCTGTATTCTTGCCCCGGGGCGGCCATCTGGGCTTTGGGCTCCGCCACAAGTATCCGCTGAACACCGACTTCAGCCGGGGGTTCCATTCGGACGAGGACGAGGACACAGATTTGGATGAGGACATGTACGAAGGCACTGATGAGGACCCGAACGCGAATGTGGATGCGGGCGCGAACCAGGAGGTCGTGAGGGCGAGTGTGGACAACACGAAGAGTGAGGAGGAGCCGGACAACACGGAGAGTGAGGAGGAGCCCGCCGATCAGAAGGTGTCTCTGCAACACCTGCTCGCGTACCTGAAGGGGAGCGACGCAGCGCTGCTGCACGCCTGCCGGGAGCTCTCCCTGCGCGTGTCCGTGCGGCTGCTGTACAAGGGCCACAAGGCAGACACGCTGGCGGATCGCGTGCTGGATCTGACGGAAGGCGCGATGGATGATCCGCTGTGGTGCAACGTGCGATACCATGGAGGAAAGCTGCTGAGTGACACGGAGAATGTGCGGCGGGACATGGAGGTGCGGTGGGTGACAACTCCGCCAAAGGAGAATTTGCTGAGCAGCCCGTTCGTAGCGTATGGAAATGAGGCGAGTATTGGGTATGCATACATGTATCTGTGCTTGCTGGTGGATGTCGGAAAGGCTGGGAAAAGGGCAACGGCGTAGGTGAGTATCTGCGTAGGTGTCATGGATCGATCTATAGCGAATCAGGCTTTGTACAGCACATACTCCCATCGTGGACCATAACCGTGTGCATGCGCTACTGGGATATGACACGAGAGGGCATGTGTTTATCAGACTTGCCTTTGTAACCTAATCTTACGTGCAGGTTGCATTTCAGTGTTGTAACATCGCCAACTCGGTGGTACCACGAGGTTTGGCAGGCTGGTCCGAAGACAGTCCGACTCAAGCACGGGTTGAATTCACCTTCTATTTCGCCCCACTTCCTGTCACATGTAAGGGTAAATGTCAGTGAAAGAGTCCTTGGTCTCCATACGCGTGGTATCACGCTGTCGTCATCAACAGCGAACTTCATCTGTCCCTCCAGCGTGTTGGTATCAAAATTCGACCGTTGCGAATCCGACTGACACACCTTCAATGTTTGTCTTCACCATCACCATCATGTGTCGCCGACCAACAACCTCATCCGTCTGAAGACCGCCGTGCAAGAGTACGTCTGGGGAAAGCAGGGCAGTGCATCCCTCGCTGCCGGACTTGCTTGCAATTCCGTCGGGCCCGACTTCCAGATTAACGAAAACAAGTCCTGCGCCGAGGTGCGCAGAACCGCGGTCGGGCTGCACTTTAACGTTCAACGCTGAACCGGGCAGATCTGGATGGGCACGCACCCGAACGGTCCCTCGCACCTCTTTGGCTCCCCCTCGACCTCGATACTCCTTCTCGACTCGCCGGCGGCACACTCGCAGTGTCCGTCGCGAAGAAATAGCCAAACACTAAACATCTGCCGTTCCTCTTCAAGATCCTCCCCATCGAGAAGGCGTTGCTGCTGCAAGGACACCCCGACAAGGCTGTCGCCGAACGTCTACGGGCACAGGATCCAGACCAGGCACCGGACGATCACCACAAGCAGAGACTGCGCAGCAATCGGCAAGCCGCTAGGCGCAGGTGACGACGCGCTCTTGCTGGGAGACGTGGACACGGCGTTCACTAGTTTTGTCGGGTTTCACTCGCTCGCGGAGATTCAGCAGGCATTGCAAGGGATGCTGGAGCTGCGGCGCACGGTGGGCAATGAGGGACACGTGCGTGCGTTCTCGGAATTCATGAATCTCGGCTGCGTTCTGGTGCGAGCGCCAACACTCGTGAAAGCTTAGGTCGTGTAGGTCTTCACATAGCATGGTCTGCTCGGAAATTCGTTGCAATCTACGGCATGTCGCGAAAGATGGTGCGTTATTACGGGTCTGAATTGCAGGAACAGTCAGATACCGGATGCCGATGTAGAACTCCATCGGAATCTCCTGTAACGCGCGGATTTGATGGAAAAAAAGTTCAGTAGTGCGTAAATCGAACGCGTCAAATCGAAGGGTCATGTCATCGCGTAGTCGTCCATGGCGAAACCCATCGCGCCGACGAGGAGACTTTGGAGCAGATGTCTCCGCATCGCAGACAATAATGGATAAGGACGGTTCCCGATGATCCACCCACATCAGCCTCCAGAGCTCCATCTCTTGATATTGCTATCAGCAAAACAAGTACAGCGCGCTGCAGTCCTTGTTCTTTGGAGATGAGTAGAGTTTACAGGCGAGTGCAAGGGCCAACGATCGATAGCTGAGAGACCTTTGGGCGCTAATCAGGCGTTGAGTTCCCAATCGAGAGGAAAACAAACAGGGACACATATGAGAGTGGGAGGCACGTGGTCCAGTCCACGCGTCGTGGCACGCGTAACGCCGCGTTCCTTTACAGTAAATAAACCATCCAATCCCCCCATCTCACCAGCGCTTTTGCAGAAAGCTGCCCACGTTGACCGCCGCTAGAATTGAATGTTCTTGGAGAGGCGTATCAGGTGAGAGTCTGTCTTCTCGTGTACCGATGATGATAGTGATGAGATACTTGGGCTTGACTGTGCTTGGACTTGTGCGCTGGCGGATCGATGGTAGAGTTTGCATCCAGCTGGCTGCTATGTACCGCGCTGGACTGTGTTCGGCAGATGTCAGGTTTCTGCGGCGATAGGAATGATTTGTGTTCCTTCTCATGCAGCATCGCTGGCTCCATTACAACCAACTACGCTTCTCGGGATTGTCGTGGCAGTTTCGTTGCGCTACCGAGTCTTCTCTACAATTTCAGAGCCTTCCAAAGTATATGTTCTTACCTCTATTATTTCTCAGATCCGTACAAATAAACTACATCCATTTTCTCAGATGGGCACCAGAAACTACTACGATGTCATAGCGGCCAACCTCCCGGCCGAACTGGGCACTAAGCTGCGCTCTCTCCCAGATGAATTAGTCCCAACCATCGATACCGTCTTCCGACTGATTTCTGGCGACATCTGTCCCTCCAGCGCTTCAGGCAGTCTACGGACATCGTGGACAAAAGCCCAGCAGGACATTTCAGGAGCTATAGAGCAGTTGAAGAGCGGCGACCGCAGTTCAACTACTAGCTCTAAACGCAGCAGGGAAGATGACGCTGAAGATGCACGCACCACAAAGAAAGTGAAGCCCTCTGCAGGCGCGGCGCTACCGGAGGAGGAAGATCCAGCGCTGTTCACGCTGAATGCGCTCTCTCTCACTGCACCTATCCGCAAAAAAGCCGACATCACGGTCCACCGGCAAACACTACGTCTAACGCATCCAACTACACACGCTGCGGAGCACCCGCCCATCCCGCTCTCTGGATTCCGCCGCGCATTCCTGCTACCCACGCGCGGGAAGACCAAGCCACACTGGACAGTGCTGCTCATGCCCTCCGATGCGCCTGCGCCGACAGGCAAGGCTGCGGCGAAGGAACCTCCTGCTGACGCACCACAGATCGCTTTCGGGCTCGACGCAACACCGCCAGGCCTCACCACGACCGCGCATACGGAGGCGGACGCAACTGTCACGACACACCCAAAAGGCAGCCTCGCGCTCCCGTCACTGCGCACGTTCCTCGCACACCTACCGATCCCGACGCTTGAGCCGTCGACGACCGTGTTTCGCAGCGCCGCCGCGGCGGGCGAACCTGTCGCGGGCGTGGAGGCGTACAGAGGTGCGAAGAGCGGGACGCTGTGGTTCCTCGACGAGGGCGTTCTGTGGGACGGCAGGCCGGCAGAGTTCTGGCCGTTGGCGGAGTTGGCGCCTGGAGAGGAGGGTGCAGAGGGTGTCAGGACGATCAGTGCGACCGGCAGAATGTGTTCAATTATCCTTCGGAGGCTCGTAGGAAAGGGGAAGACGGAAGGAGACGAGGGCGAGGAAGAGGGCGAAAAAGTCGAAAGTGTGGATGTTGACTTCGGGATGGTCGATGGAAAAGAGCAGGAGGGGATCGCACGATGGGTGAAGTGTCGCCGACAACTCTTCGGAAAGCGGAACGAGCTTGTGACAGCAGACGCAAAGGGGAAAGGAAAAGGGAAGGAAAAGGTTGTTCCTATACCTGTCGAGGACGACGACGATTCGGAGGACGAAGACTTTAGCCTTGGTTCTGAAGGCTCGGACGGCGGGTCTGCGACAAGCGATAGTGGATCCGAGGATGGTTCTGGCGCGGATGGGGACGACAAGAGCGAGGAGCTCGGTAGTGGGTCCGAGTTGTCGGACGACGAGGCAGAGGCGGAGGGAGGAGATGAGGGAGACGATGAGGAGCTCGACCCAGCACATCACCCACTCCTACGGCCTGGTGCAATGCCAAAGCATATTTCGCGTGCAGCTCTGGATGCCGTGGTGGGGATGGTGGAGGCAGACATGACGGATGGGAGGAAGGGTCCTACGGATGACCAGGTGGAAGAAAGTGAAAGCGAGGAGGAGGATGAGTTAGAGGATTGACGGTTATGCTCGCCACTGAGACATTCATAGATTGAGGTGAGCTACTCGTAGGAGTTGAATTCAATTCCACGGCTCACTCAGTAGTTCTATCTTTCAAATCCAGGACGCCTGTTGAACCTTGGAAGTGAACCCAAATAATGTTGTCCTGTACTGCACCTCACCCAAATTGAAATGCGGAATCCATGCCTCGACAAGTCGGGTTATACACACAAATTTTCGAACCCCGGATCTGTCCTCTGGCATTGCACTAGTACTGTACGAGGAGCAGCAGTTGTAAACGTCGCCGTGAGCTGTATGCGACTTGATAATATTTCCTGCAGCCAACTTCTGGGTACAAGGCCTTCCGCATGGACCGGAAGTTAGTACGCAAGATGCTGGTCGCGTTCTTGTCTTTCCTATCAGTCTGGCTGAGAAACGGAAAACCACGAAGCTTGAGACATCAATATCAGTTTGAGGCGTTTTGCCATGCACACACTATAGGCGCCCGCTAATGCAATGTGTATCCTTGTTTGCTTTTTTCTGGATTGGGAACTCAACGCCAGTTTAGCGCCCGTCAATGTCTCTGCGAAGTACCAGGACGAGTCGGCTGCAGCTTGCGATATCCTCCTCAGTATGATTGCATCAACGAACTTAGAAACAACTCTCCGACTGAATGACCCATCGATCACTTATCTGCTTTTACAAACTGCGCCGCAGTACTTGATGCGCCACGCACAAGATCACATCAGCCGTCTGCGGTACATATATCATGAACCGGTCTCGATGAGCATAGTAGCAGGATTGGCTATATGTTTCACCTCCTTACTCTCTATTTCTTGTCCTGGCAGTCTACGACAGCCGTTGTAGGCGGTCAGATACCTCTCTTCGATAGCGTTGAGAGGAACTGGGCTATTACACCTGAGGTCTCGTCGCTGGCAGAGGGCCTCCTTGAGCAAAAAATGTGTCTGAGGATGGCAGGGCGGCGGAACCTGATGTAAGTGCATTTCAGTAGACATCGCTGATATCCATGATTCGGCTTCCCTGACAATGCGCAGTCGCTGTTTGCTATCGGTTCATGCTCCAAGGCGTTCCTCGTCAGCGCGATGGGCATCCTCGTGGAGGACTTCGCGAGCGGGAAAAATACTACGGCCCTTCCACACGGCATCCAGACCTTTACCTGGGACACGAAGATTCGTGAGTTGTTTCCGGATGGTGAATGGGAGCTCGCAGACGCGTGGGCCAGCCAGAAGGCGAACTTGCGGGACGTGCTGACCCACGTCTCTGGCCTGCCCCGGTGCGCGTTTCCACAGTACTATCCGTAAATGCCCTAATCATTGATCTGCAGCCACGACTTTTCCTATAGCTTCCAGGACACGTCGCTTGATGTTGTGAAGCGGCTGCGGTACCTCAAGCCTGCGTTCGAGCTGCGTGAGCAATGGTACTACAACAACCAGGTAAGTAATGTCGGACTTTAACGTTGCAAGCTCATCGTCCGCGTGGTTCCAGATGTATGTACTGGGTGCGCATATAATCTCGAAGTACGCCGGCGTGCCGTTCTCAAGGTTCGTCCGCCAGCGTATTTTTGAACCACTAAATATGAGTGCGAGCACTTACTTTGGGACCGAAGCTGCGGCCGAGGGACGACTCAGCTAAAGTTGGTGGTCGAATGGACGCCGAATTCCGTACTGGCTAGAAGGTGACGCTATGGAGGTTGTTGCGGGACCCGGAGGGGTCGTGTCGAGTACAGTCGACATGGTGCGGCCTCCGAATCTCGAAATATCTTCCATATGATGAAGCTGACACTCCACAGACAAAATGGCTCGCAATGCTCCTGCACAAAGGCGTTGATCCACGTACGAATCTCACGGTCATACCAAAGGCTGCATATGAAGAATCAACGACGGCGCATTCAGTCTCACTTGGCAAACCCTCAAGTCCTATCACCTCTCTCATTGGTTATGGAATGGGTTGGATGCGCCTGTCATATCAGGGCCGCGACGTGCGTGTCTTGTTCTGTCGATGGAATTAATGGAATGCCGATCTTCATGTAGATGGTGATGCACACCGGGAGCTTGCCAGGCTTCCAAACATTAGTAGCTTTCATGCCGTCAGACAAGCTGGGTATCGTCGGTGTTGAAAATACCGACGACCCGTCCGGCACACTTTCCGCAGTGCCGTTGCGTATTCTCGAAGATCTACTGGGCTTGCCGCATAGCATACCAGGCATACTCGCGCAGTCCAGCAAGTTCACGACGTATCCTCCGCCACTGCGGAGCACATCCCTTGCCTTCGAAGATCCCATTCCCGCTACCGTAGCACTCGAGGAGTTCACGGGAACGTACGTGAATGCAGGCTATGGCAACTTCACGCTATGTACACCCGCGAGCGTCTCCGCGTACTGCCGGCAAGTGTTGAACGACTACGCCGCCGTGCGCAACGTTTCTGCTTCGGACTTGCCCAGTGCGCTCTACGCTGCATGGCCGCGTTTGTGGTCATCGAAGCTGCGTTTGCACCACTCCTCGAATATGACGTTCAAACTCGCTCTCGAATCGCTGTTTGTGGACGGGTATGGACGCGATAGGACGCCGTTCGTCTACTCCATCACTGAAGGTGCAGATATCGAGGTGGAGTGCGCATTACATGACGGGCGCGTAGCGGGATGTGGGATCATGCATGGCTTAGATGAGTTCAAGACGCCGCCTGAAGGCACGATGGAGGAGCGGGCGGATGTGTGGTTCACGAAAGTCTAATGAAGCTGCTCTGAATCCAATAATGCTTGTTGTACCTTGTGAATGGGGGCACTTAAGAACTAACATAACATCGAAATTCCTGTGCGTCCCGCGCAGCGCGAGAACAGTACGACATCCAACAATCCGAGTGCACGGTACCTCTACCATCATCATCATACACTCATGTGTTCGATACGAAGACATTGCTGATGACTCCTCTTCATCCTTGAGAACTCTCTTCGTGCTTCTGTCATTGCGCTTTGATCTCCATGTGGATGTGTCGTTCCACTGTCCAAAGTTCTGAAAATTCGGTTCATTGCAGAATGGCTTCCTCTCTGACTCAGCGACGCTCCTGCACCCTTGCCTGAGTCTCTACGCATCTCCCAGCTAAACGAGACACTATCGACGTATTCCTAGTCTATGAGCATCCTAGCAAACGAAATATTACTAACATGTTCATAGTAGCTAGGCGAGTGAGGTACAGCCAACTCCTTCTACGGCTATAGCTAGGTCGTCTACGATCCCAGAGCTGGAAATGCAGGCTGGCGCATCATCACCAAACGACCTGCCAGTCTGTAATTCAATTCCATCACCAACAGCTACTTGGCTAAGTCTTCCGCCCGAACCTCCTCCGAGATCGTATGGCTACCCAGTGCACGAACGATATACCGTTACTCGCAGTGGCCCAATCACCAGCGGTGGCTGACATGAGAAGCATGGGTTTCGACTCATCATGGTAAACTTTTAAGACAGGAAACGATAGCATGCGAAGCCGGTTTGCGAGCGCTAAAGTGAAGCGTTGAGTTCTCCATTTGGAAGTAGCTCCTAACGGCACTTGCTAGCGGACCTCAGATGATGATCTCATATTCCTCCTGCCATACGTACGGAGAGCTGACCGGCGTGCGGATAGAAGGGACACTAGTCCTCGAGGTGTGTGCGTGGTCATGAAAGTTGTTGCACACACCTTTGTCACCCCTTCCATCGTCCGTGCGCGTGTGGCATTGTCTAATTCAGTTCTTATCAGTGCATGACGCCCCTCTCACCGTGGAACCTCTATCTCATTACCGTGCTCTATCTGTGTTGGTGGCTTCTTTTCCCTGAAATACTGCATCCACATGGCGGAGGCCGCTATGTGATCGCCTAGAGCAGGGCAGTGAAGTCGTGTATGACGAGCACCATGTCCAACGGTCCTGGCTCAATATACGACTCCTCAGACGTTCTTCCCTTCTAGAATAACTCAATCTGCTAGTATAGAAGAGTTAATTTGGTTTGTCCTGTTGAACTCTGTCCTTGGGATCGTCGATCCGGAGGGGAGACCTTGTGGTGTAGCACTTTGTTCTCGTGATTCTCTGAGTTATGTCTGGGGCCTACTCTTGTTCGACAATGCGAGAACCTCATATCCAAGACCGTGGTGCACAGTGATCTCTTCTTTGTGAGTATGGGCACTTGAGAATTCTGATTTGGAAATTGGTGATTGAAATCTTCCATGAAAGCATAACTTACACGCGGAGCATATCGTGCGCTGCCTGACGGCATTTGCTTAAAATGCGGCTGGTCTCTGGTGGTCGTGTATCTTGTGCTGTTGCTGGTATCACAATGTTTCGGCCTTGGCTCTTCCTCTCGTTCACTATACTCGAACTGGTTGGCTTGACCTTTGAACGTCCTCTGACCATCTCTCAGACAATTCTTTCTGTCTCTGAAGGGACATCACTTCATGGAGGCACTAAGGTTCTTATCCTGGGTGGTGGCGTCGCAGGAGTCTCTGCAGCTCGTGCGCTTCACGAGCAAGGCATATCCGACTTTATCATTTTGGAAGCTCGTGATCAGCTCGGCGGGCGTATGATGAGCCACACATTCGGAGTTCAGGACAAGAATTACACTGGTAATCGCTCTTCCTTGAGTACACCTCCCCCTTCTAACTCCACGGATGTGGATTAGTTGAAGTTGGTGCAAATTGGATCCAGGGGACGCGCAGTGTCACTGGCACTGAGAATCCCATATGGAGTATTGCGAAGAAGCACAATGTTGCCACTCGGACAAGTCACTATTCCAGCAGTTTGAGTGCGTGATCGGATTAATGCTCGTCTTAGTTGTGATGTGACTGAACGACTATGCAGCCACGTACGACGACGCGGGGCTATGCGAATTCTGGGACATTTTCAAAGCATCGTCTGAGAGTTTCAAGAGACTGATTGCCTCTGCCGGTATGTTGCGTACATCGTCGAGGAGTATCACCTCTCTCATACCCTTTGGAAGGGTCTCGCGCGCCGAAGCGGCTAGTCGACATGAGCGCACGCAGTGGATATTCGCTCACGGGTTCAAGACCTGATAGCCGCCATGCCATGGCGGCTGAGTACTACCGATTTGACTGGGAATTCGCCGCCACACCTGAAGACACGTCGTGGCTCGCCTCGTCTTGGGTATTTATGTTCGCTTGCCCTTCTTCTTCTGATGACACCAGTGGTCTCTTCCGGAAGAAGTCGGTACTCAGTCATGAGATGATACTGATTTCCCTTACGCTGGGTCGTACCCTGCTAACAGGCGCACAATAACACATTTAGACCAGATGCGGGCGGCTTCTCGCCCGAGAACCTACTCGCGGTGGACCAGCGTGGCTTCAAGACACTCATACAAGCCGAGGCTGAATCATTCTTGCAACCACACCAGCTGCGCTTAAATTCCACGGTCAGCGCTATCTGGACTGCGAAGCATGGCGTGCAGGTCGTTCTCACTAGTGGTGAGACTCTGACCGCGGATTACGCTCTGTGTACCTTCAGTCTGGGTGTGCTCCAGAATGATGATATACAGTTCGTGCCCGAGTTGCCTGCATGGAAGCAGGAGGCCATCCATAGCATGACAATGGTGAACTCATGATCTGCGCCGCTGATTGTAGCTGTGGCAGAGATTTCTGACCAGCCAAGCAGAGTACCTACACCAAGATATTCCTACAATTTCCGCAGAAATTTTGGTTCGATACTGAGGTAAATAATAATGTCTGTTGACCGAGGGTAGAATTCTCACTGTCATGATAGATGGCACTATACGCAGATCATGAACGCGGTAGATATCCCGTTTGGCAGAGTCTTGACCATGAAGACTTCTTCCCTGGCTCCGGAATTATTTTCGTGACTGTAACGGTAGGTGCAGCACTTTAAGGAAGGCAGCCAAAGCTGACTCATTGTATGTTCCAAGGGCGAGTTTTCGAAACGCGTTGAGTCTATGCCAGACTCCCATGTCAAGTCGGAAGTGCTGTCAGTGTTACAGTCCATGTACCCGAATACATGTATCCCCGAACCCCTCGATTTCTACTTCCAGCGCTGGCATAGTGATCCTCTGTTCCATGGCTCTTACTCGAATTGGCCTGCCTCGTTCATGAGCGAGCATCAGGGCAACCTCAGGGCCACAGTCGAGGAGCGACTATGGTTCGCGGGCGAGGCCACGAGCAAGAAGTACTTCGGTAAGTGTTCCGTGACGATGGCCGCATCTCCACTTCTAACGGTGTCTCGAAACAGGATATCTCCACGGTGCATATTATGAGGGCCAGGATATTGGCCGAAGACTAGCGGAATGCGTCAAAGGCGGCGGCTGCGTCACCTTGAAGCATATCGAATGGGTGCAGAATGCCAGGCCATATGATGCAATGGCCAGCATCTGATGACTGTATAGCTCCGGCCATTGACCAGACTGGCGTGAATATCGAGTTCGTCCTATGCTCAATGTCTCTTTCTATGTTCTTATAGTTGCGATATTATTTTAGAATATTCTCCACCGTCCACTCCAAAGTCGCGTGCGATGAATCTTAGTGAAAGCTGCCTAGTGCGGATAACATGGTTGAGTCATCAGACAGCTAATCTTGCAATTCGTACCTGGGCGGATGAAATTCAATTTGGCCCGGTTTTGATGATGAGTTACCAAAAATTAGCTAATCCTACTCATTATCAGACAGAGTACATCTCCCCTACTTGAGCTATCTGATTAGTGTGCCACTGGCAGCTAATCTTACCCGTTTCTTTGTTGCTCAGAGCTCAGATCTCTGTACTTAAAGTTCCCGCACTCCAGGGAACTTTCAATTCTAAGACCCGAAAAAACTGCCAGATATATGGCCAAGATTTAGCGATGGCGTCACAGATACTTTCGGCGCGAAGACTCATCAGATCAACCCGCGAGAGCAAGACTCCGTACACTACATATTACATAGGAAAGGATTCTCTGTGTATTATGTAGTAACTGGTGGCTGCCTACCTTCTCAGCTGGATCACCTGATCATTTCGCTTCGTGAACCCAACGTGAACGCGTGAACGTTGCCACGAGTGGCGAGAACATGAGCTCCGGCGTGTAGTCTTTGACTCTTTGATACTTTGCTAGCTGGTGGTGTGGCTTGTGGTGGCGGGTTCAACGAGGTGCTCCCATCCACGTCGTGAGTCGCACGTTGTCGACTCGAGAACCAACAGTAAATTTCGTGAGTCAGTGAATTGGCTCTGCATCATCATGAACGGCAGCGCAGATAAGGACAGAAGACTGATTGTTATTGTCACTGGAGCGAATGGGTGCGTTTATCGTACTGGGTTTTGCGTTCGCGCTGAAATGTATCCTGCAGAGGTGTGGGTTTTGGGACGTGTCACCGTCTTCTCGTTCAGCTCTCGCAGGTGCAGCCGCCCGATGCTCTTCCTCGGGTCACCTCGACGGATACCGCATTTGAATTCGCTCATGCTGGGCTTACGATAATCATGGCGTGTCGGGATCTCAAACGCGCTGAAGCTGCTCGTGAAAAACTTTACACGCTGATTGATGAGCGCATCATGAGCATGCTCCAAGGGTCGTCAGAGCATGACTATGCGGTCAAGTTTAGAGAGAATTTGGTGCTCGCAATACACAGATTGGACCTGAGCTCCGTTCAGAGCGTCCTCGACTTCGGGGCGGAGATTTCACAAGAGTTCGTCACGTTCTCAAGCTATTGTCCGTTATTTACTGACAGAATTATTGGCGCAGGTATCCATACATCTCGCATCTGATATGCAACGCTGGTCTTGCAACCTATAGTCATGTGGACTTTCTCGTATTTCTCGAGCAGTTTCTCCAGTCGCCACGGAGGGCGGTGGAGTCTCCACGATGCAATGTGCAGAAAAGTGGGGTAATGAGCAAGGACGGCCTAGGATTCGTCTGGCAATGTAACATTTTTGGCCATTACGTACTTGTAAGTTGTCTGGTCACTGCTACTTTTCGCTCAGCTGATGGGCGCGAAAGTTCCGAACCCTCCAACCACTTCTTTCTGCCTCCTCTGAGAGTTCTGGCTTTCACACTCCTGCTAGAGTGCTTTGGATATCTTCCATTGACGTACTGCCTGCGTATGACACAAAAAGTGACTGGCAGCTGACGAAGACCAAAGACTCGTATCAGGCGTCCAAATTCCAACTCGAATTGATGATCCTAGAGCTCTCGCGCCGATCACAACAATGCCAGAACGCAGAGGGTGTTCAGCATCTTCTGCTCCATCCCGGGATTAGCCCAACGAGTATTGCTTCTGAGATTCTCAAGCCGGAAATCTTGAGATACCTCATGCTCGCAGCCTTCTTCGTTGTATGTGTCCGTATTGGCGACGCTATCATGCGTATAACTCATATATCAAACAGATTCGGCTACTGGCGGGGTGCCGATACGTCAACTTCTCCGTTTATCACGCGGCGCTTGCTACCGTGCATGTCGCCCTCGCACCTTTGGCCGCGCTTGTCGGCCCTCCTTCGCGGTCAACTTCTTCGACTATCAGGAAGTTTGGCACTGAGAGTAGCCGATGGGGTGAGGAACGTCTGGGTTGCACTGAAGTCACGGCTTGGGATGAGCATCCCGACGAGGGCAAGTTGCTCGTTGATAGGTGCGAGGGCCTATATCAGACGTTCTTAAAGGCTGGACCAATATCGAACAATGCTGTGGACACATCACTATAGAACCATCTGGCGGCTGTAATATCTAGCATTTGTAATGCTTAAGCTTGCTGGCTGCCACCTCGGACCGAGAGCTGATATTCTACAGTGTATACCCGAGATACCTAAATAAATAAAAATCTTGTCCAGACAAAGCACCTTGAGTGGGTGATCAGAGTTTCGTCCTAAGTTTGAAGTTCGAGGTTGGGTATCCGGTTCGTTCTCAATGCTGCAGGCTAATGAAAAGCGGATCTCTGAAGTAATGAAGCCGCGCCGCCGCCGACCCGAGCGTTGAGTTCCTTTTTGGGGGAAAGACAAATAACCCGCTACGGCGTCTATCTTGCGTTCGCCTGAGGCTCACTGGCATATTGAGACACCACTGTCTTTCAGAACTGCCATGCAGAATATCCCTGTAATCGATATCAGCCCGTTGTACTCATCACTTTCTTCTGCAGAAGCCTTCGACACCGCTCGCCAAGTGAACGACGCATTTAGCACATAGGGTTTCTTTCAGATTACTGGTCATAAAGTCGGTGTGGATCTGCAAAAGGACCTGCTCCGCTACACTAGGGAGTTCTTCGACCTTCCCGTGGAACAAAAATTAGATCTGCATGTACAGAAGGGGGGCGTTGCTTGGCGGGGATATATGCCGCTGGGTGGAGAAGGTACCCACGGTCGTGTGGATCGTAAGGAGGGGATGTATTTTGGTCCAGAGCACCCCGACGATCATCGCCACACTGGAATGCCTCTTCATGGCAAGAACCAGTTCCCGGACGCCACTATTCCTGCCATGCGTCCTACTATCTTGCAGTACATCGATGAGATAGTTGCGCTAGGCACGCTCGTCTGCGCGGCGATGTCGATTTCGCTTGGCCTCGATGCACATTGTATTCGTGACAATTACTTGTTGCCAGAGCCCGTTGCACTATTCCGGGCATTCAAGTACTCTCCTCGCTCTGAGAGCCAGACGAACGGAGAAGTATGGGGCATTGGTGAACATAGTGGTCTGTCTCCAACTTTGTTGCATGTTTTGCCTTTGCTGAGAACCAACACAGATTTCGGTCTGCTGACCCTCCTCAACCACAACTCTCCCGGTCTGCAGGTTAGTGTCAGGCAACTGTGCAATGTTGGGTCATCTCAATAACTTCGTTTAGATTCTCTCTCCTAAAAATGAATGGGTAGACGTTCCAGTTCTGGATAACGCCATTGTTTGCAATGGTAGGTGCTGGTAATTTTGTCTCATCCCACATATGTCTCATTCTTTGCATCCAGCTGGCGATATGCTGGATATGATCACAGGCGGGCGTTTCAAGAGTACGCGCCACCGTGTTGTACCGCCTCCTGCGGGAACATATCGCATATCGTTCCCCTTCTTTTTTGACTTTAGCTGGACTGCCAATATGGTTTACCTTCCTCTGGACCATATGGGGCCGCTATCTGAATTGCAGGAGGCGGAGGCCAAACAGCGCTGGGCTAGCGGAACCTTCAAGTCCGTCAGCGGGCAGTGGTGGCAGTACCTTGCAAAGAAGGTATACAATTTCCTGATACGGAGCCATCCGAGACGCTGGCTGATGTCCTCGATAGGTCCAGAAGGTCTTCCCGGAAATGCAACTTCCAGATTGCGAGCAGAATGCCGCAGCTTCGAGCAGGTTCTGTATCGCTGTACCGACGTGAAACAAAACCTTGTGCCTTTTTGCAGGCCTGAATATCCCCATCTTGCAGATTGCGAGTATCGGTGATGGAGGATGAGACTTGTTCGTGGAAATCAGTGAAGAGCAGTGGTGTCGTGTATTACTTGCCTCCGAATGTTTTGAAGTACCTTGAACTCTGTAGCCTCTTGATTTTTCCTTGCGACCACCGTGTATTTGTTCGTGTGCGAAGACTCGGGATGCGATACCGACGCCTTTCAATCATAGTAGCACTTGTAACACATATAATCATATCTAAACGTTAGAGTAGAATGATTTCGGCGCCGCATCCAATTCCTCACTCGTAATTGCAGACCTTCATGAAGTGACTCCCCTATATTCATAGCAAATTTCCTGTGATTTTAGCAGAAAACTGAGTCATGAATGTGGATTAGGCAGTCTCCTTATAGTGGTCGGCCGGAAATTAATGTGGATTGTGACCAATTTTGAACACGTGGCAAACTCGAGCTCTGATCGTATACGGCCCGCCCACCGCGCAAGAGAACCAAGTTTTGCCACCTCGTTCGTAGGATAAATTCTATATCATGCATGGTTTGTGCTTGCTGCTGGCAGAAATTTTCATTTCTGCCGTGACGTCGAAGAAAAATGCTGTGTGTCTCCTGTAACACCGTTTCAGGATCAGACAAACGCCCGTCACGCTTCTCTTCGCATGATCATGATGGACAGCAAACCCCCTCCCCCCCCCCCTTGACTCGTACGCGCTACAAGCAGTTTGCAGCCGACCACCATGGCTTCACTCTCCACTGGAGAAGGGTTTGCTTGCGGAGGACTGGCAGGATGTACCGCGGTGAGTGCAACGTCAAGTCGAACTCCATCAACTTCACGCATGACATGCTGTCAAGGTCACTTTTACAAACCCGTATGTTTTCTTTGCAATCGTTGTAGGGACGGTTGACTGTAAGTTTCCGTTAGAGCTGAAGTGGCGAAGACCCGCATGCAACTCCAGGGCGAGCTCACGAAAAGCGGAGGACCGAAGGTATACCGCAACGTCTTGGATGTTTTTGCGAAAACGTGGAAAAATGAGAGCATAAGAGGAGTGCAACGCGGGCTTGGTCCAGCAGTCAGTGTAGAAATATTTATCTAAATTGTGCGTTGACTTACTTTTATTACAGTATTTCTACCAGGTACGGTGCTGCAGGGAATTCTGATAGGTTTCAAGCGTTCTCACGACGAAGGCAAGGTCGCTCTCAACGGATGTCGGCTCGGTATGGCTCTCAATATCGATGTGGTGCTCCGCTGACGTTTTCAAAGGTTTCTATGAGCCCTTCCGTAGGGCGTTCAACAGGTTACTGGGGTACGATGTCTCGCAGCAAGTCGCGCTGACGTCCATGGGCGCGGGTACCGGCAGTGCCATCGTCGGCTGTATGTTGGACGTTCGTGGTTGTCAACCGTGTCTGACCGGTGTCTTGCAGCCGCTGTCGGTAATCCGTTGTTCTTGGTGAAAACGAGAATGCAGGCATGGTTTCAGCTTATCATCAAGCGACGGCGTTTCTGACCGCGGTGATCAGGCATACTCTCCTGTTCTACCGGTCGGGGCACAGAGATTCTACAAGAATGGATTCACGGCGTTGTCGACTATCATTCGCGAGGAAGGATGGAGGGGGCTGCTACGTGGTGTAGATGCAGCGTGTCTCAGAGGCTCGTTTGGTGGCTCGGTAAGAGCTTAATGCATGCTTAGAACACTATCTCACTGTACCACGGCAAAGGTTCAAATTCCAAGTTATATCTGGGCCAAGTCCCAGCTAGTACGGCACAACCTTGGCGCTCCGGACAGTTTGTGGACATATCTCATCAGCAGTTCAATCTCTGGAGCTGTAGTGGTTGGTATTCCTTCACGGTCGGTTCGACGTTCTGATTGTTGACGATTTGATACAGTGTCTGGTAATGCAGCCGGCCGATACAGCAAGTTTTCACTTTTGTCTTCCGGGACATGTCTAACATGTTGCACGCAGACCCTTACTCGCATGTACAACCAGCCGACTGTTCGTGGCCCAGACGGACGCATGGTCGGGACCCTGTACAAGAACCCGATTGACTGCCTGTGGAAAACCCTGAAGACGGAGGGCGTCTTCGGCTGGTACAAAGGTGCGCCTGTCCTCATTTCCGCGAATGCATATGGCTGATACGCGATGCCTGCAGGGTCTACCGCCCATTTCTTGCGCATTGCGCCGCACACGTATGTTTCCATCTATACTTCCCGTGCCTGCTTATCTGATTCCTTCGTGGCGCTGGCAGGATCATTACTCTTACATCGAACGATCTGATTGTTCGCTTGTATCTCCGGGCTCGCGAACGTATGGGCTAGCCTGTCTCTCCCATAGAGCATAAGGTGTTCTGATACCTCGCGCGTGCGTCATGGCTCAGGCAGGTGTTGATAATGTTAGTTACCTGTAGCGCCTTTGTCTCTGTGTTTCTAATTGATGTTGCTTTTGCTAGTGTTGTTCGCAGTGCGTCATCGTAGACCTACGATATCTTGTGTCATTTCTTTACCAGAACACTAGAAGTACACGGTTCTTTGCGTCAACTTCGATAACCCGTACAAGCACATGGCTACATCACGCCCTCTCACGAAAAAAGATGGAAGCTAACCGCGGCGGAACATCATCATGTTCTGCTCGCGTTCACTGCGGCAATCACCGTTGCCTGCAGGACGGCGGCGGTCATGTCAGCATCATTTCCAATCCCCCACCCCGCACTATCGCCGTCGCCCTCCACCTGGACGAACGCCGAGTACCCGCCACAACCACGGGGTCGGACATGGAACTCGCGCATGGTCGATGACCCGAGGTGTTCGGCGATTCCTTCTAGCAGGCAGCTTGCGGCGTCGTTGCCTGTCCCGAACACCATCTCCTGCATCCCATGCAGCTTCACGATGGCATGCAGCTGGACGCCGACCGCGCCTGTGCGGCGCGCAATAGAGAAAGACCACAACGGGGAGCCCTTCGATCCTGATGCCCCGTGACAAAAGTATGAGACGAAGCGTGCAGCGACTTGAGCGGGCGCTAAACCCTCTTTGTCGCCTTTACTGCAGAATTCGGACAGCATGTCGTCCATGGATCGCGGCATGGGCAGCCGGTACTCATTCTGCAGGATCTTCATCACCTCTCTGGAATCCCCGCTGACAATCGAGACAAGACGTGCTCCAAGTTGCCTGTTGATGGAGCTCACTGCAGCGCGAATGCTGCAGCTCCCGTGGTCTTCATCGACGCCAACGCCCCAGGTGGGTACACGTGTGGTTTCACCGATGTGTACAGATGGCCCATGGTGAAGCTCCGTCAGAAGCAAGAATGACGTCAGATCCTTACTGGTCGGCTCCGTCGACCTTCGCTCGTGGTGATCGATAACGGAAAAAGCTAGGCCAAGTCGCTTCTCCACTGCTGCGAGGAATGCTTCGACCGGATCCGTCCCTTCCCCTCGCAGGGAGCACACGTTGCCGTCCACGAAAACTCTTCCTTGGAACGTCGTTAGAGAGTGCCCACTCTGCGGGCTTTTGACCACAGCGAATTTGTCCAAGACAAGTCTCGCCTGCGACCCTGCGTCTCCGATGTGGTAGTACTCGCAGAACGCAGATTTTATTTCGTCCGATGTCATCTCGCGCGCATAGTGGTCGACATGCTGCTGCACGACTTGATAGAATTCCTGTTGCACCGCGCGCGGGAGATCCATGTGCAACTGCTTCCCGACGATGTACGCGCTACCGCCTTTCCCCGACTGCGAGTTCACCCTTATGACGGCCTCGTACGTGCGCCCAATGTCGGCAGGATCGAGCGGAAGATATGGCATCTCCCACTTCTGTGGCAACCCTGCCTTTTCACACTCGGCATGCCGCCGCGCCTGCGTATCGAAACCTTTCTTGATCGCGTCTTGGTGGGTACCCGAGAACGCCGTGAAGACCAGCTCACCCGAATATGGGTGGCGCGGATGCACTGGAATCGAAGTGCATTGTAGCACGACATCGATGGTAGACTGGATCTGGCTGAAGTCAAGACCGCATGGAATGCCCTGCGTGTAGAGGTTCAGTGCGAGTGTCACGAGATCCACGTTCCCACAGCGCTCGCCATTTCCGAAGAGACAGCCCTCGACACGATCCGCACCAGCCATCATCGCAAGTTCTGTTGCGGCAACTGCAGTACCTGTCACGAAAATTCAGGCGGATATTTCATACACCACAAGGCGTAATGGCTTACCGCGATCGTTGTGCGTGTGAAGACTGACGATCATCTCATTCCTGTTCTCCATATGTGTGCAGAAATACTCTATCTGTGCAATGGATTATTCCGTGATGCCTTCATCAAGAAAATGAACGGCGTACCTGGTCTGCGAAGTGGCTTGGGGGTGCAATCTCTACCGTGGAGGGAAGATTGAAAGTGACGCGGCGATCACCTAAACCTGCAAGCCCCCACGCATTCTTGGCCGCGGTGCAGATCTCGACGACGTACTCCGGCTCGGTCTGGGAGAAGGCCTCCACGCCGTATGCTAGTCTGAATTTTGTTCCGTAGCGCGCACTGTATTCGTCCGCCAGAGCGCGGACGATCTTGATATGTCGGACTGCAACATCAAGCATCTCCTCCTTCGTCTTGTTGAAGACGATCTCACGAAAGCAAGGTGCAGCGGCGGTGTAAATGTGAAGAATGACATGCCGAGCACCAGCAACAGATTCGAACGTCCGCCTTATAAGCTCTTCGCGGGCTGGCGTGAGTACCTGGGTCGGCAGCAATAAATCTACAATGCGATGCAAAGGAATAGACTTCATACCTGAATCCAGACGTCGTCGGGGATTTCGTTCTGATGTATCAATGTCCGCACAAACTCGAAGTCGGTGTCGCTGGCCGATGGGAAGGACACTTCGATTTCTTTGAAGTTGCACTTAACAAGATGGCGGAAAAAACAGAGCTTTTGGTCGGCCGTCATTGGTCTTGCCAGGGCCTGGTTTCCATCGCGCAAGTCAGTCGACAGCCAAATTGGATGCTTCGATATTTTGTTACTGGGCCATTGTCGATCCTCAAGGTCCAGGGAGGTGTAGGGCGTGTACTTGATACTCGGGTCCTCCCTATGGTGCCCGTCAGCTGCGAAGGGTGAGTAGCCGGACAGCAGACTTACAGCATGGTGATTAACGATGATAACAATGGCAGGGGGGTTAGAGATCTAGGTTTATGATTCCGAGAAGTCGAGGGAATATCGCAACCTTTAAGCAGCTACGGCGCTCGAGTGCAGCACTGCGCCACGCAATTGGCTTCAAAGTTCGCCCTTGTTTGTCGACTTCTTGGCTCCGAACCATCGGCTATAGACTATAGGGTAGGAGGAATGTCTAAAGAATCTGATGTGAGCCAATATTAATCTCGCCGTTCACAGTACTACGCTTCCCACATCCCTTTTGTTCTTCGGCCCAGGTCTCATCGTCCAAGAGCGTTGATATCTCGCTTCGGTAGCAGAGACAGCTCGCAGATATTTGTGCTTCCAAATACCTTCCGGGGATCGCAGTTACATCGCGGGATTGTTGGCCTTCTCCTTCTGATTCCTCATCGATGTCCAAGGTTCAGCGTAAGACGAACATTCCAATGCCCGTGTTTGACGCGGAGTTCCATGAAGGCTCAAAAATCATAGAATTGCGTATATTGGTGATTCTTGTTTGTAGCTCCGCAATAGGACATTCAGCAATTCCCACGGTTCCCGAGCGTTGCAAAGACAGTTGGCGTCGTTGGCCAGTTTCCCTGAGGTTTATCTGACTGGGTGAGAGAGGGCCTCAGGCCTGTACACTACAATCGAGCGCTGACTGGATTCGTTTCTCTCGGTTAACGTCACATGCAACGATGAAAAGCGCTGGCAGCAGTTACAGTCCGTACAGTGGGCGACAGCAGCTGTATAACTTGTACTAACCTTATCGCAGACATTCTTCCATTCCGCGGTCGGGTTGATCCCGTTGTACAGTTAGGCACTCGCACTCGCACTCGCACTCAGGGGCTGGGCGCTATGCCTAGCTCCAACATAGTAGGGTCGGATTCGATTGGCGTCCTACAGGCGCTTGGTCACATCCGTCGGCCTGGACTGGAGCCCCGGGAGCAGTCTTGTGAGTAAGTATTACTGCTTTTAATGTTTTGTTCATCATAAGAAACTCAGTGGAATTGAGAGCAGCCTCAGCGCTAACAGTAGCCTTTGGTTGTTCTTTCCCACCTTTTCCTGCTCTGTCCTTACCAAATCCTATCATATCAAGCGCACGTGAGATCTGCATTTCCCAAGATCATTCGCTGCGACTTGCGGCAACGGTGATAGACACAATTCGCACCCGCACTTGGCGATATACCCGAATGGATGTATATGATCTAGCTGTAACAACGCGTGCTATCTCACCGTGTCAGTATTCAAGCGGCTTGAGGAACATAACCGGGCGCTGAGCCTTCCTCCTCTTCGCCTCGAGGTTTGTAAGCAGTCCGCCCCTTTTCCCAAGTATTAGAGGTGCAGTTGACAAGGGGAAGATTACCTTGGGTCGTACATGCTCCGTGTAGTTCCCAAGCTCCGACTTCCAGCCATCGGCTCATCGAGGACAGGTCCGTCATTTTAGGTGAGTATGCACATTTGCTGCCACCCACTGCGGCCGACAAGCAACATTGCTCCGAGTGTGAACGGAGAGTGATACCAAGGAACCATGGGCTCCAGCTATCTGTGATGTCTCCGCCATGTCTCTCTGTGAGAATTCCGGCCGATTTATACTCTTAAGCGGGGACTCTCTAGGCAGGCCGTGTTGAACTGCTGATAGAGAAGACGATGGGGTGGTTTCGCAGATCAGAATCAGAAGCGAAGCTGTAACGTGCTGCCACTGACATGATTCAATGACGGCGGTGAATATACGCACCACAGACAGCGGTCATCACAACTTTGTCCTGCTTCAGGGTTGAAAATCTCTCCTGGCCGTGGACAGTGGACCTTATGGCATCGACTAGTCCCCTTCTTCCGCCGGGTAAGTCCCGCGTGGGTCATTAGCATGCCGCTACTGATATCCTGTGTTCCAGTTTCGCCAAGACTTGGTTAAAATGTGAGGCATCGCTGGTTCACACCGTCTGCCTACCTCCCTCCGAGTTTAGACTTCGCCGGAGACGATCATGTCCGTGTGCACTGTGGACGAGAAGGCTTGCTCGCCTATGTCTCCGGTCGTTCTCCACTGGGTTACTCCTGTGAACGTTGACCGTCGTCGGGTGTTACAGAAATTGGACTGGCATCTCTTGCCTTTTGTGTCGCTCTTGTATCTTGTATCTTGTATCATTCTTGTGAGTTCTTGCACTGCTGTTCTGCATCACCTCTTCATCATTTCTACTTGTGCTAGAGATCGTGCGAACATTGGTGCGCAAGGGTTCAACTCGCATATTCACCGTTCTGATCCCGGTATTCCGCCAGGCAATGCGAAGGTTGCCGGATTAGCAGCAGACCTTAAGCTGACCGGTCTTCAATACAATCTATGCTCCGCCATCTTCTTCGTATGTTATAAATACGATAGCTTGTCCAATTCGTTGAGCGCCTCATCAGATACCCTGCTGCTTCTTCGAGGTTCCTTCGTGAGTTCCACCTGATCTGATACCATTAACTTTACAGGAACTTGGCGATGAAACTCCTCAGACCATCACGCTGGAGTCCGTAGCATTTGGGCCTCCTTTTAATGATGTTAGCTGACACGTCTGCAGTACCTCTTATCATGATGTTTTGGCGCGTCACGACGTTGTCCATGGTGTTTGTTAAGAGCTATGGCAGCCTGATTACGTGGTAAAAGCCTTGTTCGCATCTTGGATTAACCGAGGTGAGTATCTGAGGCCGTGGTTATTGCACGGCGTTTGACGACAATTTTGTTCCGAAGGCCGGGCTCTTCCATGGGGTAACATTCTACCTCTGCCTATGGTATCGGAGAATAGTGCAAGCACAACGCGCGTCCATCTTCCTTTCCCCCACCACGGCCGCTGGTGAGACTGGATCTCGCTTTATTATCGGAGCATCGCCGAGCCATCATCAGGGGCTTTTTGCATTCTAGGCTTCGGCATAGAGAAGATGAGTGGGTAAGAACTGCAGTACTTGTAGACGGCGCAAGGTGTTTATGATCGCATCTCAGTATTGGGGGCCTGGCAGGCTGGTCGTGGATCGTGAGTGTCGCTAATGTCCGCGGGACGTGTTGCATGCTGAGATATTCCTTTTGCAGTTTTTGTTGGAAGGTCTCCGTACGTTGTTGCTCAACATTAGGTCATGTAACTGGACTCAAGTGCTTCCATTGCAGTGACTGTCGTGGTAGCTGTCCTCTCGTACTTCTTCATGTATGACGTACTCATCATGACGTCTGTGCGCGTTGGCAGTCAGGAATATTGACCACTGCGACATGAGTACAGTTCCCAGAAACAGCCACATTCTTATCTGAAACGGAACGCGAGTGGCTTATCCAAACGCCCCAGGAAAACAACGCAGGGCTGTCGAAGACGTTCCGTTGGGAGTTCCTCGCTCCGTGATCCGCACTCTTATATTTTTGTGGGCAGCTACCTCTTGTACGTCTCCATTACTGCTTCACTTCGTCGCCTCTCGGCAACCATCGCACACTTAACTTCCCGCATGCAGTGTTATGATTCCAACATATGCGTTTGCTCTTTTCCTGAACATTATCGCAGGCCTGGGCTACTCTGCCTCGCATGCGCAGCTGCTCTCAGTACCCCATGTGTCGCTGGTTACTTCTGCACTATCGTGGTAGGCATGCTCTCCGATCAGTGGCGTCCCCGAGGCCCCTTCATTCTCGCACGGTCGATTGCGGCGCTTGTGGGTACGTAGTGCTGTAGTACGCCACAAGGACACCTGTTGCCGGCTACGTTTGTACGACCATTGCCTCATGGGACTGTTCCCCGCCGTCGCTGCATGCTCACGTGGACCGGAGGAAATACTAGAGGCGACATCAAGCGTGGTGTTGTGATTGCTATGGCCATCGGGATTGGCAACTTTGGGGGTGAGAGCATTCGAATGTTTTTGTTGGACGTGTAGTTGATTTCACACGACAGCATCGCGTCGTCGTTCATCTATCGTCCACAGGACTGCCCCTATCATCATGGCCATGCAGCCGATATTAGATGTTTGTGTGTCTCGTGTGTATCCTATTGCGGAGTCAAGAGGCGGGTACCTTCTGGACCCCAGTCGAAGGTATCGCGGGTCAAATGAGGGATTTCATAATGTGTAACTGTACTCCTCACAGCTCACAGCTCACAGCGACAGCGCATGAAAGCGCACCTGTACAGTGGAGATTTATCTCCCATATCACGAAACGCCTCAGCCCTTTCTGCTGGGATATAATCCTTCTCGCAAAGTGCTGACTTCTGTCGGTTCAAGCGATAGAACTCCGCCATGCCAATGATACTGATGATAGCCCTAGAATTCATGAAATCGGCATATTGAGCATCCGCCGCTCAAAATATACACACCGATTAATCACACTTGACCACATTGTTTTACGATCCAATCGTTACTATTTCGTATTTGTTACAAGGTACTAGGTGTTTACAATTCTTGGGCGTGGGGAACCCCCGGATTTTCTCGATTTGACTCTAATATGGCCAGTAAGCTGATGACTGCGAACGCCATAGGGGGAATTCCCGACATCTAAGCCGCGAATAACAGCGTTCCGCTCGGCTGGCATCGTGAGGATCTAGGGCAACGGCCAGTAATGTACATGCTGTTACCTATACGTTTTACTTCCGCTACATGATCAAGATCTGACCACTTGGACGGACGCAGATTGAGCAAACGATCGATCGAATGGGCGTGTTTATGGCGCTCGGGATACTATACGACCTCGGAATGTGAACGTTTGAACAAAAATGGTTGACCGCGTCGCGAGCCTCCGGTCCAAATCTTGAGTGTGCGCGTTGATATCTCATGGAACTCGCTGCACTGGAACTTAGAGACTGTATTAGCCGACGTCTACATGACGGGTTGAAGGGATGTACAGAATGTTTGGGCCAACCACCTCCCTCCTGGAGAATGCATCGTCGGATATCAGCAAAGAGTTGAGGTTAGTGTTGGACGCCGTGGTCTATGAAAAGACTTATTCTTTGCCGTGACGCAGGTTCATCGGACGGCCTGGATTTGCAAGAAACCGTAGGCGTTACCCAGGTCCACATACTCAGTGCCAACATTAGACCGATGGATTGAAAACAAGGAATTGCATATCACTCAGCTAGGCCGCCACGTCCATAAGCGGCTTCAGGCGCATGACGGACTGTCTCAGATAGCACATTAGATTATAGTCTCTCAGCTAGTACTATAGCAGAAGCCTAGACACTGTAACATTGCAGTGCTAAATAAGAAGCAACGGCTGATACAAAACGAGGGGAAGTCTATGACAGACAACAGGACTTGCATTACACCATGCCCCGTTAAGAAAATCTCACTTAGAGGGTAGAAAGCTACGGCAGGGACATGTCTTTGACCCCACCAGAGTCGCTGGGCAGCCGCTCGTCACTTTCTTCATACGACTGTCAATCGATGTGAGCCGGACATCGTCGAGCGCGTACGTAAGTACCGACCTTTTGCGATCTAACGCCATAACGGGCATCTGTCATGGTCGTTGTCACGACGTGAACGACGGGGGCAATCTATTATGAGAAGAAACAGGGGCACATCAGATACGGCTAGGGTGAAAAGTTGCAGTAGTCACGCACCACGCTGTCTTTGGTAGTGAATTGCAGCGCGGTGCTATCGTGTCGCCGAACAGACAGCTGTATTTGCTCGTCGTCTTCTTCCAGCCCGCGTCCACGGTTGACTCTTCGGAAATTCAGTCTGCAAGCGAGGAGGGGGAAGTGTCGGTAGTGAGAGGTGGTACACATGGCCGGAAAACTTACGTCGCTAGTAGCGCATTGGCATATACTGCAATTAATATGAGTTATAGACGAGATCTCATACGCCACCTAATAATACTCACGTTTGCTGAGTAGAAGATGCCAGGCCAGGTAGATCATGTTATCAGGCATGGTGAGCATCTGTAAGTGGTCATCAGGACAAGCATGCGGTATAACGAAATCCCCTACAGTGATGATCACGGTGAGGCCGACGACACTGCAGATGAAAGTTCGGCTGAGAAAGAATAAACCACATGATTGAAACCAACCCCGTCAACACGCCATTGTTGACTGTCCAGAAGGTGATTCTATCTACGATCTATAACACACGATCAGCTTATCCGTGGATGGGTTCATGAATCGTATGGCGACGCACATTATCCGTGCTGAAATTTGCCTCAGTTAGTATCAAAAAAATAGGCTTTTTATCGACTCACTGGCTACATGTCAAAAGGAGGTTATGCCACTTGGTTGAAAGCTTGCTCAACATGCTACAATCTTAAGCACTTACCTGCTGAATCCCCTGTGTTTTCTGAGATACCATACGAGCGAAATAGTGATGAGCAAGTCCGCAGCGGTGCCTGCACCCATTCCGACCCCGACCTCAACCTGTGCGGGGGAGAAAAGAATTATTTCACCCGCGGAGTAGATTTTTAATGGGACCATACCCCGATTTTACCCCACAGCTCCTTGAGCAGCTTGATCTGGAAGCTTAGGAAATTGTTCAGTAATGATGGTCGTTGAACACAAGGGCTACCAACATTCTTGCAGTGACATCTGTGCAATCCGGTCAGTCGGTAGAAACAACTGTGATGCATTAGGTACTCACAGGAACCGAAGACTGTACGAGAATAATGACCATTAAGATTACTCCACCTGACACGGTAAGAGGACACGCTACGTACTCAACCGCATAGCGGATAAAATCAGCTAAAGAGGGATACAGCGTAAGTCGTTAACACAGCTGAACAAGCCTGCTGATTGGCGTACAATTAGGGCCGCGATAATCCATTGCCGGTTACCAACTGCGTCGAGACTCGACAATCAAGAAAATTGGTGCATGGTATCTTGATAAACTTACGGATGTACACGCGCCGGGCGTAGAAGCTAAGCAATGCAAGGATCAATAATGTGGAGGGGGTTCATACTTCGCACTCACCAATGTGCTACAACTGTGACTACGGCCTGTAGGAAAATTGACGTTTGGGTTTGTTTACAACAAGTAAATCAGGCGCATCACGAACCGTGATCACAACAGTGATCTTCGCCAGTAAAGTCAGTGATTTGCGTGCAATCAGGCGGATTCTGACTTACATCGAAGCTCCTGCGCTATACATTAGCGTAACAACTTTAAAGCTCATTTGTCGGCACTCACCAGACAGAGAGATCCAGACTCGCAGGGTTATTGTAATTCAGGATCAAATACCAATAAATCATGTGCCAGGTGAGTGCAACATGGGTGACGTCCAGCACACTTTTTGAAGTGGGAAAATGAAAAGCAGGGCATAACGCCATCATGTTTTCACTCACAGGAGTGTCCAAACCTTTACCAAATCTTCAGTATATGAGATCACCATTGAAGCAGACATTCACCCACCGTCCAACGAATGATCTTCGGGTCATTCGGAAATCGTGACATATACATGTATGTCTGCATAGTTGTGATCCCGAACCCGCTGCATGTCGCTGATGAGAGCCCAGACAATGCCAGAAGCCACGTAGAACGTACACGGCGGTGAAGAGCGTCCCCAACAAGAGCGCGCCCACTGTCGCGTTCAGGTCATTCGCCATGATTCTTCTCGCGGTCGGGGAACTTGAGAAGTAACAGAAGGTGTTGTGGGGGTTGGGAAGTCGAGTAAGGTTTTGCCCAGTCGGAATCCAAGACAGCGTTGGACAGGTCAGGAAGGAGACATTCTCCGAGGTTGAGCTGCATCACGGTATAAGTATAGGCTAGCGCGGCGTAGACCGTCCCGGCGTCATCAAGGTCATCAAAGCTCGCTTGATGCGACTTTTGGCCGGGAACAGCCGCATTGTGAAGAAGAACATGGTCGGACATCGCTTGGCCTCTGACATGAGAACGACTTTGCATTGGGATCATACCACAATACTTGGAGTAGGTATGTGACATATAGGTTGGCATGCATAAATTCGCGCGAAAAACCTTATTCATACGTCCAGACCTGGTACCAAAAACATTCAAAACGAAACCCTAATGTTTGTCTCTAACGTCACAGTTACCAGGTCCAGGCACAACGTATCGATTTGGTGAGTAGAGCACATTTGCGTTTCTAGAAAGGTCGGTGTGCATAAGCCGAGTCTCCGAGAAACCCGCGAGCGCCCAGCGTCTTCCTCTGCATTTCGATGTGGTTTTCTTTCGAGGTTTCTTCGTGATGAAAACTTTGTCTGGCAAAGCTGCACTGTCCCCACTTGGTGGCAAATCAAACGTTTATTGCAACGATTCCTGGTCGATCCCGCAATCTCAGCTGCATCTAGGCTATCATGCGTTACATACGTACGACTTGCAAATTCTTGCGATTGTCTCTCAATTGATGCGTCGCCTAGATACTGTGAGATACCGCGTTGTACAGGCTTTGGAGTATGTATCACGGTTCTGAACGGACAGGCGGTACGCTGGAGTTACATCTGTGTCACTCGAGCGTTGTAGAACAGACGGGTGATACCAATCCGTGAAGAGGCAAGTAGATTATATATCTAACAGTGTAACAGAGCGTAATGGCCTCGATTTCTGCGCTACTCGTGGGCGCAGCTGGCCGATGAAACTGGCTTCTAAGAAGACCGGTCACAATTGTGAACGCGGGCTAATAGTGCCGACCCGGTCTGGATTCGAGGCACATCTCTATGCGCTCTCTTTGCCTTCACCCACCTTCGGCTTGTAAACATGCAGTGCGCCATCGTCCTGAGGCATGCAGTAGTCGATCATGGCGCGCCGGTGACTGAACAGCCTGTCCCGGTAGGCGCACCCCAGTATCTGGAAAGATTTCGGTGGAAGTGATACCTTTTCCTATGAAGGTACTCGAGACGGTCGGATCATGGTCCTGCAGCTCGAGCGCTGGATGGTGGTGATCATCGATGATCTCCGACCTACGGCCTCACTAGCTATAGGAATTATAGATGCCTCTACCAGTACGAATGGTCCCGACTGCGCGCCACGGAGACTTCTCGGAGGTGATTGCAAAGCCTGTTCTTCCATTCGTGATGTGTAAGTGCCCTGCAAGACTCAGACAGTTGCATGTCCGCTACCGACCAGTTCTCTCTCCAATGCGATGCAATAGTCTATGGGCGGTTACGCTGGACAGATGATGGTGGAGAAGATGAACTTGGGGTACTTTGCACTGCCAAATCAACCTTGTGCCGAGTGAGCCCACAGAGCCATCTAGTCTCGTAACCTTTCTGAGATTTGACCCTTGTTAGGATTTGGTGTGGAGGTCATCAGAATGTCTGGTGACTTTTGTTACTTTTAAGTATGCCAAAAGTATGGACTTGTGATGCCCTACAATAGTTAGTGACCAAGCTAATAATAACTCAGAGTTGTAGACCAGTTAGAAACTGTTACAATGTCTGCTGAGTATGCCAAAAGTGTAAATTTATAATCTAGTTACTAGCTGTACAAAGCCTACGAAGCACTCCAATGAGAATCTACAGAGGCGAAGAGACTTGACGCCACCATGCTTGGCGCCGGAAGATACCTAAATCACGTACAGACGCCTCTGTGCGAAGGAGACTCTGTGCCACAACGCTCGGAGCTTAGAGACTCGCATATCGACGTGATGCGTTCTTCCGAATCCGTTTCCAAGACGCCGAGAAGACGCTGCAGGCCCCTGATGCTTCGATTGCTTCGCCGGTGGCTGCACCGGACGGAGTCAGCATGGAGAGCGGCTAACACAGGTCGCCGATAAAGAAGGCGCACTATGTGCTCGTTTATTCTTGGGAAGAGATGCAGGTGTTAAGTCGAGAGATCCGAGCTCTCGGAGGCGCTTGAGAATCATGTACGCACTGCGTGATTCAACAATGGTGTCCTCATGGGGGCAGTGCTAGGTGCGGTGTGCCAAACGCTTCGCGCCTGCGGCGGACTGGAGCCGGAAAATTATGCTCGTCAACAATAACTTACGGTTGACGGTATCATTGTGTAACATCAATAGAGACGGTACAGATCAAAGCGAACGGACGGCAGAGCAATGAACACAGCAAGACATCTGCATTTTCGCGTACGACTAGAGTGACTCGGAGGTGGGGGAAACAGGGTTCACGACGTCCTAAACCTCAGGGATGTACATGCTAGACTCGGGGTCGGTGAAGGTGCAACCGTCGGTCTGCGCCGGTGGGAATCAAAATAGCATCAGATAAATATTTTGGATAAGGATGGGGATCATACCTTGTTGTCCTCCGGCGGGTAGCGGCTGTCCGTCGTTGTGGTCGTCACGACGTGCACGACAGGTGTGATCTACGGTTGTGTCAGTGCACTGATCCCGAGAAGGGAACAGGAGAATGGGGGCGCACCGTGTCGGTCTTGCCCCCGTGCATCGCATTCATCGAGAACTGCCCGCTCTGGTGCGTGCCCCCCACGCGTGCAGCGAGTGACATCGATAGCGTCGAATCCTCAACGCCACAGCCGCGAGTCGCACGCCGCGCGTTGAGCCTGCATGCCACATGGTCAGATATCAGAAGCAGCAACAGAGTGGCACCAGATGCGACGAGACGCACGTCGCGAGGAGCGCGTTGATGTACACTGTGCGAGGGTCAGCGGGGAACAAGGGGCATAGAAGACGGGAGACGCACGCTTGCTCAAGGTGAGGTAGATGGAAAAATAGATCATGTCGTGCGGGATGGAAACGAACTGCATCTCTGCGCGTGAGCTCGGCCCTGGGGAAGGTCGATGAGTTGCGTACCGTGATGATGACGACGATCCCAACAACGCTACCAGCAAGGCACGGGTCAGGGGACACACGAACTGTATATGTGGTGACAAGCGTACCTCGTCAGAAGGCCAGTGTTTACGGTGTAGAAGACGATACGGTTGACGATCTGCGTAGTGCGGGATGAGCGGGATGAGCGGGAAACGTGTAAATTGAGAGGTGACGCATACTGTGTCCGTGCTAATGCGCGTTATCGGGATCAAAATCAGTCTGTGCTATTCTCAACGCAGTCAGAATACATACGAGCTGGTCGCCGAAATTCGCGAAACAGAGTGCTGTCAGATACTTGTCGCAAATGGGCTGGGTATATGCATATGCTTACACGTTGAATCCTGTCTTGTGGCCGCGCAGTAAGTACACGAGCGAGGCCGTGATGAGTACGTCCGCAGCAGTACCCGCGCCCAATGACAGCCCGACGATTGGCTGCCAAAAGGGAAGTGAGGGCGCGATGGGAAATTTGAGAAGGGGAACTGTGTCAGCACGCGTACGGGCGACAAAGGGGAATACAACTGACCCCGCATGCTTTCGGGAAGAGGGCGATGTACTTGAGTTGGAAGCTGGAGAGCGCGTGAGTGGGTGTGGGTGTGGAGTGAGAAAGGTACTGACAATTTCACTGCGTTCACTGGGTAATCGCGGTCTATTTAGTCGAGGGATCTATGGACTACTGGGTTACGCACCGATGCCGACCACTATCGCGAAGGAGTGTCATTAGCTGCAGAACAGACGGAAGGATGAGCGGCTGCAACCACGCACCCAATCTCACGATAGCGAGAATGATCTGAACTGCATGTTAGAGAATGAATGTGGTGGCAGATCAGGTCGTGACATACAATGGTGATGGTAAGGAACCAGTTGCGATTGCTCACTACCGAATTGATAAGCCTCGCTGAAGAGGTCAGCGCAGGAAAGACGTACAGATGAAGACTCGACGTGCATAGAAGCTATCGAATCGGGGTGAACAATGGAACGGCAGGGAGAGGCCCGAAACTTACCTTTGCACGATCAGAGTGATGAGGCCCTTTCGACTCGGAGGTCAGCTGGTGTGCTGGTTATCCAACTGCATACTCACCGTTAGGATGACAGTTATCTGCGCCCAGACAACATTCAATGAGCCACAGCAAATCTGCAAAAATGCAGACTCACGTTTAGACTCCTGGGCAAAAGGTGAGAACGGGGCGAGAATTAGTTCCATGACGAACAACTCACCAAACGACAATCCCCAGAGCCTCTGGATTATCGAAGTTAAGGATCAGCCAGTGATACATCATGTGCCACGCGAGTGTTATGTGGCCGGTATCGAATATACTAAGAGCACATCCTAATCAGCAGTAAACGGTGCTACTTGAGGCGCACGCACAGCAGTACCCAGACCTAGAGATTGTCAACCAAAGTAGCTCTGGCAAAGACGTCAGGCTTACTTACTGTCGCATGAATGAGCCTGGGATCGTTTGGGAACGCGGTGAAGTATACGTATGTCTGCATGAGAGTGATCCCAAAAGCGCTTTGGAGACAAGGTAAGTTCCAATCGCCAAAATTCAGAAAAGCAGACCATACACCGAGGCAATGAAAGTGCCCATCAAGAGAGCGCCATCCGTTACCCCGATGTTTGAGGGAGCATTACTCGACATGGTAGCGTCGGTATGACAGTGTTAGCCTGCCGGAAGTATAAGCCAAGGGGAATGTCTCGTGTACTATTGAGCTGCGATATGACGGAGACAGACACGGGGTATGAAAGACCTGCGGAAGAGATGATGTGTGGGGGATATATAAGGACGCTTGAATGCGGTTACGGAAAGAAGACGCGCAAGCGACGCCAGAGAAATGCAAGAAGATTTCTTCCGGTTACGACATCGTCAAACTGATTTCCTTGAGACTGCTGTGAAGTGAATCGCTCGAGTTAATTCGGCCTGTGGTTGGGTGGAAGTGGTCAGTTTGAAGATAACTGGTCTCTCGTAGTTCGAGCATCGCAAATTAATGTGAAGATTTCCTGGCCGCGCTGCCATCACAATCCGGGGGAACACCGCACCAGTAGTACGCATCGTGGTGTCAACTTGAGATCAAGATCCGTATGATCACTGCGGGCGCTCGTACAGGGCGCTTGGTCCAATTCACTCGCGGTGCACCCCGGTCGTCGGAAAGAGCTGATAGTATCGATGCAGCTGCGATCGGGCAGTGCTTGAACACCTGTCGGACGTTATGCTGTACATTGTGGGTACCACCTTGGGTTGGCAGACAACGACGGGCTGGGAGAGCGGATGCAGCTCGTTGGTCCAAATATTTGGATGTCCGCGTCGACCGTCCCTTCGGTAACCATTCCGATACATAAGTATATGGAATTCGGCGGTTTCAGATCTCATGACATGATTTTCCGTTATACACTCCCGCGCGCCTTCAACAACGCAAGGCTGCCGTTCAACGTTCAACTTTAGACATTTACATCCGCGCTCTCCTGAACCTCAGCACTGAGGCCTGAGCTATTAGCCTTTGCTTGGGTGAGTCTCGCGGATGATTCGTTGAAGTGGTCCAACTGGCTCATAAAAATAGCAACACCTTCTCTTCGCAGTGATAGGCAAGTCGCGGTAGCTTGGATAGTGGGAGGTATCACTGTCCTTTGAGGTTCCGTTGATATGGTGCTGTCTACGAACTCCACTTGTGCATTCGTTTTGACAATCATCTGGGGTACGTAAAGATACAAGCTCGCGTCATCACAGGCCTAGCCAGCAACGACTATCATCGAAGTGGAACTTAGTCTGATACGTCTGTCGGCTGTCGTCCTCTAAGACGGCACAGCTATTGACTTCGGTGTTCATATTCTCATTTTATAAGTAGTGGCGAACAGCTTGTGGCGCCACAAGGCTTCTGCAATTTCCATCTTCTCTCTGTCATACGGAGGTCACTAGTCAGCTCTTTCACACGGCCGGTTACTCAGCATCCGACGTACTAGCAACAAATGACGGAGAAGACCAAACCCGGCTGTAACTGAGGTCACATGCTGTCGTGTCCTTTAAGCATCCCTGGGACTCGCTATTGAATGTGCTGGTGAGTCCTGTGCTCGAATCACCATTCCATGATTTCCATCAAACAGGAGGAGTAAAGAATGCAGGAAGGTATGGCCCTCATGCTTGTCCGCCCCATTGTCTTTCGTGTGTACTCACGCACCTTCATTTCCAGAGAGCTCGCCATATGGTACTTCCTTCCAGCGCACGTATCCATATCTCATTAAGTCTTCCTTCGGATGTTATTATGATCAAGACTGCGGACTGTGATTATCCCCTTCATCCGCAGTGTCAGTCTTGCAAAGCTTGCGCTTATCCCGGTCTCATATTTCCTCCCTATTGGCCAGCATAAGACGTGTATTGCCTCGAAATTGACCCGTTCTCTGTTTTGCAGTCAAAGAGCCTTATGCCCCGGGTAGCATGTGGAGAGTATACTATTCTTCCGTCCTAATGGAAGCACACACCGCTGTTCCCGTCAGAGTCACATCGCCCAGCTTTCAGAAATTTTTGGGAACCTGGCCCCGCGGCAGGGGTACAAATGGGCCTTTGCGTCCACAGCGGATTGGTGTCGCAGCATGGCGTTCCTCCGAGAGACCCTCTTTATTCTCTCCGTCTGCGGTGTGACGATACTGAACGTACGTCCTTTGAATGCTTCCCTTCCTTCCCGGTTCCGTACTGAGTCTGTCTCACTGCAGATCTTCGTGAATGGGGCTCTTATAATAGCGCTGCCCACGCTGGGGAAGGCTCTGCAATTCAAAGAATCCGAGCTGCAGTGGCCGCTGAACGTCTATGCGTGTGTGCCGTCTCCTCGTTCTGCCTTCCCCCGGTCAGGACGGGCGCTGATGTGGTTCCCGATAACAGCTTGTCCTACGGGAGCCTCCTACTCCTCTTCGTGCGGATTGCGGACGTGGTGGGAAGCAAGAAGATGTTCCTCATCGGAACAGGCTTCTTTGCCGTGTGGTTCGCCCACGCTCTCCGTTTTCCCCTCCCCTCTTGCTGACGGGTGCCCCAGGAGCATCGCCACGGCGCTGTCGCCGAACAAGGTTGCCCTCATCATCTTCGTGGCCCTGACAGGCGTCGGTGCCGCTGCAAACACACCTACAGGTGACCGTAGCTGAGTCGCACTGGTGTGGTCGGAAGCTGACCAGGGACACATCAGGTATCGGCATCTTCGCGTCACACTTTGAGTCGGGCTCTGCTACGAAGAACAGAGCTATCGCGGCACTGGGCGCCGGGCAGGCGATTGGATACATCGTTGGTCTTATCGGCGGTGCGTGCGCCGTCCGCTAGATCGTGCTTCCATAATGTCTAACGGACCTATCTGGTTCTGGGTGCAGGCGGGATTCTCTGCCAGAAGGCGTCGCTGTGGCGGGTGATATTCTACATCCAGGGCGGTCTCGCGGCGACGTTCTTCGTACTGGGCGTGCTCACCATCCCGCCGGACCCCGTGCGGGCGCGGTACACGAAAGGCATCGACTGGGTCGGCGCATGCTTGAGCGTGTCGGGCTTTGGGCTGCTCACGTTCGTGCTCTCGTACGTGTTGTGCGGATGCGCGTGAACTATACGGCGTAGTGACGGTGGTGTGCTTATGATCCAGGGAGTCCACGGCGGTATCTAGAGGATGGCGCACGCCGTGGGTGCCTGCGCTGCTTGTAGTGTCGCTCGTGATCCTGCTGCTGTTCGTTGCATGGGAGGCGCACCGCGAGCGGGCGGACAGGTCCGTGATCATGCCCGTGAGCATCTGGACGAAGCGCGGGACGAAGATGGCGCCGATGGTCGGCATGGTGTTCCTCGCCTGGTGCGTGCCCAGCCCATCTTCGCACTGCGGGGTTGATGCTGCGCGCACAGGGGCGGCTACAACGCGACGAGCTACTTCGTCACGCTGTACTTCCAGCAGGTGCAGGGCCTCGACCCGCTGCGGACGTCGCTCGAGATCCTCCCGTCCGCCATCGCTGCGTTCGCCGCGAACGCCGTCACGGGCTGGCTGCTCTCGCGCGTGCGCGGGGACGTCCTCATCGCGGGCGGGCTCCTCATCAGCATGGTATCTCTCCTCCCTTGCTCTCCCTTTCGCGCGCGTGGTTGCTGACACCGAATTGGGAGCAGGCCGCGCCGCTGGTGTTTGCGCTGCAAGACATGCACGCGGGCTATTGGGCGTCGGGCTTCCTCGTGATGGTGTTCGTCAGCTGGACGGACGTGGCGTACACGGTGGGCAACCTCCAGATCAGCATCGCGTTCGGCGCGGACTCGCAGGGCCTCGCGGGGGGCATATTCAACGTTGCGACGCGGGTGAGTGCCCTGGCCTCTACCCCTCGGTTGTTAGTCTCGAGTCTCGAGGGACTTACCTCTGCACGACAGCTCGGGACGTCCCTCGCGCTCGCGCTCTCCTCGAGCATCGCGACAGCGGTGTCGGACGCGTATGCTGCGCGCCACCCTGCGCTCCCCCGCGGTGCGCCCGCGGTGCTGGAGCGCGGATTTCGCGCGGCGGGGTGGTTCGCGTTCGCGCTCGCCGCGGCGAGCTTCGTGATCTGCGTGGTGTTTCTGCGGGGCGTGGGCGTCATCGGGCGCCCGCCCAAAGAGGGGACGTCGAGTCCTGCGACCGAGGTGGAGGGCGTGTTTGAGGGCGCGGGGAAGATGCTCGTGGGCCGCGGCGGTGCGATGCTTTCGGAGAAGGCGGGCGAGGATGCGATGGTGAGTGGAGTGAGGTTCGGGGTGGTGTAGAGGATGGCCGTGGGCTGGTTGGCCGCGGGAGATGTTGCGGAATTTTGTAGCGGTACCTTGTTTGACGTGACGCTGTTTCGGTAGATGTTCGTGCGAGATGTATTTTATGTACTGTGGGCGGTATAGAATGGACTTGGGAGTGGTGCGTAGACATTACGACTTGCGAAGAAGAGCGAGGAGTACCTGGATGCCACGGTCTGGTAATACTGGGATAGCAGACTGGACGACGACGACACTCCCAGCCGCTGGAGGTATGCACAGAGTCACCTATATATTTATTCTCAGTAGAGCATCCCGTCGTAGATACAGCAGCGAGTCGCGCTATCGATACATCCCCCTTGTCATTAGCTCTCCACAGCACGATATCTCCATCCCCACCGACCGCCAACGCGTCGCATCACACCGCGTAGCGCCGGACGACCCCATCCGCCGCGGCGCTCCACACCTCCGCGCCGCCCCCTTCCTCCACGGCGAATGCGCGCACGCACGAGACAGCCTCGCAGTCCGCGCCGACGAGCTCCGCGCACACGCCGGGCGCAGCCCCGCCGTGCCCGAGGGTGAGGAGGTACGCGAGCCCGTCGGCGGGGGCGACGGCCAGCGTGAGCGCCGCTGCCGCGGATGTGATGCCGTTGGGGTGTGGGTGCGGGAAAGAGGCGGGTGATGGTGAGCGCGAGCGAGAGGAAGGAGAGGGAGAAGGGGGCGGGGACGGGAAGGGGAGCCATGCGAGGTCCTCGATCCCCGCCGTGTTCCGCTGTACCGCGGCGAGCGGGCGCGCGTCGCCCGCGCGGACGTCGTAGATGCGCACGATCCCGTGCGCGTCGCCCGTCGCGAGCGCGGCGCGTGGGGCGTCGTACGCGATCGCCTGGAGCGCACAGGCGGGAAGAGGAGCGGTGGAGGGGACGCGGAGGACGGCGCGCTTGGTGCGGAGGTCGTGCGCTTCGAAGGAGCCGTCGGCGAGCGCGAGGAAGGCGAGCTTGTCGGAGGTCTCGACCTCGCGCGGGTCCACGTCCGCGTTGCCCTCGCCGTCGCCTTCACCTTGGCGCGCGCCGACGGTGAGCGCGAGGATCGGGACGCACGCGCCGCCTGCGGACGGGAGAGCGCGGATCTGGGTGGCGGAGGGGACGTCCCAGAGGCGGAGGGTGCCGTCGCGCGAGGCGGAGAGGACGGTGCGGCCGCGGCCGACGATGGCGGTGGCGGTGACGGCGCGGGTGTGCCCCTTGAGGGTGCGCACGGGAGAGAGGCGTGTTGGTGCTGGTTGAGCGGGTGTGCCGGGGGTTGGTGGGTCGGCGGGGAGGATGGTGAGGGCGAAGTCGAGGCCGGCGGTGAGGAGTACGCGGGAGGATGGGAAGAAGCGGAGGACGGTGGGCGTCGAGAGGTGTGGTTTCGCCTGGGCATAGGGACGTGGTGAAGGCGCAGAAGAGGAGAGTGGAGAGGTGCGGCGGAGGTAGATGGTGCCGTCGCTGTAGGCGGTCGCGAGCTGGGAGCGGTCGGGGGCGACGTCGAAGGCGGTTATTTTGTGGGCCTGCGGGGTGCTCAACGATGGGACGAACAGGGTGAAGGGAGGGACGTACTCTGCGTGGATCAGAGGGAGAGGGGTCCGAGTATGACTGGACGGGGATGATGAGGGGCGTGTCGGGAAGGTCGAGTGCGGGGCAGGCGGCGGAGTACTCGGCCTGCCACTGCGAGGGTTTCAGCGGGGAGAAGGAAGCTCGAAGGCAGGGAGCTCACAGCATCTGCACGACCGCCGGTCACGGAGAGGCGCACGTCGTGGGAGGGACTGAGGCGGACGAGGTCGCGGTCGTGGTCGTCGAGGGCGGCGTGGACCTTGGCGTGGACGGACGGTTCGCCGGTCTTGTAGCAGGAGAGCCAGAAGGCGCCATCGGGGACCGCGGCAGTGCGGACGTCGTTGATGACGTCCGGGAAGTCGGCCTGGATGGTGCAGATGGCCAAACGGACGGGTGAGCTCATCGCGGGTGGCGGGAAAGACGCGTGCTCAGCATGTCCACTCCTACCCTGATCGATAATGCGCAGCTCCTTGCTCTCGCTCAGACTCGCTGACCCCACTTAGGCATGGACCACTGGAGAGACCTGAACCTGTACACCGTCTACTCCGACGACCACACCCCCAAGCCCGTCTGCCTCGAAGCCAAGGGCCTCGAGCGCAAGCCGCGTCACGTCACCCTCCTCTGGCATAACCGCACCAGCGACGCCCAGCTCGTCGTCCAGGTCATCCAGCTCAACGGTATCCCCGGCAAGTACAACTACCCTACCACTCCCACCGCCGTCCTCCGCAGCCCCCACTCCCTCGCCGAGGACACGCTCATCCCGCTTGGCACATTTTCCCGCCCTCAGCGCCATCGCATCTTGTAGCCGGCCGAGGCTGTCGCGTTCGAGCCCACGTCGACCGTCAACAAGTGTCGCGCGTGGCTGAGGGACCTGTTGGAGGCGATGGTGCGCGAGGGTCTCTTGGACATGGGCTTGTTTGCGGAGATCGAGGAGGCCGTCCCGCTTGTCAGGCGCGTCCAGGAGAGGTTTTAGCATGTTGTGAGTTTCTGGCCATTCCACCCCTCGGTTGACACGAACGCGAGCCAGATGGCTCCTCCCGCGCCTCCCTCGAAAGCGACGAAGTGCTGGTCTGATTTTGCGACTAAGCAGGTCGTTGTAACCCACGTGTATTATACCCATTCGCCCGTCATGCCATTCTACAAATTTGTGGAGCTCTCTGTGCGGCGTCCTTGAAGCCCAGCCGGCTTCTCACTCGCTCGTTCCAAATACCTCGAGCTAGCATCCGTCTTCAGCACGCGTCATAACGGCGGCGCTGGTTCTGTCTTGACCCATACTACTGTCGCCGCCATCACACGCCCGCTAGTCGATCGTGGCGATCTCGAGTCGAGGGCGGGATGCGCCACAGCTCCGACCTGCGAACTTGTCATGCAGTGCGGGCTGACATTCCTTTCACGGATGTGCTGTGCTGCATGTATGTGTGCGCGACGGCCCCGATGTAAGTCCGTCTTTCACTTTGCCTGCCATGACCTATACTTGAGGGACCTGTATTATCACTCGTTTCCTTCGCTGACCTGGTACCGTGCCACGCAGCGACAATCTCCGTCGACCGCGACACAGTGTTAGAAAGTAAGTACTGCAAAGGTACAAATGACTGCAAATACGTAGGACAATCGAGCACGGAATTTGCATTCAAAAGTGCGACCGAGCCAGGCTGTCACTCCAAGGTTCGAGCAGCCTGCTTCGATGATTACATAAAATGAACTTCTACGTTCTAAGTAGCTGAACCTTGCGACATAGGGTTTTCACCGGGCACGTCAGATATCAGAAATGTGACCACCACATTCACACGAGGTTTCTTGAAATGATAGTGCACGAATGATCCTTCCCGTCTTTCTCTTGATTCTCCCTCCACTGTTGAACTGATTTTCTTCTGCCGTATTCGCGATTTGATTGTCCTCCAACTCCTGAAATCCAGTTCGTTGGCCACATAGTCTCTGGAATGCCCCTGACAATTGCAACCAGGCATGTCGGACTACGGACCCTCTCCTTCGGCGATGAAAAGGCTTGCCATACCACGTCCTATGGATGAATCTGGTATACAAGCCTGGAGCAAATCAGTTGAGACAAACGTCGGGCGCAGACTCATCGTAGCGCTGGATGGAACCATGAATCAATTTGGGAGTAAAGTTGAGTGCGATAGAAAACTCTTTTTCTCTTCCTTTCCGTTGATTATTCGGGTCCAGAACTCCAATGTCATCGAGATTTACGCCCGAATCCAGAAGGATGAGCACCAGCTTACGTACTACAACAGCGGGATAGGGACGTATGCTGATCCGTACCACAGCTCGCCGTGGAAGCGGCTCAAGTTGAAGCTGAGCAGTCTGCTGGACATGGCCTTTGCATTGTACGTGTGCTCTGTCATGGTCGTTCATGTTCACTATTTACTCAGCGGGGGTGTCAGAAACTTCGACAAGATCATCCTGGCTGCGTACCGTTGGCTATCAGAGAATTATCGACCAGGCGATCAGCTTTTCTTCTTCGGTGAGTACTAGTGTGCATTCAGTGGGAGACCCTGGAAGAATGTGTGCCTTTAGGATTCTCTCGCGGTGCATATCAGGTCCGAGTTCTAGCTGGAATGATTGCGAGGGTGCGCCACATTCCGCACGTGCAAAACTGGTTTGCCTGAATGGCTTCCTGAGCGCAGGTCGGTTTAATACACTCCGGAAATGAGGAGCAGATCCCCTTGTACATACCCTCCTTCACTTGCTGTGCTTGTATGACACTGACATTGATGCTCCAGTGCCTTCGAGTTGTATGAACAAGGGTAAGATTGCATCCAGTGCTTGAGGAATTATATTGTGACATTTATTAATGTCTTGCAGTGACGACGCGATGGCAGAACGCTTCAAGGTTACCTTCTCTCATCGCGATGTGCAAGTTCACTTCATGGGTCTCTGGTATGTTTACCCATCTCTCCGGCAGGCTTTGACTACATGTTTTGTATAGGGACACGGTGTCTTCTGTTGGGGTATTTAGGCGTAAGAAAGATCTACCTGGTACACCGGACTGCAAAGACGTCCACTATGTCCGACATGCACTTGCGCTCGATGAACGTCGAGTTAAGTTTTCTCCGGAGTTCATCACACCTACAGTCGCTGCATCTCATTCAGACAGTGCTGATCCAGCTGGGACTGAGAGGCTGCCAGACATAGAAAAGGATGGACAGAGTAACAGGCCTATTCGTGTGAAGGAAGTCTGGTTTGCAGGCTGCCACTCAGATGTGTGAGACTTGTCTTCTATCTGCCTGGTTGTGTGTGTGTGTTTATGCTTAGCCCTTGTTCATAGTGGAGGTGGAAATAAGCCCAATGACAAGTTACTAATGGATGCAATTCCTGCACTTTGGATGGCAAATGAAGCTCGCACTGCAGGACTTGATCTCTTACCGACAAAGGTAGAATGGGATCTGGAAAAGCTCAAGGCGGAGAAGCCAACTGAATCCTTGACCCGACCCTGGTGGATTCTGGAGCTTATGCCATTTCTCAGTCGCTCTGAAGACTGTCCAGATCTGGAGCAATTGGACAAGTTGCCATGGTTATACTCTCGATTTACCCATTTTCTGCACAAAATGGCCCCACATTTGGGTGGACACAGGTTTATTTACCCTCATCAGAAGATTCACGCATCTGTTGTCCTCAAGACGGAATATGCACCTCGTGCTCAGTTCATGCCTGGTGGTGTTAGACCTCACACATGGGATACAATTTTGAGAGAAGAAACCATTGCAGACATGTATATGTCTCATCACAAGGATATTATAGAATTTGACTTGTATGATACCTCTTCTGCTGGTCCTCTTGTGAAGACAATCACTCAGGGTGCTGCTGAGTTGGAGCTACAATCTGTACTAGATCGCTTATTGGTCCTTGCAGACTTTCGTGTGTGAATTTCTTATTATCACAGGAAAAGTATGCTGATAAGTACTGTAAGGTGCTGGAGTTGTAGCAATTGTTGAAGCAGATCAAGGGATGCATATGCTCCATGATGTGCTTACCAATGTGAACCTTGGGTCATCTCTCAGAACAAAGGCAGCAGAATTGATTGGCAAGATTGCTGAGAATGGTCAGTAGTTCTTATTTTGTAACATGTGTTTTTTATTCAAGTTTTATTTGCAGGTTATGATGATGGACTAAATGCACTATGGGATGGAAACATTCCTAATGTTCTGGTTTTCATGGCATCCACAGAACATATTGAATATAGAGCAACACATGCACAGCGAGCACTCTTACTTCTCTATCATTGGCAGCACATTCAAAGACCTTGCTTATATGATGAACCTGTGACAATACTTTCACTGCATTGTATGTTCACAGATGCAGCTAACTTGGCTATTGCTGCCCTTGCAACTATACATATGGGAAATCCCAGCCTTGTTGAACACAAAGCAGCAGAATATATGGGAGGTCTGTGCATCAGATTCTCTTTCTTCAATGATATACTCAGATTTACCAATATAGATAACACTGAAGACCCCTCAATTGAGCATGTTGCCAAAGTTATTGCTGCCATGTTGCAAGCCAAGAATATGCCTGTTCACATGCGTATTGAATCAATCTTTCTGAATCCTTCCTTGCATATTCTGGCAAGCAAACACATTATTCATGCACTGATTCACATGCTGGATCTTTCACTTGAAGAATACATGAGTTCTGCTATGCAAAATTTTCCTGAATTTATTGAGCAATGTATGTTTTTTTTACTATTAGATACACAGTCTCTATAAATAATATGCATTTATTAGGCAGCAATTCAATAGCAACAACACATGGATCATATAAACATAACAGATTTCAGTCATCCTTTATACAAATCTTTAAGAGACAAAGCATAAACAGTTTAGCTGGTAAAGTAATATTTTATTGTATAATATGAATATAGTGAAACTTACATATAAAAAAGGCCCAACTCCAAAGAAAAATATTCATGATACAGTGGATATTGTATATTCTCTCAAGGTTCTTGAACAGCTCACTTTCAACACACACATTGATGTGTATAAGTTTGTGCTTTCGGAAAATACTGTTCTTAACAAGCATAGCATTACTTTATTTAAGGAGACATCAGGTTTGTTTTCTAATTCAAATGATGTAATTTTCACTTGACATGTATTGTAGAATCAACTTTACCTAACTGGCATGCACTAACCAAGTGGTTGCATGACAATGGAGGGGCTGGTATGTCTTTTGTATTCTTTGCATATATATTCATTGAACATGTTAATATAATAATATAGCAAACTTTATGCCACATTACATAACATGGCTACACAAAATACTTCAAAAAGAACTACTCAATCTACATGCACATATTCTTCTATCACTTGCTAAGGTTACTTGCAAATTTAGTATGTCTTCATTTTCCTTAGTAAGTCTATCTCTGTAACACTAAATATGGCAGCATACCTTAGCAACCTTATAAGAGAAAACACCATTGTGCTTGAAGCTTTTGTAAAAAGCTTTAAGACCATTGCTCTAGATGCAAGATCTCATTCAATGCACATTTTGATGCATGCACTAGAATTACTTGGTGAATACCTGTCTTAGCTTCTATATAACTACTGAGCATGACAGCTTTGTCAAGAGAAGATACCTCAGCCACTTCTGAGAAGTGAATTTGTTGATCTGTTTGTTCAGTTGCTACAAGACAAAACTGCAGGAGAGATTGCACTATGAATACTTTCACAGATGGCACAATATGGTATGACATAACTACTCTATTTTACATGCTCTGCTCAAGTAAAGAAAGATGATTGCAGAAAGCAAATGCTTAGCTGTGGATTCATAAATGTGCTTCAAAAGCTACTTAGGAATGAAAAGCAGGTTGAGAGCTTTTATGACGTGCACTCTAAGCTTGTTATTTATGGTATGTTATAAGCATCTGATATTTTCTGTGTCATTTAATAACTTTAGGACAGAAGAGTTTCGAAAAAATATGATTCAATATAGAATCATTAACACATTTAGCCAATTGTTGCAAAGCAGTGATTTTGATATTCAATTCTGTGCAATGCAGATATTAATTTCACTCACAGAATATGGTTAGTGTTTAGTGATATGTTTGCTAAGCTATTGTTCTGAACTTCTAATTTTTTTTAAAAGATGAATTTCGAGCTTGTATGCTTTTTGGATCCCCTTTGTCAACTTTGAAGCCGTTACTTCAAAGTGAGGACAAAGACTCACAATTGACTGCACTTAGAGTATTTTACTCACTGGCAGAATATGTTACGCGGCAGCGAAACACGAGCGTCTAGTCGAGTCGTCACGAGACAAGGTCTTAGTCTAAGACACAAGTCCGTTCAAGTGACACTTCTGGCGATGTCCTCGCACTGAAGGTCGATCAGAGTTCGTTCTTATGACTCGTAGTGGCTGTCTGCTACTGACGGTCGATCTCAGTCGAAGGCAAGTGAAAAGCTGGTTTAATGGTAACCAGGTCGAGATGGGGATCCAGCTCGACAAGGTCGTCTACTTATACAAAAGGTATCCGCAGTACTACGCAGTAATGCAGGATCGTTCATTGGTTAGATAAGGTGAAACGATGTCTAAGCAGGGTAACAACGAGGAAGTAATATGTATGGGAAAGCTGAGTAAGGTCGTGAGAGATAATCAGTACTAATGGGGATAACGAGTTGTGTATCAGAACGAGGTAAAGATGAGGCATACATGCATGTCTTGCATGTGCAATAAGAAGAAGGTCCGGAGTTGGATCCGGTGTAACCCTAGACTAGGGGTTCTGGACATCTGGATAAAGAATCGGAGGTTGCGCTCCGATGAGTCACATGTTGGATCACGTAGTCTGGTAACGTAAAGGGAACAAGGAAAAGGAAAAGAAAAGATGCGCCACAAGTGAGGAGCGTTGTAACATCAGCTCCCGTCTAACGTTTCTTGTCTCACAAGAAATATTGTGATCTTCATCGTCGTCGGGGGCAGTCGCGGACATAATGATCTCCTCCACATCGGTAGCATGTCCGCCGGCTGGTTCGTGATCCTTGTTCAGGGATACGTCCATCCCTGTAGGGATGACTGCGACACGAAGAAGTGGATGCGGTCGAGAAAGATGGTTGGGATAACGGAGATCGTCCACTAGGTATGTGCGAACGAGGAGGGCGAGGTCGAACGGGAATTGGTTCTGGCGACGAGCGAGGAGCGGATGCGGGTATTCCATTAGTGGTGTATCCGAGGATGTGTCCGATGTCTTCGTCCCCATGCTCCCTCCAAATCTCCTGTGCTGTATGAGTGACCGTACTGCGCATTAATGACCAGACTTGGTCGACTCTGGTTCGGGCTCTACTCGTTCTTTCCTCTGCTGCGATGAGCTCCTGTCTGGCCGTCTGCATTCACTCGACCATTTCTAATGCTCGTTGCATGGAAACCACCGCTTGTCAATCTTGCGGGCAATTTCGCAAGGCGACGAGGATATCTGTGAAGTCGACAGGAACACGGATAGCTGAGACCAGACGTGTGGCAAATTCTTGTTCGTCCGATGCGTGACTGAGTTCGATAGAAGGTGAGGGTGGTGAGGTGCGGATAAAGGGTGTCTGTGCTCGAGAGGGTACTCCATCGACAAGCGTAGGCGATGCGGGTATGCTCATAATTGTGGAGGCGACTTCAGCGAGTATATTGTGAACAAGGTCGTCTATAGCGGAAGTGGGCATTGATGATATATCGTCTTCTCCTCCTTTTATACCTTTCGGTCATTAAGGGGATCGCGGTTATCTGTGATGTGAAATAGAATGTCGTGGATCCGGGTAACAATCAAATAGATGAAAATCCATTGGACGATAAAGAGTATTCCCACAGAGATAAGAGCTGCCTGATCAGTTCCAGGCATCGTTCTGATCACCCCAGCTGTTAGCGTGCGGGCTGTCTCACGTGAAGAGTGTGTGTTCGACAAGTCGTCTGATAAGGATTCGGTGGATGATCCAAAGAAAAGTGAGGGTTGTGCAGTGGAGGACGATTAGGAAGATGATGAGGAAAACCGTCGTGGTAGTCATTCCGGGTTTCTTCTTCTCTACTGGATTCTCCTGGTCCTTTTATATGCATCGAGGATTCGCTTGGCATTCTGTAAATTGTGGGTAGGTTCCCACGAGTTTTCTGCTGAAGAATATCCCTTCCACTTGACTAAGTACCTCAGATGACCTCGGTACGTCTTGTGATTCAGGATGGCTTCGACTTCGTACTCTTCTTCGTTATCAACGACATCAGGTGGTGGGTTCACGTAATTTGGACCATGTATGTCATTTTCGCGATAAGGAGATAGAAGGGCGGCGTGGAATACGGAATGAACTCGCCAGGTCTTCGGGAGTTTGAGACGATAGTTGGCTGGTCCGATGACTTCGACAATTTCGAATGGCCCCTCACGCTTTGGTGCTATCTTGCGCGAGGCGTAATTGACCTTCAGGTTCCTCGAGTCTAGCCAGACCTTCTGTCCTAGTGTAAACTTTGGCGATCCTTGTCTGACTCGGTCCGCCATCTGTTGTCGGGCTAACTGGTGCATGGCTAGTGCTTCTAGTCTTATCTTCTGCAACATGTCAAGCCTGGATTCAACCGATGGAATGTTCGTGGTCGGAAATACGGAAGGGAGTCCACGTGGTTCATATCCCATCATGATGCGGAATGGGCTCATCTTCCGTGCCGAGTGTTCCCTTGTGTTATGACAAAACTCAAGGTCTGGCAGGCGGTCGGCCCATGTTTCAGGGTTGTTTCCGCAATAGAGTCGAAGATAGATTTCCAGCTCCTGGTTGACTCGCTCTGTTTCTCCGTCCGTCTGAGGGTGATAAGCTGTGCTCATTGATGATCTGATCTGGAGTAGTCGATTTAACTCTTGGAAGACCTTGGATGCATATTGAGGTCCTCTATCCGAGATGATTCGGTCGGGTAATCCAAATCGTGAGTATACTTTGTCATGAAAAATCTTGGCCGTTCCTTCGGCTGTGATCGTTTTGAGGCAGGGCGTAAGAATCACCCCCTTCGTAAATAATTGAATCAAAACCGTTGGAAACGGGGAGGTCGGTAATAAAATCGGTGGTGCAACAGGAAAATGGTAATGCGTGTGGGTTGGCGGGAATTGGTTCCAAAGGAATACGAGTTGGATGAGTATTCGGTTTCATTTGTTGACAGGCGGCACAGCCTTCAACATAATTATAGACAAAGGTATACATGCCGGGCCACCAGAATTCACGACGTAACAGTTCAAGAGTATTGAACTTTCCAGGGTGACCCATGGCAGGGGAGTCATGATGTAGTCGAACGAGGTCACGACGAAGAGTTTCGGATGGTGGAACGTAAATCTTTCCCTTGTAGAGGATGACACCATCGCGAACTTCCCAGTCAGAAAGCGATGATTTCATGGGGAATGGCCCTTTGTGCGCAATTGCTTTGAGGGCTTCGTGAACAATGAGGTCTTTTGCTGCGTGATTCCTGATTTCGTCGAATAGTGTCGGGGAAATGGATCGCACGAATAGTGCATTGGGTAAAAGAATGCGATCTTCGTTGTCACCTTCACTGTCATCGAGTCCATTACGACGAGAGAGTGCATCAGATTGGATCATCTGAGTGCCAGGGACATGGATGAGGTGAAGATCAAATTGTGATAATTTGAGACTCCATCGTGCTTGTCGGCGGTTTAACTTTTGAGCTGTACGGAAGTACGTGAGGTTCTTGTGATCACTGCGAACTTCGACGGGATGGGGAGAGCCTTCAAGATAATGGCGCCATTCAGTGAGAGCTCGAATGATTCCGAGGAGTTCGCGGTCGTAGATTTCGTAGTTCCGTTCAGCTGGATTGAGCGTCTGTGAAATGTAGGCACAAGGATGGAGGTCTCCATTGATATCGGCTTGGTGTAAAACTGCACCCGTAGCGAACTTGGAAGCGTCAGATTCAACAATAAAGGGTTTTGCCTTGTCAGGCAGTAACAGTACTGGGGCGGTACTGAATCGTTGCTTCAATGTGTCGAAAGCTGTCTGACATTCTGTTGTCCATTCAAAAGGTGGAGATCCAGCGGCAGTGCGCGTAAGATTCGTCAATGGTTTGGCAATATCCGAGAAGTTGGCAATAAACTTCCGATAGAAGTTTCCAAACCCTAGGAAAGAGCGAACACCTTTTACCGTGCTTGGTTCAGGCCATTCTGCAATTCCTTTAAGTTTGATAGGGTCCATGCCAATGTAGTTTTCTCGAATAATCATGCCTAGGAATTCGACTTCTTTAACGTCAAAGAAACACTTTTCCGGTTTAAGGAATAAGTCATTGTCTTTGAGTCGTTGGAGTACGCGTCGGGTTCGAACGTGATGTTCTTCCAAATCGTTTGAGAAGATGAGGATATCATCCATGTAAATGACTATCCATCCCTCATCGATCATGTCCTTGAAGAGTGCGTTCATCATCATTTGGAAAGTCACCGGGGAGTTGCAGAGTCCAAAGAACATGACCATAGGTTCGAAAAGTCCGCGATTTGTCTTAAATGCGCCCTTCCATTGGTCACCATCTTTGATTCTGACGTTGTTATATCCGGAGCGTAAATCCATTTTCGTAAAGATCGATGCGCCTTTGAATTGATCCATAAGGTCAGAGATGAGCAGAAGAGGATAGGCGTTCTTCACTGTTCCTTCATTCAGGTATCGGTAATCCTGACAGGGACGTAGTGCTCCGTCTTTCTTTCCTACGAAGAAAAATGGTGAAGCCATGGGAGATTTCGACGGTCGGATGTATCCTTTTCGCAGATTTTCTTCTAGGAAGTCATCCATCGCTCCTTGTTCTTTGAGCGATAACGGATAGACTTTACAGTCACGTGGAATAAAATCGGGTTTCAAATCAATGGCGTGGTCCCAAGGCCTGGTTTCTGGAAAGCGTTCAGCTGCTTTCTTTTCAAAAACGGACTTCAAATCGTGGAGGTAGTTGGGGACCAACTCCTCGACGGTTTTGGGTTTGTCTACAGCTGATGCTTCCTTGTGTGCCTGTTGTGCCAATTCTTGTGATTTACCGGATGGTTTGTAAAAGACCGTATTCTGTGCGTTACAGAATAATGGGGATCGAGTACTGTGTGTCATTCTTCCAATGGCGGGGCCTCTTCGTATGGTGAAGACTGCGGTTTCAGTCTCTTCATTCATCAACGGTGACTCCTTCCTGATGGGTTCAAATATCCCAATAACTGGCTCTCCTGCGATATAGGATATAACTAGATCGTCGTCATCGAGCTGATCCACAGGGGGTTCTGATGGTGGGTCATCTGGTTCGGTATCATCCCGCACTGCGGGTAACTCGCCACGCTCAGTGTTATCGGCCATGATTTCTCTGATAGATTCCGAATGCCCAAACGAGGTAGGGGAATTTTTGGTGGTGATTAACTCTGGGAGTCCATCTTCCTTGAAAATCGAAACTTCTTCATCTGGTGCATCTTCGACGGTGGGTTTCGGTGGCCATTTGGCGTCTTTACCAAACCAAAAGTCACCGGTTTCCCAGTTGATCATCGGATTGAGGCGTTTAAGCCACGGCATGCCGAGAAGTATGTTTTCTTTGCCAATGCCGGTCAAGAGGAAGCGAGTAAGCGTCTTCCTTCCTCCGATTTTCATCATCTTCCAGGTACAATGAGTAATGGTACCCATTTGATTTGGTGTGCCATCTGCATTCATGACTGTAATCGGTTTCGGTAATTCCCATCTGGTGAAATCGTTTTCTTCCACAAAACGAATGTTCATAAACGTTTCGGCTGCACCGGAATCGATCAAGGCTTCTGTTGTAACGTCTTCCTTCTCTCCCAACGAAATATTCACAGTGATTGAATTTCCGCTAGTGTTACAAATAATGAGGGGAGATACGGTAAGATGCGACGGTCCATGCATTACTAGTGGCCGTCGTCTCAAAAACCCAATTGGGTTCGTTCTTCATCAGTCATGTCGTTGAAGACGTTTCGCACATAGGCGATCTGTTCCTCTCTGGTTTCTTCCTTCGACGTCTCCTTCTTCTGTGCGAGGTCTTCTCGCATCTTCTTGATCCATGTGATCGTGTCTGTGTCTAACCCGGGCTGTATCGTTCTAGCACGGGTGAAACTTCCAGACTGGGGGTGGAATTGTCTGTCGTTGGCTATATGGCCCTTCCTTCCACATAGGAAACATAATCCTTCTTTCATTCTCTTTTGTCGCTCGTCCGGGGATAAGCACGAGATATTGACACGATCAACATCCATCGCGTTTGGATCCTTTGCAGAAGCCGAGTAGTAGGGACGATGGACAGATCGGCCCTTTCCTCGCATCGTCGTAGTGGCTCCTCGCTTGAAGATCTGAGCAGATCTCCATTGGTTATCAAACCGCGAGGCGTATTCGTACCACTTGTCAAGTGTCTTGGGCATGCTTTCCATCCCATATATCCTTTGTCGGAGTGGGTCGTTAAGCCCCCACTTGAAATACTCGATATTTCCGGCATCTTCTAGTTTCGCCTTGGATTCAAGCGATCGGAATTCGGCAATGTAGTCGTCCGCAGTACGAGTTCCTTGCTTGATGTTACGCAGCAAGGTACGAGCGGTTTCTTCAATATTTTCATCGCCAAATGCTTTGTTCACACTCGCAATGAAGTCTCTCCAACTCCCATAAGAAAGGAAGTCGTCATTGGTGAGTTCCGTTTCTATGAAGCTCTGCGCCCATGATCCTGCTGTTCCTCCTTGCATGTGCGATAGCACGAATGCGATCTTCTGATTGTCCTCCTGGTAGACATGGCTATTTCCGGCCATGTAGTTCTTGCATTGGTTTATAAATTCCCTAAGCTTCGAACGGTCTGAACCGTTGAAGATCTCGGGTTTTCTAAAACCAAGTTCCTTCTGGCTAACATGGTGACGTCCTTCATCCATGGTAACTGTAGCCATCGGTGGTATGTAATCGGGTACGATTGGTGCAAGAGTCGGTTGGGGTACAGGATTCTGGGCAGGGGGGTTCCAAGGGGCGTCTGGTCTCTCTCCTGGATAGGAGGTCGTTATACCGCTGTCTGCGATGTGCTGGAGCACTATTCCACCAAGATTATGGGGAAGTGTCCTTTCAAATTCCTCTGGGGAGTAGTCGAAGTTGTGATTGTCTGGCCTGATGAATACAGGCCTTCCTCCTATGAAATGTGCGTTTCGTTCTGTGCTCCACTCCGCTTGGGATGGGAGGTGCTCGCGGTACTGCTCTCGAAGAGCGGTCGGGTTGATGTAGTTAAAATCCAGCGTGGATAAATTCTTCTGTGTGGCCTATGTCTACACGTAGACTGCACACCATCCTTAACTAAGTGGGTTCGTTCGTCGTCGGCTAACAAGCCCGTAGAGTGTCTTCTGTCTTCAAACTGATACACCTATTTGCTGATTGCTCGAGTGATTACCTCAGCCTCCTCGGCCTATTGGTCTCTCGGACAGACCCCTCTCCGAAGATGAGTGATCAGTCTATCCCTTCAGCTACCTCGATTACAGAGTAATCTCAAACGGTGCTTTAGCAATCGAATCGGGTGTATTGTTCAGTCTTCAAGGTTCGGTCCGGTCGGTAGTTCGTTGTTAGACTCTAGGAAGTCACAGAGAGTAATAAGATCTCGACCTAATGTTACGCGGCAGCAAAACACGAGCGTCTAGTCGAGTCATCACGAGACAAGGTCTTAGTCTAAGACACAAGTCCGTTCAAGTGACACTTCTGGCGATGTCCTCGCACTGAAGGTCGATCAGAGTTCGTTCTTATGACTCGTAGTGGCTGTCTGCTACTGACGGTCGATCTCAGTCGAAGGCAAGTGAAAAGCTGGTTTAATGGTAACCAGGTCGAGATGGGGATCCAGCTCGACAAGGTCGTCTACTTATACAAAAGGTATCCGCAGTACTACGCAGTAATGCAGGATCGTTCATTGGTTAGATAAGGTGAAACGATGTCTAAGCAGGGTAACAACGAGGAAGTAATATGTATGGGAAAGCTGAGTAAGGTCGTGAGAGATAATCAGTACTAATGGGGATAACGAGTTGTGTATCAGAACGAGGTAAAGATGAGGCATACATGCATGTCTTGCATGTGCAATAAGAAGAAGGTCCGGAGTTGGATCCGGTGTAACCCTAGACTAGGGGTTCTGGACATCTGGATAAAGAATCGGAGGTTGCGCTCCGATGAGTCACATGTTGGATCACGTAGTCTGGTAACGTAAAGGGAACAAGGAAAAGGAAAAGAAAAGACGCGCCACAAGTGAGGAGCGTTGTAACAGAATATGGTATGATACTATGAACTGCACTTATATATCTGATGCTAATAGGATTGAATTTGTAGCTGATAGCTTGTCAATCATCCATTGTAAAGATATTCTTGATCGAGTTACAGCACTTTCTCAAATGTGGTTAGTACTGCCATGCAACTGCTGACACTTATGCAGAAATCTAGTAAGAGCTTTCTATACTTGATTCTTAGTAGAAAATGTCTCTCATAAAGTTAAATATTTTTGACAGCTTATGATTTTTCTTGAAGTAGGTCAAAGCAGGTCAGCTTAGATTAGCTTAGAGTGACAAATATCATAGCAGAATGCATGATCATATATACTGTCATCATGATTGTGTTGGAGGTGTGCAGATTAGCAATTCGGCAAGGTTTGAGAAAGGAGATGAGAAGTGCTGAAGAGAAACTCAAGCCATGGCCATTTTGAAAATTTCTACATACGAAAATTCCAAGAGGCGGCGGAACCTTGCGGAAGAATGGGAGGCCGAACTCTGAAGGAGTTGTACTAGCGTTGCAAAATCGAGTACTTACCTCCCCTAAAATGGAAGTACATTTACCTTTCCTGGAAGGAACATAAATGTAAAATAGGCGGTGACATTAATTGCTAGAGTTCACATGCTTATGATCGATATCGTGAACTTCAACCCGGCACATATGGCAGTGCAAAATTTTCATGATTTAGAATCATAAGAAGGGCAGCTCCCAGACCTCTTAGCTGCCATAAGGTGCGCGGCATTCCTCCACTTGGAAGAGCCGAGTTCATGATGTCGATGACTTCTTCCCGGTGGCAGGCTGAAAGGCATGCGTACGTTCTCGTTACTCATCCAGTCGAGGCCGTTCGCCTTCGGGCTTATGAAACTGACGAACGTTCTCGTATCGCTGGGGCTTTGCCGAGCAGCCTGCTCGGTGCAGAATTACGCAAATGGACGTGGCACTACTTTTCGCGATTAGACGCCCAGACAAGCCATGTCCGCGATGCATCAGCTCCATTCCATCAGTACTGTGCACAAAACATGCCGGAAGAGTTGTGTGAAGATTCCGAAGTGCAGCAAGGTGGGCTTTCTGGAGAAGTTCCTTCGCAACGGATTCATGCGAGGATTGCAAGGGCGCGAAACGTAAACGCTGGTGACAGTCTGCGTGCGAAGTGCCTGTAGAGTGGGAATTCGAAGTGGGTTGGTTTTTGCCACAGGAATGCGTCCGGGCTTTCGGGAATGAGCGGATATGGTGAGCGTTTGCTCTGCTTTTGGATTGAATCATGATTCTGTTCTGACTCGTTCTGACTGCCGCCAGCAAGCTACTCTTCTTACCATCCTACCATCGTCTTGACCTGTGCGCTGTCACTGGGAACGCGCAAAAGGCTCTCTGCACTCTGAACTGAACGTCACTACTGCTAGAGCATTCTTGTTGGGTTACTTCACTGAGTTTCTTCCCGCGTAGCCATGATGAAGAAGGTTGTACGACTCACACGACCTGGCGTCTTCCGCCTTCCTGTTGCCACTCGACGTATCCCTCTGCGACCGTACTCAGCTGCAAGCGCAGCTGTCCAGCAAAAGCCCGAGTATGTACAGGACCGGACGAAGCTCATCCCGGTCGCTGCACGTCTGCAGGAGGGCCGTGCACTGATGCTCGACGTATGGACCATCTTCAAGTGAGCGCAATTCCTCCGTGGCATGGAATGGTGCGGCGTCAAATTGGTTGATTGACTGCTCCAGTGCTGCGAACTTGCCCCCAGATTGCATCAACCTGGGCCAGGGCTACATGAACTTTCCGCCACCGCAGTGGGCCCGCGACGCTGCCGACGAAGCTCTGAAATCGGTTGAGGGGAACCACTACGCTCCCACGAGAGGCAGGCTGCGGCTCCGCAGAGCCATCAAAAACTTCTATGGCACCCAGTTCGGCAGAGAGCTCGACACCGAGAGCGAGATTCTCGTCACTAGTGGTGCGAACGAAGGTATGACGCTTGCGATACTTGACGTGGAAGCCGTCCTGAGCGCAGCGTTCCGGGCGCAGGACAGTATGCTGCGCTCACGGCTTTTATTGATCCGGGCGATGAGGTCATTATGCTTGAGCCATTCTTCGAGCTCTACCTCCCGACGATCGTCTTCAATGGAGGTAAGCCAGTGTATGTACCCCTGCACCCGATTTCGGATCCTGCGTCTCCGAATAAGCGAACTTGGAACTTGGACTTTGACGAGCTGAGGTCAGTGTCTTATTCCGGTTCTCCGCCTCAAGCAGTCATATTCAACATGTCCTTAGGCGTGCGATCACCCCGCGAACCAAAATGATTATGTTGAACTCGCCTCACAACCCTCTCGGGAAGGTGTTCAACCGGGAAGAACTGGAAGGGATTGCAGATATCGCTGAAGAATTCAACCTGCTGGTCATGTCCGACGAGGTCGTGCGTCTACGTGTTTTGCAGGGTTGAATCTCATGACTGCGATTGACGCTACCACGACTTTAACAGTACGAAGCCCTTGTGTATGATGGGAAGGAGCACATTCGGTTCGCCACCCTTCCTGGCATGTGGGACCGCACCATCACGGTTGGATCTGCAGGAAGTGAGTTCTGTCTTGCTCTCGCATTCCTGCTCACCTCAGCTAACCGCACGTTGTAGAAATGTTCGCCGCCACGGGTTGGCGCGTCGGTTGGCTCATCGGCCCACCTGCACTCATTGAACCGACGCTGGCGGCGACGACGCGCATCGTCTTCTGCTCGAACACGCCGATGCAGGAGGCCGCTGCCGCGGGGCTTGAGCAGGCCAGAGAGAGGCGATTCTTCGAGACACAGCTGCAGGAGTACACGGAGCGTCGGGATATCCTTACGCGGGCGTTTGATGAGCTCGGCATGGCGTACACCCATCCAGAAGGTAGTTACTTTATCATGCTGGTGTGTGTTGTCTGTGGTTCATGGTTTGCACCGAGCTGAGATTGTTGTGCGTTCCCAGGATGTGTCTAATGTGACTTGGCCGGATAATTACAAGTTCCCGCCTGCTATGGAAGGTCGAGGGCGGAATTTCAAGTACGCACTTTGTACTATACGGTGTCCTTACGTGACCTTATATTCCTGACAGGGCGATATGGTTCATGGCGAATGAACTCCGTGTGTCGTCGGTTCCAGTCACGGACGTGAGTGTCTTCTTGTCGAGGTCCTGCAAGGTGGTTCTCACTGGATCCTTCTTCTCCTAGTTCTACTGCGACGAACACCGCGACATCGGCGAGAATTACGCTCGCTTCTCGTTCTGTAAAGACGCCGAGACTTTGAGGATTGCTGCGAAACGCCTACAGAACTTGCGGCAGTACTTGCGCAATTAAGGGTGATCTGCTCGTGGAATATTTATGATTTGGAAAAGTTTCTCGTCTACTATCATAGACATGTTTCGTTGGCGTGTAGCTCAATCAATGGTGGTGTGAACATCCTCCCGGTCTGTTTAACTTTGCAAACGAGGCTGGCACCCCAGAAACCCACTAAGTCTCCTGGTATACGAGTTGCTGAGAACTATAAGTCAAGGGCGTAATATACTGCATTGACCAGATGCATTGGAAATGAAAGACATAGCAAGATTCTTCCGGTAAATAAGGAGAAATCGCGCTCGTGCCTTGACACACTACACAAAGTCGGTTCAACTACGGGCCGCAGAAGATTCATGATTTATTCCTAGCACGAGCCAACTACGTCAGCCGAAGCAAGTCTAAGCTCTGTTACATCCACATACTGTTTGGAATACACGGACGCCGCCAAGCGACGAGCCCACAGACGAGCATCCATATGACCAAGGACAGACTCTCCGAAGTCATTGAGAGCGATAATCTCGGGCCGGAACTTCAGCTCATGAAGGGCAGTGTTGAGGTCTGCTCCTGAAAGCACGCGTAAGTACAGCAGCAACCACTTGAAGTCTTGTGACGTACTGTCTCCGACCCCCCAGTAGGCGGGATTCTGACGCATCCAGTAATGATAAAGAGCCCACGGCGGGCTTCGCAACTCTTCCGACGTAACATCTCCAGCTGCCTCCACAGCGGCAGATTTCTCCAGGCCACAGGAGTAGAACACTCGGGGAATGTCTGTCAGTCGGTCGCTTGAACAGAGTAACACTCACTAGCCATCGCTAACTGTTGCGGCGACTGTTGCGACGACATTCTTTACACGAAACAAAAGGGTAGCTATAGGCTTCAAGTTGTAAAGGGATAGCCAAGTCTTGAGCACGTGACTTGCTGCACCGCGCGTGTCAATTTCGTTCTTAGATCTGAAGCTTGGAGGTTGAACGTTGAAACGTTGAAGGTTCACGCTCATCCGTCCTGCATGTAAACTCCCTCCAAGGTGCCCTCTGCTGTATCCTTATTCGAAAACATCACCCCAGAACTAGAGGACGAATACTGCTAAGAAAACAAACCTCGGTCACGTAGTGCAAATCATCCGAGTCCCTGTCCACGATGTCACCCTTCGAGCCCGACCGCTGGATAAGGCAGCTCATGAAATGCGAGCACCTTTCCGAGGTGGACATGAAGGCGCTCTGCGAGTGCGTGCGCTGTATCCTCATGGAGGAGTCAAACATCCAGCCCGTCTCGAGCCCGGTTACGATCTGCGGGGACATACACGGGCAGTTTTGGGATCTCCTCGAGCTTCTCCGCAAGGGCGGGGAGGTGCCCCATACGAGCTACATATTTATGGCACGTATGTGTTTTCTGGCTCGTGCTGGAGGGCTACTCAATTAGTGCAACCCTGCGCTGTAGGGGGATTTCGTGGATCGAGGGCATTATAGCCTCGAGACCGTTTCGTTGTTGCTAGTGCTCAAAGCCAAGTCCGATTATCCAATTTCATCCGGTTTGTGCCCCCTGATGACTGGCATGCCAGGTATCCGGACAGAGTAACACTATTAAGAGGGAACCATGAGAGCAGGCAGATCACGCAGGTGTATGGGTTCTACGGTGAGATTCAATGCTCTCACCGTGAAAAGTAGTTTCTCACGTCTAGAAAGATGAGTGTCAGCAGAAGTATGGCAGTGCGCTTGTCTGGAAAGCATGCTGTAGTGTCTTCGACTACTTGAATTTAGCAGCGGTACGTGCTGTTGGTCATAGGAGGTGAGATCTCTCAATCATAAAGCTGCTTACAGATCATAGACGGCGAGACACTATGCGTTCATGGAGGATTGTCACCGGATATTCGGACGTTAGACCAGATACGGGTGTTGTCGCGTGCGCAGGAGATCCCTCATGAGGGGGCGTTTTGTGGTAGGTGTATTCGCTAGACCGTGCGTTGCCGCTCTGACTCTACTGCAGACCTGATGTGGTCGGACCCTGACGAGATTGAGAATTGGGCAATCAGTCCGCGAGGGGCGGGATGGCTCTTTGGCGGGAGTGTGACTCAAGAAGTGAGCTTACAAGTATTCCTTAAATTGGCGAAAACCTGCAACCCTTTCTTTACGCAGTTCAATCATGTCAACTCCTTGCGATTAATTGCACGGGCACATCAGTTAGTACAAGAGGGGTATAAATACATGTTCGACGAGCAACTCGTGACAGTTTGGTCTGCGCCAAATTACTGCTACCGGTGCGGGAACATGGCGTCTATCCTGACGATCCGCGAGAACGGTGGGCGGGACTTTACTGTGTACGATGCGGCAGAAGAGAACGAGAGGGACAAGGGCTTGCAGAAGTCGCGTAAAATGGTGAGTACTCTGGTAATCTTGCTCATCTGTTGTTGTCCCTTGTGCTCAACTTGCCATCCGGCAGGGTAATATGACATACTTCGTGTAGGTTGTACAGTATAAATGCTTTCGCAGTTTGCAGTTTGGTATCCGGAAGTGGAAAGGTTGCTCGCATACCTCTTGACGATAGTATTACGCAGCAGTCAACACGAGCGTGATACTCGTTAGGTGCGTTTGCAAAGCATTCTGATCGTGTTCGCCGTATCTCGCAATGTCATACAGCTGTAACCTGTCGCGAGTTATAGTTTCCCTCTTGGCAGAATCACCACGGTGCGCGTGAGACACAGATAATTCTAGCGCGTTCTGACCTCAACTTGTGGAACCTAGTGGAATACTGCAGAATGGCGTCGAGTTTGTCATGGGAAAAGGACGAATGGATTCAAACCGACCTTCTGCCCGCATGTGCTTCGTCTCCGTGCAATGTCTGCGCTTATTGACAATATTTGCCTTCTAGTGGATTCCACAGCAACTTCCGCAACCGACATTGAGGAGCCTCGAGACACTACTAGGGGCTTCTCTGTGCGCCGTACAGCGAGTCGTGCACGCACTGGAATGTGTATGGAAGATGAAGGAACATCCTGCATGCAGCGATATTCAGATGCTCTCGCCACTATGTCACATACACTACAAGTAGGACACGAATACCGCCAGCGCCCTTCAGAACGCTTTCATATACGAAACTCGCTCAGTCACTACTCTCCAATCTCACTTCGCGTACAATGTCTCGCTTCTTTTGCGAGCCTTTCTACTCCCTCACCAATTTCGATCGTCTGTTCGATGAGGCATTCTCTTCCAGGGCCCCGAGTTCATCACACAATCGCCAGGTCCAACTACAGCAACAGAATGCTGGGCGAGGTTCTTGAGGCCAAGGCACGTTCACGGCAAAATATTCATGAGTTCGGGAATCTCAAGCTGATTTGCGGCAATAGCATGGACATCCACGAAGACCATTAAACCAACACGGTCACAGCGATCTTCGAGCTGCCGGGCATCTCGAAGGAGAGCGTAAATATTGACGTTCACGATAATATCTTGACTGTGTCCGGCGAGTCCAAGATATTGGGCGACCACGACGAGCATGGATATGCTATGCGCGAGCGCCGATATGGCAAATTCTCTCATTCCATTCCCTTGACTCATGGAGTCAAGGTATGCGTTATCGATATCAGCCATGTACCCAATTGTAGCACTGATGACCTGTTGAACAAAACGAGGAGATCAGGGCTGCGATGGAAAACGGTGTCCTGACTGTCACGTTCCCGAAGACCACGCCAGACATGGAGCCCAAGAAGATCGCCATTCCGCGAAGGGGTTATCCGATAGCCGGATTCATGTACTTGTTGTCAAAACGCAGTCAGCATATTCTACCAGCATTTGTACTTCTTACCGTGTGGTGCCCACGTTTTTGTTAGTGCCAGCTTGCAACGCAATCAAGTCTGTCCTCACCTTCTCCCGCGATCTTTGAGATTTTTATTCAGGTCAATCCTCTCCGGTGTTTACGGTGGCAATCTCTGGAGTTGTTCGGATGCACTTCGCACAAGTGGCAATCTAGCATATTGTCCTGCCAGTGATAGAATATAGAGCGACTGCATGTGTTGGCAAGAAGATTGTGGTGGAGTAGAGGAACGACTCCTTCCTATCTACTAGACGCTCATTAACGAGCCTAGTGATGAAGGACACTTGAAAGCGGGATCTTTGCCTGAAAGTTGTCCACAGAATGGGACGCAGGGCAATATGTTGGGCCTGCAGATGCATCATCGCATGCCAGTGTGTTATGACTTGCTGAAAGACTTGTATCCTAGCGAACATCGTCCATGGAACAAAGGCATCTCTTGCACGATATAGTATCCGATGGCGCTGCGTTATCAGAGTGTACTTATAGCGGTGTCGCACATTGCCTTGTCAAGACACCGACGATATAGTCGAATTGAAGGGTCTTTCCAGAACTTGGGAAGCGCCGCCTGACGTCGGCCTCAACCTTGCTTTCCGAGTGGAAACAAATTTGTTAGCTAACAGTTGTCATTCGGGACTCAAGTCGGTCATACCACATCTTCCGAGGAAAAATGAACTTTATCAGTTCACAACACAACAATTGACCGTCGTAGGAGTCTAACATACAATTTACGCAAACACATGGTCGTAGTCGGACGCGATGCCATTTCGCCAGTTGGCCATGAAAATTTATTTTCACCCATATAGAATAATGTTTGAAAATATACTATTTCCCTTGAACTTCTGAGTCAGTACCAAACAGGGATGTTTATCCACTCACCTCTAGATTAATATTCCAGTTGGATTTGAGTGAAAGTAACGGGCGATATCCTCTGTGGCAAATGCAGTCACGGCGGCCGGCGTTGAGTATGTGGCGCTAAGTTCAAACACCGCTGCACTAACCCCTTCGGAGGGAAATTTGATACTCCGCGAGGATGCTCATCCCAATTTGGCTTTCAATGTTCGTCTTATCTTGCCAAGTAACTTCAGAACTTTTAGTTGCCAATTATGTTGCCCTCTCTTGTACCACTCTTCTTATTTGTGCTTCCTGTTATTTCTGCCTCAGCAGAAGACTGGCGTAGCAGATCCATTTACCAGGTGTGGATGGCCCATGACTGGAATTTCCAATGCGTTACAAATGTGTTCACTTCTTTTTTTCTGATAGCTCGTTACAGACAGGTTCGCCACCACTAACGGCTCCAGTCCCCCATGCGACACTTCCAACCGCAAGTATTGCGGTGGTACATGGCAGGGAGTGATCAACAAGCTCCCCTACATCCAAAACATGGGTTTTGACGCCGTTTGGATCTCCCCCATCGTTGCGAATGTTGAAGGTTTTACCGCATATGGAGAAGCGTTCCACGGGTATGTTGTTACTTTGCGTTCTTTTTTGTAAGCCGAAGCTCACTCGTACCAGCTACTGGACACAGAACATTGATGCCATAAATTATCATTTTGGCTCAGAAGATGACCTCAAGGCTCTTTCGTCGGCATTACATCAAAGTAACATGTATCTTATGGTTGACGTCGTCGTTAACCACATGGCCGCAACTACGAACCCACCGGATTATTCTACGTTCCAACCATTCGATATACAATCTGACTTCCACTCCGAGTGCTTCATCAGTAATTACTCGAACCAGACTAACGTCGAGCAGTGCTGGCTTGGCGATACGAACTTGCCTTTGGCTGATCTGGATACAGAGGATGATACGATTGTTAACTCGATGTATTCTTGGATCAAGACCGTCGTAGGAAACTTCACCGCGGATGGCATACGCATTGATACCGTCAAACATATACGGAAGGACTTCTGGCCCCAGTTCGCGCAGTCTGCGGGTGTGTTTACTATCGGCGAAGTTTTGGATGGCGACACAAACTACGTCAGCCCGTACACCCCTATGTCCCGTTGCCTATGTACAAATCAAACCGCTTTCTAATTAGATATTACAGAGGTCATTGATAGCGTACTGGACTACCCTGCCTGGTTCCCTCTTACCTCGGGTTTCCAGTCAACCAGTGGCAACCTCTCGGCACTCGCTGAGACTGTACAAGCAGCACAGGGTTCCTACAAGGATGGACAGTTCGTGACGGGCTCGTTCCTAGAGAATCACGACCAGCCACGATTCCAATCTTTAACTCAGGACCAAGCGGTAAGTGTGACTAGTGGTTGACGAGATCGATGTTAATCCAGCAGCATTATAGTTGGTAAAAAATGCTATGACCTGGCCTTTTGTGCAAGACGGCATCCCTATCCTGTACTATGGTGGGCATGAATAAATTCTCTGGTGCTTGCAGTGCTGATTTTTTGCAGGTCAGGAACAGGGCTACACTGGCGGAGCTGACCCCGCCAATCGCGAAGCGTGAGGGTTACCTGCTCCCAATATCGCCTTCTGAACTCGCTTGTAGGCTTTGGCTCTCCGGATATGTGGAGGACAACAAACCACTGCTCACGCATGTCAAAACTCTCAACGCCGTACGCAAGATGGCCGCGGCCGCGAACAGCAGCTTTCTGACTACAGCCGTCAGTGAGATTCTGTATTATCGATAATCATTGACATTTCCCGGCAGGCCAAGTTTTCCTCCACCACATCGACACTCGCTGTATCCAAGCCACCGTTGCTTACCCTGCTCACCAACGGTGGCAACTCGTCGACGCCGACTTGGACCGTTTCTGATACTGGGTTTAAGCCGAATGAGCAGCTTGTCGAGGTTTTATCCTGCTCACTGCTCAGCGCAGACAAGAAAGGCGGCGTCAGTGTGCATGGTTCTGGGGGCATGCCTCAGGTGTGTTCGAGCCTGGCGTTCTGTCTCAAATGTCACTAAGCTTCGCATTGTGCAGGTTATCATGCCGAGGTCTGCGTTGAATCAGTCTGGCAGTGTTTGTCCCAGCCTTGCGACGTCCTCTGGCTCTCAGGCTTCCTCTGCGGCTGACTTGACCTTACCTTTAGCAGCAACGCTAGTACTTGGGATACTCTCCGCGATATTCGCTGCCTGACGAGACCTAACGAGATCGATTCGTCATTCTCTTCAACTGCATTTCCGATCTTTTTCAGATGGCCGCTAGATTTGTAGCATACTCAACCGCATACATTACCCATGTTTAAAGAAGGGTGGCACCCTCTCAACGTAGCACCTTCGAACGGACCCTAAGTTACGTTCTAGATAGACCGTCCTTACGGACTTCACCTTACTACACGAACACTATACCATTGATATAATAATCACCAAAGATCCCGTAAGCACAACTTCAATGAGGACAATGCCTCACTACTAAACACCGCGATATCAAGTCTACGGCACAACCCTTGTAAAATGTGCAATAAACACTGTGCTCATATGCGTACTACGCAGAAGTAGCAGAGGTATAATAATAATGCGAAATATCGGCCGTGCTCTTGTCTGGTGCACTGGTTAGGGTACAGAACTGTCTGGTATGAATTAACGCCTCCTCGCGACTCTAGCACGCCGTGGCGCTCTCGCAGGTCTGGGGACAGGAGCATGAAGAGGCGGAGCAGGCAGCAGAGGCAGCGGCGGAGGAGCAAAACCGAGGAGTGGTACAGGAGCTGGCACTGCAACGGGCAGGCCGTTGAAATTGAGGTGTACATTGTATACAGCACCCGCCTGTGCCGCTTGTTGCTGAGCCAAACGAGCGGCAGCCATTTGTTGTTGCATTATCTGAGCCTGACGCCGCTGCTGGCGGGCGAGCTCCTGTGCTTGGTTCACTCCAATGGGCACCGCGCGAATGTGAATGCCGTCCGCTTGGTATAGTACGTTTGACGGGCCTGCGGCAGGGAGCGGGGGCGGGATATCGATCTTTATGTCTTCGTCGTTGACGTCGGGATGTTCACGTTTGTAATCTTCCAAGGCCTTCTTTGCCGCAGCTGCTACCTGTGAAACGCAGGGCGGTCAACGATGATGACAGGTCCTATCCAAGTGAATTCGCACCTCATCACTGTGGCGCTGCTCGACAGAATCCCATAGTAAACACTTCGCAGGGTCCGATTTCCCGTTGTAAGGAGGCGGCTAGTGTTGTCAACAATTAGCGCCTACAGGATACAAGTCACTGCTCACGTTGTTAAAGTGATCGTAGCCCGTGATTATCTTCCGGCACACGTAGCAAGACAATGTATGACAGTTCGGGCACGTCATTTTGTTGCACTGACAAAGCACGTTTCAACGACGAGCAGACAACCGACTTAATTGCTACTTACACCCATCTCCTTGACAAATGCTGCGACCATGTTCGTAAATGAGTGGATCCGGATCACAATGGAGAACCACGTTGATAACATACCTTTCTGACACTTGGGACAATTGCGCATTAGAGCGCGCGCTGCCTAGAGCGTGAGCATACTGTATGGAAGGCAAGCAGCAGCGGACTAACTCATAGCCTCTTCAATCGTATGTTGAGCGTCCAGCTTCTTGTCATCTTCCACCTCTGCAAGACGGCCCAACGTGAGAGTAGAGCACAAATGATGCTGGTGTCGAACTCACCTTTACAACTCTTTGGTAGATGATCCTGACCAGTGCCATGCGGTAAACGAACAATGTACCTGCGAATAAACAGCACGCAGCTTACAGGTTTCTTGCATGCTCTGCAGGTGACGGCGCCACACTCCTGATTTTCGCATCTGAACAGCCGCTCCTGAGGATTATCGATCACGACCTTATAGTCGCAGAACGGACACTCCTCAAGATTCTCGAGGCCGGCCGCTTCTATCTCCTTGCGCTGCTTCACACGGTCATACAGCGCGAGTAATTTCGGTGTGAGGAACCGTCGGAGCTCCGATTCTGGGAAGGGCAGCTTGCACCCAGACTGGTCCATGCAGACGATATTCGCGTCGTGCGCGCCGAGAAGCGTCTCTGAGTATGTAGTCATGCACGCTGTGCAGAAGAGATGTGCTTCGGGGCACTGGATCATCTTGTCCTATGATTCATGTCCGAGTCAGAAAGGGATGATACATATACAGAAATGACGAACGAATGGATACGACGAGAAGCAACACCCGCACTCGATACCGTCGCCAGCCTCTTCGGACTCCTGCTTGTTCAACTTCTCCGCCACCTCGGGGTCTCGGCGCACGACTGTCTCTTGCAACTTGAGCTTGACCCACTCCTTCTCCTTCTCGAGATCTGCGTCAAGCCGTTCAACACCCTTCCCCTTTCCACGCGCCCGAATAGTCTTCCGCTTGTACGGCAAGTTGCCGCTCTTGCGCTCTTCAAACACGTACATGTAGGTTGGCGCGTATAGCATGTTGTTTCGAAAGAATGCTTTTCGGAGATGTGACACTGGTATGTCGGGAAAATCAGTAGCCAATTGCTCCTGAGAGGGCGTAGCAGTGAATTACGTGTCAGAGTGAATACCGTATCCACGTACGTGCGCCAGCGTGAAATATTGCAACCCACTAGGCTGCTCCCGTTCCTTGCTTCCGTAGTCCACCTTCGGCTTCGCGCTCGCACGCGCCTGCTCCTCCGCATCAACCTCATCCTCGCGCTTCCGCTTGGCCTTGCCCTTCCCTTTCGGATCCGCCTTGGGGTACGTCGGGTCCTCGAATAGGACGTGCAGCACGGGCTCAACAACCTTCTCTTGGTAGTTAGGGAAGTGATTCTCCACGAGGGAGCGCACGTGCTCGGGCAGCACATCTGGGATTATCTCAAGCACCTGCGCGATGTACGCGTCGTACGGGTCGTGCGACGCGTCAAGCAAGGAGCCGGGTTGTGATGCGGGGACGGGAACGAAGGGGTCCGGCTCAACTGCAGCAAAGGCCATCGGCGGGAGTACGGGGGCCTCGGGCACGGCAAGGGGTGCAGCCTCAGCAGGCTTGTCCGCCACAGCTTGCTTGGGCGGCCCAGCGACACTGCTCCCACTGGGGTTAGAAGGACCTGCTTCGTCATCGGAGCCGGGGAGGAACAAAGGCGCTTCTGCCTCGTGAGAGGTGAGTTGTGAAGGGCCCGCCACAGGGGATTTTGCTCGGGCCTTCTTCTCTGGAGGACTGCGTGAGTGCCGCAAATGCTGTACCTCGTCTTCAGAGTCGGTTAGCTCGATTACATCAGCTGCTGGTGCAGTTGGTGCGCGTCGTTTGCGCGACCGTAGGCGACGAGGCGAAGGCACGAGTGGGGCTGGCGACCCTTCCGTCGAGGAGACTATCTCGATGATTTTGTTGTTGACCATTCCCAGAGTGTCTGCAACGCGATGAGGGGCTCCCCGCACGCCTGTGTAGTTTGAAGACTCACCAGCGACTTGGTCCACTCGACGACTTCAATGTAGAGAACAAAGAAGAAAGCAACCCTACGTGTTAGCGGCGGAAGCTGTTATCCCTCTAGCAACGGCAAAATTCGTCCTGCCTACTTGACTCACGTCTGACGGGACATGCTGGTGAAGGGTAGGTAAGGACAGGTAAAAGGCCTTCCTTGAAAGTCAGTTTGAACAGCTGCGGTCACGTGACTATTATACTACAGTACTGGATACCAAGGGGGGCGGGGCGGAGCGGAACCAATCGGCCACGCCTTTCTATGAGTGAGTCGGAGGACCGTCGCTCAAACGGCTCTTCTTGCTGTATAGCAGCTCCGCTGTCGAGAAGGACAAACGAAAACTCCAATCTGAGAATGCGTAGCGCTCCACGATTCTCAGGCTCTAGCTATAGCATCCAATGAGTACCGAAAGTGAGCTTGCCGTCATCTCGTTGCATTTGGATTGCACCCAACCTGAACGGGTCTTAATTTTAGGATACACGTACTATTGCGACTTGGGTGTCGAGGGCGATCGGCTTCGACACGCGTGTGGGCCTTGCTGCCCCAACGCCTTGTATGCTCACTCCCTATTCTCCTCTACCGAGACATACCGCAGCCATCTCAAGACATTTGGACGCCCGGACGCCTGGACGCCTTCCAATTGTTCTTAAGCGATGTTCCCGAGGATATGTGGATCCGCTCGCTGCTCCTCCGGCAAGTGGAGTGAGCGGCAAGCTACTGGATGTAAAAAAGCTCGCGTGGTCTTTTAATGATCCTCTGGAGCTGTGCTCTTCAAACTCATGGCTGGAGATCCGACGCTATACGTCTTGCACGCGCCAAACGGTGCTCAGCTATTCACTTCAAGTATCTCATGACCCACGTTGCAAATGCACCGATGACGTTCGAGGGTTGTCGTCCGTTATTTCACCCAGTCGCTATAAGAGGGGTCTACTAAGTGTATGAGAGCTATCTATCATCAGTTTCCCCCTTTTAATAGAAAACCTTGTACCGCGATGCTGTTTTTCCATCCTGTGCGCCTGCTCCTCTATATCTTCCTGGTGAGTGCAACACGTATATTCAAGCCAGTGTTAATCTCACCTCGAACTCTGTAACAGTGGGTCGTCTCCGCTGTGCTCTTGGGTCTGACTGCGGCCCGCTTGTACTACACGACCCACTTGCCGGCATTCGACCCCCTCAACCAAGGAGTGGACTTCTACGATCCGATTGTGGCGGAATTGCTCTTCTCATCCATTCTGACTCTCTTCTGGGCGACATGGGTGTATGTATACTAAACTCTTTCCCACGGTGATTGGAGTAGCTGAGCATGACATCAACGCATAGGATCCACGTCGTCGTCAGAAACTTCGAGTGGGGCCTAGTTGTCAGCTTCGCCAGTGAGCTGCTGGGCCTCTCGGTCGTGTTTGTGCTCTGGCTCGTGGGCGCAGCCATTGCAACAGTGAGTCCGTCCCTCTCCACCTGGTCTCCATACTCTCGCTGACAACGTTCCTTTCGCAGAACATGTGGGGCGACCTCCACTGGTGCTGGATCTACCAGCCCTGCCGGCTGCTCACTGCGCTTGTCGCGTTCGCGTGGATCGGTTGGATCACAATTCTCGTGCTGCTAGTGCTGAGTACCCTCTTCGTCACGGTCAATCGTGCGCTCTATGCTCCCTTGCACGGACGGTACGATTTCCGCTCGCACTTCCGCAACGCCGGTCGCACCGTGCGCGTCTAAAGAGTGGCTGCGACGGAAGAGGAGGAACGTACATAAATGGTGCGTCGTCCAGAGTAGGTTTCAGTAGGAAAGGTCTGTTCCATTGTCATAATATATCATCTCACTATGTGCCAGTTTATTCGTGGTTGCGCATTCTATTGTTCCCTTTGCGGGTCTTTGTCGAACATTTTGCCACACAGGATGAGATACGCGACGGGTGAGATCTCAGGTCAGATTCTCGTCACCAGAGCTACCCGACGGTCATCTGCAGCTCAGGATCCGATCTGCGGCTGGAAGATATTGGAATTTGCGCCCAGCACTGGCAATGGCTTCGGCGTTCCTCAAGCCGCTCGATACGCTATAGACGACATGCCAGACGGATCCGCGGGACATTCTTCTCATATCGATGCTCGGCGGGGCTCCTTGACACCATCTCAGACTTGCCTAAGTACTGGGCGGTGCGGTCATTCCTCCGTAGATTCCATGGATAGATATGGTGGTGACGTCGACGAATACCAACCTATCAAGCTCGCGGTCCCAGTCAATACTAGCCTGAATGCAGAACGCCACGGATAATCTTGCCGGGAAAACCTATATTAGTGACGATTTCGACGTATCCAGCCTCATAGGACTCTTCTATGTGCGTGGACTTCTCTTACATCTCTTATTTGTACATCCGCGATCTAAACCGTCCTGTATCTAGCTATCGCTGGATAGTCGTCAGACACTCCGGATTGTTAACCTTCCACAGCAAGATTGTTACCTTCACTTCTCCCGTGGCATTCAGGGCTTTTGGACAGCACAACGTAGCTTAGGGACTAGCATAGGACCCCCGACAATTGGTGAATAGGCCTGATCTGGAGAGGGCAAAAATGTCCGTTGGGAAAAGGCCGTTTCGGGCCCAAAATGTCCGTGAAAAATTAGGCCTCACCACATTTTTTGCCTCCGCGGTCCGCGTTTCTCTTCAGGTTCTAACCCTAAAAAGGTAATTTTGGGTGCTTCTGAGCCGGCGGCTACGCCGCCTCCGCCCGCTCTCCCTCGCCGGCCTTCCACAAGCGTTTGTCCGGCCCCGAATCAGGCCGCTGCCTCCCCGATGTCCGCGAAATGGCTCAGGCTATCCGGCGGTCAACCCCCTGATTTGTCCGTGAAATACCAGGCATGAGGCTCTCGAAAGTTCAAAATTTGTCCGTAACTGGCTCAGGGACCTTCCCCAATTGTCGGGGGTCCTACTAGCATGGATACTGGTCAACCGGATGAATGATCCATGGATAGCAGTTGCGCGGATGTGGATACGGATGCGGATACTTTCTCACGGATAGGGCGGATAGACGGTTTTATCCACGGTTTTCGCTATACTTTCTGCCAACTCTGTCTCCTTTCATTGTAGCACTCGTTTATACCCTCTTGATATGCTACATGCCAAGTCTTGATTGTATAGTCCTCTAATAATGAACAATACCATTGTCATTGCCACTACTAAGACATTTCCCACTTGAAATTTTCATGCAGCACAACATGTCTTTGCAGACATTCAAGGCATCAATATTCAATGGCAGCGGGCTCTTTGTGACACTCCGCTGATGCCTGAATTCTCAGAGCTTACATGGATACTGAAGGCAAAGATGAGAAGTGATGCCGGTGAAATGTTATCAGACTAGTTCAAAAATGTCTATACTGCTCTGTATACTAGACAGTGTACTTGTGTCATGTTACCCAAACCGTGGATGCATCTGCATCCGTACGGACAATATCCGCAGATGGCGGGGTTTAAAAATATCCGTGGATATTCATCCGGATAGACATCCGGATGATCCATGCTAGTCCCTACAATTGCGGAAAATACACCACCTCCGTCATAAAGCTTACATTGTCCCCGGACCTCGCCTTCTGGAAATCGGAGCAGGATAGGCACTGGGGGCAAAAGTGGATGTTCTGCCTTGGAACAGTGTCTGAACATCCAAGGAACAGATTACGTTTTTGGACATGTCACATGTTCTGAACATGATAAGGAACATCTAATATGTCTCGCACAATGTTCTATTGGAGAGCATGCTGGAGACATGTTGCATGTACCATTCTGGAACATATAATATGTCTCACACAATGTCTCATTGGAGAATGTCCTGCAGACTTGCTGCATGTTTCATTCTGGAACATTTATCATTTTGCTACTATATTCTGGGCTTGTCTCTTGGTGCAATATGCTCTGTATAATAAGGATTTCCCATGGCCAAACACATTACATTTCTGGCCAACGTTAATCTTCAGAACATTGTGAGAAGATGTTAAGTGCTCCTACTCCAAACATACAAGATCTTCTGACCACCAAGAACATCTGCAGTACATGTATGATACATACATAAATTATACTAAAATTTTACATGTACTGCAAATGTTCTTGGTGCCCAGGACATCTTGTATGTTTGGAGTAGGAGCACTTAACATCTTCTCACAATGTTCTGAAGATTAACGTTGGCCAGAAATGTAATGTGTTTGGCCATGGGAAATCCTTATTATACAGAGCATATTGCATCAAGAGATAAGCCCAGAATATAGTAGCAAAATGATAAATGTTCCAGAATGAAACATGCAGCAAGTCTGCAGGACATTCTCCAATAAGACATTGTGTGAGACATATTATATGTTCCAGAATGGTACATGCAACATGTCTCCAGCATGCTCTCCAATAGAACATTGTGCGAGACATATTAGATGTTCCTTATCATGTTCAGAACATGTGACATGTCCAAAAACGTAATCTGTTCCTTGGATGTTCAGACACTGTTCCAAGGCAGAACATCCACTTTTGCCTCCAGTGAGGATGCATTGGATGTTATGGTAGGCAAGTCATACAGATCACAGCGGAAAGTCACTCTCTCCATGCACGCAGTGCGTCTCGGATGCACGGTCGACACGGTCACACTGCTTGTCGAACAGAAAACTATGAAAAGAGGATACTCGCTGCAGGTTTCAGCGACCGCGTGTGTGTGCATCTGCTGGACTACACCGCCAACTCTGTTTAGGCCGATTGTTCCATGGCTGAGTCTGCGAGATACCAGCTGTCGAAAGGTCTGGCAGCCAGGCTGCATCCCATCCGAAGGACACCTGATTGATGTTCAGCCTCTTGGGATGTCCCGCGGTCTGCTCCGAAATGGGAAGCTGGCCAGGTCACCACCAGGTCCCTGCATCGGGGGAGGTCATCTATGTCTCCCTCTGCCCCAAATAAAAAAACTAAGTAGCCTAATGATCTGTGTGATGTCCATAGTGGTAGCTCATGTCCTCAGAAAAGCTTGATTTGAGATGCTCAATGATCCACCCAAAGGGAGGCTTCACTTGAGCTCTGTTTCCTGAAGTCCTGAGCCAGTCACGCCGCGTTCACTAAGCAAAGAAGCCGAGGCGGAGTCGGAAAGTCGACGATACAGTCCGTGATGAAATTTTCGTAACACCTCCCACATCTCTTCCTCCTTCACTTTCGACGTCCCCTCGCTTTCCTGCATCTGGGGTGGTTCTGTGTGCGTGTACCTTAAGGTGAGCCATCTGAACTAATCTGTTTCTTGCAGCCTGAAACCGGAGAGCTGTCTTACGTCGCGCGCAGGTCGTTCGAGTCCGAGCCTTCGCTGAGTGACGCGCTTTGAGTTGTGTTTGATTCTCACTCACAATATCAGTTTGCAGCGCGTTTCAACCTGAGCATCCTCAAGCTGTCGTGCTGAATGGAGGAGATGAGACTCTTGGCAATGTAAGACAGTCATCCACTTGTCTTCTGGGTATTGTGTTGACTTACAAATGTAACCCTTAGATGTAACAGCTGCTCCGACTTGCGTATCGAAGGATACCGACGAGTCCTTGGACGGACATGCAGTTCCGTACTATAAATAGAAATATATTTTATGAAAATTTGAATTTTGCATATGTTTTGATCACTGCCCGGAAATATCAATTACTGTAGCGGCAGATCTCCAAAATCGATCGCCTGAACAAAGTGATCATCTCTCGGTTGTCTGCAATTCGGGATCCGCAGACAGCCTGGGGCCCCTCCGAGTGGTCAGCTCGGGGAGAGGTGGTGGTGTAAGCTCCCGGCCAGCTGGGACCTTGGGTAAGTCTTGTCTAATATGCGTATTCGGTCTGACGATCAGCTGGTGGGGATGTCCTCGTAGCATCCACCGGCCCTCCCCGGGATCTGGCTGATTTCATCTGATATTTGCCTTGTGCACGAATGGCCGTGTACTCGCCACGTCTGTCAAGGCTTCGACTGATTTGTCAGCTGCGAGATGGTCGAGGTGGGTGGACTGAAATTGTACTATGCTTTCAGCTTCGGAACCGAATTTTTCAGGCCGTTGGGTTGAAGGACTACCCGACGTTCCTCTAAGTCATCAGCTGGGTGCTCAAGCCGTATAACTCAGCAGGAGTTCGAATTCGGTACTTCCCTTCCGAGAGTATTTGTACCTGGAAGGTGGTATTGATGGTGGGATTTGACAGACCATCGCTCGCCATGGCCCAGTCATTTCTCCCCAGACGCCACCCACTTCGTCATGACAGCGCTGCAGACCTTGAAGGACGGCTGGTTCTAGACAGCGGCCGTGCCGACGCCCTCCCAATGTTGAAGACTATCCCCACACGCTTTGCGAATGGAAGTGGTAAGTAGCCCGTATTGTTGCGAACGGATGTTGCCGCAGTGGGTTATGCAAGAGTGCAAACCCTCTGCACCTGAAACCTGTGCGCTCCCCATTCCCCGAGGTATGACAACAGCTAAGATCGTAAGGAGAACGTTGTCGAGCAACTAGTTGCCTTGTGTGGATGTCTCTCGTGCAGTGCATTTGGATGTCACAAACAAGGCACAGGGTGTATTTGTATCGAAACTAGAGAAGGTCATAGACCAGCGGCATATTGAGTTTTTGATCCGCCCAGTGCTACTATCGACGTTCTCAAGCAGGACATAAAAAAGGATCCTCAAAGATCCTAAGATATTCAGTCTTCGCAGAAGACCGTTGGAACTGTTTCGTCAAGGCACGCGATGACAATTTCTTACGCTGTCAGTCGCAACCGGTGAGCATGGCTGCATATGAAATCATGCGATGTGGCAAGGCAAACACAAGCTGACAGAAAGCGGTCTACGTCGGCTTAATCCCCAAAAACAGCAGCCCGCGTTTCGCCTTCTCCACCTCCTCCTCGAGAGCGCGCCCGTCTGCGCTCGTCCACCTGTCGTCCTGTCCGATGTCCTCGACGCTCCTACCCTGGCGCAGTACACTCTCGAACGCCGCCTTGCGCGCGTTCAGCTCCGACATGCGCCGAGGATCCGAGTGCCCCGTGAAGATGACCAGCGCAGTGCGCGGGGGCAGCGCGGCGTAGAGCCGCGAGAGCTGCTCATCCAGGGAAGAGAGGATGGCCCGCATGTCGGATGGCGAAGTGGAGGAAAGGGCTGGCGAGGAAGGGAGCACGTCGCTGTTCGCTTTGTTCGTGATCCCTAGAGAAGGCACGGAGAAATCATGAGCAGCATACACCAATATTAGCGAAAGAGGACTTACAGCCTAACCCGTCGGCGACCGCAGTGAAGCGTGCAAACAAGAAATGGTGTGAGTGAACAGCACCCAGGAGCCCTTCAAAAACCTCCATGTCGCTCTTGCAAGCTACAGTGGTCGTCGCCTTGGACCCGTGCCATGCGGTAGGGTTGCCGTGGTCCACCACGGCGGTGCAAATACTGCCTGACCGTGACCTCGCCATGCGCTCGAATATCGACTCCAGATCCGTCTTGAACTCGCCGAAGCCGGCGCCTGCAAAGCTATCAACACCAAAACAACGCCAGTACGAATACCAGATATTGCGACAAACCATTTTGCACCTTCTTCTTGAGGAGATCGAGACATGCACGCGCGTCCTCTTCCGGATCGTGCCCGCCCTCTCCCCTGTTCTGAATTTCACGGCCGCACCACTTCTTCGTCAGCCAGGCTAGCCCCGGCTTCAGTGGTCGCCCTCGAGGATGATGATATATTACAGCGGTGTCAATACAATGGGGGTGGCAGATTTTGAGCGCTTTGAGGTCGGATTCTAGGGAATGGCCGACGAGGACGGGAGTGGGAGAAGCGGAGAGGAGGGAAATAATGTGCGATTGGACTTCTTCAAATGTAGTAGTTACGGGGTCAAGTGCTTCAGCAGTAATCCCAGACCATCTAAATAAACAAGGTCATAAAAGTACAGAATGTGGAAGCTAGGACTGGGCGTACCGAGTGAGATAGTCTTGAATGGGCTTTTTGGGCTTCACGAGCTGATCGAATATGACCTTTCCGGACGCGTAGTCGATCATGCACACTCGGGTGAGCTCCTTGCCGTCCTCCGTCAAGCACTGTCATGACATTTAGATTAAGGTGGAGGGACCTCAGTGGTGGTCGCGCTTACCATCTCGCAGTCGATGGCGTAAATCCTCGGAAGACTCTTCTCAGGTATTGTTGGTGGGAAGGGTTCCTTGCGTGGCGCAGGGATCTCCACCCATTCTAGCGGCTTCTCGAACACTTCCGCGATATATGACGGGACCGGGTACTCGTTCTCAATCATCTGCTCTGTGGTCAGGAGATATCGCAGCGGGGTGCTGTCCTGGTTCCGCTCAGCTAATAGACACGAGCACGATTCAGTGCGAAGTGATGACCGCGACGGATGGGGACCTACAAGTAATTCGTTGCATCGCCCGTCTCTTCCTTTCGTCTCCGGTGATTGGACCCTGGAAGAACGCGTTGAGGACGGAGTGCATGCGCGTCTGGTCACCTGGAGCTCGTGTTGGACACGCGTGGCTGAATGTAGAGGAGATGAAAGGGACACCGTGTGCTAAACGTTCTGCAGGCGAGTCAGGTGGTAGTGGGACGATGAGGGGAAGGTTGGGGTTCGCTGTGGCGGAAGTGGGGAGGGGCGGTAGAGCGACGATTTCTGGCGTGAGGCCTGGGATGAGAAGCGCAACGACTTTTTGGATCGTGCGTGGATTCTGCGAGAAAGGCGCGTTTCAGGGTGAGTTACAGGGCGAGATACAAATTTACATACATCGACCCTGACCCAGCTCGGTGGAGGAGCGTCTGCCACTAGATGGAGCACCAACTCCCGGATGTCCTGGCGAACGCCAGTCAGTCTCGTTCACTTTAGACAAGTAATGCCTGCACGCACACTAATTCCCACCGCCTCTCTCCGCTTCAGAATCTCGCCACTCGCATACATAAATCTCGGTATTGGAAGAGCCTGCAGATGAATGGTGACCGCGTCAGCTCTGCATTGCTCGTATCCAATTGAGAGAGAACACACACATCCAGCTTGACCTCCGTCTTCCTGACCTTCTTCGCCTTGCGCCTCTCGACTTTGGTCCATGCACCATCCTCATTGTCCCCGTCCTCTACACTGAATGGGGCTGCTTTAAATTTCTTCAACGCTGGAGGAGACGTCATTTGGAGAGGGTCAGGGGAGATAATGGGAGATCCTGGAGACCGCTTCATGGTAGGAGTTTAATTCCGAACTGCTCGCTTGTTCCGTTACACGACTGTAGAAGAGGCGGCGCGGTTCACGCGAGATCGACAACTGGATCAAAAAGGAAAACGCGGCGCTTATATGTGCATGTGATCTCCCAAAACTTGTTGGAGGTATTGTGCACGATATAGTACTTATGAGCCTAACTCTTCCGCAAGTTTACGCTTTCTCAACCACACGGACCACTGCACCGCAGTTGAAGATCTAGAGTGGGTCTTCTACAGCCTATTATCTGTCTGAGCGAGATATCTGCTGGCAGAGGAGAGGCGCCATGCCTGTATTGCAGCTCGATCGTATCGAGCCGAGCATCACCGCACAGGACTTCTTCACAAACTACATAGCCAAACGCCGACCAGCCATCATATGCGGTCTCCCCGACGATCCGACTTTCCAAGCCCACAAGTGGGTGCGTTGTCCCTTTGTTTCCCTCTCGTCGTCGTCGTAACGCACCATCGATTCGCCAAGGAAGACAGACCTGGACTACCTAGCACGCAAGGCCGGTGATTCGGCGCTGCTCGTTGAACCCATGCACCCTGCGACGCGTCAGTTCGGAACCGATGTCCAGCGCGTGTCGATGCCGTTCCGCGAGTTCCTCGCGTCGCTCAGCGAGGACAGCGAGAAGCCGCACCACTATCTCACAACGCAATACGCAGATGACGACGAGGACTTAGAGACGCTTTTCTCTCCGCCCACGGACGCGCTGATGAACGACTTTCCCCGTGTGCCGCGTCTCATGGGCAATCTCTGCCTCCAGCAGGTCAATCTCTGGCTCGGCAAGTCCGCCGACGGGTCATCTTCGGGTCTGGTGCGTGCTGCGACGTCTGTCGTGGGCAGTTTGGCTCACGCTGCTTAGCATCATGACTTCCATGACAACCTATACTGTCTGCTCCAGGGCCGGAAGCGGTTCGCCCTCCTGCAGCCCGCTGAGGTGGAGCATCTATACCCACACGGTCAGCTGGACACACTGCATGCGAATGGCCTCATCTCATATGCGGACGCGCCCGTGCGCGCGGACGGGCTTTCTGCACGCGCAGCATGCAAGGCGCGTGTCCAGGCGCTCGAGCGCAAAATCAACGTGCTCCCGCGCAAAGACAATGGCCACGCGAACACCCGAGAGCGGCAGGCCCTCCTGGATGCGCTGGACGATGCGCGCGACGAACTCGCCCAGCTCGCGCTCGACTCGGGCGAGCTCGAAGGTGAAATCGACGACTTTGACGCGCTGGTCGGCGGGTTGCAGGACGAATGCGACGAGAGTGCTTCAGGCGCATCTACAGATCATGATGAAGATGAAGTGGAGCAAGAGGAAGCTCTAGGTGGGCCCTTGGCTGAAGGTGATAGCGAGCCTGCGTCGTTCTCTCGCATACCTACTGCGTACCTGCACAAGCACCTTGGTCTTCCCACCACTGCTATGTTCCCGACGTCCGCGTCTCTGGATTTTTCCGACCTCGCGAAAACGAACTCACCGTACATTGTCGAGCTCTCGGCGGGCGAGATGCTGTACCTTCCCGCGTCGTGGTGGCATGAGGTGACGTCGTCCTCGGTCCTCACAAGATCTGACGGTTCCGCTGTGCATATGGCGTTCAATTACTGGTTCTACCCACCAGACGCGCTGGAGAGCTTCGAACAGCCGTACGCGGATGCGTTAGTGTGGGATTACCTGAGAGAAAAGGCCAGTAGGGATGAAACCGGTCTGGCGTGGAGAGCGCGGAAGGGTAAACGGAAGCAGGAAGTTGTTGAGGATAAGGCACTGAAGAAGTTAAGATGGTGACTGAGCACACAGATCTATCGTGTGTACGTACATCATGGTTTTCAGAATATGGGACCTTGTCCGTGTTTTCTTGGACTAATGACTGTTATGCCATGCTGTGATTGTAAGCCGCTGATCGGTCCTGAGGCCTGAACGTTGAACATCGATGTCTCTCCTGAGCTCGAGATGTTCTGGGCAACGGTGCGCTATCTTAATTACTTAGTCAAGCTCGTTGACCAGACCCGAATTCTGTTTCGGGATCATAATTTACGTTCCGCGGCGCCCCAACAACTTCGCGCTCGTTCTAATTTACATTGTCCTGTCATATTGAAATTTGAATGCACAGTGCCCGTCGCGCGTATACACGGCTTAATGTGTACTCTCCCCTGTACTTCCTCGCTGGATGTTCAGAATAGTTTCCGGTGGATTTTAACTTACAACATGCCGAGGCCAGTCGGATGCGTGCTAACATTGACAAAGTTTGATCATCCAGGACAACATGCACTGGCGGCACTGATCAGTAGACACGTACCGTATCTTTCCCCACATTAGTGGAAGCACATCCTTCCTCGTTGCGACCTTGTATCATCATTATGTCTTTTCCACCTGGTCTCGCATACCTTTTCCGTAACTTGCCCAACCTTTTGCTCCCGCCCGCCGTCGTGCTTGTCGCGAACCTCGCAGTTCGTGAAATGTATGGGCTAATAGTACCCATCTGGTTATTCACTTTGGCATGCATCTTCTCGTTCCCGCTTGCTCTGTTCGTCGTTGTGCAGTGGACCGACTACGTGGACAGGCGTGATGCCGCTGCGCATGGCGCAGTGCTCCCTCCCATTGTGAAGGCCAAGCTTATAGCAGGTCTTGATATATTGTTGGAACAGAAGCGTACCTTCCAGCGCAAGTTGATCGGTGAGTAGTATCGTGCCCAGCCTTCGGAAAGACACCATCGGATACAGGTACCACTGGCTTGCTCCGTAGCGGATATGTTGTTTGACTTTAGTGAGACCTATGGCAACATCTTCATACGTCGCGTGTTCTACGAGAACAAGGTACGTGGTATCGTCGCCGGTGCCTTCTTGCATTGAGATTTATTTCGCTCTGTCCAGGTTTTCACTTCCGAGCCCGAACATATCAAGGTGAGTTGCGTCAAAAACTCTGGTGTCACCCTGATGTGCGTCAAGGTGTAAGTGACTGAGTATCTCGAGCACAACGGGTCTTGACCCATTGACGCGAGGTTCTCGTTGGATAGTGTCGATGGCGCTTTACCTGCCAAACTCCTGGTCTGTTGGACTGGTCATGCAATGCTAAGATCTGTCCTTGCAGATTGTTCTAGCTACTCACTTTCCGGGATTTGAGAAAGGTGAGTAGTCCCCTGAAATTCACGCGGAGCACGGAATTGACAATGTTTCAGGTCAGAGCTTTCGTGGGCAGATGCAGAGTCTGTTGGGAACGGGCGTATTCAATTCGGATGGTGAGCTACTCTCGAGTTTCGTGTACAATGTGTTGATTGTCGTGCTACAGGCGAGATGTGGAAGTAAAGGGATTGTCCACTCTTCGTGTACACCTTGTTTAGTGTCTGTGTCTCAGGTTCCATCGCGCTATGACTCGGCCTTTCTTTAGCAGGGATCGCATCAGGCACTTTGAGATCTTTGACAGGTGAGCCTTCCTACTCACCGAAGGATGCATTAACCGACCTTCTCCAGACATGTCGACGATGCATTCAAGCAAATGCGGGCACGTCTCAGCGAAGGATATGCTGTCGACTGGCAGGTGAGCATACCGCTTGCTTCGACTTTGCAAACACTGATGGCGCGCAGGATCTCGTATCCCGGTTTACGATGGACTCCGCGACGGAGTTTCTCTTCGGGCAAGACGTGCGCTCGCTCTCTGCGGGCCTGCCGTACCCGCCTACCTCCCCCCTCTCCCAGCAGCGGGCGCACCCCTCGGACCGGTTCAGCCGCTCGTTCTTCGGCGCGCAACTGCAGAGCGCGCTCCGTTCACGTTTCCTCGGAATCTGGCCCCTGTTTGAGTTCTGGGAGGACCAGGTGAAGAAGCACGTGGTCGCCATAGACGATTTCATCAAGCCTGTCCTTGAGAATGCACTCCGCGAGAAGGACCAGAAGAAGGACCAGGGTGTAGACGATACGACGCTCCTGGAGCATCTGGTGAATCTCACGGATGGTGCGTATAGGACCCACAGTGGCGTTGTATTATCGGAACCTGCATAACCTTTTGTCAGACTCCCAAATCATCCAGGATGAGATCCTCAATATCCTGCTGGCTGGACGTGACACTACCGCGGCAACGCTGACGTTCGCCGTGTACAAGCTAGCCCAGCATCCACACATCCTCCGGCGGTTGCGCCAAGAGGTCCTTGCCGAGGTTGGCACATCAAGGCGCCCGACTCACGACGACATCCGTGAGATGAAGTTCTTGCGTGCTTTCATCAACGAAACATTACGTCTATACCCACCCGTGTGCGTAGAGTTGTAGTCGAAGTTGTGGATTTGCTGACAGTTGAGAACTTGTAGGCCGTTTAACTTCCGGTATATTGACACGTTCCAAGTGTACTTACTGTCTCACGTGTCTCATTAGATCAACCATCAAAGGCACTGTGCTGCCATCGATGATTCCTGGCGAGAAACCGTACTTCCTACCGGCTAATACAAGGTATTGCGTCCCCTGTTTCTCTACGTTACGCTATTTCTGACTGGTGTCCAACAAGATTCCAGTACTCGGTATTCGTGATGCACCGGCGGAAGGATCTATGGGGCCCAGACGGTAGTGTCTCACTGCAAGAATCTCAAACTTGCAGACTGATTCCCATGTTTACTGCAGCATTGGAGTTTGACCCTGACCGCTTCCTCGACCAGCGGCTGCACAAGTATCTCACGCCGAACCCCTACATATTCCTCCCCTTTAATGCCGGTCCCCGCATCTGCCTTGGTCAGCAGGTAAGTGAGCCTTACTTTCATGATTTCCTTAGTGCCGCCTAAACTGTCTGGTCTAGTTTGCTTATAACGAGGTATCCTTCATGCTCGTGCGCCTGCTGCAACAGTTCGTGGGTGTCAAGCTCGCGCTGGAGGCCAGTCCAGGTTCGCTCCCGCCTCCTGGCTTCGTGGATTCTCGGGGCTCGAATGGGGAAGACGAGGTGTTGTTCACGACGCATCTGACCATGTACGTTAAAGTGAGTGTTACATTTGTCCACAATAGAGGATTGAGGCACTGAGTGCATTTCCAAATGCCCTTCAGGACGGGCTGTGGTTGAGAATGGACGATGCAACCGCCTGTTGAGATGATGTTGTAGTCACGTGTGTACATATCGGCCTTCGTGAACGCACTGAACGAAGAAGCTACGTACAACGAATGACATCATGCGCCCGAGTAGAGTGTGGGTTGTTCCGTTGTAATGGCCTCCGAAACGGAAACGGAGTAGCTGGCTCTGTGTCAACAATGCTGCTGTTCGCGGAAAGGACGTTGTGTTTCCGGCCCATCCTCACTTACCTTCACGTTTTTCTTAGTTACATTGAAGACGTCAAGTGGTTCTCATTCAATATTCAATGTTTGGTCCGGAACTAATTATATTGGATTGTCTTGGACTCGGCAATCCGGCGATCCGGCGGACCAGATCACAACTGTGATTGTGCGCTCTTCTCCCGCCTACTGTCGAGATTCGGATAGTGGCTTGCTGAACATGCTCCGAACTGTGCTTTCTTTTGTGCCAACTCTGCAGCTTGCGGCATGCAATCTAGCTCTGCGTATGTATCGATAGACGGTTTCTACTTTAATAAGACCTACGTGTGAGTAATCGTGATTGTATATACTCGTATGCGTTGCATGTGTACTTACGATACCTCCATCATGTAATAGGAATATGCTGTAAATTGATACATTTCATATTGACTGCGTAAACGGGACATTACTATGTGTACATGAACGAATTGCACGACAACATGGAATTACGACAATCCAAGAAACAGACCGGAAAGAAGAATGATAATACAATTACTTCGCTGCAGGAGATAATGCAAGAGCCCGTTCAAGTGTAGCATGGTCTAAACCTCTTAACTTCAAGCACTTCTGGAATAATTTTTTGTCAAGTGGATATTGAACTTTAGATGCAAGATGTTGCCCAGCGACGAGAGACTGAATGGCCCCGGCGATGAGACGTTGCTTGTGGACGTTGATCAACGGCTCCAGCTGAATTGACGGTGGAAGTGGCATCAGGCTTGAGAAAACCTCGGGATGTGCAGGCGGTTCAAAACTGTTGGAAACTGGGTCAATGCCGACTGATTCATCAGGAGCAGTCGGATCGATCAGATCGGGAAGATGGCTATAGCGGTACAGCTGAGAGAGATATATGCCTAAAAGAAATGTCAGTAAAGTGGATATACAGAGCACACAGGACAAGCCTACCGAAGAAGGGCACGCATGCCGGAATCGGTGGCGGCGGCTTGTTCTCCAAAGGTACTTTGCTACGCGTTGTCGACGTTTGCCCGTCTGTGTTGATAGATATTTCCTGGGAGTTCGTAGGTAGTGACTCGGCTTCCGAAAGAGCATCCACAGTTCGGCGGATATGCTTGAAATCCCCCGCATTCGTAGTCCAAGCGATCAAGTCCTCAAGAACACGCGACTCGCGGAAACCTACTCGGTTTAGCATCTTCCCCATTGCTCTTGTGGCCCATTCACTGCGTAATCCAGCTATGATTGCAACCAGGGCATTGAAGTTCTTCAGCCTGTACGCTTCCTAATGTAATGTTAGGATCTGCATAACGTGAATTCCCGATGTATTAGACCTACCCAAGCCATACGAATGAACTTATTGAATACAACTGCACGTTCACTCGGATGAGTGAGCACGACCTCAGAGACGACGAAATTTGCCATCAGGTTGAAGCGGCCGCGTACCACAGTCAGAGAGCCGGTTTGATGTCCGTCTCGTCCCTCGGCTTTCAATCGCGCTCTCTGCCTGAGGAATTGTCCCCAGTCATGGATGTTTGCCTCTTCATTCATTCCTGACAAGTGTGGTGATACCAGCTCTTCAAATTTGATCCCGAGGAACAGCTCGCGGTCAATCATGGAGAAGTGATGCATCAACGTTTCTGTACGATAGCTGCGAATAAAGGAGCAATGCCACTTGATTTTCTCGGGATGAATAAATCTCGAGAGCGGGGGAGGATGAGCCGTCGGAGGGGGAGCAGTGAGATTCCGAGGGGTGGGATCAGTAGGTGTCGAAGGCCTTGAAACTCTGCTGTTAAGGATTTCAGCTGGAACCGCATCTTCGACGGAGGGCTTCGTGTCCGCTGTCGCTGAGATGGTGGCACGATCTGACACCAACGAATCTATCCACGACTCTGTTGTAGCCGTTTCTGGTGCGAGAGTTGAGTCTAGAGAGCTGTGTAGGCTCGAGAGGGAGGTAGAAGGAAGCGAAGAGCTGTAACTGCCAGACTGAGAGCTATCCTGTATCTGTGAATGTTCGACCTCTTCACCGTAGTCCTCGTCGGACGAGTTGTGGGATGATCTGGCATCGGATTGACCCGCAGTGCGTCGTTCTTGGATGGACTGAACCCATTTATCAACTTTCGACTGCTTTGCACGTTGCTTGTCCTGATTGATTTGGCCCTCGAGCCGACGCAGAGCTGCCTCGACGTCGCCATCTTCGGCTTCATCACTCAACGAGTCAACAAGTGCATCGACCTGCCATTGTTCGATAGGCCCCCCCATATCAGGACCTGCAGAAGAGTTCGAGCCGCCAGACAGTAATGACTCGCTAGTCCGAATACCCATCGAGGATACACTATCCGCGGAATGGCGGACGAACTCGAACTCTCTACGATTTGGTAATCGACGGGGAGGTCGTTTGAGACCCGGTGGTACAACAGGCTCCAGGTCCTCGTCCGAAGACAAATCCGACAAGTCAAGTTCGTCGATCGAAACAACATCAATTTGTTGACTGAAAATGGTAGACATAGGACCCGGGGAGGCACGCTCCGAAGAAAATGGCGGCGACTCGAGGGGCTCCGAAGTTGCAGATATAAACTCGCTCGTGGTGCTGAGATCGCCAACTTCCGAGGGAGTCGAGAGACGCGTAGCATCCAACGTAGGATATGAAGGTTGTACAGCAGTACTAACGTCCTCTCCTGGCTGGAAGTAATCCGGGGGTGTGTCAAATGTGGACTCTGCAATCGTGACACTGTCGCGGATAGACATAGCTGACGGCACAAAATCCGATGAATGAGGCAGCATCGTGGTGTTGGCTTGTATCTGGCTTTCAACCATCTTCAAATACTGTTCAAATCCCCCACGCACCAGCAGAAGATCCCCGGTCTCGTTAGGCTCCACATCGAAAGCCGATACATCAACACGCATGTTGAGAGGCATGTTGAGAGGCATATTGAGAGGAGTACGCGTGTTCCGAGCATTTAAGACGCGCTTCCACCTCCCAAGGCGGCCAATCGTATTGACGAGAGCGCGCGAAAGGGCACTGTGGGACACGGGTAAAATTACAGGAGCAGGAAGAGGATACGGCGCCTGAAGAATTGGATTCGCTCTCCCATGTGTATGGGTAAATGCGAAGTGCAGCGGTTGCCGCAGCATGACAAGGTCCAATGCGTCTGACGGCCCACCCGAGCCAACAACAGTATCTGGTGACGCACCGATACCGAAGTTTTGCGCGTTCAAAAAGTCTGAGCCGTCGAATTCAAGATCGATATCTGAATCTTCTGGCTCAATTGCCCTCCTGAGAGATTCAGCAAAATGACCGTTGGATAAATCCCCCAGCTTGGAGGGCTGAGGAATGGGAGTCTCAGGCTGCCTTGGCTGCCGATGAATGGTTCTCTTCCCCTTGTGCAAGTGAACATCTTTGCAATCCAGGAAGACCTTCTTCAGTTGCCGGACAATTTTCTAGTAGAACTCTAGTCAGATACACATAATTTAGTAAGTGCATTGAGGGATCTTACCAGAGCATCTCGATGACGCTGCAGGATCGGATCTCTTCTTAAAGTGTTCAGCCAATTGGCAAAGAGTAGACGCAACTCTCGGTCAGGCACGAAGTCGACATTAAAGAAGGTCAACACCCAATACCGGATAGCGGTGAAAGTCCGGACCCGTACGATGCGTCGGACCATCTCGTCGTGGGTAGACGTCGGTTCCCCAAGTGCCCAGTGAAACCTGCAGATGAGCAGATGGCCCAAATCTACACCAGAAACGTAGGTCCGATACGTTAAGAAGAATATGAGCAACTCGTCGTAGTCTAGCTCGCTCGTAAGCTGCGCTATCCAACGTTCAATGGTAGCTGCAAGCATCATCCTCTTCGGGCCGACGCTGCTAGACAGAGAGATGGGAGGTATATCCGGCTGAGCGGAAATGCTCTTGTCTTTAGCATTCTTCTTGCGTGAAACCACTGAATGTGCAGAAGACAGGTCGGTGGTGCTATCCTGCGGGATGTCGTCTGGATCGTCCGCCTCGACGTCACCCCAGATTACGAAACGAGGATCATCACGTGGAACTGCGCTCTCTTCTGCTTTGAGTGATAACTTGATGGTAGTCTCAAGAACAGTCGGCGACAACTTGTCCGGCACCGGTAGTCCTCGATACGTCTGCAACACGTCGAATACATCTGTTGAATAGCGCGAGTGGAATGTCGTCTCAGCTAAGGGTACCACAGGCTTCGACGCAGGGGTCTCGTTCTCGGGAAGCGTCGTCATCTGTGGCTCGTCCGTGCTTTCTTCGTCCACAGTGTGAGTACGAATAGCACTCCGGGGTGACCGTGGACGGCTATCCGCACGCGCGGTCATAACCGACTCGAACGACTGCATCTCCCGCAGCGCAGGAGGTACAGACAAGGCAGACGAAGGCCGCCATGACGGCGACTCAAAGTTGACGCAGGGACCAAAGGGACTCAGTATCGCGCCCGACGTCTTCCCATGATCAAACGGATCCAACCGCTGGTCTCTCGGAAGATGTAGACTCGGTGCTGAGAAAGAGGTGCGGCTCGAACCAAGGGGTGAAGTAGGCACGCTGTGCCACGACATCGTGTCCGCAAATATATCACGCTGCGCTAGCTTCTCCTCCTGCTTCATCACCGGAGGGGACGGACGGAAAGCATCCGCACTAGAGACACTGTGTGCGTGGGGTCTGCCGGTAGGCGGGGCCTGCGGCTTAGCCTGGCTCGACGACGGATCGGACCCGACGCCGACTAAGTTGGGTATCGACCGGGTCTTTCTGAGCTTCCGAACGGGAGGCGAACGGCTGCCATCCTGTTGAGAAATGGCCGGTGGCAGTACAGGCGCCGGACCATTTTTGAATACGGCCGAAGAAAGAAAGGAGTGTACGCTCATCCGGGAGCGGCGCCGCGACTGCGGTGGTTTCGAAATCGCCTGAGAAGGTATCGTACTGGATGTCGTATATTTGCTAGTGCGAAGTTCAGCTTCTTCAGCGGCTGCAGCAGGCGCGGAGAGATTCCGAGCGCTGGAATACACCCACAAGTGACAGTCAGGTCCGATGATACGCAAAGGCATACCCAAAACAGACTGACCCCAATCGGTACATCTGCTTTCCATGCTGGTTGACGATAGCGGTGATGGCGTAGGGCGAGCGCACATCCTTGCCAACGCCGTGATATTCGTCGAATCGCCGTTTCAACTCGCGAGCGGCAGCACCGGAAGAAGTCTCGACGAAGCTCCCATCCGCTACAATCCCATGTAAACAGCGTCCCGATATGCAGGAGGATCTAATACTCACGTGCGAGGGAGATATCTGCCTTCGCAAGTTCCGAGTGCATAGAAACATCAAATGTCACGGTGCTGTCTTCCCGGCTGACATCAGGGAGAGTGAGCGAGGTCTGTGACTTATTGATGCTTGCTGTAGGGAGAAACAATAACTGGCTGGTATTGGTACTGGTACTGGCATCGGGAGAGGACATAGGTGCAGGATATGATGTCGGGGGGAGGAGCTGCGATATTTCTGCCACTCCAATGATCCTCGATTACTTCAGATCACTTCAATGCTTGCGGCGGACGAGCACGTACGTCAGGTAAATTCCAGTGGTGTCGGGCAGTCCAGACACGCGAGAGCACAGGCTGAGTAGAAATGTGATGTCAAGAAAAGACTCTGGTTTCTTTCACAGCCCACCGTATTCCTAAACAGAGGTAAAGACGAGCAAGGCATAAATCAGGATAGAAGCAAGCTAGAAGAGAACGAGGAACATGATAGTTGTAGGCTCGGAAGGATTAGAGGAAGATTACAATGTATGTTGCGCATTCTCATTACGTAATACTGCGTACTGCTTGCTCAGCGCTCAACGTCAACACCAGCGCTACTGTTCCGGGAATAACTCATGAGTTTTTGACATACTGTAGTGAAACGACCTTAGGTTCACGGCCTGTGACCTGTGACATGTTTTCTTCCTCAGTTCACAGTTCACAGGGTAGGAGTGACCTGTGACTCAAGTTCAGTTCAGAGGTGCCGCAGGCGCCCGCCGACAGTCCGCCATGCCTGAAGGCCTGATGCTGTGAGCACCGGTGACTAAGGCTCCAATTATTTTATCTATTTACCATGTATATATGGTTTATTTAGTATACTATATACATTTATTTATAGTGTGACCTGTACATGGTAAATATATAGTACATAAATAGTATATGGTTATGGGCTGTACAGCCCACGTAGTCTGCATATTCCCACATAAAACCAGAGAAAGTTCAGCCAAAAGCTATAGAGATAAGTTTAGATTTTCTGAATTATAATTGTAACTCTAAAATAGGGTTGAAGTTGTTAAATATTGTCTCTGACTTTCAAAAGTCATTATGAAAGTCATTAAATCTTAGCATTTAGTGCAGCCCTCAACTTTTCTGACTGCAGAAAAAACAATAGTAATATATATAGCAAGTTACAGTCTTATCTGAGGTGCAGTTCTGATAATTATATAAACTATATATTTACCTTATATTTACCATCTATTTACCATATACCATTTATTTAGTGATTGGAACTGTAAATAGATTAAATGGTTGGAGCCTTACCGGTGACATCCTCTTTTGCTTCCAGTTCACAAACACCCGTGACATGCTACAAACACTTAAGCGAGTTCAGTTCACGAGGCCTGTGACACGTGACTGAACCTAAGGTCGTTTCACTACAGTATGTTTATAAACATTGGTATTTAACTGTTTAAAACTATGTTTAAAACCCAATGGGTCTGGGAGCCTGGAGGGGCGTTTTAAACCCGGAAGTTGGGCACTGAAGACTCTAGGTTGGAGACTTCCAAGGGTCACCTTGCTTGCCAAGGTCTCCTCGCCCCCCTTACAGCAGTGTGCAGAAATATGCGGAAATGCAACTTTCGATTTCGCGTTGCCACAATGAGACCTCGAAGTCAGTTCCCAATCTGGGACACATGAGATAAGCAGAGCGACAATTTCTGGAGCTCCAGAATTATGGGTGCTCTGCTTTCCTAACAGTACTACATCAATGTCGGTGTCACCTCCCCCTGATGATGAGGTTGCACCTGCACCTTATGAAAGCCTGTTTGCCATCATACTGTACTACCATGTTGTGATCAAGCCAACTGGTAAGTCTCGCGCTCAGCCTAAGGACAAAATTGAACTGAAGCAGAAGGAAATCAAACTGCCATTAGCACTGATGGTGCCAGCTACACGGCATTCTTGACACAGGCACTCCTCAAGCATAATGAGTTGAAGTATGCTGTCATGGACTGCAAATGCTATCCATTCAAATACTCATTTACGACAGTGTAGGCAGTTCGTTATCACTACTTTGTATTACTAATCAAATTATACTTGCAGCCTGAGGAAAACTCACAGTGACACAGTAGATGTCGATAACATGGAAGATTGGCAGGATTTTGTGAAGCACCTGATTGAAAGAGATGCACCAAAAGTTGTCATCATCATCAATATGAATGATGTGATCAAGACGTGGAACAACAGTGCTAGCCGAAGAAGTGATGATGAAGGTGAGAACGATGATGAAGAAGCGGCCAGCAAAACTTCGATGTCTGACTTGGACTGGGAGCTTGCATGCATTCGCCTCATCCTCGAAGCAAAATGGGTAAATCATCATACCGTAAATGCTGACAGCAACAGCTACACATACATACCCAGTGATGGTAGTGCCTGCTACTCTCTCACCCCGTTCCTCATGAAAGAGTGGTGTCGTGCCATTTATGATGGCCAGACCACCATGTGAGCCTCTCTGAACACACAGTCTTTTGATCCCATCCGACTTCAAGCTGCTCTCCATCCCTCTCATCATGTCACTCTTGCACTGTGAGTAGGTCGCCTCTCACCCTCAGAACTGATATACAATGACAAGCCCATTCTCTTACATGCAGTATTAGACAAATTGGACGTTGAATGTGTCCTAAACATGTAGCCACGGCCAAAAGGTCAGGATAGTGTCGATAGGTTCAGCAATGATGCGTAGCATGTTCTGCATGTCCTGGGTGATTTTTGCGCTTTCTTTGTAAATTTTGGCCATTTAGAGGTTATATCAGCCACGCGAGTATAAATGGACCAAATTTGGCTAACCCGATCCGTTGTGCGGGTATTTGGGCCCAAATGGTGTGCGGACATAAGGGCCAAAATTCGGGGATTTTGGATCGGACATATTGGAGCATATGCCGGGGTCCTGAGTTTTCCCCGGAACAGTAACCAGCGTCAAAGGCAATTCACTCATAATGTGCCCACGAACGCAGGCTCCTAGAACCATCCGTCGCTATAGCATTCTCACTCCTACATCCCAGATTCATGTTTTAGAGATCACATGATATATATTTTAAGAGGATTACCACTTTGAGAAGGACCTTCCATTTTGAGAACCCGAACAAGAGGAGGAGAACACTATAGGACGGCTGGCCAATAATGTCTTCCGAGGTTCCTCCGTGCCCAGCGCTTCGCCTTGCTTCACCTTAGCGAAAAGACCGTTTAGGCAGTAGCTGGCTGTTTGCTTGTAATATTTTCATCAAGCGGTTTGTGGGGTCTCTCGTCCTCACGGCGGCAGCACCAAGTCCTCACTGCAGTGCACACAACTTTTATATAGCCTACTGTACCACTGCATGTAACACATAATACATTTTCATCCCACATGATCTTGACAGCAGCTCAACTCAAAGATGTCTTGCAGTACCACTGGCTTGGTAACATCACTGCTTGAGAACGGCAAGAATGAATGCATTTGATAAACCATTTAGTTGACGATGAGAAGGGCATGACGGAAAATGAACACCAGGTTGTTACTGTAATAAGTACAGGCACCATGCGAATTGTGCAGGAGTTAGGACGAGAGACCTCACAAACCGCTTGATGAAAGTATTATAAGCGAACAGCCAGCTACTGCCTAAACGGTCTTTTCGCTAAGGTGAAGCAAGGCGAAGCGCTGGGCACGGAGGAACCTCGGAAGACATTATTGGCCAGCCGTCCTACAGCGTTCTCCTCCTCTTGTTTGGGTTCTCAAAATGGAAGGTCCTTCTCAAAATGGTATGTCTCTTAAAACATATATCATGTGATCTCTGAAAACATAGTATGTAGGAGCGAGAACGCTGTAGCGACGGATGGTTCTAGGAGCCTGCCACGAACGTCACAAACCAGTTCTGGATTGAATTATTGGCAAATGCCGCGACGGGTCTGCGCAGAGTACATTCGAAGTATCACAGATGTTGTTTTGGCAACTTTCTATCTATCCCACTCCCCACACCTCCAACCCTACACATTCAAACAAAACGTTGTCACCCTGTCGCGGGCCAGCAGCACACAACGGTTCATTGTTGAACGTAGGGCACGTCGCAGACGACCCATCGGTCAGACTGCTCTCGATATAGAGGCCGTAGTGGCCATCACTGCAGGGGACGTGTCAGAGTTCGACCGCAGCTTGCAAGCATGAACGCACCCTCCACCAAAGGACATGTAATCCGACTCGCATAGCGCGACGTAGTCATTCTTTCCCGACCATTTGTATATCTTCAGCTGGTTGTCCGGTATCCGCTTCCACAGGAACCTTGAGAGAATAAGCATCAGATGAACCAGGAACGCTGTCGGAGCACCTACGATTCGCCACTACCGAAGTATGCCCCTTTCGATAAGTGGATACCCTCTCCCATCCACGCACCGAACACGGCGTTCCTCGAATCCCGCAAAATGACAAGCGCGCCCCCTGTATGGTTCTGACAACGCATGTAGAGCGTGTTCAGGGAGATGCCATTCTGGTCCAAACTGTAAAGGAGTAACCATGACCGTGGTAGACGGGCCAGCGCCGGGAAATGCGGTCGTAGCTGGGAAGTATGATGTTAGTGACAGTGCTCGAAACCACGCAATGAAGGGCTCGCCATGTCGGCCAATTCCACAGTCAGGACAGGGATAGTGATGTCCTTCCGCCCTACAAGCCGCACGCTCTTCTTGTCCAGATTGCTTCTGTCAAAATCGAATCCCTTATCCCAATCCCGGTCACCTGCGAACCCAGGAGCCCCGGACGCGGGCACAAACGCGTGCGAGGCGAATGGAGTACCATGTGTGATGGCGTCAATGCCGGGGACCATTTGTGGGACACGGACCGGAAGGGAAGGAGGGAGACCGCTCAGCGTGTCGACAAGTTGAGACGGGAGAGTTGCCGGCAAGGTTCGCTGATGAATGCGCGAAGACGACGAGCTTGAAGAGCTGGAATCGCTTTGATCATGCCTTTCCGCTTCTGACGCGGCCCGTCGAGGCGGGGGCGACCGAGCTGCAGACGAGAGGAAGGAGGACACCCAGCGGGAGGGGAATGAAGAGGGAATGAAGAACGATTGCGCGGGTTGGATCTCTGGTTTGGAAATGCGGGTCGGTGATGAGGGTGGTAGTGATGGTGAGCGAAGAGGTGGCGATGAGGACCGTCCTCTGCTGCGATCTTTCATATATTTGCGAGAACTTGTGGGCCGTGGTGAGTGCCTCTCACTTTCTTCAGAGCTGTCGCTGGATTGACACGGAGGTTGTTCTGCTGATAAATGCAGGCTCTCCGCAGAGTCCGGGTCAGACGGGGGGATCGGTGTTGATGTTCTTGATGCACTGGCGCTGGCGCTAGTTTGCAAGAAGTACAACGGATCGTCTTCATGATTCAACAACTCCTCCAGCAAGTCCTGCTTGTTCCTCTCAGTTGCTTGTATCGCATTGACTGCGACATTTCCCAGGAAATCAATATTCTGGATGGGAGTGAATGGGAGAAAGTCAGGGTTAGAGCCGGAGGAACGCAGAGGATCGTCCGAGGACGGCACTGAGACGAATGCTCCAAAGTCTGAATCTACAGACTGTGTGCGTGCACGATGGCAGTACGATTGTGTGAGGGTATCAGGTGTGTCACCGAGAACTGGTGTGAGCGTGGGCGAAGGCCTTGGCGTTGGTGGCGAGAATAACGTAGCGAACAAGTCATCCTTTCCTTCGTTCATGCGACCTTGAGAGTCGTTTGGAAGTTGGATGAGCGGAGGTATCGGTATTTGTGTAGACATGACGGGTGTCTACCGCAATGGTCCGGCGAGATTGGCATAGGGTCGAACGCCCTGAGTGTGAAGGTACCGCACAAGAAGTATAACACGGTGCTGTTTCTCAGGAAATACCCGTATTCCTGCCTCAGGTCCGCCCCAGGTCCGCCTGCGGCAGTGGAAGCTGTCGAATTCGATAAACGGCACATATGGGGCGAGGCGATGAGAGAGACGTACGATGGGAAATGTCTTACAACAAGCCACGTTAATTCTGTGCCCAATTAATATGAATACCTGCTCACGATGGGCGCAGGACGAAGGGAGAAGGCAGCTCTATAAGGACTGTAACGGACCGAGGTGGTTGTGTTGAACATGCGGAAGCTCGAGGCGCTGTTTCAGGGAGGATCTAATCTTATCTTGGGGCTCTCACGCCTCATACCCTCTTGTGCGTCTTCTCTTCTTGAAGCCGTAGAACTTGCATTGCGATATTCCAGCTCCACAAACTCAAGACCGGGAGAAAGCCAGAGCACAATTGAGAGAGGTGGTACCGGTGAGACACTGGTTGAAGCGGATCTTATCTTATCTTATATTCCATGCTGCGTCACGCCGGGTGCTGCGGTAAGGCTCCTTGTTGTTACTACTGCCGCCTGCCATGCTCCTGGTCCTGCTCAATGTCCGCTAGATCAAGCAGCCCTCGCCGCTCATCTCGCTCTACTACACCTTTCTGGAGAATGTCCGTCGGACAGAAACCAGCTACAGGCATATCGTTAGTTTACGGCCAGCCTGAACATGCTTCGCCCCTCCGCTCTGCCATGGATCATCTTCCACTGTTGGCTCATAGCGATACTGCTAGTATCATGACTCAAGACAAGACTACATTTCAGACAAATGGATTTGAGTCTCCTACTTCTGCAGTCAGACCGCGTGTTGAGGAAGCGGAAGACGAGGATCGGACGCGTAAACGTTCCAGAGTGGATTCTCTTGCATCTGGTTCTGATGAGCATGATGTGAATGTACCGCGCGAAGCAGACGTGCCCGTCACAGAAGGTACCGGGAAGGGTGAGTTTACTATCACGATTCATATAACCGTTTCGTAAGACTGAGCATTGGCAGCCCAAGCACCATCACCACCACCTCATGACTCCCAGCCCGTCTCGTCGCCAGAGATATCAATACAGACACCGGCACAACCTGTCACTCAAACTCAAACAGTGGAATTGGCTGACGCAGGCGTGAAGAGAGCTACTATCTCGTACAAACCGTCATGTCTCTCGTGGTTCGGATCGCGTCCTCGAACGAACGCAACAGAGGTGCTCATGAAAGCCACAGACGATATTGTTCCTGCGGCATCTGATACCCCACTGGTTGTACAGAGATCTAATACATCACCTCTACAGAATATAGTAGAGACTCAATCGCCGCTTCCTACTGTGGATACCACTACACCACATAATACCGTTACCGCCGGCTCGCAATTTCAGGCATCTCCAACTTCTATTCAAACAGAATCCGCAGTTTATCCCGAATCAGTGAGGCAGTTGTACATTCAGACAACGCAGAAACCACAGGCTCGTCCGATGGAACCAATGCTATCGACCAGAACCGTTACTTCTGTAGATGACGAAGTGCCTGGCCCGAAACCCAGCTCTTTATCAAGCACCCCATCTGAGGCGCTTCCCGTGTTAGTACAGAGTGAGGACGAAGGAGAGCGAGGCCGGAAGCTCGCCATCGCCTCGTTGAACCCATCCTCCAGCAGGTTCACGCTCAGGCTCCCTCTCCTCGGAAGGCCCAAAGTTCCACTCGAACAGATAGCCGTGGTAGCACAGGCAGGTGAATCTGCAGGGCCTCGAGAGAGCGAGCCCGTGCCAGATGCCTCTGGGAGAGATACTGGTACGTTTCTTGAGATGTTTGTATGGTGAAGTAGATTGACGCCGTGCTAGATGCACAGCCCTCGGTGACGTCCCTGGCCCTGGTCGACGGAAGCCTCAGTGTCGAGCCGTCTACGAGTGCGACCCAAGAGCTATCATCGGTTGTATCAGCGTCGAATTCTCCCGTCGAGGCGGTTGCGTCACAAGAGCCTTCGTCCTCAGCAGATGTCAACATAAACGAAGTAAGCGCAAATCCAACTCCCGCATCTTCCTGGTGGGATTATGTAGGATGGGGTCACAGCCAGCCTGTTCAGGCTGATCAGCCAGACCCGAAGCCGGAGCAAACGACCACAGGCGGCGACATCAACATTATTGCTACGGATACTTCTACACATGTGTTCCCGAAAGTGCCATTTAGCCCTTCAACTTCGCAAACACCAATGACTCCCACACCTCTTGGGTCTCTCTCGGCAACAACTCAAAGTGCAGAAATTACCAAAGCTTCAAGCCTACGAGAGGCGGTGCAACGCCGCGAAGAAGCTTTGCCTGGCAAACCGACGCCTTCAGAACAGGAGCCAGCCTCGGCATTCCCTGAACCCGTGAAGAGTGAGCGCTCGACATGGTACTCCCCCTGGGCGTGGTACGCGACTTCTCCGGTGTCCCCTCCGTACGATAGCGCTCTGTCGGGGGCAACCGCTACAGGAGCAACGGCAAACTCAGAATCGGGCGAGACTGCGAAGATGGAGTCGGAGGTCGTGAAGACACAAGCACTCGCTCGCGATCATCCCGCACCGACTGTCGTTGCAGAGTCCAGTCGAGCTCCTCCGCAGGTTGATCCCCCACCCGTCGAGCCGAAGAACCCCATTGAATCGTCAGTGTCGACACATCGCTCGGGATGGGCCACGTTCTTCATGTCGCGCGCGCTCGTCACCAAGTCCGTGTCGGACGAGCAGAAAGACCGGGACGAGAACGGCATGGAGATCATGAACTTGGACGAGGACGGGGACGCGCCCAAAGCCCCGTCGGATCCTATCATCATAGCGCCTGCGAAGCCTGTGCAGCAGCTTACTTCGCTGTCTCCGAAGGCGTCGTCGTCTGCATTTGTCAAAGACAAGGTTCGGAAGTCAGAGACGTCCCCGCTGTCCGACAAGAACACCCGTGAGGCGCTGAAGCCGAAGACGCCCCGGTCTATATCCCCAACGCCGTCGAAGGCGCCGAGCGTGTCGTCTACTGCGCCTCGCCCGCCTAACCTTGTCTTACCCGGGTTCGAGGAGATATTCCATCTTCCGCCTCGCTCGACTTTCATCCCCATCTCGAAGGCAGGAAAGTCGAAGTTATCGCAGACACTCTCATTTGTCAGCGGAGCGCTATTCTCCAAGGAGGAATCCGCCCAGGGCAAGGGCAAGGGTAAGGATAAGGGAAACCCGTTCCTTCATTTCGGAAAAGAGTTACCGAAGGCTTTGGATGTCGTCGGTGAGCAGCTGAACTCCTACATCATGAGCGGTGGGTGTAGGGTGGTCGTGATCGGTGTGGCCGGTTGGATGCCAGGTAATGCCCGTTCAGAGCGGTAACGTGTGCATGACTGACGTTCTGACCAGGAGCCGTCACCAGAACTATCGCTGGCGGAGTAAGTTCCGAAGCGCACGCATTGTTTCGTGAACCAGTCCTGACGTCACATTATCTTTGGTAGTTGCCGTCCTCGAGCACGAAGTTCGTCAACATGACTTGTCAAGCATTGGAGCGGTTCGAGCAGCAACACGGGTTCAAGTTTAAGAAGATAACCAAGATGCCCCTCGAAGGGGACGGAACGATAGAACGGAAGGTGTCTAAGTAAGCAACTGGTCTGACCGCGATGAAACATCCGTTAATGTGCGCCCCTTTCAGAGTGCACCAACATCTTCTTTCTAACGATGAATGGATGGAAGACCTACACGCGGCGGACGTCATTTTTGTCGCAACTCACTCCCAAGGATCTATCGTATCCACCCATCTCATTGACATGCTAATCCAAGACGGCCATATCCTCACCACTCGCAGTGTCGATATTTTGACCGAAACGGCTGCTACGATTGCACCTGGTGGTGCAGCTTCATTGTCGGCCACGCAAGCTCAGCGAGTTTGCTTCCTTGCACTGTCGGGAATACATTTAGGTCCATTGCGATACTTGAAGATGAGCTCCTTGCTGCAACCATACATACAGGTGAGTTAGGCCTCCTCGCCGGCCGCAGGCAGCACTTCTCATGGATTTTGACAGTACTTTGAGAATTCCTCGGCCAGCGAGCTCTTCGAGTTCCAGGTAAATGTCATTTCTACGTCCGACGTGGCTGAAGCATCTCACATTGTGACGTCAGAATACAGAATCACCGCTCTCCAAAGCATACACAAAGGCGTTAAGCAACATTCTTGATCATGGTGTGAGTCAGCACGAGACCCTTAATATCGAACACTGGCTGAATGTGCACGTCAACCGCAGACGAAAGTGGTCTTTATTGCCTCTCTTAACGATCAGGTGGTGCCGATCTATTCGGGCTTATTCAGTGCAGCGTCGCACCCTCGGATCTTACGCGCCTTGTACATTGATGGCGATGCATATCAGTGCGCTGATTCTCTGCATTTCAATATCCCACAGGCTGACCAAGAGTCCGCCAATCTGTAGCACAACCGATTTCCTTACTAATCTCCTCATCTTACTTGTCCGCATCATGAACGCAGGCCTTTCCGATGGAGGCCTCCTGGCCCATCTCTCCGAGGCCACGGCCGGTAGTTTGAGCGGAATCGGACACTCGACCGTTTATGAGGAGCCGGAGACGTTTTCGTGAGTGTGGGGCGGGGCTGACTGTGACTATGATGGTCTGACTCTCTGTGCAGTTTGGCAGTTAACTATTTCTTCCTCGCGAACGATGGCGACAGCCCTGCAAGTCTTTCCGTCCAACCATTCGACGCTGTCGTGGAGCAGAACGATTACGAGGTACGTGTCTCGATCTGACGGAGTGCTTGACATTTACCTTTTCGGTGTCAGATTCCTTGGTCGCTCCGCGACATGATCGCCGACGAGCGAGTGGCGTACTTCTTCGCACACGAGTTCGCCCAGCTCCGCGACACATTTGACGACTGGCAGCCCAAGACGACCATCCTTCGTGATGTCAAGCGGAAGCTCCAGCCTATTCAGCGTCTTTCTGCTATCGTCTCACATACCACCAGCAAGCTCTGATTGTACAAGGCTTTGGAACCGCCCGCACGCCATTAGATTCACTACGGACTATTGTCGCATTGCACGTCACTTCACATCCACGGGTTTATACGCATACTGTATCATTTACGCATTGCATCCAGACATACCACTAACATCGCAGTGAAATGAATGACGAGTTGAATTTTGCGAAGCTGGAGGTCTCAAATCACCCCCGGTCCAGCATATTAAAGATGTTCACGTGGACACATCCCTTTGACGCTACAATTTCCCCACCACCGACCAACCCATGAGACGCCGCTACGACACCACACTTCCTTGACAGACCCCTTACGTTTGAGACTGTTCACCTGCTCACCTGCTTGCAGTATAAGTGCATAGATTTCATTGCTATCATCGAGCGTCCTAGCATCCCGCCGTTGTCAACAAGTCCGTCCGAGCTCAAGCACAGCTTCAAAAGACACCGTGTCAGCGGCTTCAACTGCGTCGATTCAAGTGTCGGAATGAAAGATCATGAGATGTCGTTACAGACAAGATTGTAGCATAAGGAGGTAAATCGGTGTAGTCAGGTAAGATATATCGCAAGCATCACGCGTCGCTCTGGATGGAAGCTTGAGGATGGTATCTGCAATGCGCGTGTCGTCGAGGTTCGGTCTCCGATGGCGTTTGTATGTACACCGGGCATACGGTGGGGCGCTAGAACCACCCGTGCACGCATCATGGAGTTGAAAGAACACTGCAGAAGGCGGTTGCAAGTCATGTGCTCGTGTATTGCGCAAATACAATTCACGTACGGATGAGAAAATGCCGTATAGAACACGTCCTTGTTGATAGGTCGGGTCGTGCCCGGGAGATTACTCCATAGGAAATGGCTGATAACGCGCTATCAAATCCTGATTGAGCAGGCCGCTCATAGTACGATGAAAACCGAATGGAGCTATGATGCCCCAGCGGCGAGGTCATGGATGCACTTTTGCGGAGGTTGGGCAGCCTGTATTTGGCACCGGGGTGCGGATATGGTTACTTCGCTTCTGCCGAGCCTTGAGCATCGCTGCGGAACCGGTTCGGACTCTCGCTCTCCATGATCATCCCCCTTGGTTCTCGTGCTGCATAGCCGAAGCGCCAGTGATAAAGGCAGAACGGTAGACGCCCGGATCCACAGATGTACCTGGGAGAGACTTAACCCACATGGCGCGACCACTGTGGACAACCAGGTTCGTAATAACGGACAGTGGTGCTGAGCTGCCCGGCAGGAATCTGTATGGATCGGTGAATATCTGCGAGGCGTTATCGTACCTGTTCTCAGCCGCTAGGCCCGGTTATTGGCACGGGCTGGCTGCCCGACCACCACGGCACGCGCTGCATATAGAGAGCTGAGTTTGGGTTGGATATATAAATCCAGGGAGGTACGAACGAGAGGCCACCCCAAGAGCGAGGGAGGGCCCACGTCCGAGAATGCCTGCGCCGGAGACTGCATCTCAAGGCGGCGCAAACCCAGTGTTAGGACATGTGTAGGTTTTCATGACAATGGGGATCTGAGACATTGAACACTGAACCTGTAGGTAGGAACACCATGGTGGACAGCTTGATAGCCAACGTCAACCCGGAAGAGCAAGTGCGCTGTTGACGAAGCTGGAGACAGATGACTGACTGCGTTTGATGAGCAGTCTTCGCGTGATAGTTAGAGGGATGATAGCGACGACGCCTCCTTCTGCAGCCTCGGCATTCACTGCTGCTGCGCGGTATCGGTTGGTGCATGTGAATGCGACGGCTCTGCCGTCGCCGGCGAGTCTTTTCGCAAGACGCAATCCAGACGGCATGGCTGTCCCGACAGTGGAGTTGCAGACCACCCTGGCGCGCGTTCGTGCGCTGTATGGTTGCGGGATGGGCTTCGCGAGCCTACGGGTTCTAGCAGGAGTGGTGAGAGCTACGGTGGGCCTTCGGTGGAAAGAGGGAAGCGAGATAGAGGATCTGCTTGCGTCCGTCGACTCAGACATTTGCCAAGGTATTCAGAGTTCGAGAGAAGAGATGGAAGGAGGTAGAGTGAGTGACCTGGAAACGGCGCGGGATGCGGTAAATGAGTTGCGATCTGCGGTGAAAGAGAGCTTGCAAGACGTAGAAATATGGGGAGGGGACTATCCGTTCGAGCGAGGGGAGGTAAGTCTGGATTTTTGGAAGATGTAGGCTAGGTCACTATAGCATAGTTTATCATACTACGGCGTTCACATTGTACTAGTGCACAGCGCGCACTGAGTACGCGAGTCTACATTTTCAGGCTACATCGCGGAGTAAGGGCACTGACTGAAAGAGCTGAACACCGCGCCTGCTGTGGATCTGAGATCTCGCTTGTCGGTCAAAAGACTTGGTAGTCAACGTTGTCGACGTTCTGTTGCGAGTCTGCGCCTGCGAGCGGACTGAACAGCATCCTCTTTCTCTGAATGTCGCTGCGAATGCTCTGCGCGCTGTCCCTGTCTTGCTGTCCGTCTGCGCTCGTTACCACACCTCTCTCTCTCGAGCATATCCGGACGAAGCCATGAAGAGAGCCTCCTCTGCCTCAGATATCACCCTGGAGGTGCCTCAGCAACCGCGCTCGTCGCAGTCGCACATTCCAGTCATTACACCCCGACGGTCCCAATCATCTCTTCCAAGTCCTGCCACTTCGTCGATGTCCTCTGTCCACCTAGGTATCGTACCTCCTCCTCGACACCTCTCAGTCAGTGGTAGCCCATCTCCCCGTGCGTCTACATCTAGTTCAGCCGCATCGTCCTCGACCACTCCCGCTACCTCTTTCCGTTCCTTTCGAAATCTACTTTCCTTTGGTCCCTCCAAGCCAACGTCCTCCCCCAGCATCGTCGGCATACCCAAGAGCCCTTTCTCAGGCTTTGCTTCTATTCGCCGCTCTATTCATAGTGAACGAAGCGTTTCCGCTCCTGAAGCACGTCGGGGACATTCTCTGGTTCTCGAAGACTCTCCTGTCCTCTCAATAGACCTCCCTAATCCGGGCTTGGGGCCCTTGATGCACGAGCTGGATTTAAAGGCGAGTGTAAGCCCGGACAGAAAACCTTCTGACCCGACTCACTTCGTCCCTGCCATGCCGTCCGTGAGGACTGACGCTCAAGGTTCGTACTTGTTCCGTCCCTTCAGCCATCCCTTCTCATTACAGTCCTCTAGCGCCGTTTGAACCTACGTTAGTGTTCTCCGATCTTTCGACAATCTTGGAGTCCGACACTTCTGGCATATCGAGGCATCTCCCGATTCCGGACGACTCAGTCGAGCTTGACCATTCGACACCAGGTTTCTCGTCCCCATACGTTTCCGCAGATACGGATCTGCCCTCCTCGCACGCTTGCTTCGCGCAACACAGCTTGCATAGAAGCTCACATCCCCGATTGTCTCTCAGCACCTCACCGCTCGATTTGTCGACATCCAAAGTAACCCACGAGGTTATGGAGGCTCTGTCCGAAACAAGTCAAAAGGAAGGCTGGCTCAACGGCGTTATCGTCGACGATACCACCGACAAGCATACCGGTTTGGCCAAGGCGAATCCTTCGCAGGATGCACACGACAGTTTCAACTTGAGCGCTTTGGACCCTGATCTTGCAGCTCTCCTGAGTCCTAATACTCTCATGGGGACAGAGCCGGCGCTGATGCTAGCCTTGGGCACCCTCCCCACACTTGAATTGATCCCATTCAAGAACGAAGCGAGCACCTTGCTACCGTCCGCTCAGCTGCAGGGCGAGTCCCCGCGGCGACCGCCTTCCTCTCCCCCTCCCTCTTCATCTCCCCCATTAACTTTTCCTCAACAGTCATCCCCTGTGCGCCGGCCTGCTCAGCTCCCCAGAACCGTCCCGTCCACCTTCCCGTCGTCCTCGTTGCCCCGCCTCACACGTTCTGCCTCCGACCGGCCTACCCCGCTGGAACCCTCCACCGCACTAAATAACTCCTCCGGGCGCGCGATGTCGCACAGCCCGGAACGACCGCCCGCGAAGCCTGTAGCTGAGGAGCAGATGCTGCCGTCCACCACCCGTCCAACGTTCCCGCGCAAACAGCACACCGGTGGCGACAATGCGGCGAGAAGGCCGGCACTCTCTCGTCTCGTTACTCCCGCATGCCCGAATTTGGCGTCCACACCCACCTCGAGTCCTGCACGTCAGGTAAATGCGACCCCGCCGAACACATGGGAAGCAGGATCGGTCTCACCGACCTCGCGCCCCACTTCGTCCGTAGGGACGGCCTCCAGCCGCCTGCAGCAACCTCGTCCCAGCCTTGACGGCGAGCGTCAGAAAATGACTAGGCTGCGCACTCGCGACAGAGGCGCCAGCTTCGTGGAGCGCGGACTCTCCCCCGATCTGTCTCAGCCCGCTGGGCGCTCCGTTGGCGAATTGCTCGGTCCGCGGACGGCGAAAGTTTTCGCTGCTGCCGGTCTGCTGGATGTTGACAAAGAGGGCAGCAACGGAAAGCTCACGCCATCGCGCCTCGGGACCATGCGGAGCAGCATTGACCGTGATTTGCGCTCGCGGTATACGCCCTCGAAGCTGGCCTTGTCTGGGGTGGGGTCGAATTCGTCGTGGGGGCGCCGCCGGAGCGGAAGCCTGACGCAGGTGGCGGAATCTGCGTCTGTGCTCAGCGGCCCCTTCACAGAGAGCGTGTCAACGCCACGCACCACATTCTCGAATACGTCCACTGCGCCGACATCCATCTCGGCGTCGTCCTCCACTATGCAGTCCGAGCTGCAGCTCCTTCAAGAGAGGCATTCCCTCGAGACGGGCACGCTGCTGAGCGCCCTCGCGGACTCCCAGTGGACTACTAGACTCCTTCGGGAGGAAAACGGGCAGCTTCGAGATCGCCTGGTCTATCTCGAAGAGCGGCTTGCGAATGCGGTCGAGGAGATTCGGAGGCTGCAGTATACCACTCCACATTATTCATTGCCAGCAAAAACGACCCACCAATGTTATGCTGACTCTACCTCGACAAGCTGCCCAAGCGGTCGCGGACAGGCGCGATTGCACTTGTTCAGGCAGCCTAAGTATGAAGTGTCGTTCGAGCAGCCCTCGTCGTCCCCCGAGCCTGCTAATACGACCCCAGGGACGCCGTCTGATGTCCGCATGTTCACTGACACGCGGCATAAGCGTATGAGCAGCTCGTCGTCCCTTTTTCCAGGCCCACCGAGCAATATGTCTTTGATCATGCACGAGGACGACCTCACCGACCACTCGGCGGGATTTTCGCATCACTCGGTCTCGCCATCCTCGCCAACGCTGGTCCTCGCCAAGCTCAGCGGTGGCAAGCAGAGCCATGGGCCGAAGCATGTCCGCAGTGCGTCGCTCTCGTCTGGCGCAAACATCTCACCCACCACAGCCAATTTTTCTGTGGTTACTGACTCACCGGGGAGCTTGTATCTTCGGCCAGAGCACGAGAAACTCCTGGGAGACATGCCGAGCCTCAATCTCTGCGCGCAGGAGGCCGATGCTTCTGAGGAAGATGGGGAGAGCTAGCACTGGCCAGTTAGCTTGTTTTCATTCGGCATGTATAAGTTATTCCTGGGACTGCATGCTTTCGTACTTCGTAATTCTTGTGTCTATGTTGTTCCATCGCATTCATGTGTTACACCTTGCATTCGTATGTTCTTCACGGCCGTGCCATGCTTCGACTTCGATGTCCATGTTTCGTCAGATGTTACATATATACATAATACCCCGCCCTGCATCGCAGCACACCTCGAGGCTATTGTACTACATCTGCCTATAATCCTGTCGTTAGACAGCCGCTCTGCATCTGCTCTGGAAATACATGTACGCTGTACGCTGTACAGTACCAGTTACACTTAATACCTTCGCCATTCCCGCGCCCGCTCTCTCTTCCGCCTGAGAATCCTTGCTCGCATGCAGGAACTCGGATCGGGGGTCGGACGATAGTGACACTCAATTTCGTTTATTCGCCTGTTTATTTATTTCGCCCTCAAATCGGGACGTGCTCATGGTCCAAATTTGGGAGCGCAAAGTAGGTTTCGCCTAGTCTCGATTCCAGACGTTGACGCACGGATGCACCCGAAAAAACCAATATGTCGGAGATCGAAAAAACCACTGCAGCCTCCGTGCTATAACGTTACAATTCCTGAGGTACGAAGAGAATCGTTCTTATAAGCGGTGGGCCTTTGGAGGCTGACCTGAACCGTGATGAACTTTTCCCCAAACTGTGGGAAAATTCTAGAGATAGAACTTAGCTACAAACATTCTAATGGCTCTTCTTGCCCAACGACAAGTTGAGTATAGATGAACATTCAAAACTGTTGTATTGAAAACCGGTGTGACTTGCACAAATAAGGCTGTAGCACCGTGCAAGCATGGCAGGACCCGCTACCTGTAAGAGAGGCGAAGATATACATTCAGCGCATTAGAGCGCGAGGAGATATAAGTACATTAGGTACAAGCAATACGGTAAAGGCGGCAGAATTACTGTCATATGTACGAGTATAATACAAAGCAATACGGTAAAGCTGGGTGAAAATTTAAGTACAGTAGGAGAGTGAGATAGTTACGTTGTGAATCAATCGGTTTTGGCCTTCACTTTTTCTTTCGTTACATCGGCCTTGGCTTTCTTGGGTGGAGAGGCATCGAACTCGGTGAATGCTGCAGGAGGGTTGGAAGAGTGGGTGGATGCGCAGATGATAGGACCGAGTGTGGGCCGTGGAATGATGCAGAATTCGTTGGATTCAGAGAGGACACAAAGGTTGTGTGCTTGCACCTAGTAGGTCTAAAGTTAGGGAAGTGTATTTGTATTGTGCAATACGAATAGAGAATGTATGTGCACCTTACGAGTAGGAAATTTGGGATTAGTGGGAGGGTAGATTCAGCAGTGTAGCGACACATTGAGCAAGACAAGAGTGCCACGCCAGAGTGTAGTGAACCAGTCCCACGGCGGGATGAGCATGCCGTCAACGCCACGGAAGTCGTGCTGGTGAAGACGAGCTTTCTGATGATCAAACAGGTCGCCGCCATAGTCGGGGAGCAGATGAGGGTCATAGTTTGCTCCGATGCGGATGTCGTCACCTGCAAAGGGTAAATATATAAGTGTGGTTGGCGTGAGTGGCAATAGAGGTACCTGTAGGTTTGGTTAGCTCCTGTTGCACGTCTTGCATTTTCTCAGCTTCGGCGTTAGCTGTTCTTTTCTTCTTGATGTGTTCGACCTTCGGTGTGGCAGTAGCAGCTGCCTTGATGGGTAAGTTGGTGTGCGTCTTGCATAGATGGTATTAGTAATGAATGAAGTAGGGGACAGCATACTTACAGTGTACTTAGGATCAGCGATGGTGACAATGATAAGATCAGAGGGTTTGCCAGGTTCCATGGAAGATGGACGAATCCATTCCGTAACTCTGAAGTTCTGGAAATTGATGAAGTAGTGTATGACGGCGAGAGTAGGTGGCACTCGCCTGCACCGCAATTTCCTCCTCTTTTTCATCCATCATACGAATGTCATTGAGCGTGCCAATTTGGTCGTAGTAGAATTCGGTTAAGTCTGTGGTCGCCTGTGAGGGGACACAGAGAACAAGGGTGTTTTGAACTGCGGTGTCATCGGTAATTTTCTGTGAAAGTTGGTGAGCAGTGTGCAAGTGTGAGGAGAAGAAGGCAGTTACATTATCATCATATGGTCGAAAATTACCCTTGGCATAGAGATCAGTTCCCCATTCGGACACCATGACTTGACCGATGATGAGAGCGCTGAATTCACTCGGGTTGTCACCAGTAGAATAATATTCATAGTGGCCTTTGCGGTTGGTGGTGTGGGCGAAGTCAGCAGGGTAGTCCTTCAAAGCAAGCATCTGGTCAAGGCTCTTGCTTAGCTGTGCCATGATTCTGTCATAGGTGCCGTCCTGACAGCGAGTTTTGTAGCAAGTGGGCAGCTGGTTACCGGCGACAGAAGCCATGATGGTGGGAGAAGAAGAACGGTGGATTAGGAGGAGAATTGAGAGAGCTGCTTGGTCATAAAGGGTCGGCTGTGAGGTGACAACATTGGTGACAACAACGATCGAAAAGGAGGGTCACGAGAGGACACAGGTGGTGTGACAGAGAGTGGGGCCGGCGAGGGACAGCAGCATGCGATCGAGTAGCAGATGGTATGCAGCACGGACAAGGGAAATTGGCGGGGAAGCTTCCCTCCAATGTACAGCGGTGTGGAGGGGCAGATATAGGGCGTGTGCCGAGCGTCAGGCGTGGTGTGTACTAGAACTGTGAGGGCACTGAAGAAGCATGTAAACGCTCCGCTCATGAGGGATTTTGCCCGATTAGATGCTAGTTAACTGGTTCGAAATGGGCGACGAAATGGGGCTCATGCCATTTGGACCAGTCGGGATATGAATATCTTCACTGAGATAACCGATGCGGTCGATGGGAGTGATGACTGCCACAGTGCCTGAAGAGCGCGAACTTAGCATGAAAGAATTAGAAGTGTTGTCGGATTGCTCGCACCTGTACTGAAAAACTCAACCAATGTGCCCATCTTCTCAGCCTCTTTCACCTCCTTTATTGACACCGAATGCTCTGAAACAACCAGATTATCCGGAAGGTCCGCAATCTTTGCTTGGTCTGACGCATGTCATCGTGCGAGGGAGAGGACAGAATCATGTGTCATCTGATCGGGACGCTTGAAGACTATAAATGTGTTGGATATCTCAGTGATTAGGTGGTCGGGCCCATGTAGAGCTCAGGGAAGCCAAGTGGGCCGGGTGAGGAGTAATCCATCACGGCGATTCATAATAAATGCGCGCATTTAACTAGCCGGAATTGCCCACATTGTACGGCTGGATCTTTGCAGGAGGATGTGGCATGTGGAGGTTCTTTGTTTAGTGGAGTGAAGCTGCAAAATACTGGTTGGTATGCATGGAACAAAAATCATTGCTGAATTCAGCGCCGTTTATGTGAGTACAGTTCGAGTTCTGTTGCTTTGCATTTATGGATTCGAGTGACAGTCGCTGGAGAAGATGGAGCTGATGAATTAGGTAAAGGCTCAGCACAGGGTTCAAATTGATTATATTTACGCTTGTGAATACGGATAGTTTCACATAAGGGAGAATTAGCAGATGAAAGAATTTGATTCTGGGTACGATCAAGCAAATTCATAGTTGTCATTGCTAATTGGGTCTGACAGAGAGTGGTGATCAATAATGATTTGTGTGTCATTACAACTGGCCAGTTGTTTTCGGGCATTGTCTTTTTCTGCGTCTGTACCATGTTGTGTGAGAGTGGAAAGCTGCAAAAGCTGCAAACAATGCATTTCTAATCGAGACTCTTCAGAACGATGGCAAGTGATCTTCTCTCATGTGAAGGGTCTAAGAATAAGTAGTCCGTCAAGGGAGGTTGCACGAGAGATTATTACATAGGGTGCTTCTGTTCCTCGACAGCTTTGGAGATTAATTATTACCTTTTTCAGTGATTGTCCTTGTGCCTTGTGAGCAGTCATTGCAAAGCCAGGCATGATGGGCAACTGTGTGTGTGTGATTCGACACTTTCACTTAGAATGTGGGTGGGTGAATGTCAAGTCCACAGTGTCTTGTAGGATGGGAACATGATGCAGTGGTAAATGTGGTAAAGGTTCTTCAGCACTATCAGGAACCTCAACTACACAAGATACTAAGTGGCGATCACCATTACTATCGGTAGGGTAGTGAATCGTACGAAGTATTCCTGCACTTTCATTAACAATCTCGCCTTCAACATCATAATTATGTGACAGAAGTACTGGCATTCCAATGACAAGAGGTAACTTCCCCAGTCTATGTTTAGTTTGACCTGAATGTAGATCTTCAAGCTTTGATTTTAATGCAGGATCAGTTAATATTTTACCTCCATGTCGATCAGTTACATGATACCACATTAATTGCTGTCCAGTACGAGCTGCAAATGCAGAGGTGGCTTGTACGTTTAATGCATCTTTGATTGCATTATCATAAACTACAGCAGGAGCATCACTCCATGAATTACTGAGTTGACCAGGCTTAATTATTCTTGAACTCAGTAAGTCACAGTCTCCATTTATGCATTTACCTTCTCGAAGACGACTCAAAAGATGAACAAATGGTTGATTTTGTGTTCCATACTGACACATACTTTGGGATAGGAGAACAATCGTTGAGATAGATAGCCATAACAATTTGCCAAAAATAATTGCCTGTTCTATCTTTTGTCTGCGACTGTGTACCTTTCCAGTTACGATTCCTGAGGAACGAAGAGAATTGTTCTTACAAGCGGTGGGTCTTTGGAGGCTGAGGTGAACCGTGACGCACTTTTCTTTTAACTGTGAGAAAATTCTGGAGGTAGAACTTAGCTACAAACATTCTAATGGCTCTTCTTGTCCAACTACAAGTTGAGTATAGGTGGATGTTCAAAACAGTTGTAATAAAAACCGGCGCAACTTGTATAAATAACCATCAACAGATGCATGGCTGCAGCACTTAGATTAGATAACAGATAACAGCCCCATCTCAGAGAACATTGAAATTATGTTCTATAGAGTGTTATACTAACTTCAATGCATTGTAACCATCACCATTGAATTGAAGCCAAAAAAATAGCCCTAGTTAGCACTTTAGAACATTCAATTTCATTAAGATTTGAGTGACAAACCACTTTTGCAATACTGAGGTGAACGACATGAAGGCCTGCTTAGTCAGTTTCCTAATTTGGAAACTGACTTACCTAAGGTGCCCATGGTTACCTAGGTCATGTTTCTAAATTTTCTGCCTTTTTCTGCCTTTTAAAAATATTTCTGACCTCAGAATACACTTGCCCAAATGGGGAAAGTCAGGAGCTGTTGAAGTTACAATTCTTGAGAAATAAAGAGAATCATTCTTACCAGTGATGGGACATTAAGGGCTAAAAAGGTTAGTATATGTCTGTAATGACTATATAAGATTATAGAAGTGTAATTAGTATACATTTTTAAGAACCTTACAGTGCATGATGATATATCTAATCATCTCTACTAAATGATATAGTATCATATATAACAGCCTACTGCAAAACATATCACTGAAAACTGTTACAAATGTGCCTACAAGAATCACTACAAAAAATGTTACCAATGTACTTATGTGCATCACTACAAAAATGACCCTAGAAACTGTTACAAATGTTCCTACAAGAATCACTACAAAATTGTTACCTATAAGAATCACTACAAAAAATGACCCTAGAAACTGTTACAAATGTTCCTACAAGAATCACTACAAAAAATGACCCTAGAAACTGTTACAAATGTTCCTACAAGAATCACTACAAAATTGTTACCTATAAGAATCACTACATGACACTAGAAACTGTTACAAATGTGCCTATAACAATGTATTAAAATGTATACAAGAAATTGTTATGACATCTTGTATGAACTCCTAGTATACCATTTAATAATGTGTAAGTGTCCTACAATGTCCCACTATACATTGAGAAGTTGTGTGGGTTGATAAGGGCCGTACTATTGAATAGTCTATGAAGTCGCCTACTGACTCTTAGTATATTGTCTAGTAATGTTCAGCAATGTCAACAATAGCCTATTACACTGGCTCCTAATATACTTTTTAGTATCACTTTGTAATGAGCTTACAATAGTCTGAATATATTACCTGATGTCACTTTGTAAGAATATCCAGTAACCTACAATAGTGTCTAGTACTCTCTACTAAATGTCCTAGTATGCGATTTATAAGGGCCTTACAATAGTTGGATATGTCATCTAGTATCAATTTATAAGATGCGTACAATGGTTTAATAGGTCACTTAGTATCAGTTGGTAAGGGCCTTACAGTAGCCTACAAAGGGATATATTGACTCCTAGCATGTTGTTTAGTAATGTTCAGTAAGCCTCCTACAATGCCTTATTATACTGTTTATTGAACTCTAGCGCACCCTCTAGTATCAGTTTGTAAAGGCCTCATAATATTCTGCTATGTCAAGTTTGTGTTTGTAAAGGCCTTACAATAGTCTGAAATGCCACCTAGTATGGGTTTGTAGAGACCTTACAATAGCTCAGACGTGCAAGACCTGTTACAATTGTTGTTATAACCTGTACTTATACCAAAACTCCGAGCTTGTAGTGCTTAAAAGCTGCCCTACAACAGCTACTAATGAAGCTAATAACCTGGAAGCCAAGCTTTATAGTGGTCCCGGGTATACCTGGTGAACGCCTCTTTAGTCCAGAAACAGAAGTGCTGACTTTGAACATTTTGCTGCATTTAGTAATTCTTCAGCCACCAGAGTGCTGAGAACGAAAAAAGTGTCGATGCGCTCGATTTTTTGGATTGCATCGACACTTTTTTCGTTGTCCGCTCAAACCTTAACCAATTTAGGCAACTCTCTAGCAACTGGTTCCCACACTTCTAGCCAAACTTGCATGGTTTGTAGCTCACTCAATTCTACTCGGATTTTGATAAACCCGGTAGGCATTCTGACCGGAATTTTGAGCCGCATTTGCTGGTGTTACTTTCAAAACATCAGCATTCCTTCCTGCAGTGCTATAATCCATTTTCTCTGTTTTCTCTCACTTCTGCTTGTTTCTTCCAGGAAAAACAAATGTGCACTGCTTGTAATAAATAAGGCGCCCTATATAGCATGTTTATGTGCATTATAGGGTCATTCCAAAATTTAACTGGCATTTTTACAATTTTTCTACACTTTAGGCTGAGCATTCTAATCCAAAACTGAGGGATCTCAGCCAGTTTTACTCAGATTTACTTGGTTTAAGAGAGTGTTCTGCTCTATCTTATGCATAGATTTTAATAATACTGAGGTTTACATCTTAGAATTACTATGTGCTTCCCTCACTTCACTAATTGTGATGCACCAGCCTATTATGGCTGCTATATCACTTTTGTTGAGCTCTATTTGTGCAAGTCGCGTTGGTTTTCACTACAACCACTTTGAAACCCCGAGTCTA